GGGGGCATTTGGAGAAGTGTCTCTGCCGTTGGGTGCCCACACTGAGCCACGGCCCCGGGGCTTGACGATGGGCGCAACAGCTCGCGCGGAAGTGCTGGGCTTCGCACTCGAAGGGATGGGGGACTCGAGGGGGGGCGTGTCTGGGCTTGGGGGGGTGGGGTCCCGGTGGCCGGTGGCCTTTCCAAGTCGACGGCTGAGAAACGGCTAAAATTTTTCAACCGGTTCCCGCGGGGTCTTGGGAGGCTTGCTTGCGGGTCGCACAGCCGTGACGCAGACTGGCTCGCACCTGACGCACCTGGCGCATTCCGCTGGCAGGCCTCGGGGTGTGGCTTGGTGCTCGTGCAAGCTCCGCGGGGTTGGCTGGGTGGTGCGTGTGTGGGCGTTGAGCTTGAGGCCCCGCATCGAGCAGCGCCTGTCCGGAGTGGGGCTGTAACGTCCACGCCACTCAGGTTGCGCGGGCCGGGTCGCGTGATTCTGGAGCGGGCGCCGGGGTCACAGTTCACTGGCCCCTCGGAGTGTGGCCTTAACGTCCGCGCCGGTGAGCCTCGCGGGCTGGTGTGGTGTCGGCTCTCTGTGTCGGGCCTTTTCTTGGGGTGTCTATCTCGAAGTTTGTGGGGCCGCTTGCTGGAGGCTGGCCCAGGTGCATGCGCTAGACTCGCGGGCGCCTGCTCTTGCATTGTGGTGGCACGGGTTCGCTCGGTGAGGTCTTTCGTGGGTCTTTTGTGTCGGATCGGCTGCTGCCCCCCGGCAGCCAGACCAGCGGGCGCGGGTGTGTTGTGGTGTCTGTCGGTCGGGGTTTTCTCAAAGCCCGAAAACTTCAGCCAAATTCTGGCCGGACTTGTTGGCTGGGGATGTGTCCGCCTGACGCCTGCCCCCCTCCCTCTCTCCTCCGGTCGTTGGCTTGCTGCAGTTTACTGGGAGGCGGCCAAAGGAGTCGGCGTTGCTTGGTGCTGGCTCTCCGTTGTGTGTCCGCTGTGTCTGGGTCTTTTGCTCCGTCGTGCCTGGTGTGTCGTCATGTCTGAGGGGTCTTGGGTGTCTTCTTTGCTGCCGTTGTTTGTGATGGATCTGGGTGCGTGTGTGTGGGTGTGTTTTTTCTCTGGCTTCCTTGGCGAAGGCCTTCGGCTGCTTGTCATTTGGTTCAGGTGTTTCTTCCTTGGGTGGTTTTCTAGAGGCATGCGTGCTGGCTTGCTTTGTGTCTCGGTGGGTTTTCTCTTTTGTTAGCGTTGCGCCTTGGGTGGCGTGCTCCTTTTCTCTAATGTATGGGCATCGAGGTGCTTCTTTTGAAGTTCGTGCCGCTTGTTGGCTTCGGCGTACGGTGTGTGGCCGTACGTTTTGCAGAGGGCCCCAGGCCCGCCTTTTCGTTTCGTTGTTGCAGTTTGTTGCGCTGGGGTTCTTTCCAGGACACCGCAGCGGGGCCGCAGCGCTGTTGCCCATCTGGATGGGGGCTTCGGGGGGTTTCGTGGCCTTGGCTTGTAGTTTGGCGCGCCGCTTGGGGTGCTGGCGTGTTTTTTTTGGGAAGAAGTTTGTCGGCGGTTTTCGGAATTTTGAGCAAGAACCTTGGATGGCGGGCTGGCAAGAGGTGTGGCCCATAGAATGTGGCGGCTGGTTTGCCGCAGGAGGGGTCTCTCTTCGCTTGTCGGTCTTTTTCCTTTTTTGTGGTGGGAAGTGGTCCAGCGTGCTGGGGATGGTTTATTTTACTCCGCGAGTGGGCTGGGTCAGCTTCTCCACGCTTTTCGAAAGCTCGGGGGTTGTTTTCCTCTTTTTGTTTGGTGGTGGGTTCTCGGCTGAAAATTGTTAGGCTTCATTCTTGGAGGTTTCGGATAAGTATCGGCCCTTGGCGTCCACCGTGCCGAAAGTATCTAACGCCCCGCGTGTCGGGTCGGGTTAGTTTCGTTTTGAATGCGGGGGGCTTGTTTGCCGGCTGTTGTTGTGTGCGGAACCGGCGTGACTGTGCTCTTGGCCCTCTCTTCGTTGATGCGTCGCGACCTCCAGTGGGCGCGTCGTCTGCGGCTGCCCGCGCGGGCGGCGGGTCGGCGTGGTCTAGCTCTGGGCCCGCTTGGTGCTTGGTTCTTTTCAGGTTTTTTTTTGCTGTGTGCTTTTTTCTTTGAGGGACTGGCTGCCGGCCAGAGCCAGAGGAGGTGGGCTTTGTACTTGTAGTGGGTGTTTTTCATTTTCCATGCTGAACAGCAGACGCGCGTCCTCACTTCGGACTTTGGCTGCCGGGTCCCTATTAAACGAGGAGAGTGGGCACAGGGAGACGCAGGTCTGATCGAGTTTGAGACGCCGGCCTGGAGAAGCAATACGCGTGGAAGTCAAGACTTGAAGGAGGCTAGGCGTTCTTCGGTCTTAGACAAGATAGCGGAGGAGGAAAAGCGCGAGCAAGATGAGTATCTGAATCTGCGTGTGCGGGGCAAAGACTCTGCCCTTCCCGAATATTTTCCACTCGGCTGGCGCGTGTCTGATGGTGGTGGGGATCAGGAAGGCGAAGGGAATGAAGACGTGCGGGCCTGGGAAAGAATGGAGTGCCCTTGGTGGAAGCTGGACCGGGACGCAGCTGCAGGGGATGACTTTTTTCGGGCGGATGCGCCTGCCTTTTCAACCGACGCGCAGGAGCATCCTAGCAGTGTAGCTTCTTTGGGCCATGGGTGGGCCCGTCTCGTCTATCACGCTTTCGAAAAAGTGGACGCTGGGTCTTTAAGCTGGGGCAGGAGGCTGAGTGAGAGTCTTCGAAAACTAAACCGCGGCACTTCATCGCAGGTCGCGGAATTGAAAAAGGTTGCGAAAGAGGAACGCGGGCTCTGGATGCGTTTGCTCATTTTGCGGAGCCGTTTGATGCGGTACCCTAGCGAGAGTGCTGGTGCTGGCGCTGGTGGGGATGGATCCTTGGGCACAGATATGGAGAACCAGGGGTCATTTGATAAGGATGTGGGAGAGCTTTGGAGGCTATGGAACATGATTTTATGGGAAGTGCAGGGCCTGCACGCTGAACAGGCTGCGACTTGGCTCAGCGTTGCCGAGTCACTAGAGAAGCGGACGTCGATGTACTCGTCGGAGTTCATTAGGGTGTCTAAGCAGCAGGAGAGTGCGTCGTGCTCGTGGATGGATAATTCAATCCGTTTCCCGAAGGGTCGCTTCATTCGACCAGGTAAACCTAAACACGATCTAGTATCCAACCAAGGGGACGAGCACGACTCTGAGGATGGCGGCAGCAGTAGCGGCGACGGCGATGAAGAACAAGGTCCACACGACGAGAGCGGCATGTTCTTGCCTTATGCATAACACTAGACAGGAGTCGCCTTGTTTGCCGCGTGTCGGCGAGCGACGGGCTGGCAGCGGGGGCGCCTTGCTGCGTGCCATATTTCCCACCGCTTCTTGGCTTGTGAGGGTTCAGTGCGCATAGGAAGGCCGCTGAGGGCTCTACCCATTTGGAATCTCGGGGGCTTTTCTCTCGCGGGTTGTAGTTCCTTTTCCTGTCCATTTCGGAGGCGGTGGGGGTGGTCTGGAGTCCTCTATCGTAGATGAAGGGTGGGAGGTGCGTCCCCATCACCACGGCCCACGCCTCTAGCAGGCGGCCATCCTAAGAGGGGAAGGGCGTGCGAAGCGCGCAGGCGGAGCAAGGGAAACAAACAAAGGGTCGAGGCACTGCGTGGACAAGCGCAGCCAGTGAGAGGGCGCACGGAGTGCGACGGCTGTCGTGGTGCTTAAGAAGTGAAGGCGCCGCGGCTGACGTACTTAGAGAAGCGGGAGGCGCCCGTGTGGTGTGTGCCAGCAGTGTTCAGTGGGAGAGGGGCGGCGCAAGTAAGTTGGAGCAGGGGTTTCGTGCTGGTGTTCGCGTGCACCAATGTCTGTGGGGGCCTGCGTCTGTGGGCCGTTGCCAGGTACGCGAGCGCAGGGCGCCGAGTGGTGGTCGCATACGCTGAGCAAATAGCGGCGCAGCCGCGGCTTGGTGCTTTCGGGCGCAGTGTGTATATTTACGGCTAGGAGGTGGTGGCAAGGAGCTGTCCGCGGTCGGCCACTGGGCTTCATGTTTATGGCGCATGCAGGTGCCGGCGGCTCTAGTTGTGCTGGTGGTACGGGCTTTGAGCCCCGGGCGCCCATTTTTAGTGGTGGATCGTTGTGGAGGTCGTCTTGCGTGTGAGCTCGTATCTTTCTTACTTTCTTCTCGGAGAAGGTTTGTCCTCGTTCATTTTGTGCGAAAGCAACAGCTGCGGTGCCCAAGCTTGGCGAGCGCCTCGGTGATTTTTTTTGGTATTAGGGTTGGGAAGCTAGATAGAACTTCTAGAAGTGCTTGGCGGACAGTCGTGTGTAGAGGTCTTATTCGGGGGCCGGTGCGTGTTGGTGGCAGGTTGTGGGGCGGTTTTTCTTTGGCTCGTCTTCGCAGCAGGTGCCCCCGTCTGCAGGCAAAAGTGGGCGGCCCGTTTTGTTTGCTGCTTGTGCTTCATAGTAATCCCATCCGGGACCGGAAGACCCCAGCGAGAAGTATAGCTGGTCCTATCCGCAACTACATGTTCTCCGTGGCAGGCAGAAGTATGTCTTTTCTTGAGGCCGGGAACCTGACCAGTGTCCCACTTTCGCCCCCTCCATCGGTGGATGGACTATCGCTGCGGCAGCTACAGGCCCTGGAGATGCGTATCATGGCTCGAGGCGTGGCTGTGGAGGTGTTGCGGGAGGTTTCAGCCCTCGGTGGGTGGGAGGCATTGCAAAAAGTGCCGACGACTGAGCGGGCGGGTGGAGAATTTCAACGGCTTACCCAGAATTCCAGCCTGGCAGGGTCGGAGCGGACACTGCAGACGCGACCCCTCGTAGGCTCAGTCGATGGCGCTTATGGTATGTCGGCTTTTGATCAGGAGGCGCTAGCGGGTGAAGTTGACCTTAATGGGGAGTCTGGGTGGATCGCAGAGGACGGGGACCTCGGGGAAGCTGCGGGGCAAGACGGGACAGCAGGATACGCGGCGGGCGTGACCTATCATGGTGCGCCCACTCCGGAACCTTCCTCCTTTATGGAGCATCGACAACACGAAAAAGCCCTCTTGGTGGCCACGGCGGCTGGCTCCGTGGGTGCCCAAGCGCTTGGTGGTGCTGCCGGTGGCGCAGCCGGGAAGCTGGTAGAAATGGCGGGGGAAGGTGGGAGGCCGCGCACGGTGCCACAGAAGGGCAGAAGACGCGGTAAGCACGACAGGAGGACCAATGACGGCACGTACCATGACGACCCCTACACTTTGGAGCATCTCGCGTTATGGCTAGTCTTAACAATTCATTTCCACCATCGTCTAGACTGAAGCCCGGGCCCGTGCTTGTTTCGGTCTTGGTGCGATGTGTGAAGTTCCTTAAGACACTGAACTACCGAGAGGCTTTCGTAATTGATAAGGCAGGGGGGGAGGCGGGGTGTAGACATATCTTCAATCGCTAATAGCGCACCTTATCGGGGGTGAGTATCTAGCCATCGCAACCGAAGAAGAAGCGAGCGAAGACCCATACTGGAACTGGAAGCCGAAACTTCTTTTCAGGGGTCCGAACTACAAAATGCGACAAAGAGCGCAGAGGCACCTGCTCAGGATCCGGAAGATCAACATGGAGGCGGCCCTTATTAATGCTGAAAAGACGCGCATGGAAAAGGAGGCCAAATTACTACAAACTCGCGCGGGCTTCAAAAATAAACAGGACCGGGGGGGGGCAAATCGTATGTCGTCCTCCATCGGGGAGGCTGCGGACGACTTGTGGTTCGACACGCTACTGGAAATGTACGCATCTCACGAAGAGAGCAGCAACGCAGCCGCGGAGTGGCGTAAGGCGGTCTTTGAGTTTGAGGATGCTGCGTTTAACATCCTGGCGCAGCAGCGATCTCGCTGGGCGAAGATGGAGCACGTCATCAATGCAGCAAAGGCAAGGAAGCTCTTGGAGGCGAGGGCAGTGCCTCTGTATCATGAAAGCAAGCAGACAGAGCTGGTGCCCCACAAGATGAATGGCCGAGGTCTGACCACCCACGCGCTGGAAAAAAAAGGCGTAGATGCTGTGCGGGAATCGCTACAATTACGGCTTCTGGCAGTTGGGCTGTAGCTGTGCAGTAACTGTTCTTGTTTCTTTCCTTAGAACAGCTCGGCTTCCGCTAAAAATTGTAGTACTACTATAAACATAAAGTTGATAACTTTATCGAGAACTAGGAAAGTTATGTGTGTGCGAGGGGCTTTCGGACATAGTTACCCGTGCTAATAAATTCAAGAACAGACAACTCTGATCATGGATGATGGGAGGATTATATTGGAGTATGAAGCTTTCTCATTGGCAATGGAATAGCACGGGTAACAAGCCAGGCGTGATAGTTGTACCGCCTGCGCTCGCCGCACCTCCACTGACCTACCATCTTCGGGGACTTATTCTACTTCTTCTGGAGGTATTGCATTTGCTGGTAGTTCATTGAGTATGTTGAAAATATTTCTAGACAGCTGCCTCCATGAGTTTATTTTTCTAACATGGTACGTTTCGGCTCCGACTTTTCTTCCATGGCGACATCATTACCAGCAACCCGTGGACGACGAAAAAAGGCCCGCGGTGAAGAACCAGGTGGGCACGGCGAGGATTAGCGTTGTATGGGACAAAGAGGCGCCCCCGGCCGACGGAGATGATCACTGCAGGGCCCCGAGATTCGGCTTCACTGGCGAGGAATATCGCGGGCGCGGGTTTGAGATGCGGTGCACGAGCTGGGAAGGCGTGAGGCAGGTGCCGAGAGTACACGCCGCGGACGAGACCAGTGACACCATACGGCGCAGCCGCATCTTTACCGGCTACTGTCTCTCATCCTGTGAGAAGGATCCGAATTGTGCTTTTTCCCTCGTACACTTAAGGCTTTTGCTGCGAGTGCATTTCCATCTTCAGAAGTATTCTGGCGCACCCATCTACGGGAAGGGCAGGCTCAGGATGGTCCTCAAGGTGGATTCCAGGAAGATCTAACGCACGCTCCCGGGGGTGGTTCTTCCACTCCTGAGGCCGTTCCGGCGACGCCATATATTTGCCGGCTTGGTCGTTATGCGCCCATCGTGGTGACGCCAGGGCCATCCACAGAAATTGACAAGCAGGAGCAGCGCAAGGCCACGGAAAGCCTGATAAGCCTTCGGCTGGCATATGGAGTCCCACATGGACGCCCCGCGGGCTCGACGGCCGGTCCAGCACAGTCACCCAATGGAGAGCAGCGCGCAGCCTTATGCCTCGGACTCGTTGTAGTCACTTATTTAGAAGTCGACGACAACGACAGGCGGACTCGGTTTTGATAGGTCTAAATTTAGAACGCCTGTATACTTATATTAGAGTAAGGCCAATAACGGGCTTCGAGTTGCCACGAGTTGCGCGAGTTGCCGAAGCGGAGCGCTTCACTTCTGGAACGAGTTGCCACGAGTTGCCGGAAGGTGTCCGCTCCATCGAAATGGAGCGAAGCAGGGCGGTGCGGGTACCAACCTACCTGCTCGAAGTGGCGAAGTTTAGGGGCGTGCCGCTTTTGTTGTTGCTCGTGAGAGGGGCAGTCGGGTATGTATGAAGGGCTGCCGAGCCCTTAGGGCTTGTTTTTTGTAGCTTGCGGGCGGACGCCTAATAAAGCACAACCAAGGGGGCGAAAGGCTCGGCTCTTTGTTGTTTTTGTTTGATGTCGTGGCGCGTCGTCTAGTCGGTGGCGGTCTTTCTGCTTCTCTCCCACTTTTCTTCGGATGTGTGGCCAATGAATCTACTTCGGGGGTGAGAGTGAGTAGCCCCCGTCTACTTTATAGGGCGGCGCGTCCAGCCTTGCTTGGGGGTGAGTAGACTAGAGAGAGCGCGGCTGTTCGGCGTAGGTTTGTAGTTGGGAGTGGGTTACCGCACTAGATTCGTAGTCCTTCCTTAGCTGTTGCGAGTAAGGTAACTAGATGGCCAAGCAAGTGACTGAGATGAGTCTCGAGCCCGAGACGGTTACTCGCTCCTGTCTCAGGGGTGCACTGAGAAGGAAACCAAGGATCAGCGACACGGCCCGCAGTGTCGTACGCTCCTGCTAAGGTTTCGCGATGTCTCACGAAGCTGCGGCCGAAGGGCGCCGCGCAAAAAATTAGGGCGGGCAACTCGAGCAACCCGAGCAACTCGACCCGATTATACGGGTCAAAAAGTGCCTTACTCTATTATATATAAGAATACTCCGCAAGCGCGACTGCGGACTGAGTTCTCCGCTTCGGAGCTTATTTAGAAGTCGACGCCTCAGTCACTTCCTTAGAAAGTGCGAACCCCTTCCCTACAAAAGTCACTTATTACTTACTAAAAAAAAGTATGAGTAGTGTATTCAGTAGTTACTCGAAAACTGGAAATAACTGAGTTGCTGACTGAAATATGGGAGGCGAGGCATCTTTTAAAGGCTGCTTCCCCTTGGTCGGTATCTCGTTTATTCTCGTCTGTTACTCGGTTACTTCAGTTTATCGAGTATGTGACTGCCGTCGTTTCTTTGCACTGTTTGTTGCTGTTCTCGCTGCTTCAAAGCTTATTGCCGTTTTCATTGAGAATGAGAAGTTGAGGTCGACCCCTTACGCGACTCATGCTGAGCCTAGTGTTCCTCCGTCTCTTGGCCCACTACCTCAGACAATTTTGATGCAGAAGGGCATGCACATCGGAAGACCCTCTTCAGAAGCAAGAAGCGCAATATTGAAGTACTAGGCGTGGCCCGAGTGCTCAGAGGCGCACGGGAACTAGGGGGACGGGGCGAAGAGATGGCTGCTACCTATTTCAAAAATACGCATGGTGGGAGGCTGGGCGAGGTTTTTGGCGTGGGAGCCTTTGGGCGTGCAGCAGTAGGGCGGCGGCCGGCCCCCGCCATGTCACCGGAGCACCTTGGCGCCTATCAGAGCGACAAAAAGCGGCCGGGCAACGCTCGGAGGCCTTTTCTTGGGGCAGAAATCGGGCACCGCGTGCGCGGTTCCAGGCGCCAGCGGCCGGCGTGGGCCGTGGGCCGCTTTCTGTTCGTCTGGTTAGCAGTGAAGCCGCTCGCAGCGCGCCGGCCTCCTGACTCGCCCCCGCACAAATCTCGCCCGCTTAGCCTTTTCGTTGTTGGGGTGGACCCCTGACAAAGCCAGGGCCCTCCTTAAAATCTTGAGAGAGCCAGGGCTCTCAGCTTTGGGAAACCTTGAGACAGCCAGGACCCCCCCGAAAACCCCAAGAAAGCCAGGGCTTCGCTGTGGCGTACTCTCCACGCGGTCCTTCGCTGTTCGCTTGCTTGGCCTATTCGCTTGGGCAGTTTCGCTTTTTAGCTGTTTGGCTGGTCTGAATGCTCCTAGAGTTTATGTGTCAGGCTTTGCTTTTCTCATTCTCAGCGACCGCCCCCTCGTGGTTTGTGTTGGTTCCCGCCGCTGTGTGAGTTGGTTGCGCAACTCTGAGAGGGACGGGCCCTGCTGTACATTCGCAACGCCGAGAGGGGAAACGACTACGAGGCCAAAGAGGAGCCGGCAAAAATGCCGCCAAAACCTTGAGTCGTGAAACTCTGAGACGCAAAATTACCTTGGTCCAAAAGCCTTTCGGCTTACGTACCTTGACCCAAAAGCCTTGGGGCCTTTCCGCTTTTTCGTCTAGCTAATCTGTAGCTGCAAGCCTTGGCATGCATGGCCTCAAAGCTTTGGGGCTTCCCTCAAATTTTGGCGTGGGCAAAGCCTCAAGCCCTTGGCCTTACTACGCCCCTGAACCTTGTCGACAGTGGCTGCTTTAGTTTTTATTTCGATTCGCCGCGCCTGCGCTTCTACTACTTCGAGCCCCTGAAAGCCTTCAGCTGCGGCCCCGCTTATTGTTGATTGTCAACGAAGAGGGAACCAGCTAGCTGCGTACTACAGCATGAATACAGGGCGGGGCGGGCGGGCTTCGGCTTGTGGAGAGTCTCCACAGGAGGCCCAAGACAAGGCCGGGCGACTTCTCGAAAGGAGGCGTGGGGCCTGGTGGCGTGGGTGCTTCTCTCCCTTTCAGGAGGACTACAGATGGGTAAAGCAGCTATCAAGCATTTCTAGCAGCTCTATTTTAGAGTAGTTTACAGAACGGATGTAGGATGGACTTGGATGGATCGGATGGACTTGGATGGATCCACCCCACCCCGGATCTGGCACCCCTATAGACTGCTCTATTATTTTTTACATTAGTGTTTTTGATTTTGCCTTGTCTACGTGCAACACGGCAGCGACAAGTTGTGCCAGAAGCAGAGTCACCGACCTTGCCTACACCATGGACTGTCGTAGTGCGCCCACCCGTAGCTTCAAAAGGCTTTGTCCACATTTCCAAAGCCAAAGGGGATCTCCCTCCCGGCTCTAAAAGTCCTTGCGGCTGCGGGTAATCAAGAAGGTTTCCGCTTTTCTCTATATACCAAAGCTGATCCCGACCAGAGCAAGGAGGCCTTGGAGGGCCGTTGGGGTATCGTGAAGGCGCTGGACATGGCGCCAAGTCTATCTATTGACGAGTCGCTCTTCGAGTGGGATCGCCTGAAGCTGTCCAGGCTACACGATCATGCCATTGCCCTTTGGCGTATGGTGCTAGCGAACGAGCAGCATAGCGACTATTTGCTTGCGCTGCTTAAAAAGTGGAACAAGGCCGATGATGACAATATTACAGGAGACAAAAGTGCAGGGGCCAGTTTTATGACACGCCTTGAGCTGAGCTCTCCATATCGTAGAAGGTGGAGTAGTGTGGGTATTCAAGCGAGGGCGAGACCATTGTAAGTATCGGGACATATCATGATATGATTAAGTAGCACATTTTGCCTCTATCAGAAGGCTAAAATAGCTAGTATCCACTCTCCTTGAGGACCTAGTAGAATTCGAGGCGCATTTTATGGCGGTGTGGGGGCATCGGCTTCCTTAGGCTCTGACGACTGGGGGCCTCCTTCAAAAAACCTGACGGACGGAACTCCGGCGCAGCGCCCGGGATGGGACGACGAGAGCCGCGCGGCGCTGCGTGGATGGTCCGACCTTGAGGCGCGCGCGTGTGTGGCAGCCTCTTCTATAAGCGGGAGGGGCACGTCGTAGGAGGTCGCTTGCCGTTCGAGGGTGGTCTCTTTTGGGGCTCTCTTTTGCTGTGTAGATGTCCATAGGGCTCTGCCGGCCGTGGCAAGGGCTCACCAACTGCGGCCGCGAATGGCGCGCGCCCCTTCGCTGCATAGCTATGTGCACAAGTCTGCGGCGGAATTCTGATTGCAACCCCACTCGCCGTCGGGCAGTGTGTTAGCGTCGTCCACGGTGCTTTTTGTTTTGGTTGTGCGCGCTCTTTAGGGGGAAAGTCCGGTAGGAGGGGCGATTGTTTCCTATCATCTGCGGCCTCACCCAGTCCAGGCCGGCCTCCGCAAAGGGCCCAGGCTGCAGCCGTAGGGGCGCGGCATGTTTACGGCTTCGCGCGTGCTTCCACGCAGCTGCTTCCCTTTTTGTTTTGCTCTGCAATGAATCACCAGGGCGCGGCGGTGGTTGCAGTTGTTAGATAGAGCCCCAGGCGGGCGTTTCCCTATCCCTTTGCGTTGGGTCATGGGCCGGCTTGTGGTCGCATCACGTGGGGGATGCGTTGGTGGCTTGATTCTTGTCGACTACGCACGCACCCCCAGCTCCATGGATGAACGAAGCACAGGCCCTCGTGGTCGCTGTTGTCTCGCTCTTCGGTTCTCGCACGGAAGCGCTCGTGGCTAGCAAAGTCGTTCTGTGGTGGCTGGTGCAGAGTAGGCGGGGGTGCAGGCTGGGGCGTGACTGCTGGCCAGGCTGTATGTTAGCCGCCTGGAGTGGGTAAGGCACAGAGGGCGGGGGCGCCGGCTCGTACTTAGTCGGGCTGGCGGCGCATAGAGGCAGCGGGGCAGAGCTGCTCTCGAGGGGCAGTGAGGTCGGTGGAGAGGCCCACCCGGGCTTCCTCGCTTCGATTCCTATGGCATGCTTGGCTGGCCAAGTTGCTTGGGTGCTTCGTTCCGCTCACGTAACTTGCATAGCCCTCCAGGCATTCCAGTGCGGTCTGTCCTCGACGCCTGCTTACTGCTGCAAAGAGCTGCGGGCTGCGTCTTTAAATTCGTTGAAGGATTAGCGCCGCTACGTTTCGGGTGGGGTTCGTCATGACGTTGACCCAAGTCTCTCTGAATCTTGTTTGTATCTTTTTAATGCTTTTTTTTGTGATGTCTATGCCAGCAAAGGATCAAGGAGGCCAAGACCGGTAAAAACAAGTTCTGGTCCCATTTTCTAATGTCATTTACGCTTCAGGGGATGGGGTGGGGGCGTCCTTGCTTTTGCCAATCTCCGAGGAGGATAATAGCCGAGAGGACTCGGAGCTGGATCGAAAGGTGAAAGTGGAGACGAATCAAATCCGCCCGCACAACCTCGAGGGGCAACAGGTTCTCGCCTGGTTGACGGAGCAGGGGGAGTACGCGCTAGACACGATTCAGATGCGGAAGCTTTCTCGTGAGGCGCGCCTCTGGGAGGAGGCCGCCAAAAACCCGCTGCCCAAGCAAGGGACAGCAACCGGTGCCAAAGCTACTGAGGTGTATGTGTACAATTACATGCAACTGGCCACCTGCAGCAGTGAGGACGGAAAGTTGATAGATGTGCACAAGAACACGCATGTGAGCAGTGGCGGAGGCTTCTTCGATCTCGACTGCCACCCTCTGGGAGAGGGCGGCGGCCACAAGCCAGATAATATAGCTCACCGAAAACCGAGCATGAGCCCCGCGGGGGTTTACAACCTATGGCGACACAGGCACCCACACTGATTGGCCACTACGAAGGAAAGGGAATGGCGTTGAACGTTGTTACTTCTGATTTGTGGCCAAAGTTCAAGCTGTTACCTCAAGAGCAAATAGCACACACTTTTTAATATTGTTATTAAGTAAGAAAGCCAAGTAAAAAAGCGAGCGACGTTCCCTTGTCCACCTCGGCGTTCTGTCTCAATCAGGAGAAGTGGCGCCATTCATACGACTGGTATGCAGAGAGGCATGATTTCTTGGCAGAGAAGTGGAAAACCGCAATCGGTGACAGGTTTGAGCCTGTGGAGAACTACCTCTCAGAAGCGTACAGCAAATTTTGGGATGGCCTACATCACCTCCGAAAGCTCACGTTAAGCTACTAGTCTGTCTTTAGTCTCTATCAATACTAGACTATCTTCTACTTATCCACCATGCGTCAGTCTTCAGTCTCATCTATCTACTTATGTATCTGCACCTGGTGTCTTCAGTCTCATCTATCTACTTATCTACTTATCTATTCATAATTTATGATCTGTCTTCAGTCTGATCTATCTACTTATCTATTTTAAACGCCATCTATATGACGGTCTGCACTGAACTGTGTCTGTGTGCGAGGTTTATTGTATTGCATTGCGTTGTCGTGATGTGATGTAGATGTAGTTCCTAGGATCGTCGACAACTCCGTGTAAATCTTGCTCGGCACCAGACAAATTATGCATGTTTCTTGAACTTGAACAAAGGCAGTCACTTATCTTGCTGTTATCAGAACGTTGGTCTCGTGGTCATTTGCTACAGTACGCGATTGTTATCATAACATGGCCCTCGTGATCATTGCCTACAGTACTACATGATCTTCCTCTAACAAGGAACGCAGAAGTTTATGGAAGAGGAAAGAAGGGGGAAACAGCAAAGGAAACGGCGCTCGGCGGTCCTGGCACCGCAGAGTTACGGGTCAACAGCATTTTTTTTCTTTTTACTCGAAAGCAGGAAGACTATAGAATTATCTACATCAGGGCCTACAGCTTGTTTTAGCTAATATTTTACTCGAGAACTGAAGATAAGCGGGATTTTTGACTGAAGTAAAAGTAGAATCTTGCCCACATTCCTCTTCGTTTTTCAGTGCCTCGCCTATTTTATTTATGTAGTTGCTACTCGGTTACGGTTACTGCAGTTCATCGAATATAGAGGATGAAAAATAACCGGCTAGGTTTCCACCCTCTATCCTACTTAGGTTTATCCCACCATGCCACTTCTGTGCATCGTGTCACAATCGTCGACCGGCTCTACCGATGACGCGAGGTGAGATGCTTGAGCATCTCAACGGGGCAGTCTGCCGCCCGATGCCCAAGCCTGGAGGCCTAGGGGCTGCAGCAGCTCAGGTGGCGGAGATCATGGATATGCAGTCTGAGAAGCGGAAGAGGATCGAGGTACTTCAACAAAGTGCTGGCCTTTTCGTGGCAGTCGGGGAGAGAGGTAGAGGTGGCAGGACCGGGCAAGAGCTAGCACTAGACGCATCTGCTGGAGCCCTTCTCAAACTAAGACGTCACTGCTGTAGCAGAGTACTCAGCACGCATGTCCAAGCCATGAGGAAGCACCGTGAGCAGCACCTTGAGCAGGACGCTATCAAGATATATAGGGTGAGGAGGTCTGGAATGCTTAGGCCCGAGCATCTCCAACCACTGCCAACAGGGGGACTCAATGGAGGAGCAGACGCGGCGGCGCACGGAGTAGAAATCCCCAAGGCAGCAAGATGCACCGGAGAGAGCGCAGGAGAAAAAGGAATCAAATGCAGGCACTGCGAAAAAGCAAAATGGAACTACAAAACGGCAAAAGTGCAAGCAAAAGCGATCGTAGTAGGGAAATGGCGGAAGCATGGGGAGAGATGTCGAGGAGGGCGAAGATAATTAACAATGCACACCCGTCAGTAAAAATGGCTGGGTATATCATCATCATCATCTCAACTACTACTCCACTACCTCGAGGCCCTTTTCAATCAACTGCAGGCTGTTCTTACTTGAATTAGTGTAGTCGCAAACGTACTCGTTGTGTATGAAGATGAACATCAAGAGGACGAGTGCTCTCAAACGTATGAAAACAGCGACGGGCTTTGTGTCTGAGTTCCGATACGTCGTTCCTTGGGGACAGACTAGCTCGGGAGGAAGCCCGGAGCCTCTACAGAAAAAACGCAACGTCTTTACAACTACGTACTAGAGCCTCTATTTTTCCTCTCCGGCCTCATTTGCGTTGTCTGAGAATCGAGCGCTTTTCACAAAGGAGCGCTCTCTTCTAGTTATTTCTTAATCCAAGAAGTATCAAAAAGTCCCGTGTAAAAGAAGTAGATTGTGAGCGCCGTTATTTCCTGATCTTCTAAAAAGATATAATCTGGCAAAAGCGCGTGCGCGAGAATTTTCGCTCGCGTCGCTCGTGATATTGAGGGAGAAACTGGGGCTGGGTGCCGCGATGCCGAAACGCGATGATCTGCTCTCAGACTCAGAAGGGTTTCCAGTGTAGATCATGAAGGCGATCATCTAGTATTAAGGCTACAAGGAATCCGTCTTCACTGTCATCCTGGGCCCGTTTTTAAAGGGAAAAGGAGACCACCCAAGACGCTGCTGCAGATGGATTGCGCTCAGTTCTAACGTCAAGGTTGACGGAAACGAGGATGGAGGAGGAGGGGATATGAGGCGGGAACGATCTACTCAGGTGGCTTATGATCGTTCTCAGTACTAGATGGTACTGGTGGAGGTGGTATCAAATACAAATACTTACAAGAAATTCCTTTTGTTGAGTCAAGAATTGACGAGAAGGGGGAGGGGAAATAGGCCGGGGGGGAAGTGGAGGGATGCAGGGTCGGGAGGCGGGTGACTTGGTTTCTTCTATCTCATCAAGAGGGTCAGGAGCGTGGCTTGATTGTGTTTTTTTTTCTATTTTGAAGGGACGAGGTGGAGAGAGGAACAAGAGGAAGAGGGGCCGTTTCGATTGGTGGGGGATCTTCTCGTGGTGTCACGAGAACGTGAGCTCTTGCACTGTCGTGATTTTGCACATTTTCTTGTGCTAGGTAATCATTTGTAGGCTGTACCCAAAAATCTTAAGTTGTAGAGGTGAGTTGCTAGCTGTTTGTAGGCGTTAACGGACGAGGACCAATTGATCCCAGTTGTAGTTTCATAATCGTAGAAGATTTATATATGTTCCAGGGGTAGAGGTCCCCCTCCGTAAGGGTCAGCGAACGCCCCCCGCGGTCCTACATAAGACGTCACGCCTTCCCCCCCCGGTATACTACTGAGGGGGTGCCCCGTCTTGGTTCGAGCGTCACGCGAAAAGCGTGACGCGTCACGCGAAAAGCGTGGCGCTTTTGTTGCATGTACCCTACAGACTTACTAGAGACAAGGCGTCACGCTTTTCGCGTGACGCTCAAGAAAGGGCCTGCAGATGAAGGCCCCGCCCTCAGATCATGAGGACCTTCGGGCCCTCAGCTGAAGTCTTTCCGATCCTGAGGACCCTCAAGGGAGAACCCTCACTCTGAGACAGAGGGCCCTCAGATGGGGCCCGTCTGATCAGGAGAGAGGACCTTCAAGGGAGAACCCTCACTCTGAGAGGGCTCCCAGATGAAGTCCTTCCGATCGTGAGGACCTTCAAGGGAGAGCCCTCAATCTGAATAGAGGACGCCCCGCTGAAGTCTTTCCGATCACGCGGACCCCCAAGGGAGAACCCTCACCCTGAGAGGGCCCTCAGATGAAGCTCTTCCGATCATGAGAGAGGACCTTCAAGGGAGAACCCTCACTCTGAGAGGGCTCCCAGATGAAGTCCTTTCGATCGTGAGGACCTCCTTCAAGGGAGGGCCCTCAATCTGAATAGAGGACATCCAGCGGAAGTCTTTCCGATCATGAGGACCCTCAAGGGAGAGCAGTCTGAGAGGGCTCCCGGGTGAAGTCTCTCCGATCATGAGAGGGGACCCTCAAGGGAGAACCCTCACTCTGAGAGGGCTCGCAGATGAAGTCCTTCCGATCATGAGGACCCGCAAGGGAGAGCCCTCAATCTGAATAGAGGGCACGCAGCTGAGGTCTTTCTGATCATGAGGACCCTCAAGGGAGAACCCTCACTCTGAAAGGGCCCCCAGATGAAGCTCTTCCGATCCTGAGAGAGGACCTTCAAGGGAGAACCCTCAGTCACTCTGAGAGGGCTCCCAGATGAAGTCCTTCCGATCATGAGGACCCTCAAGGGAGGGCCTTCCATCTGAATAGAGGCCATCCAGCTGAAGTCCTTCCGACCATGAGGACCCTCAAGGGAGAACCCTCACTCTGAGAGGGCCCTCCGATGAAGCTCTTCTGATCATGAGAGAGGAACTGCACGGGAGAACCCTCACCCTGGGTGGGTGTCTCTCAGTCGGCACGCCTGGCCTCGTCTCTCGCTCTCTCTCTTTCTAACACCGAAGCAAGCTAAGACACTACCGACAGCTGAGCGGCTCTCTGCTTGTCTTTATGATTCTGCGCGCCTTTTTGCATTCTGCGTGTCTTTTTGCGTGCTAGCATACTGCCAAAGCTGTCCACGCACACGCGACATGTGTGGCCCTTATCTTATGACGCACCTGACTTCCTCGGTCAGCGTCACGCTTACACACTGGCAAAGTAAGAGGCGCCTGATCTGCATTGGATTCCCATGCGTCACACTAGAGAACGCACGCGGAAAAGACATCCGACCCCGATGAGATTCCCACGCGTCACGCTAGGGCGCACATCGTCAAAAAGCACCCAGGCCCCATGAGGTTCCTACGCGTCACGCTAGAGAACGCATGGCGAAAAAATACCCAATCCCCCCGAGATTCATATGCGTCACGCTAGAGGCGTGCGGTGGCGCGTGACGATCCGCGGGGGGCGTTCGCTGAGTCTTACGGCCCCCCTCCCCCACCCCTGTGGATGGAGGGGCGGTGACGTCCGCGCGCCTTGTTTTCCGCGGTGGTGACATCTAAGGACTCCCTGGGGCGGAGGCCTCAAAAGGCGGGGCGGGAGGCTCCTGGCGGCTCTCCGCGTGTACCCCACAGGCGTCCCGGCTGGCTCTTGCACCTTATCAGCGTGGCGGCCTCCGAAGGCGGCCACGGTCGCGAGGCCTGGCGCCTTTGGCGCTCATCGCCCCAGTTGGTAGCTGCGTCTGCCGCCACCAAACGCCCGGGGGGTTGAGGGCCAAAGGTGAGGAGGATGGGGGGCAAGGCGTGCCCGCCTGGGTTTTGTCGGAGACATGCAGCACGGCGGAAGGGGTCAAGCCTTGCCACCTGCTGCCCTCGGACGCCTTCCACATCCCAAGGCGCTCCCCCAGTGAGGAGCCCGCGCCCGGGAGTTCTGTGGGGTACATGTGAAACGGCATGGGAGGTCTGTAGGGCACACGCGACACGGAAAGGGGGCCAAGAGGCCACCTGTGCCGCCTTCGGAAGCCTTCCACCCCCCCTCCCTTGGCCCCGGACCCCTGGAGCATATTTCTCAGGGGTGAAGGCCCCCTTATGTGGATGAAACGGCGGTTGCGTCAGCGCGCTCTTTTTTCCGCGGTGGTGACATGAACGGACTCCTGGGGGCGGCGGCCGCTTGGAGCCACGAGGCCGCGAAGGTGGGCGTTTGGAGGCCTTCCCCCCTGGCAGTCCCTCGGGGAAAAGGCTCTGGGGCTGGCGCCCTCCCTCAAAAATTTGCATCGGAGGGCGGCCTTGGGCCAAGGTTGTCCCTTGACCCCTGGGACATATCTTGATACTGATAGAAGGGGATATCAGTATCGTATCATTCATCATCCTAGAATAGATGAAAGGAGGCAGCGCATTGATATTGACGGAGTCCGACAAGTCGAGTTGAACAAGTTGATCATAAGATATCACAAGATTGTTAATCCGTGCGCCTCCTGTTCCTTCTATTGATGATAAGACTATTGAGAAAGTAGATGGAAAAGTTTTGGCTATCGATGTCGTAGTTTGTTTATGACGCACTTACTGGTTTTTTTTATTTTTTCGATATGAATTGAATCCGGAGCGGATCGAGGATGTAGCTGAAATTGAAGTATCAAAGTTGAGGTGATATGCTTATACCTTGTTGTACGTGTATCAAGAGCTGCATGGTATTTGACGTCACAACGAATTGTGTGCTGTGCCATTGAATCTCCTGCCATCAAAGTCGGCGGCAAAGTCCGGGTGCTTCGTCAGGAATTCATTTTTTCTTATCACCACCTTTATGCTAATATCAGGAAAAATTCATTTCTTGTTGTACATGTGTCAAGAGGTGCATGATGGTAATGATTAAGCAAGATCTTCTTTGCGGATACTTAGTTACAACCTCAAGCTAAAACATTGCTGAGTAGATGAACTAACTACGGAAATACGGAAGTGAAGTAGACCACCACAACCACCTCCGACAAATAAGAAATGAAGACAGTATCAGTAAGAATTTGACCTTAGAAAATTATACGACGAGGACCGGAAAAATCGGAAGTCAGAAGATTGGCATGATCTGTAACTAAAAGAAGTTGTATCTAATGTTCATGTTTAACTCCGTCTAAGTAGAAAAGTTGCATGATCAGGATCATTATGGAGAAGTTGAAAACGGAATTTTTGCGATCAATCTGAAAAAATATGAATCATAGTTGTTATACGTTGTACCAGTCGAAGTCGTCAGGTTACTTACGTTAGCTTAGATTTAGAACTCGATGTTTAGAATTACTTAGAAAGATAGTATTTTGAAGATGTTGCTCAGTGATGTAATTAGTTTTTTAAGAGCATTACATTTATTTTTTAGATAGTGTTTAGAAGATGTCGAATGAAGCACAAGACACAGGAGAAAGATGAAGGAGCAACACGAATCATCCGCTTAAGCATCTTCTTCACAAAAACGAGAAATACTGTCCAAAGCGACGAATTTTTGACATAACCAAGAGTGACTACTTGGCACAACTTGAAGAGAAAAATGTCCACCCAATAATTGTATCAAGATGAAGTAGGTGGTGATGTGTATTACACACAAGAGCTACTGTATCGAGAGGTTGTGAACAAGGCAGAGGACTCACCGGAGAAGGCTTGAAATTGAAAAAATTGGATCATGTCGTGGCGTGGTCGTGGACTAATGAGCAGGCACATGATTGTTGTATGGTTCTGAGCAGGCACATGATTGTTGTATGGTTCTGGTATTTGGTAACCTGATTTCGATCACAAGGATTCTCTTCTTGGTTTCCTCATGATCCAAATGAGGTTACCAAATACCCGAGCCATTCAATTGTGGAACAAGAGAGATGGAGGTGGCAGAGATGGAGGAGAGTGAGAGGTGGATATAGGAGATTGAGATAGGCATTTGACTCAAAAGAGGTAAGACTTAGAAAAAGGTATCTACTCGAAAATTGGAAATAACTGAGTTGCTGACCACTGAAATAAGGGAGGTCTTTCAGTTTATCGAATACATCTTCATCTTCATATAATCAACGCACACCCTGGAACATCAACAAAAGAACAACGATCCAAAAAGTAGAAACTGGTAGTAGTGCCTCCAGAGGATTTTCGTTTTCTTTTTTGGTATCCTAAGAGCTCTTCTCTGTTGTAGTGCTTTTTTAAAAGCTGCACGCCTGTGCGCACTGCGCAGTGAGAGCCGACATGAAATCCGAGACATCAAACAGGAAAGCGCGAAACTGCGGAAAATGCGACATAGTTCTTAAGATACAGCTGGACTAAGTTCGTAAAGTTAACATTTGCATGTTGATATAGGATTCCCCATCATTTTCTTTTAGAGGTGTGCTGCAAATCTTTTGGCGAAGGTTTAGGCCCTGCGGCGCTCAAAGCACTAAGTAAGGCAACCGGTTAGTTTTCACCTCGACAATATTAGGCTTATCCCGTGCAACAATAGATACCATATTTGTAGGGCAAGAAGTGCGCTTGTAGTACATGTAGTGCGAGATAATGAAGGAAGAAGAAAAGGAACAGTGGTCGATCTATAATTTAGTCTGCCAGAGACAGTTATAAATGTCAAAAAATATCTAAGGTAGTGGAGGCTTGAGGCTGAGGAAGGAGATGAAGATGATATCCTCTAGCGGCCGGATGCTGACCCTTGTTAACCGAGCTGCTGTGGTATTTTCCGCAGCATCCCTTTTAGTTTTAGGAGTCACCGTTGAGTTATGAGTGGCCGTTTCGCGTCGATCTCGATCTTCGTAGTTAGATTTGAGTAGATGGACAGGAAAAGAGAACTTGAAATAAATTTCTCTTCCTTTCTTGCCTCACCCCAATGTTTTAATTACCCCAAGAATGTTGGGTAAACTACTACCACTACTAAGATGTAGCTATATAAGTTGTAACAACAAGAATCTTCTTCATCATGATCAATGTCAACATGAATGGTTCCGGTATTTTTGGTATAGCCTCAATTTGATCATAAGGGAAAACAAGAAGAGAACCCTTAGGATCAAACTCAGGTTACCAAATAGTACCAGAACCATTATACACTTCCTAGTTAGCTTGGCTCCACCCGTATTATACACAACAAATACCAGAACCATACACAACAAAAATATTACTACAATTAACAATTTGAGCAGCAGACGTAACTCTTCTAACCAATGCGCTTGGGGAACCCATTGTGGATGCGAATGGGGTCACAAATAGTACAAAGATTATGATGTGTTGTAATTCAGGTTAGGCAAGAAGGAAATTTCCGTCAGAGATGAGACACAGACTCTGTTGTAATTCAGGTTAGGCCAGAAGAAGAGGATGGTGTAGTTGAAGAAGTTCAGTACTGATTGATTCTGGTGTTCAACATCAGTTTCAGTACCAGTTGTACACCTCTAAGGGAAACACAGAAGTAGAGGACGATGGCGTTCAAACGAGATCCGGCGGAGGTGTTGGAGGGTATTAAGGCAGAATTCAAAAAATATATTCATCTAGAAACACGTGATGTTTATTATTTTAAGTACGCAGCTGAGAAGCTCGTGTGGGATCGAAGCAGCGGCATCCTATGCTATCCTATCCGATTCTATCCTAGCCGATCCTATCCTATCCGATCCTATCCTAGCCGATCCTATCTTAGCCGATCCTATCCTATCCTATCCTATTTTTTTTTTGGCTCTTCAGTGAAGATTCTTTCGTTCGCTAAAGAATTTTTCGAGGTGGAGCCCGTCATACGCGTAGTTCTCCAGCAGAAGATCGAAGTGGTAGTGCTGCAGCAACTCGTGGGACTACAACTACAAAGGAGGTGGAAGAAGAAGCGACTATAACGCAGCAGCAGCTTACTCCAACATCAGGAGACGGAAAGTGCTTTCTATGATGACATGACTCCTTGTCCTTGAGAACGGAGAAAGTGAAAGTTTCGAGGATGCATCCACAACTTGAACTCTTCGACTTTATTCCTTACTAAGTATAATTTCTAAATCGACGGACAGTTGTCTACTTCTCAATCAGTTGCCTCAACATCTATGGTGAGGTGGTCCACCAAAGTGTCGGATACTTAAAATCTTCTAAGAAAAGCTTCAACAGGAGAAAATGGAGCTGGCAACGGTATTGATAACGTTCTACTAGTACTACTGACGAACAAAACTTACGATTCGCACACGCACTAGTTCCAAATTTAGTCTTTTTGAACTCCTGCTCTTGATTCATACAACTATCTTTCTTGGGAAGCTGATTTTGATTTTCATATTTAAAAGAAGACGAAGAGAACCGCTGTTGAGATCGAATTCAGTTTACCGATTACCAGAGAAATACTGTTATCAGGAGAAGCACGCGGATCGTTTACACAAGTAAACGAGCTTCTACAAGATCACGAAAGCAGGACGAGCAAATCAGCAGCTCATACCTTGATGACCCAAGCTGATATCGACCCAGAGTTGGAAAACTTGGATCGGTACACGAAGTTAAGAACATAAGTTTGAGTAAGTTTCATCTTCAAGTACTTATACAAGAAAAGTGAAAATAAAAATAAAGCGAGCAGCTAGATGAAATAACAGAGCAAAGAAATACAAGAAACTGAACAAACACAAAGCCAAGAAGGTACTAGACTTTTCTTGGAGATAACATGAGGCATCTCCTGGATCATGCTCTTCTAACTTAGAGTTTTGCGAAATTGCAAGAAGTAGTCCTGGGCAAGGCGACGCCAGAAATGATTCAATCTGTCGGTTATGGAACTATTGATAGAATGCACTGCTCATAATTTCTTGGGAGGTCAGTATGAACCCATGGCTATAGTTGTAAACATCTTCACTGCATAATTCTTGATTACTCGCCTATAGTACTAAACATCGCTGCATTCTTGATTACAACTGGCAACAGAACATTGACATGCTTTGGGGCAACAGAACACTGACCCACTTCTGAGCTGTGAAAGGTAGTTAACTAGTAGGGCCACTACTTCTACCACTATCATTTTGATCACAAGTGGTAGGAGTAGTGGTGGTACTACCCAGTAACGATACACCATCATCATTGTTAACTTATTCTGCATCTACTATCCTATAAGAGCTATCATTCGCTTATCCTGATCCTGCTGCATAAATGCTATTATTCAGTTATCCTGCTCCTGCTGCATAAATGCTATTATCCAGTTATCCTGCTCCTGCTGCATAAGAGGTACTGGGATTTTGAACGGCGCTTGGCGAGACGTCCTCCAAAACTGTTACAACTTGTTTTCTTCATCTAATCTGAAATGGAGATGGGTTTGGGACCCAATTCCCTTTTGAGTCCGAGAGACTCCGAAGTGCCGCCATACTACGATCGAAAATACTTGTTTTTCGTTATGGAGAAAAATGCATTGTTTGAACAAGATGAAGTAGATAACTTATACTCATCTCAGTTGAGTCGATGATTGTATCCAACCGGGAACCTCAGGTTCTTCATTCTTGCCACGTGATTCGTCAAGAGTGAGCCCCCTTCTTCCCCTTTGCAATGTTTGACTTACTCCTCGAATGGGTAACTACTGCATTCGATCACAGGGAAGATTCTCTTCTTATTTTCCAAAATGAAATCAAAATCTATAAATCTAAAGCTACCAAATACCAGAACCAGCATTCAATCTGTAGGTACATGATCGCAAGATGCTGAGAGTTCTATCTTCGTCGAAATTCGATAATGATAAATGGATAAAGAATCTTTAATGGATAACCACAGTCGTTGCCGTGCGTAAAAATGTATGTATGAGTGTGAGGATGAGTGTTGTTGATAGTTACCCTTTTCTCTTTTTTATCTTCCTCTGGTCTGTCTGTTTTCTAGTTAGGTCGGCTCCACCACAAATATGTATGAGTGTGAGGATGAGCAGTAACAATATATCTAAGAGGAGAACCTTTCTTCTAAGCTTCCAAAGTTTCAGCCGTTCTTGCGGCATCGACGACGCGTTGCCCGAAGGATGATGGAATTGTATTTCTTCTTCTTGCTTCTAGTAGTTCTCTTTCCCCTAGAGTGAATGGCTCTGGTATTTGGTAACCTGAATTTGATCATAAGGGAAAACAAGAAGAGAACCCTTGTGATCAAATTCAGGCTACCAAATACGAGAACCATACATAGAGGCTCTCTCGTCTAGTAGTTCTTGTACTTTTCAACAACCGTTGTAGAAGTAGTTCTTTTTAGGATGTTGTTCTTGAAGTTGTACTAGCAGAGTCACTCTCGACGAGTGAGATCATAATATATAGATACTTATCTTGGACGGGTGGGAGCAAATTCTATTTCGAGATCATCTAGTCACTCTCGAGATCACATTGAGAGATCCTCCATGTAGAAGCAAAGTTTTTCAATAAAAACACTCACTCCATGGCTTGCTTTTGTTTTTCTTTACCTTAGATCATGATCTCTATGAAGGACTACATTGGCTCACTTTCTTTAGATACATTAATTTACCTTAGATGTAGTAGATCAGCAGTCAGCACCTGATACATTTACCTTAGAAACTTGTACAACTAGACATGCAGTTGTCTCTCTTCAACACACACGACATATCGTAACATCAGAAACAAAATAAATCGCGAAGCGGCAGAATTTAGCGCCATGGAAAGGCTGGAACGGGCACAAAATGACCTCCGCGAACAACATATGGGTCGTCTTGGTATTGTCAAAAATTTCTACACTTTATTGCTTTTGACGCAGAACATATTACGTATGACGAAGCAGGAGTATGAGTTCTACTAGTACAGTTTGAAAATTTCTCCTCTTTCATCACTTGAGGATGAGGACTAAGAGTATTTTAGAGTTGTCTTGGAGTTGTCTTGGATGCTAGGGTTTGCTCTCTGGGGTCTCTCTGGGTTTAGGGTTTGGGTACCTCTGGTTACAAGCATAAAGCACACAAGCATTTGCGTCTACAAGCACAAAGTGTCCTCCTGTTGGTATTATCTCTAGAGTCGTCGTCTTGATAGCACGAGGACAACTTCCAGGACTACTTCTAGCACATCACTTCAATCAGGTGAGAAAAATGCAAATCTGAGGCGTGAAATCAAGATGCGTAAAATCGAAGCGTTGAGGAAGGAGAAGAAGTTATGCTTCATCTGGCATTGATACAACACTTCTTATAAATATAATAGAAGTGTAACAGCAAGAACAAGTACTTCAGAAATATATTAGAGCTAGAAGCTAGTATAGACGGGGGGACAGGTGGTCACGACCCCATGGGAGTTGACCGTTTAACTCCTATCCTATCGTACAAAAACGACTCTACTCATAATGAGTAGACTGCTCATTATAGTTTTCTTTTTTCTAACCTCTGCTCTCGTCGACGAACAAAGGGAAATATCAAAGAAGATAAGGAAGATTCGCCGACGTCGGTCTGAGCTGACAACCGCCGTCGCTGCACGGTCAGAGACGATTCGACCCAAAAAGATGCAGCCACTTTATGTTGTTCTTTCGATGTTGAACAGTATCTTCTTCCGCTCCTCGGTTATTTTTCAGTTCTATTCTCTAGTATGTACTTGTATTTCTGGAATGCTTCACAACTAGTATCTTCTAACTCCGTTAGTCACAGTTCTAATACGCGAGTAACCTATAGATGACTATCTACGTTGTCGTTGCATCAAGTTGCCCCTCACGGTATGGAAAAGTCTTCATCATTCATTCAGTCACTCCTGCTCCCTGGAGCGGGTGCATTCACTCACCCAGTCACTCCCTCCCTCACTCCCTCACTCATCCACTCGCTTCCCCTGGAGCGGGTGCGTTCACTCTCCCCCTCACTCCCCCACTTTCCTTGGAGTAAGCGCTTCTAATGTTTTGGTATGAATTCAGCGGGAAGAGGGGAGCTTATTGCCGCAGCGTTAGCAGGGAAAGAAGTAGGCACGAAAGATGAAAAAAACATCTATCGCCCTGGATTCAGTGACGCAAAACATGTAGCGGACGTTGTTATGAGATAGTACGAGCATCGACGTGGACAGTATCATAGGAGTAGTACTTATGAAAAGAAAATCTGTTATCATTATCAAGTTTCTGAAGTAGAAAAGTACGATAATGATAACAGATTTTGGCTTCATAGTACTAGTAGAAGATAGTCGTGGACAGTATCATAGAAGGAGCAGTACTAGTAGATAGTCGTGGACAGTATCATAGGAGTAGTACTAGTAGATAGTCGTGGACGGAGGCAAAGCTTCATACCATACATCACTAAACGACGCAAGGACGAGTAGACGACCAAAGATTATGATAGTGACTTCAAGAAAATGGAGTGCTTCAAAGAATTCATCCATTTTTTTTGAAACATGACCATGAGGGAGGTCGTTATTTTCACTTCTATCTTCAGAAATTTTCCCTACGGCTAAAGTAGGAAGAAAAAGCAACAATGAATAGTAGAAGTGTTGTTTTTAGGTCACGCGTCTCACCTCGTCAGGAAGCTGTAGCGACAGGTGTTCCTATTACGACCGTTAACAAGTAGGGTAGGCGTAGGCTGAAGGTGTGGCTGTGGTCCCTATTGCCGTTCGCTTTGCCTTTGTGAAGGCGGAAAGGCATTTTTTAGGGAAGGGCGTAAACGACTTACACCAAAAGCCTACCGCTGGCGCTGGCTTCTCGTCCAGTGATTGTATGCGCCAGGCGTGTCCTAGACAGTGCTGGGACAACAAGAAAAAAACACGTGGCACACAGAGAACGCTAGTCCACGTTTTGACTGAGAACTCTTCGACTACGTATATTTACATGCACAACATAACGAACTCTACTAGTACTACTTAGAAGACTTATAGTACAACATATACAACATAGCTCCTCATAGCCGCCTAGTATATGAAATTCTATATGTATCTATGTTAACTCTAGTGCATCATGTAGCTATATACATACTAGCCACCTATTGTACATGCACCTGCATAGCCACCTAAGACGAGTTATCTACTTCCGACATGAAGATAACTAGTACCTACGACTACGAGCAGCTATCTTCCGCTAAATTTTTCTGGACAATATCTGGCTCGGCCACGACGAGCTTTACAACCAAGCCCCTTGCTGAGGATGGCGATAACGCAGAAGTGCTCTCCGAGGTGTCCTTATGGTTTTACTTAACTCGAGATCGTGAGGTCTCATGAAGCACGTTGTAGGAGTAGTCTTCAATACGTAGTAAAGGTCAGCAGTCAGTGGTCACTGATTCTGAAAGAAAAATGCCCCATGCCTCTCGCTCTCCCCTTGTTTTCCCTTAGTTTTCCCCTGTTCTCTCAGGGTGTCTCCTCTTTGATGTCAGAGACCAACTCCAGTGACCGATGAAAGTCGAGCCCTAACTATGAGAGCGGAAGTAGTAGCGTAGGACTAGTCTTCTATAGATACAGCCACTCACTCAGGGCACATTCATTCACTCACTCAGACGCCGCGCTTCTAGAGGGCTGGCCAGTCTGTGTCAGTGGTAGTCTACTTAATAGTGCAGTGGAAGTAAAGCCTGTGCCTGTTGTAGAGTTAGTTTTATATTTCAGCATTATTTTCACAATTGAATTTGAGGCTCGTCAGAAAGAAACTTTTTGAGTTTCTCTCTCTGAAGTACTTTCCGATAAGGTGGAACATGACAACAACTAGCTGCACACCTTTTTCTTCTATGAGAGGTAGAGCCAGAGTGAAGAGATCATGGAGGCTCACACCCCCGAAGCTTCACCACTTGCTGCCAGTCCATACCCTTCTCCTAGATCATAGGCACCGCGACCACAGTATTGGCGGAAAAGTGATCATCATACTCGCAGGCACGATCAGATGTGCCCATCTGATCATGCCATGGGGCACGATCATGCATTTCTCTTCCGACTTGAACTCTGTCAACAAATAAGCTTAGCTGCTAAGAAGATTGCTTTTGCTACCCATGCTGAAGAAGATCCTTGCCTTCCCCTCGATAGTAGATAGGTCGAGATATCATGAGGCTGCAGCATGGCATCTGCATGGCATAGACAGATCATAGAGAACTGCTCTCGAGAACCTCGAAAGCATTTGAACATGATCCAGGTAGACAACTGCTCTCGAGAACCTCGAAAGCATTTGACGACTACTACTTCTACTATCCTCTATTAAGGGTAAGGCTAAAGGTGTTCTTGTGAGGACCGTTCGCTATGGGTCTTCGAAGGGAGACAGGCAAAACAAACGGGAGAAACGAACACCAAAAGCCTGCCCCAAACTCTATCGCCGTCCCTCTCTCTTCCTCTAATGTGACGAATGCGACGCGATTTTATTGGAGTATGCGCGAAGGCCTGTTTGGATTTAAACGGGTCAGACGAATTTCTGAAGCAAGCCGCGGGAAGCCGCGTGGAAGACGGGAAAGCTGTCCAGGAAGCAAACCTATGATATTAGAAACACCTCAATCTTCATGACATCAATAATTATACCATTAGTTCTTAGAATGGGCCATGTTGATGTGGTTATCATGATAGACCTTTGGAAAGGATGTATATTACTTAGAAGCTCTGTGTTGGATAGGTGGTACTAGAAATTGACCACCAGAGACGTATGATGATGATGATGATGATGATGATGCTGGCAGTCGGTATAGAAAGACTGCGTAAAAAGACTGGATAGAAGGACTGTATAGAAAGACTGCGTAAAAAGACTGGATAGAAGGACTGTATAGAAGGCTTCAAGCGAAAAGCTAGGTGACTGGCACTTCGGAGAAGAAGAGTACAATAGAAAGACTGTACATCAGTAGGTCGATAGGCACGACTGAAGTGTAGCAGAGAAAGGTGGCACCATAATATGCGCTACATGTTCTTCGTACTATGATTGTACTGGTGTCACAGGTGTCAATGGCCTCGACGAACGCTCACTCCCTCACAGGTGAGCTCACTCCTATCCTATCTTACTAGATAGGGCGTACTAGATAGTGGCGTGACTGATTTGTTCAGAAAAGCTGTATGAACGGGGGGAAGGGGCAACGCGTAGTCCTAGTATGGAAAAAACAAGTGATCAACAAGATATTAAAGATACTTTGATAGAGGAGCTCTGTCGTAGTTAGAGCGGGTCATCTGGATGAGTACTCTATTAGCATGAGAACATACGTCATAGACGAGGACGGAATAATGGAATACAAGACCTAGTAGCTGCTAATGCTATTGCTAAGAATAATGATAACGAAAGTCGTCAGGAGCACTCTTATACTTATTCCATGCACAACTGTGAAGAGGAGCAGAAGTTCAAAAAATAGAATGCGCGACGAACTATGGCCCTATCGGGCTTGAGCACTAGCCTAAACCCGCACGAGTGCAGGCTTAAACTGAATAACATGCCTCCACATCCTCACTTATCTTATCACACCGTCCTAATCTTGATGTTGATGCGGAACCTCTTCGAGGGGGTGCCTATATATCCTCACCTATCTTGTTATCACATCTAATCTTGCTACGGAACCTCTTCGAGGGGGCGCCTTTATATCCTCACCTATCTTGTTATCACATCTAATCTTGCTACGGAACCTCTTCGAGGAAGCCCCAGAGGGAAAGAAGAGAAAAGCTACGCGTGATCCCTTAGAAGCGCAATCTTTATGGCAACTTCTACTACTTCCTTAGGCGTGGTAGCGGAGTACTTCTGAAAATTGTTGGAAGTGGAAACGTTCTTCTTCTGGTCATCCTCTAACTTTTGCTTGCGATTATGCGGTGGCGAAGTTTACAGTGCAGCCATTGAATGCCGAGAACTCGATGTCCAAGAACGACGACAGGCCTACGGCAGCGGCACAATCCAAGGCCGTCGCCGAAGGAAAAGGGGCCGTCCCGTATGGCTGAGCTGGTTTGCGTGTTGCTGAGCTTGAGTCTTACTTTCTTGCATAAACGCGAAGGCGGGGGGGGCGGCAGGTGCGGTGGTTCTTGCGCGTTGTGCTTACTGTTGCACCTGGGGCTCTAGTGGGTTGGAGCTTACTTCTGTATTGATGCTTAATTATGATCTCTTGGGAACGAATCAGGGAAGAGCTGTGTTCTGTGCGAACTATCTAAGGCCCCGCTGAAAGCAAAGTGGCTGGCCCTGAGGCGTCCATAGATGCCGGACAAAGCTTGTCATCTGTGCCACGCAAATGACAACCTCAAGAGGAAGGCAACTGCTTCAGCCTACCTTTCGCGCGCTCACATTTCACGCCCCGTCCTTGTTTCGTGCCCTTTCTTTCGTCTTGCACTTCAACTGCCCAATGGCTAGAAGATTGTGGACTCCTGTGTATATTCTCGCGAGGTTTTATCTAACCGGGCTTGTTGGGTCGTGAACTTGAAGCAACCGGGTTGCCGACTGAAATGGGGGAGGTAGCTATAAGAGGCTACCCTTCCTTCCGTATCTCGGTTATTCGCTTGAACTACTCGCTTATTTCAGTTTTTCGTAAGACCGCAGGCAAAGTAAGACCCACTGAGGCTCACCCGCGTCCTCTTTTCATATACAGCCTGAAGGAGCAAGCTTTTTGTCGAGCATCCCTGGCTTTTTCTCCGCAGCTTTCAATGATGAGAGGGAGCAAGAGGACCCAGCCTCAAGCACGTGCGAGTTAGCGGCAGGATGTCTACTGTTAAGATTGGTCATAAGGTCGCGAAAGAACAGGAGGAGAGGCGCCGGCTATGATAATGTTGGAGCGGTAGACCCTAGTTTTTTTACTTTGCTGCAGTGGTCTCACTAGTGACTAGACTCAGCCAAGTCATCTCGTGATGACAAGTTAGTGACTGATGGGAAACTTCACACAGGAGCATACTCGCGAAGATGCGCTGCCCATTCAAGCAGCCACTTACTTAGTCAAGGCATGAAGATCTTCTGTGACTGCACAGAGCTCTTGAACTTCGTGAGAACCCATCAAGTTCTAGAGTGAACGGCGGTCAGGAGCTCGCTGCGCTAGCTCTAAAATCAGAAAAAGGCGCAAAGGGGATTAACATTAAGGCCACAAAAAATCCGCTTCCATCTTCTTGCCAATATCTTTCGGCTAACTTCTTCACATCAATATATTCTATCTTACTTCTGCTCTTTGAATGGTCATTCCCGCCGTACATCATGGATGTGCCCGCCGTTGGTTTCATCAGCATCTTTTTTGAGAAGAGACGAAAAGCACAAGTAGAGACCCGAGAAGCATAGTAGGCACCTACCTTATAACTAAAGGCTGTTCGTTGTACGAAGGTGCGGCATTATGTATTTGTGGGTCTTCATAACTACTCAGCTTTTTTCCACGATAGAGTATACATCTAGCTTCATTCTTCATCGCATACCCAAACGTACATTTATCTTTTCATGACATCAGTATTCAGTAGGCTCGTGCTCTATTGTGACGTGATTCGTTGAAGATGCCTTATTTGTAGATGAATGGCTCTGGTATTTGGTGGCCTGAATTTGATCCCAGGGATTCTTCTCTTGTTTTCCCTATGATCGAAATCAGGCTACCAAGTACCAGAGCAATACAGCAGATTACTTATCATCTGAGTAAACGGCAGCTGTTCGGTTCAAGTTCTTCTAAAAATCAGAAGAAAACGAGTGTGAAGGTTATCGAGGGTAAGTGCTTGCTGGGCAGAAAGCGCTTGTGGCCAATGAAGGCGGTGAGGAAGGAATGGAAGGGCGAGAAGGGGCGATCTCCTTCCAGGGGGGGGAAGCTGAGAAAAATTATGGAAAGACAGAAAGACTTTGTTTGTTTGAGAAGATGTAGCGTCCTTTGGCCTTCCACGGTCCACCTCATAATTATGGAAACACAGACCTCGGAAAGAACATAGACCGCCACATCTTCGAGTAGCCTACTTATTCATCACGACGCCTTCAGGCTCATCCTCATCGTACTTTCGCACGAGTGGCCTTCATCGTGCTAGAAAGGTAGCACTAGTACCTATAGCCTCATGATGTAGAAAGGCTGTAGCAAAGGAGAGAGCGAAGAAAAGAGCAAATGGGTTCCATGCTTGCTTTGCTGATGGATATCCTACTCGTGCTTTCATTTTGTTCGTTGATGAAACAGAAAAGGCATTGTACAACTTTGGTTGCCGGGTTCCGCAGGATCGGAAAGTTAAGAAGATTCCAAAAAAAAGTTGGTATATAAAAATCTCCTTATGCTTATATATAGATGGTAGACCACGAGGCGTCGTCAGATGTTGACAGTCAAGGAGGGTTGTTAGGGACTTCAGGTTCTTAGTTGATTCACAGATGAGTGGTTCGTTCATTCGGGTTCTAGTACTTATTTGCTAGCAGTTGAAAGGGGTTAGCAGGGGGGTTCGTTTGTTAGGTCGTCTTTGATCAAAATTCTATACAAAGATTAGGGTGGTCTATACGAGTACTACAGTAAGTAGTTGTATCTAGACTATAGTATGGTGATAATCCTGAGAAGTGTTTCGATCAAAATCCTGTAGTACAACTGGTGGCCGCGAGGCTATGCCTTTCCTTGAATAATCACCAGTCAAAAATCTGTCATCACACACCATTGTCTTAGAAAGGGTATACTCTGAAAGGAGCGTCTAAGAGTGCGGGACTCGAGTTTGAATCGGCACAACAAGGACCAGAACAACAACCCGTGCCCGACAGAGTCCTCCAAGTATGGCCCTTTGCTGCTGTTGAGTCCAATCATTGGACTTGACTCCAATCTAGTTTCTTCTTAACTACATCTCTAGTTGTACATGGGTAAAAATGATATACCAGAGTAGTTTATAGCACGCGTGGCGCATGGAGTAGCATGGAGTGCATGGAGCGCAGAGCTTTAAGGGGCGCAAGAAGCTCCCCCTTTAGCTCCATGCTACTCCATGCGATCCATGCACTTCATGACATGCGAGCTGTGGCACCTTATAAATTGCTCCCTTATGCTAGATGATAAGTACTACGGGAAGATTATAGAAAGAATGCTACTAGATAAAACTGATAGACACTGACTATACATTTAGATATCCTACCTTGCTTCTTTCTCGTCATCTATTAAGGAGGTTCATACACTTCCCGCGTGTTTTGTGCACTCTTCTTTCTGCTTCAAAGCTTATTTAAGAGGTTAGCTCTAGAAGTGGTCCCTTCATCTTCAAGAACCAAAAACGTGAAAGATATCTTGTGATATTCGTTCCACTCATTCTGTAAGACTTGTTCTGCTTTTTGTCGCCGCTGTGCGTGTAGACCTTGCAAAGGCGCCCTATCCCATCCCCAGGGATGCGAGTGGTTTGCCTAAGACTCTTGCTCTCTGTGCGATATTCATTGCATTGTACTGTCAGCACCTCGTGTGAGAAAGGCTTAGCAGAGGCGCCCTTCCCTATCCTACCCTATCCTACCCTATCCTACCCTATCCTACCCTATCCTACCCTATCCTACCCTATCCTATCCCATGCTAGGTTAGTCCTCCCTCCAGTCACGTTGCGTTGTATTGTATCTCTTGGATTGCATTGCGTTGTGCTATTGTACTCGAATGTATTGCATTGCATTGTATAGTTGTGTATGCTTCCGGTATTTGGTAACCTAAATTTGATCATAAGGGAAAACAAGAAGAGAACCCTTAGGATGAAATTCAGGTTACCAAATACCAGAACCATACAAGTTGCATTGTGTTGCATTGTCGTGCTGTATCGAGTATTGCATTGCGCATTGCACTGCGTTGTATCGTATGGTGCAGCACTCTAATCCGAGCTATCGGCCATGAGGAGATGGAGGAGGAAAAATCGTACCTGCGCGGTAGGATTATGGCCACGTCGAGCATCTCTTCAACTACTACTTTGGTGCTGGTGCTAATATTACTAACACTAACAGTAGGCACAACCACAACTACTTAGAAGGTTATATTAGAGTAGTCCGCTTTTCGAGTTACGGGTTGCTCGAGTTCTCTCGAGTTGCCACGAGTTGCCGAAACTCACACGCCCAGTCCGGAGCGAGTTGCTAACGAGTTCCTCTCGGCAGCTTGCCACTTTGAAAGCGCAGCACCCCGCGGCGGTATGGCGGGCCAAGATGCCGCGGAGTTCAGGGGGAAGCTCGTGGCCAGTTGTTTCGTGGCAGATCTGTCGTTTGTATTAAAGAGACACGCCCCGGCCGAGCTCTTCGGGGCTTGGGCTTAGCGAAAGTATGAAGGCGAGCCCGGGGCCACCTTTTTGGTTTGAGTGGCGCGCGCGCAAGCCTTGTGAAGTGCAGCGATTTCCTCGCGGTGTCGGTGTCTCTGCATGGTCGTGCGCTGATGTCGGTCGCGATCTGGCTCTGTTTTTTTTGCTGGTGAGTGGCCATCTTGTTCGGCTTCTTGGGGCCCCTGTTTGCGCTGTAGTGGGCTTACTGAGTAGCGCGCCGCCTAGTGGGTAGCGGTAGCATCACAAGCAGGGCCCCCCTGAGCAGTGTAGATGCACCGGGATCGGATTGGAGTAGGTTTATTTGTGTGCTTGTTTTATAGGGCAGCAGCTATACCAGGCAGGCGCGCTATCTTAGTAACACAAAACTACGAGGGCAGGGCCCTGGGTGGCGTTGCTCTTGTCTGCCCCGCGCATGCAGCGCCTCGCAGAGAATTGAGGGCGCTACTGGAGGCGTTCGCTTGTGAAGGTGGTTTGCGCCCCTGGGCAACGTGTTTGACGCTTCGAAGATAGTGCGCCCGAAGGGCGCAGCGAAAATTTTTTTGGTATGAAACTCGTTCAACTCGAGCAACTCGAGCAACTCGGCCCGATATCGGGCGCAAAAAGTCTAGCTCTATTATATGTATCTATAAAGGTTGTAGGTACTTCTAGAAGAAGATCAATTATGGATGCCATCAAACGATGACGCTCAGACAAGTGGACAAGTCGCAAAAATGGTAACAGTAGGTGTACTAGATTATATAGATGACCTAAAAAAGATATATGTGATATATGTGAGTTCAAGGACCATGGGTGACGAGTGGGTCCTCGTAGGATGTCCTTGATCTTTGTTGCCGTTCATCTATGACAAAGATGGACAGTAGCGGCTGCGACTGCGTCTACAGCAATCATCTCTTTTATCAATCTGATAGGCCGCATACTACAACCGCATGGAGAAGCGTTGAGTGCATGGAGCGCAGATCCATACTAAGGGACGCAAGAGCCGCCCCCTTTTTTAGCTCCATGCACCGCATGCCGTGCGTGTTTTTTTTCTCTCCAAGAAGGACCTACTACTAGTTGCACTTACAATTGATACTACTTCAAGAAGAACAGGGCTGTGGCTGGGCCCTTCCTTTTAGTTAGGTTGCGTTTCCTCTTTCGTTAGTTTTCTAATAAGATAGGACTAGAATGATTTGAGGACCCCGATCCGGTTGACCTCTTCCATTTTCGAATAAGATTGGACCAATGCGGTTGACCTCTTCCATTTTCTAATAAGATAGGACTAGAATTTGAGGACCCCGATCCGGTTGACACGAGCTACGTTCCCCCGAGCTGGGTTGAGGGAGATGCGGAGGAGGACGGTGGCGAGTACTCTCTTAGGGTTGAAGTTTCTGAAAGAAGTTGTCAGCTATTATTCTGGCACTAAGTAGAGCAGCTGGCTCGTTTTCTCTCTTGCTTTAGGTGTGTCCCTTCGATCGTGCAATACTATTGATCTTCCCCATTCATAATGTTCTATCTTGTTTTTGAATTGTATGATAAGAAGTGTATCCTTGTACTCCTCGAGTTGTCCTCTTAGGTGAGATTTGTGGGATGCGTAGTGGCTTCTTTGCAGGTCTTTGGCTTGGGTTGGAGATGTACAACATCAGTTGATCCTTGATTATCACTCTTCCCTTTCTTCTGCTACCTCACACGCATTGATAATCGCTTGTGGCTTATCTATCATCTGCTTCGCTGGGGAGATCGGAGATTGATGGCATTGCTTAGAGCTTCGACGTTCGTGCAGTTTATTCACTAGCTTCGAGCTTTTTACTTTTCTTCAATCATGAGGTAGAGGCGTTCGCTTGCGGTTCTAATTATATCAATCATAAGAATTGTGACGTTGATAGTAGATCTTCTTTTTTCGTCATCTCCGCAGCTTCAGAAGAACTCCTTCGCCCCCTCTCTCTCTCTCATGTCTTCAGGATTCTTTCTGCTGAGCAGATACTTTCCTTCTACTATTTTTGTCAGGAGATAACCCCCTTGACTACACTCAAGTGTTGGCCTTCAATACTACAGGAGTCGCGAATTCTAATGAGAATAAGATCAGACAACTGCAGACGATCGAATGTCCCTGGTGGAAGCAGGACGTGGATCCAGCAACTGCCAAGCCCTTGCTGCGAGGTGATGTGCCCGCTCTCACGGCTGGGACTTCTGTTGAAGGAACTACACCTGGGGGATTGCAGACTCTCAGTAATATCAATATGTTAAGGCAACCGTTAGACCATCCTCAACACCATCCCTGACACATTTTCTAAATAGTTTATCTTTAATTTTTTCGGATTTATGTGGAATTTATGTTTACCTGATGTGAAAATATGAATAATTTGTATGATTTTTTTTCTAAAAATCAAATTAAAATGAAAAGTATTTTTTGAAAGATTCTCATAAGCTGCAGGGAGTAGTGGAGGGGGCAGTGGGATAGGAGTACTAGCAGCGAATTATCAGCGGAAACAGATGGGTGCGGAGTTTAGTGCATGTGATGGACAGAACCATTCCAGGAGCGTAGACTCTTGGACGCCAGGGCGCTGCATAGATGGCTTTACCTTGCGTGAGCGGCTGTCCATGGCAGGGCTTTCCGAGTGTGGGACTGATGATTTTAGAAGACGAAGCTGCAAGAGACTGCCAAGGGGATGAGGAGGTGATCGCATTTATATGCAAACCAACAATTTGAGTTACTCTGAAAGTTAAGACTCTACACCTTTTAAAGAGATGCTAGTCGTGCTAGGGTTTTAGTGAATGTGTTTTATGTCTAGTTACTTGGACTAATATGCAGGACTTGGTGACCTTTCCGCTATGAGTAAACGACCACTGTCAGCATTGCGGGCGAAAGCTTCGCGATTAAGCGAGGTCTTCACGATATCCAAGGGCGTTTCGACTTCGACTTGACCCGTGTAGAAGGGCGGAGTGCTGGAAAGTGGCACGAGAAAAGAATGCCGCGTCTGCCCCTTGTTTCGAAGAGAATGAAGGCGATGTAATTTGTTGGGAGATTCTGGAGCAACGACAGATCAGCTTGAAGTAGTTGGGGGTGGATCTAGCAGCTTGCTGATGGGCAAGTAATCTGGCTGGCACATGGGAGCAACCACCGATATGCACAGCCAGGAAGCACACAGCAAAGAGGTGGTTAGTACTGATGGTTTACGGTTTTCGCGATGGCTGAAACATCAGGACTTGTTTGCTGTTGTGTGCATGTGTCGGCCATTCAGCAGCCGGACCAGAGAGGAGTACTGGAGGCCTGGAGAAGTCACCTGGTAAGGCTGTGGGTATGGCATCAGTAGCGGCATGCAGGAAGGAACGCTCTTTGATCAATAAGCATTGCAGGATCGTTGTTTAGATTTGTTCATCATGTCCCTTCTGCATGCTGGTCAATATTATGTCGCGCGGATCTGTAGGGCGAAGTAGTGCGTCGCTGCTGCGGGATCCGATGGCAGTGCGCAGCAGCCTTTGAAACGGACGTGCTTGGATTTCGGACGTTCTGTTCTACATCCTGACCACTCTCTCAGAGGCAACGGATCGACCAGTCAAGTCAACTGGCGACGAGGGGCCAGCATTCAGAGCCGGAGTGGACGTATTCTTTTGGCAATATGCTGATAATACTACAACTGCGCGGAGGTGTTTCTGACGACTAAAGGATGCCAGCTGTCATTTGCGATTCCGATCAGATCCCAGCATGTAGTAGTAGGACTTCACGCAGGCGCTGGCTGATGGGCATGAAGTGATGAGCTGTAAACGAATGATAGTGGATGCGGTGGGCCAGGTTCTGCAGAGCATATCGCACGGTTATTGACGGATGGAGCTTTCACGAGTTTGCGTTGATCTGTTTTCATAGTGGGCTACGATGATGCTTTTATCTGATTTGTTAACAAGCTTAGCGCCGTCGGCTGAATTGGCCGGAGTTACAATAGTTGGCCAGCAGAATCGAGGTTAAATTTCCACGAGAGGCGATGTTGCAGCGAGGCAACGCCGTGGATAAGACGAGACGGGGCACGTCGAGATGCTTGTTTGCTCTCGGAGCTCTAGGTGCAGCCAATCCAGCTGCTCGCCTAAGGCGTTGGTCAGGCGGAAAAGGAGGCTCGTGCACGAACGTGCAGCGGTTGCAAGATGGGCACTGAGACAGATCTAGAAGCAGTCGTGTGTCAATACACATGGCAGCCGAAGGCAGAGCAAGACCAAGACCGGGAGCAGTGATCTTATGGCTAAGGTTGCACTTTGGCAGTTGGCTACTCAACTTCTGATGGGGATTTAGAATATTTAGATGAACTTTGTAACTATACGAGGGAGAATAGGGATCGGGTCCGCAGCGTTGGTCTTGAATTTGATGGGGGTGTTTTCTATAAACCAGCGGACGCCTCAGTATCTATCAGTAGAAAAGTCGACAATGTGAATAGTCATTCATAGTTGGCGTTGCCTCTCATTTTTGCGAACTTGGACAGCGACTGGCCCGTGGAAAGAAGGGGTCGGCACAGAAGGGACGAAGGAGGACTTGCGGCTGAATCGAGGAGCAGCGATGGCAGAGTCTAGAGCTTCATCTAATGAACTTAACCAGACTGGGATGGGACATCATGCACTGGCTAATATACATGTTTAGCTGAACTTCTCTTGTCAGGATACCAGTGCCTTGCTCTGAATTGATAGGAATGTTTGAAACGTTTGTGGATATTGGCAGAAAGTCACGCATGTCTGGCCTAGATAGGAAAAGCACAATCGGAATTGTCTAACTTCTTGATCTGTCCATGTATGACAGACGGCAGCTTTAGAGCTGGCAGCAGGTGTCTGAATGGATGGACGTGTAGTCCTGAATCTGTTTCACAAAAGCCCATGAGTCTCGGTTTTTGTTACTTTTTTTCTCATCTGAATCTGCAAAATGGCCTAGATCACAAAAACGAGTGATGTTTTTTGTGACATCCGATAGCGTTGTATGATAGTCTTTTTTTCAACAGATTGGGTCTCTTCTACAGATTTGCAAAGTCTCAATATAGTTCCATATGTGTTATAGTGTGCTTGAAATTGAGACTGAACTTGAGCTCATCAATCCATCATGATAAATTATATGTAAAAGTTACGTTTTTTCTTGGATTCTGAACACTCATTACTTGTTAATGCTCATATTTGGCTACATTTGCTTCCTTCTTCTTCTTCAATCAAAACGGGATAGTCATTGGGACACTCAGAGAGATACAACTTTCCAACCGCAAGACTTTGATCCTCGCGATCTCTACAACGATCAAACAAAATGGTGGCTCGAGGCAATATCATTGTTTCTAAAGAGGAGGCCATGAATCGCTCCAACACGAGCAACAGCACTTTGCAAGGACCGAATAACGGTCCTTGCGCGAAGTCTGTCGTTCAGTTGAACACTGGCATCTTGACCAAAGCGGTCAAGGTTGCCATGCAGGACCTGAAGGACGTACTACATATTAAACCTTTGACATTTGGTGCTTGGTTAGCTATAATGTCTTAAATTTAGACTTTTTAGATTGAAACAGAAAACAGGAGTACACTTGCTTGATACGTCGTCACAACACCCTGACCATCTGGATTCACAGTAGAGGTTTCATCATGGATAGATTGTAACTGATTTAGTTCCTTGTATTATGTTTCATTGTAGACCGTCAATGTACGCTATAACCAGTAGAAGGCGTCATCATGTAGCTGGTTGGTTACTGTATAGAGTTCCCATGTCACTCAGTATATCCCTATCCTATAATCACACACCAGGAAGCCGACATCGCGGAAGTCTGTCCGACGAGGGCCATGAAAGGCTATGCCTTGGCCCGCATCGCGAAATGGCCTACCAGCCGCCAACTATCTGGGTTCGTACCCAACGGCGCTACGTTATTGGGTGTGATCCACAGCTGCACGGGGAAGGTGCATGAGGGCTACCCGGAAGCTTGGGCCGCGGTATTGAAGAGATCTGAATGATGTGTGATGGATAGTGATGATGAAAGATGGCACAGTGAACAGGTGGGTAACCTCTGTTGCACTGAAAGTGTCTCGCCGATGGATTCATCAGCTTGAGACAGAGCTCGAAGCTCAGAATCTGTAAAACTGAACGCTAGACCAAACACTGAAAGATTGACATTGAAGATCAGTGGCATTCTTCACGGGTGATTATCTTGCAGTAGAGACTCACCATGGTGAAACTCCTGCTCACGAGATTGCATCTACTCTTCATTCATCACTCACACAGGTCGTGAAGTGGGCCGCAGAGAATGGAAACTCTTCGGAGGAAACCTTGTGGTTTGAATGGTTCAAGCAAGTCTGCAAGAATGGAGAGCCCGATGATGATCGTGTTGGTGGTGATGAGATCGAGGAGCGCTGGCAAGAGTTCAAGTCGACCAATGCTGGTCGTCTTGTTGAGGAGCAAATTCCTGGATACACAGGCCGTTCTCCCGGACCTTGTACTTCTTTATAGCCATCTTATTGAATGAAGTTTAGGCATCAGAAATCAGATACATCATGTCAGAGTGAAACGTTGCGGATATGTTGAAGTGCCTGTTCTCTCATTCTCTCCTGCGCGTCTGCTTGTTACAATGTCATCTTCCTCTTCCTCAGCCGCTCTGGGTCGTTATGGAGCAGGAGCGATGCGTGCGCGCACTCGTCGCGCAGGACCGGCACGAATGCATCGTCGTCGCACTCGACCGGCACGCCGAAGCGTTGCTCGTGCCCGGTGGTCGCAACGTGGCGGCAGGGCTCGCCGCAGCCGTCGACAGGAATCGGAACGCGCCGTGGAGGGCCTGAGTGGTAATGTTGATCTTTGAATATCGAGTGTATGAATCTGTGATCTCAAGTTTCTGTTCGGCCACGTTTCTGTCTAGCATATCCTTTCTTCTATGACCGTAAGCAAACATACAGATTACTCTTGGTCTTCCGCTGAAGACATGGACGACGAGTTTTCCGATTTTGACGACGATATGAATGACGACGATGAGAGTCCCCGTGGCCGTCCTAAGCGCCGCCGTGTTTCTGGAAGTCCAAGCCAGGCCTATCCATCTTCGCACGTTCGTCCTTCGGCATCTCGCCGCACTTCCACGGCAGCTCGCAGCAGCCGTCCTGCTGGTATTTCCTTATCTGGTTTGGATGATACAACAACAAGTTCATGAAAAGTGTTCAAACGTGAATGAAGATTCTTTTCTCTAAACGTCGTTCCATCTCTGATCTATCATATCGCTCATTGCACCATCTAAAGGCTCTTCGGCGTCGCGTGTCAATACTGGTCGTCGTTCTTCCCGCTTTCCGGTGCGTCGTGGTTCGAAGAAGACACGCTCCGTCAAGAAGAACGAGCGCAAGCACAAACGTGCTGGTCACTCGAAGAAGCGTCCTGTTGGACGTCCGATGAAGAAGCGTCCGGTTGGACGCCCGTCCAAGACTACCGCCAAACGCGCTCCGAAGCGCACGAACTCCACGAAGACCGATGACGCCATGGGCTCGGAAGCCCCGAAGAAGGGAGACGAACCTTCCAAGCCAGCATCCGGAAATGTGCCTCCACCTGGTAAGGAGAATGCGCCGCAGATGAAGACACCTTCCGGACGCAAGAAGGGTGCTGCTTCGCCCAGTGCGCCTGGACGCGATGAGCCAGAGCCGTCTCCACCGATCATTCCGGCCGGGGAGGAGAAGTGGTCGCCACCGCTACCGGGTTCGGTTCTGTTCGGCAAGGAGAATGAACCGTTCATCCCCGGACGAGCGCGATCCAGCACAGATGTACCACAGCCGCCGAACCAGCACCGTCCGGGTGGTGCTGCCGCCTCGTCCTCGAATCCGCAGCAAGCACAGAAAGGTGCTGGAAAGCGAGCTGCTCCGAAGCCGAAAGCGAAGACCCGCGTTCGCAACGCACCTCGCGGTCAGAACCGGGACCAACGACGATCCGGATTGGTCGACGAGCCGAGCCAGATCAGCGAAGGCACCCTGAGTTCGGACGACGTGGCCGAAGACTGCGATGATACGGATGATGAGGAGGATCCGAATGACACGTACTCTGATCTCGACGGGTTCGTCATCGATGAAGAGGATGCAACCGACTCGGACGACATCACCATCACGACGAGCGAAGACGAGTATACCGGTTCGGACTCGGAGATGGAGGATGTTGAGCAGCAGTAGACGGCTCGGTATGTCGATGTTGCGGTAGGCGAGGCACGGAGATCCTGACATGCAGACTCAACGTGAAGGGCGCACACAAGAAGGTCGTATTGGAGATTTGGATCTAAGTCACGAAGAGGGGAGGAAAGTTGTTTCACTCTAGCACTTGGGAGAGTCGCTGAATACATCGTGCAATATATCCACATGTAAAGTTAGTAGTATTTTTTGGATTGAGCACAGTCTTTTTTGCACAGCGACAGTGCCATATGTACCACTGAAGTGCTGCAATGTACAGAATTTTGCTGTCTTTCTGAAAGACCACACATGGGTGCAGCAGTGGTTGGGTGTCCCAGACATAAAATGCACTTTTTTTTGGAAAGTCAGGACCTCTCACGAAAGTAAAAGTAAGTATGTCATAGAGAGGTCCTGACATGTACAGATTATTGGATTTAGAAAACGAGGACGAGCAGTGGAGCCAGATGAGGACGTGTGTTCATCAGCTGTTCTTTCCTGAAAGGTGACGAGCGACGAGAGCAATTGAGTGCTTTTTTCTGAAGATTGATGGTTGTTGCGATTCCTAAAAAAATCTAAATAATCTAAAAAAGCTAAAAATGTTACTTGTAATTCACCTGTATTTCACCTGTATTTCACCTTATAAAACCTCTTATTTACTCTATACGAAAGCAGTGACGCGAGACATCAACTTTGCACCCTTTTTCCCCAAAAGTGGCCTGTATTTCACGTGTATTTGACTTAGTTGAAATATAGGTAAAATACAAGACCAGGTGAAGATTAATCTATTCTCAAATCAAAAAATGGACGAAATCGATCCCGACGAACTTTTCAACTTGGATCCGCCTCAGCCGGATCCAATGTCCGACATCATCCGTGTCGAGTCGAAGCGTGACACGTCTCTGAATTTCGAGCTTCTTGCGACTCGAAGCGGCAACGTACTTTGCGTCGATGTAGATTTCTACCTTTTAGGTGGAGCTCTTGCAGACGTGATCGACTTTCGTCTACACAGCCGCGATGCGTTTCTGGTGGATGCGACGGATCCAGACGAGCCAAGCGGTCAGGCCTGGCGTCGCAAAGGCAAATGCAACGAACTTGTCCTCTCCTTGTTCAGCAAGCAGGTGATCAACGATCCGAACATTCGATACTACGCACGGTCTTGCACGACGAACAAGATCCTCAGTCAGGACTTTGTCGAGGTCGTTCCGGAATCGGAACGCATGCCAGACTTGATGCCGGTTTACGAACTACTCTTGCTGTTTCAAGCTCGACTCAAGTCGGCGCGACGAGGGCGGTTGGCGTTTGAGCGGGATTGCGGTTACACAGTCGAAGACCTTGGCTTGTGCTATGCTGGCGTTTTGTTGGAAGTGTTTTACACACATGGAATCGACATGATGTTGACGGACAGGGTTTCGCTATCGCGCAAGGTGAAGGTCGCATACGTGGAGGAACTTCTCTACGACCAAGAAAACAAGCTATCGGCGCAAGGTAATAGGCATTTGAGATACAACATATGTCATAGGTCTCTTGTATTTGACTTGTATTTGACCTGTATTTGACCTGTAGGAGTCTTCATCATATCGCGTTTTCATCATCTTGCAATATTTTCAGAATTTTAGATTATTTAGATTTTTATAACATGAAGATGAATAAATCTAAAAAATCTAAAAAGTGAGGTCTTTTCTAGGTCAGTTTCGTGTTTCATAAGAGTCCGAAGATCTTGCTCACCACCTTCAAAAGTAACATAGAAACCCAACTCCAGACCCGTACTCTAAATAATCTAAATTTTCTAAACAATCAAAAACATTGCAACTCCTGTGACGGATCCTTTATCTTAGAAGACCGTAGGGGAAGGGATGACACGACTCGACTGAAGACCATGCTGTAGTGATTCTACGGTGTGCGTCTACTCAATTCCGGAATCTTGCTGTCTGATCCCCGGCCCCTCTTCATCGTTCTTGCGTTGAGAATAATAGTCAACTTTACTAGTCAACATTTGGGTGACAAGAGATGGCCAAATACAGGTGAAATACAGGTCAATTATTGAGTTTAGGTGAAATACAGGTCAAATACAAGTCAACTGCAAGGTCAAATACAGGTGAAAAATCTAGTGAAAGTTTTGGTCGATGATGAGGCTCCATCGAGTACTGACATTCACAACTGGACTGCTCCGGTTGTGAAGAAACGTCAACTCTCTTGCAAGACTTCTGAGATTTTCATGTAAATATAGTGGCAATTCTATTGTTCTCTCTGTGAGTAGTTTTCAAATGTATTTCCACATCATGAATTTCCCAAATTTTTCATTCAAATGAAACACTCTCACACGATCTCAAAAACAAACCAGGTAGTCTACAAGTGAGCGAGTTGCCGAAAAGAATGGGACCTACGCAGTTTCTGGCGATTTGCTTGGAGTATGGACACTCTAGCTTCCTACGCATCATCGCTGATTCGTTATCTGTGGAATACGAGAAGCTTCTACTCGAGACAGGGATGCCCATGGAGTCAGGTGCTAACTTTCTATTTCGAAGTTGTTCTTGAGTTGAAGAATACAAGTGAAATATAGGTGAAATACAGGTGAAATACAGGTGAAATATAGGTTAATTGTGATTATTGTCTTCTTGTTCTTGGTGATCAAATAGCAAGCTTCTCAACTTACTGAATGCTAAGACCTAGTCTTGTTCTGTTACTCATCTGGAGTTGTTTAGTCGTTGAGCATTTGCGTGACGTGTATCAAGACCCTTATAATGTCGTAGCGATAAACTTACTCTCCAAATTGAATTTTATTAGCTTTTCAATTTCAAAACGTAAAATTTTGTTTTTATTCATTGAGTGGAAAACTTAAATTGTGACGATCGCGAACGAATACACGCTTTGTCAGCCATGATCTGGATGAGAGACATCACGCTTACTACACATTTTCGCTTGAAGCCCCATCTTATTCCATGAAGTCTGGTGTAGCCTATTGCCCTCTCATGTACAAACTTACCATCTACTCCAGGTTGGAAGCGATGCAGACGAGCGGAGTACGCTACGCGTGTACCAGTAACGGGCGTTCAACCAATTCCACCTGGGCAGCAGGTCACCACTTTCCAGGACAAGATTGCGGTCCTCGCGACAGAGGATGGGCATCATTCTACGCGTACGCGAGCACGAGGGAATCTTCTGTGGGGTCATCTGGTAACGTTATTGACCTTGAAGGTGAAGAGCATGGACGAGGAGCACAGCGATCCTTCTAATCCAATCGGTCTTGCCATGGATGGTGTAACTATCGGAGGAAGGAAGTTCAAGAACGTGAGGATTCGAGGGGACTGGTTTCACTCTGGTTTGATGACGACTCTCCAGATTCCGCCGCTGATCATCGAGCAGTACACTTCGAAGGACATGGCAGATTACATCAAGAGCAACGTTCGCCTACGTCGCAGTGAAGCTGACAAAGACAGGCTGAAGCAGTCCGTGGAAGCTGCTGCAGTTCGGAAACGTTTGAGCTGGTTGTTCAGCACCTTGTCGCTGCTGGAGGAGCGTGGCGTGCATCTAGCAATCGATAAAGGATCAGATGAGAGATTCTTTTGGTGTTGGTGCCTGGCGAACGGCTACCGCATTGCCATCGATTTCGATCAACCTCACGTTGAGAGCCGAACGATGGTACGACTGGCTGAGTTCCTTCTTCCTGCTGATTTCGGGAGGTTCACCAAGATCAGATCCACTGCTGATGGAGTGTTCAGCGTGCGGATGGGTTCGTTCTTCCGTGCATTCAGCAGTCTTCCGAATAGCGATATGATTGATCTCCTTTCTGATCTACAAGATGTCGCTATGCAGGTGACGGGAAAGCATGTTGACGATCCGGAGTTTTGCGAGTGTATGCGGGACCGCGTGGCGACGATCAGTGGAGAGCTGAGCAATTTCAGCGGCAGCAAGCGGTGGGCCAAGTATGCGCATGCGGCGGAATTCGTTTGCGAGAATCGAGATCTACTCAGTCTAGTGGTGCATGCGCTTTTGGAGAAATCGAGACCTGCTGTACTTCGACTTCCAGCGAGGGTCGGAATCGACGTGGCGAAAGAATCTGGCCAAACTACGCGAGTCACACTGAACCATAGTGACCTGGTGAACGCCCGAATGACTCTCGATCAGCACAAGCTCGCTGAGTATGACGATGATATCAGTGACAATGAGGACCGCGGTACTTTTCTATGCAGTTGGTTAGCATTCTTGTAGTTCCTACTTGAAAAGACTGTGCAACATATTCTATATCTGTACTCCATACAACGAAGACAACTTGTTGGTCATGACAGAAAGATTCTCGATTCACTACTCCTCTTCATCTTCTCGACTTGCATCCATGTCTAAATACATTCTGTGCCAGATGATGAGGACCGTGAGAAGCTGAAAGACGACGAGCGAGCCAATTCCTCTGATGAAGACGAGATTCGAGCAAAAGCGGATCGGATTGAACGTGCCAAGCGGGTAGTTCGTGATGATGAAGAAGCTGATCATCAAGTGGTGGGCGACAAGATGAACAATGACGCGACTTTCCTGAGAGAAAGGAATAAAAGCAAGAAGAAGAGCGCTATAGCTAGTCGACGACTGCACTTGGAGGTTTTGCCGCGGGAGTTCGACCATGACGTTGTTTTACCTGGTGATCCAATTCGGCCAGCTCGTCCGACCGAGCGAGAAGTCGACAAATCTCTGCTCGCGATCTTGTGGAACGTCATGAATGACCCCGAGGACATGCTTCACATTCTTCTATACCGGCGTTTGTGCGGACCTCAGCTCTACTATCACAGCTTGGGCATTATGTTGAGTCACAATCACCTCTATGCTCGCAAGTTTCTCTACACGCAATGCGCGGATCTACTGGCAGAAAACGCAGCACTCTTGAACAGCCAACAGAGTGCAGAGTTGAAGCTATGGGTTGAGAAGAATGGCCGTGATGAGTACGTGTGCAAGCGACAGGGAGACTTTTTCTTAGAGGTACTTTGAACTGTTTGGAAACTCAGAAACTGATACTGTTTTCTCCGATAGATTCACGTGCTACACACCATCTATTACTTTGGAAAAGAGTCTTTGCGGTTCTGTATTGAATCTTTAGGCCCATTCTACATTGCCGTTTCAAAAACATCCAGGTACTTCGATCAACGATGCGAACTGCGCAAGTGCGAATGGCTCTGCAGCAACGTATTTGGATGTACAGTTACATGGGCGGTGACGACCTGACGTTGGATGAGGTGAAGAGTCAGAATCAAGACCGCGACTTGGGCAAGCACTTCATGTACATCTACGACAACAGGAAGAAGTGGCAGGAGAAGAGTGGGTTTGATGAGTCAGGCCTGAGGACTTGCGACTACAACTGTGACCTACTAACGACGGAGCGGGATCCTATGACGAATCGCGAAGTAGGTGGTCGCATTGTACTGACGAGCTACACTAGCTGGCGCCCGAGACGTGTTCAAACTCCAGCGAGTTTTGAGAAACGACTGGCTCATGTAATGAAAGATCTGCAGACTTGGGATACGGAGCAGGCCGAAGCTGTCCGCAGAGTCATGATGAACCAGCACAAGTACTACTGTGTGAAAGAGTTTCAGTCCTTGTTGGATGATGGCGGCTACGTTGAAGCAGTGGACTTTGCAACGAAGTGGAACTCATGCCGAACGCTGGGGACAAGGGATATTGAGGCAGGTGGAGGAAAGCAAAGCCGGGCATGTAGAAAAGCAAATCAGAGTGGTTCTGTTGTCGGGGTACTTCAAAAGTGTTCTTGTATCTGTAGAGCGAGTTATTTAAAGACTTCAGTATTTAGTTTCTAACATCTGACTCTCTTCGAAATTCTACACGTTCTTGAGCTGATTTTTCCGATCCAGATTTCCGACTATGATCTTCATCCTTCTACTCTAGTTTTCATATTATGATCTTGTTATCGCAAAAGAATCGAGACCTTCGACACTATCACACTTTGCATCAATTGGGCTGAGCCCTTCACCACTACTTCATCATCTCACATCAGACCATCCCGTATTACTTGTACGAAGCGACCGTGCCGGTCTGGATTCCATGGCTGAAACCAGTGAACCCGTTTCCACGACCTGGCCAAAAGCAGAGGCAAGTTGGTTTCAAGGAGAATTTTTCAGCGTTAGATGGACGTGGTCGACCTGAGGACTTTGCTTGTGACAGCAAAGCGGAGCTGCAGACGCTCTGCTTCGGTGATGGAGCCTTTGAGTCGAATACCATCGGTCTTTGCAGCTTCGCCGACTTTCAGCAGTGGTACAAGGAGTACACTGACTGTCCTACGAAGCGTGAAGGATCAGCAGTGCAGCAGTGTCGGGAGTATCTGTCTGAAATGCCATCTGTCGGTCAGAAGGAAATCACAGCAGAAATGGGCTCCGTGCTGAAAGTGAACCCGACGGATCATGGATTGAGCGATGCTCAGCTGGAGGGGATGGCGGGTTTCAAGATGGATCCGCAAGGGCTTCCAGACGTTTTTGATGCTGAGATGTTCTTGTACGAATGTGAAGACCACATCTCGTCTGACACTGTGCACTCGCAGAAAGTTTGGCGTCGTGGAAGACTGCAGGCTTTGTACCTACTCGGCATCTTACAGAAGAAACGACTGCGCAAGGAGCCCCTCGTCCTGAAGTGCAAGCAGAGCTACACGCCGCGGGCAAACAACAACATGCTTGTTTACGATGTGTTGGTCGATATTTGCATGGTGAAGTGCATCGAGCTCAATCCGGACGACAAGGGCGACCCGACGGACTTCAAGCGCAACAGCGCTGGCGGCAAGGATGCAGAGAAAGACGCGACGAAGAACCCGGCATCGGAGGAGCATGCCGCCGAGTCTAAACAGGCAGTTCCGGAGAAGCCCGAGGCTGGTCCAAATCAGCCAGCGAAAGAGCGTACTTTTATTTGATCGACTGTTGATCTTCTCGAATTCGAATGTCTTTTCATGAGTAATCGTGTTATTTTTTCATTATTCCAAAAGCGCAGGTTTGTTGCCCCCGGACGATTTCGAGGAGCAAGAGGTGGATGCTGACTCGCGCAGACGACTACAAGCAATCGATGGGTCGAATGCAGACCTCAATCCGCTCAGCAAAGAGCGGTACCTGAACGATTTGGATGCGGGGAAGACCGTCTTGTTCAAGTTGCCGGAGAAGAGGGAGAACTGGATGTTTCCTATCCCGACATCGATGATCGCGCAGAAAAGCTATGTCAAAGGGCTTGTGCTGCAGCCCTTCAGCATCGCAGAAGGTGGAGGCCATTGCTGTCAGCAAATGCACATCGTCGACGATGCGTACTGGGCTCGTGATGAACAATGGAGACAACGAATTGCTATTCCGGGCAAGTCTCGAATCATGCAGCCGCTTGCTGCTGCGGAAGAATACGGCTTCTTCGTCGACGACAACTTTGCGAAGGGATTCAAGGGTGGCCGCAAAGCGAACATCATGCAGACAGTGAAGCTACTTGCCCACGATGAACCACGCCGCCTCGAGTTGATCCGTGGCACCGATTGGACGACCAGTGGTCACGACGAGGATACGGGAGAAGTCATCATCAACGGGCCGCTTGGTCGACTAGAATCTGCGAATGTGTGTCATAGAACTCAAACCATCCGCTCTGTCGAGAATCCGCGAATGGTGCTTGCTGCTATTATCGACCCGGGAATAGTCGAGCGCAATTGTTCGCGACGGTATTTGACATCTGTTCATCTCTTCGAAACTGATGACGTCAACTACATGTCTCCGCCGTTGAGTCCAGCCAGTCGAGCGAATATGAGTAAGAAGGAGCTGGAGTTGTACGACGCTGACCGCGCAGAACGAGCGAAGGCCCAAAGTGTTGTTGCGTATGACCAGAACAGGCACAGAGCGGTGGCTGCGGCCGGTGCTGCGAAGAAGAAGGAATCTGAAGAGGAGAAAGAAGAGGACGTAGCTAGCAGTGGTCGTGGGTCGGAGGCTGATGAAGAGGAAGAGGACGAGGATTCGCTTGGCGCTTTCTTCATGGAGGTCAGCGAGGAAGTCAAGAAACCCGTCGTGGAGAAGAAGGAAAAGATCAAAGTTGCAGCTCTGTTCAAGTTCGTTGACGGTCTTTCGCTGACTACACGAGAATGGTCGGAATTGTACTACATCATGGCCATGGGCCAGACGCGAGCTGAGCAGCACTTGATCAACCGCGGCGTTTATCCGGAGAGGAAGTTGACGAACAAAGATGGTCTGGAGGTTCTGACGCACGTTTCTACTCTCACAGCAACTTCACAGAAGGTCATGGCCAAACTTTTGTCGGCGTCGATGGATGCAGACAAGGCCGAACGCCAGGAAGAAAGCACAACTGCGGACAAGCAGAAAAAGAAAATGGCTACGAAGAAGGCGATGAAGGTGTCGAAGGTGCAGCAGGTGGCCAGATCTGTGGATCAGGTTAACGCGGTTTTGAACGGTGATGCGTTTGGCGGTGCGGATGGTGGCGCAGCTGACGGTGACTTCCTGGAGGTATTTATAAGAACTTGATGTCACTTGATCATGCTAATCTAATAAACAAAAGATCTATATGACGAAAAGGCTTCTGAATTAACAATCCCTCACTCTCCTGACAGCGCCGCAACTCGCAGGGAAGCTACATTGGTGACGAATGGGACGGTGCTGACGATATGATTGCGGAGAACGAGGTGTGTTGCGAAGTAGCTGATGTTCCGACGGATGAAGCAGCTCAGATAGCACGCCGAAATAAGTGGCTAACCACGAAGAACGCTGAGTATGCAAGAGAGTGCAAGCTGCGACTCCATCGAGATGAGGACTTGGTTGATCTTCACCTGAACGAGCGCGCAAACGGTACGATTGTCAGATGCGACGACTGCAAGAAACAGATCGGTGTGTATCATCGCAACTGGATCTTCGCGAAGAACGGACCGACGCTACGGTTTTACTGCTCCAACACCGGAGTGAAACCGCCGGGACCAATGTCGTCGAAGGCAACCGGACCTGCCTCCCATCCGCGCCTGAAGAGCCCTCCAGGAACCTATCGCTGCTATTGTGGTTGGTGGAGAGGAGGAAAATGCTACAAGGATGAGACATATACGGAGCTAATTCCATTGGGCCACATATGGAATTGCAGTCTCGTCCAGGCGCGGAACGATATGAAGCGTAACGACAGTGATTGTCGTCGATCCTGCAATGTGATCCAGAACTTCGTGTGCATTCCGCGCACGAAGACATGGCAGGCTCGTACGCTTGAGCGCGACGGGGAGGTGTAGTAGACGTCTCATGACGTCTACATCCATGGGCTGCAGGAGGAGACGCAGTCCATTTCTATGTTTTTTTTGTACAAAACAATATTTTTTTCTGGGGCCGGCAAATTCCGGCATTGTGGTACATTATTTTCCCATGCACATTCATGGGCATGAATTCAGTCATTTTTTTTGCAAGGACATTGTACATCACGGTTTTGCGGGACCTTGCCGACATGGATACACACGAGCACATCTTGGACATACATGAACATAGACATGTATAGACATTTACATACACATACATACTTTCATAGGGCATATTTCCATACATATTCTAACTGAGTAGTAGCAGTAGTAACTTCGATAGGCTTTTTCAGAGTGTGTTCCTTCTAATTCGGTTGAAAGAAAGCGGTCGTGCCGTCGGTGAGAGGTCGGAGAAAGATCCTAAAATTAAACCAATGATCTCTGTATATCTGGCATTCTGTAATGAAATCTGTCATCTGAGACCAAGAAAACGAAGACTGAGAAATCCTTGTCGGCTGACCTCTAAATCTGGTGCAGAGAGATCATATCGGCAGAGAGACCGTTCAAGAGCGTTATTCTTCTAGTGCCTGAAAATACTTGAATTTTTAATTTTTTATGCTAATATTTTTGCTGAAAAATGTATTCCTCACTTGTTGACTTTCCGATAATTTTTTGGTTAATTATTTGGAAATTATTGATGAATGAAAATAAATGTGAGTCAGGGATGGTGCCAGGGATGCAGCCTGCATCGCTCTAAATATGGCAATGGCAAAGACTTTCAAGACGCATCTTCTTCATAATAACACTTTCTTCTTCATACTTTACTGTTTACTCCGTATCTATACAATGAGACTTATAGTTCCTTTTCTACTTCTTGTTCTTCTTGTCTTTGTGGTTCCTAGTTGGGCTGGCTCCACCACTATTATACGGCCATCTTATGACAGTCTGTGTCTGAACTACTCTACACGCACACTAATACAATGAAACGTAGTTAAGACATGATGATCTACTTAAGACAGTCTGATCTTACTTTCGTAGAAGTAATAGTACAATACGACCATAATTTTGAGAGTTCTCTCTCTAACAGTGAAGCCGGTCAGGGGTGGAGCAGGCTCATGTACCATGCATTCGAAAAGGCGGACGCTGGCTCTCCCAGCTGGGGCACTTGGTTGAGCGAAAAACTTTTTAAGGCTTCTACTTCTAGTTGTCCGTCTCGGTCTTTCAGCGCTCCCTCGGCAAATGCAAGCTGCTCATCTTGAAGATTTGAAGGGAAATAACTCGACGGGAACAAGGTGGAGCTGGTCTGGAAGGAAAGTGACTCAATCATTACTAATTCATGATTTTTAGACTCCTTCTACGAAAGTACTCCGACCACTTCCACCACTACTAATACTCATTTTGATGCTGTCTCTCTACTTAGAAGTAGTTGCTCAAGGTGGAAAAGATGGGTGACGATTTGATTGGCGTTAATCTTCCTTGGCTTCAAGGGACTATTAAGTCGCAGGTGCGGGAGGTGAAGAAAATCGCGAAAGAAGAGCGCGGCCTCTGGATGCGTCTGCTGGTTTTGCGTAGCCGTCTGATGCGGTATCCTGATGAGCGCGCTGCTCTTGGGGACAAAGGAGTTATGGGTGGAACTCTTCTTTTTCACTATTCACGAAGAAGATAGCCATTTTGGCTCAAGGGTTGTAATTCGGCCGCATATCGACAGGTCTGCTTTTGCAGGTTTAGGCTAGCGCCCAAGGCCGACAGAACTTATAAGTTCGCGCATATATTTTTTGAGCTTATGCTCCTTTTCTACGCATGAGGTAAGGCCTTCCGGGCGATCTTCATTATAGGGGGGACACTAGTTAAGGAAACTCACACTCAGATGGCCACGGTCTCCCCTCATCCTCGGCCCTGGACTCTCCACTATTCCCGCCAGTTATAAGGAAGCTTTTAACTATTGTTCATCAACACACGACCAGTGAAGGAAAGTGAGAATATGGATAGCCCCCCTCATCCTCGAGGGCCAGCTCCTTCTCTCCTGAATGTCTTCGACCTTTTCCCCTGAATGTCTTCGACCTTTTCCCCTGAATGTCCTCGGCCTTTTCCCCTGAATGTCCTCGACGATCTTCCTCACTAATATGGTCGACCATCTGATCCCTCAATCATCCGCGATCATCTTGAGGATAGATCGTCCCCTCATCATTATAGTATTTTCATATGAAGATATTGGCTTGGCCTTCCATAAGGACAGGCCTACTGTACTGGACGAAGTACTGACTGATTTTAGACCAGGACCTTTCTCGTCGCACAGCCTAACATTTTTTTTTGTGGCTAGCTGAAGGAGGCCCAGCCCTCGTTTCAGGACTGACGCCGCCACTCCGCTAGTTTTGCAGTGGACCCGCGGAGCGGGACTGCCTTGCTTCCCTGGGATGGCGAAGCATGGCCTCTAGTATTGGCGTCTCCACAGGTGGGGCCGCCTTCCGTCACAGGCTCTTGTCGGAGGCGCTTGGGAGGGGTGTCAAAAAGGGGGACAAAACGGGCCCACCTTCACTCTCCAAGCAGGTCGGGCCACTTCTTTGGCGACATCTTTAGCCCTAAGGCGGTCGCCTCAAGGCACCCCCTAGGCCCCACGAGGTGGGGCCGTTTCGGTCTTCGTAAAACGTGCCGGCAGTCTATTGAAGTGAAAGGCATTCGCATCCCAAAAAAAGGTAAGGGTGGGAAACTTTTGAAGCCAAAGCGCTGCAACTGAAATGCGATGGGTGCGCGACGATTACACTACCAAGAAGCGGCAAGGATTTAGGCAGGGACACCAGGCTGCGCCGCTGCAGCTCGCGCAGCCGGAGAGCGGACACCCTGCACCATGCGGGGCCCCTTCTTTGGATGGCTGGGCTGTCACAATGGCGTCACCTTCACGAGGCAGCGCCGCTTCTTGTGGCCTTTCTCATCGGCGATCCAGAGTGAGCCCCTGCGCTGAGGGGTGGCGCTCAGGCGTCACGTGACTGGCCACGACTTGTGAAAGGATTCAAGAAGCGGGACCCGTGACACCTGACAGATTTGGGTTTTGCATTTTGGCGCATTTTGCAACGCCCTACGCCAACCATAATGTGGCGCCAAAATCCAGCTGATGCAGTCGACTAGATACTCGGGCGCCAAGATGCTTTCTCAGCGCCTTTCGGGCATCCGCAACGGGAGGGCCCGACCCATCACCAAGCAGACAGATTGAGAAAGTTTTTCGGCGAAGCCGTTGGTCCCATTAATCGAGCAGCGGGTGCCCGGTCGCGCCCCGAGGCTGACTCTTGCATGCCTTAGTTACCCTGACTTGGACGGCTTCGGCATGTGAAAAGCGACAGAGCTGACACGCATCGCCCCCGTGCAACTAGCCCAGGCCTGCACCGAAGGCCCTGCGCAGAGCGATCCGGCTCAAGCGATGACGACTTTGCCGACTTTGCGATCCTTGAAGTTTCAGATTGCCGACTTTGCCAATGAATGAGAAAGCAGGTTATTTCGAAAAATGGTGCGCAAAATTTTCGTTCCCCATTTTTGTCGAAGTTTATTTTTTCGACCAAAAAGCATCCGCTTGGGGTGCTTCTTGGTTGGCTCTGGCTTTTTGGCTGGATGCTGCCACCATGCGCGACGGGCCGGATAGCCTTGGCAGATGCTTCGCTGCGGATATCGACGGCCCCGCTGCCTACGCGGTGGCCAGGGTGTACGGGAGTGCGCCAGGCCTTGCCACTGGAGGCATTTGAAAAAAGTAAATGGCTGCGCAACGAAAAAAGTCCGGGTCTAAAAACTCTGAAGCACTACGCTAGCCCCATATCTAATCTAATCAGGAAGTTGCTCCTGTCAGTGTTAGTCCAACATATTTTACAATATCGAATGCACGACATCAATTAGGGCTACCACCTCCTGCCAGGCACGTCAGTCTTGCTTGTAACTATTCTAATCTTGGTCTTCTTCGGTTGAAAACTACAATTTTCAAGCCTCAGTAGAGTTACCTCAAGTAGACGAGCATGCAACTTTTCTAATCTTAGTCAACATGCGAACACGAACTCACTGGAAGGACACGATCCAGCTGAAAAAGAGCGGTTTGAGAAGGATGCCGCTGAGCTGTGGAAAGTGTGGAATCTTACGGCTTTGGAAGGTGTGGAATTATTAGTTTTTTACATTGCACATCATTTGTCTTTTTATTTTAGTACTTACCTTATTGTTGACAAAGCAAGTTGCTTTGTTCAATATAGGGACACCTTAACCTTTATTGTACTTAAGTAATACTTTCATTTGATGACCTTAGTACTAGTACTACTTAAGTAACTTTCATTTGTCCTTTGTAGGTCCATGCTTGCTTCGTGCCCTATCGAACCTCGTCAAAACGTACACCTCGTCATTTGTCCTTAGAAGTCTTCTCTTGCCTGTAGTCCAACTTTTATATCCCCTCTACTTGCAATAAATATAAGATCAAAGCAATCTTCGAGGGCTACTTCTGAGGGACGAGTACTTCTGAGCACATGAAGATACATGATTGGTAGTCTGAGTTGAATCAATCAACTCCGCTCTAAGAGTAGGATCTTGTGGGAGGTGCGGGGACTTGGTGCTGAGCAGGCTCCTACCTGGCTGAGCGTTTCCGAATCTCTATCCAAGAAAAGGGGGATGTTTTCCCGAGACTATTTAAGGCAACCCAGTACATCTAGTTGCGCAAACACCTACTTACCCAGTAGCAGTGGACCCACCTCTTGTGTAAAATATCCCCACTTGCTGCAGATCAACAACATGTCAGTAGAAGTAGATACTTCTGCACAAAATAACAATGGCGCTAAGTCAGCTAAGAACTGCACGAGAACGGTCTCTATGTGTTGTCGCCTCCTCGTCCTGGAAGTGCTTCGCTTAGCGACTTTTGTCACTTGTTTCCTCTTGGTTTTTCTGTCGTTTGGTTTCGTTTCATGTGATTCCCCGCGCCCCTCCAGAGTCCACCGCATCAGCCTGCAAGTGTGTGCCTGGGGATTCTGGAGGGGCGCGGGGATTTGGATGGCGCCCGGGGTTCTTGGCTCGCAATTGGGGGAAGGTTTTCGCGAGGGGAGCGCAGTAGGCGGCGAGTGTTCTGCGGATCCGTATCATGCCCGGAAAGGTTGAACTCTGTCCGGATTTTTGCCGTCCTTCGTTGAATTTTCTCCAATGTAGAAAATTATCAGAATAGACGCAATATTAAAAAACAAGAAGAGCGGGCAGCTTTATACGACCAGTTGTAGAGTGGATGAGGATGGTTGTCTTACAACAAAATGGGTGACGACAATGAAGAGTCACGACAACATATTACAGCAAGGAAGAGATGAGGGAGAAGAGCTATCTTCACTCTACCTCTCATTCTCTCCGGTGCTCAGTCACTCCTGCCTGGGCCTTGTGTTCAGTCACTTAGACGTCACTCTCCCATCTCTCTCTCTTTTGTTTGCTCAGTATGCTGAGCGGGTCCCTCGTATTGTCGCGAGCGGTAGTATTCCTATTGAGGAGAGTGATATTCCACTACTCTCTTCTTTCCTCTTTGTTACTAACTGAACACTCACAGCGCCGTGGCACCCCGACTTTACATCGAACCAGAAGAGTCAAAAGTAGTGGGGCTTGAAGAGTCAAAAGTAGTCAATACTCACACATCAAGGGGAACAACTTTTCACTTCTATTGAGGAGAGTGATAGTGGTAACCTCTAAACTACGCGAAAGACGGAGACGGACCGGACGCACTGGCGGACAAATTTTTTAATGTTTGGCTACGGCTCTACTTAACATCTTTATCGCGGTCGATGGCACTAGTATTAACTTCTTTGAGCTTGAGAGTTTGAGAGGGTTCTTTGTCAACATGATAATGGGCAGCTACAGGCATGCGAATATTAAGTTTTAGTACAGTTGTAACTAGTATGCATTTCATGCACATAAGCAATTATGATTATGATGTACAAAAATATATTCATCGTGTTCTACTTCACGCTACTTCTCAAAAAAAAACGGAGAAGATGGGTCATCTTTGATGAAGAAGATAATGGGCCCTGTCTTCTTCTATCAAAGATGAACAACGACAATAATTTTCACATCTGGTCAGGAGTCTAGAGTTGTCCTCTAGACTCTTCTAATTTGTTACCGAGCATTAATAACACAATAATTTTTACGTATCAGTCTTAGGCTGTCTAGAGGACTCTAATTTCCGATGATCAAAAGAGCAGACATAGAGACGGGGACGAGGACGATGTTGACGATGACGACAATGTTAAGGCATACAGACAAATCTAGAATATCTTTCCTGCAGCTTTTCCTGGTGGTGTAATGAATCATTTTTAGTAGCCTCGCGTGCACCTACATCATTATGAAGAGAGACTTGCAGAGCAATCTTTGATCTATTTTGTTTCTACCAGCAGGACGACATGAAGATGGAGGAGGGATTACGATTACAACCGCCTATTACACAGTTTTTGATTACATGATGTTGATGATGACCTTCTCTAATCATCTGGTACGGGCGCTGGATGCAGGAGAAGCAGGAGACGAAGAAGAAGAAGATGACCAGGATTCCGCGGATAATGCGGGTGGAGGAGGCGCTGGCCCTATGGTTATGCCAAAAGATAGCTTCAGCACCATGAAAAAAAAAAAATGACTCCTACTTGGAAAAGGTGAAGCCTCGTCCAAGGATATTATCCCTGCTCTCAAGGAATCATGAGATGCGAAGAAGTCCTCGGTAGCTCGCTCTAATGTCAAAGATAAGGCGTCTGGTGATGGGGCCAATGATGACGCAGGGACTCCACAAGAAAGTGCAGCTCGAGACCGAGAGCAGGCTCCTGGTGAAGCAGATGCTCAAAATGATGCAGGAGAAAAGCAGCGTGGTACGCTTGAGAGAGTTGGTACGGCACTCAGCAAGGGTGCCAGTGCGGTACTCTCCTCTGCCCAAACGGTAGTCTCTGCACGTCGTGCAGGTGGAGGAGCAGCGCCTGCTACTACTGTTCAAACACCTATAGCAGCTGGAGACACAAAACCTGAAAATTCACCACCTACAGGATCCACATCCGGAAAAATAAAAAGGTCTGTTTCTGGCCTTGGTGGTGTTGCTGCGCGCGGAAGGGCAAGCACAGGCAGAGGCTTTAACTGGCCTCTAGGTAGAAGCAGTAAAACAACAGCAGCTTCTCTTCTCGAACTCGAGAGTAATAGTACTTCTTTGGAGGAAACTCTTCCAATGGTCGGCCAACTCTTGGAGGAGATCGATGCCATAGGAGGATGGGAAAATTTTATTATGGCCGCGTGAACATTAACATCAACAGTCTCTGTAGAAACTCTGTATCATACTCTGTACCTACACTGTATGAAGATTATCTCAGACTCTGTAGAAACTCTCTGTTGACTCAGACTGTCTGTTCCATAGCACCAAAATAAGAGTGAGCGTCCCTAGTTAGGGAATCCTCTTTTTTTCTGTGAACAAGAAATCATGCTTCGCCATTACTTCGAGAGCCACGGTGTAGTACTTAGTTTCATCTATCATTCGTAATCCTCGTATATCTACAACTTATACTTAGTCTTCTAGAAGTACTTCTTCTGCAGTAGAATCTTTACTGATTCATCTTTTTGCGTCCTCTAATTTCTGAAAAATGTCAGAAGGTCGTGGGTACCTTCATGAAGCTGATCGTCTGGAAGATCACCACGATATGCATAGAGAGGCAGACGCGTTTCTTTTAAGGCTCTTTGACTATTGAACTTCACCTTCAGTCACCCCTATCCCGAAGAACGGATTTTTATAGATACTGAACTGAATGAATGTCGTCCTCGTTGTAATTGATATTGAAATTGATTTTGATAACTTTGCATCATTTGTTTGTTTGTTTTGATGCGCTCCGGGCGACGCGTACGATCCCGCCGGATTTCTTTATCATTGGTTTAATATGTAGAATTCGCCCATTTCAAGCACTGTTGGTTCTCTCCGCTTCTTCAATAAAGCTGATTAAATCGTATCATGACATAAGTCCCCAGACTTTTCCCCCCCCCATGCTGTAATTACCCCACGAATGGGTAAACTACTACTACTAAGTTAAGTTATATTCTGGGCAGCAACCTTGACCTTCTTGTTAGCAGTTCTTGTTGCCAATCTAGTCCAGAATAGATCACTTTCATAAGGGCAGGACGTTGTTCTAGTTCTACTCTTAATAAATAGGAGGACAGTAACCCACTCACATCACCGCATACGACCCTTTCACAATTCTACACTGCTCCATCTCCATCTACGAATAGTACTGTCCCTAATAGGAGGACAGTAAATATAAAGTAATCATGTTTACAGTAGGAGTAGGTACTAGTTTTTTATCTAGTACCCAAGAAGCAAACCAAAAGCGTGCTGGTCGTCATAATTTCTTGACACACTGCTGGAGCTGTAGTTCTGTCCTGCAAAAATTACGCTAGAAGTAGTACTGAATGGGGTCGTGCCATCTTCATGTTCATCCACAACTACGTACATCCAGACGACTACGTTATAGGGTGGAGGGTTTCAGGGTTTGGGTTTCTTCGACTCATATAGACGACTCTAATATTTGAGGAGGTTGCTGACGACAATTCTATTGGGAACACGACGGATGAAGAAGGGCTATATCGAAGTGGGGCCAGCACATCTTCGAAGGAACAAGCCACCTCATCTTTGTTAGAACAATCCGAATCCAGAGCGGGCGGGTTGGCAGCGGGGGGGGCGATGTTAAGACTGGTATACTAAAGAAGGAACTATAGAAACTATACTAAAAAACTAGTATAGAATCGCTATCTTCATCTAAGACACGACTAAGTATAGCTATAGCAGAGTAGTTTATAGCACGCATGGTGCATGGAGTGCATGGAGCGCAAAGCTTTAAGGGGCGCAAGAAGCTCCCCCTTTAGCTCCATGCTACTCCATGTGGTGCATGCACTCCATTCCATGCGAGCTGTGAAACCTCACAAATTGCTCCGCTATAGCAACCGGCTAGCTTTCCCTCTGACTTTAGGCGTGTCCCGTCCTGCAATATAGAGTGGCTATCTAGAAACATTGACAAGAAGTATGTAGTTGGGGCACAGGAGGGCTTCTGAAGATATCAATCTAGTCAAGGAGGACGCAAACCATCAATCTAGTACAACGAACTAGTACAACAGGAAGTATCTAGTCCTTTTGCTTGTTCCTAGAATAAAAAAATGAATGCCAGTTCAGTACAACATCAAAACCATTCATCCAGTACTGTTCGTGTTCCTTCTGCATTTTGGCTCAAGGCTGCGGCTGCGAGCATATCTTATCTTGTCAGGGAGACCCAGCCGCTTTTTCTTGAATCGAATGAATTTAGCGTTAGAAAAACAAAACCAAACTCTTCAATCAATCAATCATGCAAATTGAAGTCCGCACCGTTCACCAAATTGTAAACAAGATCAAAAAATCTTTTTCCCCATGCGGTTGGGTCTATAAGGGGCTAACTTAAATTGTGATCTCAAATTGAGTCATGTTTAACTGAACTCCAAGATTTAACGCGCAATGCATCATCGAACACCAATACGAACCATACGGGTTTTAAATCATGATAGGATAGAATGCAAAATGGTAGTCCCTCAAAACAGAGGAAGAAGGACAACTCACAAGGTCGCCTCCTTGTAGTCCTTGCAGATCCAAGACCACCAACTAGATCAACTACACGCAACGGCATATAGCGCACAAAAGCAGAGTGGGAAGTATAAACGTCGCATACTTATCCATCAGCAAGTTCTTCATCTCCTCCCGCACACATTTCCAGGAAAAATCGCGGCTACTTCACCAAGCAACCAGAAAGCTGAAATCTTACATCGAGTTATCAAGTAAACAAACAAGCCACCCCGATCAACTAGCACAAAAATCAGACGAAAAAAAAGGGATTATCGTCCGTAGCTTCCTGTTCTGCATGTTGTAGAATTGATCAACAAGAACATCTCCCATCAGCAGAAACGCACTTTGCCGAGTATGCGCCCAGTATAACAACACCACTAAACACCTCCGATTAGTACAGCATCCTCCTCCAGTACTTAAGGAGCGCGTCAACCTATTTTTTACCTACCGATCCCATACATACGACGCTCTCCAGTTTCTCTAGTTTGACCCTATCGATCCCGGCCCTAGCGCCTTATCCACAGTCAAGATGGGACGCAGGAAGACGCAGACTCACAAACAAGTGGACAACAAGTTGACACGGAAGGCCGACACCCAGACCGGCTCCCAGTCTTCTGGTGGTTCAGTAAGCCAAGCTGCTGGAAAAGCGAGCTCATCATCAGCCGACACAGCGCAGTCAGCACCTCAACCTAAGTCGCGGGGGAGGCCTCCCAAGAAAAGCACCAACAATGTCATCAACGAGCAACAGATAATCCACAGTCATTGTGGCCCCTCGGCGCAACACTCTATGCCAATCAATGGAACTGGACGGCCTGGGAGAAATCAAAGCTAACAACCCGGCAGATCATGGGAAGGGGGATGGGGATGGTGTAGAGCAGTCCATCATCTCCAACTTCGCGGGTGGCCGGTCGTCAAATTCCGAAGGAGCGATCCCCTCGAACGCCGAAAATAAGGCCGTCCTCGGGGGCCGCGCGTTTGTATCCTATGATCACAGCAACGACTCATCCTCAAGAAGACCGACAGCGGGTCTATTTGCAGACATGACGATCTCCGCCGATCCTTCAAATGGCTCCAACATCACTGCCACTGCTGGCTATAATTCTTCCATCGTAAGTGGAGACAAAAACTCAGAATCAGAGCAACCAGCTCCAACATCCGTTCGCAGCAATGAGTCACCACACGTTCCGAACATTCCACCCCCGCCACTTCCTAAGAAGGAGGAGACAGCAAGAGAGTACTACGCGGTCATCAGCAAAAACTTAGCATCCACAACTACTGCTCCAGTTGAGACGGGGCTGTCTGGCGCTCCAGATGGGTCGAATGGCACCGCAACTACTTCTAGTCAAAAACTTCTAGGCATGATGGAAGAGAACCAGAGGAACGACGACCCAGATCTTTACTACCACTCCAGCCGGCATGATGAAGAAGAAGACACGGAAACGATCGATAGACGCTGCACAACGGATCAGGAGCAGCAATCCACAGATCATAGCCGAGCAGTCACTGGCGTCCTAATAGACCAAGCTACCACCAAGTCCAGCAGCAAAGGTAAAAGCCCAAAAAAGGGAGAAAAGGCCTCTCACTCCTCACTTCATGATCCTGAGTATGACTACCACTCCAGGAAAGGAGAAAAACCAAGCTCAGCACTGAGCTCCACATCCAGCGATAGAGACATGGCTTGGACCTGCCTTCGCACCAGCCGCCATATTTGCGCTGAGCTTCTTGAAGACCAGGAGTTTCCTGATTCTGCTTGGACTGGAGACTCCGAACAACTTCCGCACGCGCTTAGACGCCGAGACGTTTATATAAATGAACAGAACCATGATCCAAAATTCGGCAAAGACCCAGAAGGGAGGTGGTACCTGCCCAAAGGCTGGCACAAGGGGGCATGCGTCTATGTCAATAATGACTACGAAAGTTATGCGATCCAAGTGCGGGAAGTTGGAGGATCGGAGTGGTGCCACCTGCTGACAGCTGAAGACTATCGAGCAGCCAAGTTCAACGCTGGGTGGGATGAGGTGCCATTCGTGATTGCAAAAAGAGAGACTTTTGCTGCAGCAGCAACATGGCAATGGCGCACACGCATCCGCAAGTACATCCTACAAGTTGACAAAATTCGCCCCATCTTGGATCCTAGTAGATGGATGATGCATCCGGACACATCGCTCAAGCCAGTCCCACCAGCCCCACCCGTTGAAGATGATCGGATCATCCCAGGCGGAAGAAGCAAGGAAACTGGCAGCATCGAGCCTGCTAGTGCTGGAGCAGTAAACCCAGCATCAGCAGGAAACGCGTCAATTGAGTTTTTCCAAGAAATGATCGACAAGTCAATCAAGGTGTCTAACGAAGCGCTCAAGGAAGAAATTGGAGAAGAATTAACAGTCATAAAAGAGGAGCAGAAAAAGCAGCGAAAAGACATCAAAAAATTTGGTGGCACGCAGAGGGCAATTTTAGGCGGACTGGGAGAATTGCTGGCCCTAGCAAAGGGAACGGATACGGCGGCACAATTGGAACACCTGAAAATCGACTCCGAATCTTCATCGGAGGAAGAAGACACACGACCACTTCGGAAGAGCAGAACCAAGGCACTTGACGACATGAGATCAGGTCCCGCCAAGTCCACCCAGGCGGTTCAGAGCGACCATAGCGGAGAAGATGACTCGGCCGCTCGGAAATATAAGCATGAGCTCCTCCCACTACCACCTACAGCGGTTGCACACTCGGTAGCGCAACATACTCAGAACACCGTGACAACTGCCAATGCGTATCCGGCCGGCACCTTTGCGCCCTCATCTGCAAGATCGGAAATTGCAGCTGCAGGCTCATATCTATCGCCACCTGACCTACAAGAGCGGCAACACGAGGTGGAGACGTCCGATGCTCCACAACAGGTCAACGTGGAAGCAAATGATGATGGCCCAATCGATATGCAAGTCGACGCTGAGGCCTCGGCTCCTGCAGTCCAAAATATGAGACCCAGAAGTGGATCGCAACCAACGCTCAGCGAAATCGAGGTTAAAGGAACTGATGGCCCAGCAACCAAAGGCACCAGCTTGGCTGCTATACCAGCTCTCCATCTTGCCCTTCGCTCAAAAGAGCAAGCAGTGGGACACATCGACACAGCCAAGGCAGCAAAGATTGCATCCGATTCCCAATTAAGGGCACAGCACACGGGATCGCCGCTGACTAATGGCAATTGCATGATCCAGCCTCCGAAGCCCGTTGTGCTAGACCTCGAAGATAAATCCGGCAAAATTGAATTGTCCCAGGGTGACCCCAGTGCTGAACGAAGATTAAGTGAGGGCAAATGCGAGAAATACGAGCGCTACTATCATGTCATGGCGCACAACTTTTTTTTGGGAGCCAAATCACTCGAACAGGCAACCAGAGCGGAAAAACTAGCGAGGGACATTGCCAAAATTGCTATTGATTGTATAAATGGCGCTTACCCCACCGACTTTCAAGCAATCTGCCTAGCCGCTGGCATCAGAGAAGTAGCCTTCAATATTGACAGCGAACAGCTAAAAGTCAAAGAATCACTCCGCAAAAGGCACAGGCGCGACTTGTGTGACATTGTTAGGGAAATTCTCGATGAAGCTTCGCCGATTGCAAAGACGACATGGACAGAAGAACAGCTGAAGCAACGCTCAACGGAGTTTAAGGCGCTGAGGACAACTGCTCTAAAGAAAAGACGTCACCTTATTGAGCAGTTCAAGAAAGTTGCAGTCCTGCCCAGTCGTCGTTTCATCTATGGGTTCCATACGGAGATGGGTGTGCACATTGAAGAAGAGCACCAAGCGGACACTCCGCCTCCGAGTGACCAACAAATTGCAGACACGGCGACGATGCTGAAGGCAATCTATGGAGCAAGTGAAGATGTCGGAGCAGATGGCTACTCCAGCACCACAATAGAAAAACCTCATAAGGTGGAAAAAATCCTCTCACCAAGGGCACAGCCGAGATCGCTGGAACAGAGCCCAGGTGACTATGATCCTTGCGCCGAGCAATCAAGCGGGTCCTTAAAGGGTATTTCCCGTGCAGGAACTTCATTTGGAATTGAGGATAAAAGCACTGATGACCTGCTAGAGGCCCGCCGCAATATCAAACTTGCAGTGGCGACGCCGAACGACGATCAGACTGTCTTGTCTGCTGAAAATTGTCTTAAGCAACATCCAGCGCTACAGTCTGGCATACCGCCCGTAACAAGCAAAGCAACGCGTGCTTGCATCCAAGAGTCGGAAAAGAATGCTGAGGATCCAGCTACAGGAAATTCAATCATCGCTAAGTCCTCCACTGATGATCGGAACCCAGGCGAAGCTTCAAATGCTACCTTGGCTCCAACGACCTTCAAGTCAGCTTCCGGCAAATCGGGCAAAGTCAATCCAGCCTCACACGGGGTTCCAACAGTCTCAGAGGGAATCGCAGCTCCGAAGGGAAAGGCCCAACTGGCCCAATTGCAACAACCACCACGACAAATACATCACGAAGTTGATGGAGCTTCATCGAGAACAATGCGCACACCGAGACGCGAACGCCCAGCCTCCCAACAACAACATCTCCACCAAGGGTCTACCCCTCCGTCATCGAAGCGAAAAGGATCGGAATCAGAATACAGTCCGCTGGCACAAATGGAGTCAGGCCACAATGCTCAAGAAGCGCACACAAACGAGGAGATCGAAGCTGAGCATGGGGATATCGGCGCAGCAGAAGTCCCGTCTTCTCCAAAAATGTACAATTCGCAACCCTTGCAGACATCACAGCAAATTGTGTCAAACTCGTCTGTGCAAAATCCGCAACACTTCAATGAGGATGTCTCGGCAGAGATTGCAAGTGTCCTTAGCTCCTCTGCAGACGATGAAATGGAAGAAGTCAAGGAGCGGGCATCTCAGGATGTCGAACTTGAGCAGGTTGACGTGGTTGCTGGAATGGCGGGCAACACAGTGCATGATCATCATAGTAGCCAGTCAAAAAGTCAAGCGCCCGTAACAAGAAACGAAGCATCAACCCATGAAAATGCAGCTCCAGCACATGCCGTCAGCAGTGGAATTGACCTTCATGGTGTAGCTGCGTCAAACAAATCAGTGATGCGAGGAAATGAGCAGAGTGTGCCTGCACATATTGGGCCTAACTTGAAAAAGAGCAGACCACAACATCCGGGGCTCGATCTGCCACTCCGAATGAACCCGAGCTACAACGCCTCCACTCAGTCTGGTGCAGGAGCCAAAGGGAACAAACAGTTCTCCATTGCCGGGAATGCGGGGTCACAAGTAGGCAAAGGTGGCCGCAAAGGCATCCAAGGGACCGCACCCACACTGCCCTATCAGGATCAAGTGCCGAAAAACAATCGTGAAACGAAAAATCTGGAGAAGGCGGCGGCCATCCAAAACGAAACTTGTGCCTCTCTTGCAGCTGGGAATCCACCTCCAGCAATCGACCCAACGGCTCATCGATATATCGTGGGAGACCATGGGACGCACCTTGCATCACTTGGGTTGCCACCTGGGAACCGAGCGACAGCCTACCATAACGCCCCGGAGAGATATCAAGAATACGCCATCTACATGCAGAAAGCGCAGAAAGGCAGCAACACCCAGCAAAAAGTCAATTCGTTTATTGCGGTAGCGGGTCCTCTATCTCAAGAAAAGGGGAGTAAGCAGCTGCATGGGTCCAACTTTACCAACTTCTGCAGCTCAAGCTCAGGCAATACGCAAGATCAAGGGAAACAAAAGGCAACGATAGCCAGTTCGTCTTCAACTCACAAGGCTAACAAGGAGATGCATAGCAAAGGTTTACCCAACACGCAAATGGGCTACGAACACTCCGATTTCCATCACTGGCAAAGCAGAGGAGGCAACCAAAATTGGAACTACGGGAAGGGAGGTACTCAGGACTATATTGCTCACTGTTCGCCTGAGTCAATCAGGAATTCCTTTGAGGAATTAGTCAAATCTCGCTCATCATCCGCTAACGCTAGGACAACAGAGCACAAATTCCAAGACGGCGGCTTAATCTATATAAGACAAAGCGAGACCATCCCGGGACGCACTGCTAAGACAATCGAAATTGTGCAGCTGTTGCCACAACGGGATCACTTTGGAACGAGAATGAGGCCTAAGGGCTCTACGCCCAATGAATCCACCTGCCTCCCAAGCTCCTCAAGCTCAAATCCAACTTCGGAATTGTCCTTCTCGCAAGATCCAACCTCCCCTACCAGCTGGCAACATCAGAAAGCCAAGAGGCGAAAAGGGGTGAGGACCTATTATAGAAACAGACCTGGTAGACCTGACTCATCTCTTGACCGCAAGAACGCAATTTCCTGCGTTTCTCCAAATCGCCGCACTCTGCCACCGTGCTCGAAGTCTGTCTTTCTTGATCCGAGAGCATCAGCCGCCGTCTATTCCATCCCAGATGATTCTAATCACCATGCGCCATCTGCGCTCAACATACCTCCCTCTACGACGTGTCTTTCTAACATCAGGTGGGCAGTGAAGCGCACCATGAAGCAGCGTTTGAACGGGTATCGGAGAATGCCAAGTCTATGCATTATGCTGAGGAGCAAGGAACTGAAGATGATCAAAAATGACAGAAGGCGTCGCGTTATCAGAGCGTGGCTATTTTGCTCTACGGGTATGCCACCGAAGGAGGAAAGTCACAAAAGGAAAGTAGAGCGAATCAATCTAGCTCACGGAGCAAAAAATTGGGCAGACGAAAATCGAGAAGCTGCGCATGTACAACTTGAAGAAGAAAAGAATGCGAGGCGTGCAACCATAAAACGGGAACAACACAAGCTGCAACTGAAGCGCAAGGAGGCCATCACAAATAATCGCAAGAATCATATCAAGCTGCGCATTGAACAACTCAGAAAGAAAAGACGCAGTAGAGTAAAAAGCTATAATGCCCTGGCATGCTATGGATGGAAAGTCAAAAGGAGGAAAAGACTAACGAGAGAAATCACGTCTGCAGCTGTTCTCTTCGCAGATCGAGCGTTCCCCAAGACAGTCCAGGGAGGACGAACAGCTTGCAAAACGGGCACACTAGTGCAAAGGTCAGCAACGATGGTGAAAAATAGTGAACAACTAAAGGAAGAATGTCGAAAAATCATCAGCAAGCAAACAATGCTGGACAAGAAGGAAAAAGAACAAGAAAGCGTAGTAGAAAAAAGCGCATGCGTCTTATCTAGTAGAAAGCTCACCAATTATTCTCTTAGACGTGCTGAAAGATCAAAAACAAAGAAAAAAGGAGCTTCCCCCAGAGCAAGGCTCCCAGTAGGAAACTACGTCCAGTGTCATCTTCGGCGTTCCTCGTCTCTCGTACCCAGAACAGGACAGGAATCAAATACTACGGGTTTATCTCATCGCTCACTTGCCTATGCTGAATCAAAATCATATACATCTGGTTGCGGCGTCCTCACTTGCACTCAGGCCAACAACACCCACGCCACCCGCTACGAAGACAAATTCACGAAATGGAAGGCATCCATAAAGGCCATAGGGTCCCACAAATCATCCATAAAGGTCATCCTCGGATCATCCTACCGGAAAGCCTATGGATGCCCAACAGAATTACACCCGAGCCGGCGACTCCGATGAAGATGAGTCGGAACATCTACCGAGTGACCTCGTGCCGCAAGTCGCAAGGGGCATCAAATGGGCTGATGCTCCTCTAACCGAAATCAAAGTAGCCACAGTCAATATGATGGGAGCAGGGGCACACTCTGACCGACTCACCTGGGTGATTAAGCTCGCCAAGTCACGAGGATGGGACGCTGTTGCACTATCGGAATTCGAATATGCTAGGCTGGAAGACGAAGGAGAATGGATTCCTGAGCCAAGGAGTGTAGAACGCCATGAAGTTGAGACGGGGCTAATCAATGAAGACGACGAAGCGGACATCAATGGGGATGAAACAGGGAGACCTCTCAAGTTCAAATGGTCTCACTCAGCTGGCTTCTCAATTTGCTACACTTTTGGAGTTGGGCTGCTGCCCTGCTCCTAAGCCACACCCTGAGGCAACAGGCAGTTAAGAGAATTTCGCAAGGCACACCTTGCGTGAGAGCAAGAAGGAGGGCGCTAGCCTTATACCTTGACGAGATCGCTTTAGGTGCCGTATACGCCCCGCACTCTGGTTTCTCGAGAGCAGCAAAAGACTTGCTTCAGGCCGATCTTGAGAGGATGACGAGAGACATGCGTAAGCGCAGGGGCGACAAGTGGAAACCAAGAGTGGTGATGGGGGATTTCAGCACGCAAGTGGGCATCCTGGAATCCAGGCCTGCTCTTCCATCTCTTGGCCCGTACGGGCCACCCACCACAAGCATGGATGCGCGTCGCTTGGTAAGGATAATGTCGGAGGCTGGCATGACATTGGCAGGCTCCCACTTTAAGTTCCCGCTAGACGTTCAGGACAGAGGCACATATGCCCCTGACGGAGCCGGGATATCTGAGATTGACCACATCTGGGTCCGGGGCAACACGGCAGGCAAAATGGCTGCACTGTCCAGATTGCAGCTCCCAACGGGGCCTGGCAATCCTTGCAAATTTGACCACAGACCGGTGGGGATCAAGCTACTTGCTATGACGAAAAAGAGGCTCCGGAGAGAGGGCGAAATACGGATGAGATCCAGATGGATTTTCTCCAGGAATCCACCAGTAGAGCAGCTGCATCACTATAGCGATAGACTCAAGCAAAGAGTAGCTCACCTTAGTACATCCGATCCAGGCGCGCGACTAGCGGCCATCCACTCACTTTTTGGCCTTGAAGCTGAGGACTTTCTGGCACCGTCGGAAGCTGGCCCACCAGACGCAGCAATGGACGAAGCCCCCGTGTCTAGGCGCACGCTGCAGGAGGTGTGGTCATATTTCAGACACCACGAGGCACAAACTGGCACGGCCAAGGCGCAGATCACGGGGGAGCAGGCAAAAAAGAAATATGATTCAGTAGGGAACTCCCCGGCAATGCCTGAAAGGAATGATTTGCCTATATTCCGAGAGTTAGCGCAAGCAACCCCCAAGGCGACAGAAGAGCAGAAGCGAGAGCTGAGCAAGGAAATCACGACAGAGGAACTCGGGCAGAACCTGGGCACCATGCTATTGGGCGGTGCGCGTGATGCAACAGGAGCCTGCGTAAGGATGATTGCCTATCTAGACTACGACAGCAGACAGGTTCTAGTAGAAGCCATAAATCAGGCCGTAAACGAAATTGGCGGGATAGGTAAGTGTGTAACGGGGGACGACTTCCACACCTGCAGAGACGTCCCACTATTCAAGGGATCAGGCAGGGTGGATGATCCTGATGCCTACCGGTGTCTTGTCATCTCACCCATAACCCTGAAGGTTATAGCGAGGATTTACGGCGCTCGCCTCCTCAAGTTCGCTGAGGCTGCGTCCCTGCTCCCTGGATGTCAGTATGGGTTTCGAAGAGGAAGAGGCACGCTTGCCCCCCTTACGATATATGCCAAACTGCGCGAAGACCTAGCACACTACGCCAAGGCGCCTCTGAGTAGGGTGGTTATGAGTATGGTGGATTTGCGCAAGGCCTTTCCATCCCTCGATTGGAGGTTAGTGAGGGAGGTTTTCTCCCTGCTCGGCTTGGTTGGCACCCCACTCTGGTCGATTCTAGATTCCATACATAGAGACGCTGTGCATTCTTTTGGCGGAGAAGAATTTACACTGAATCATGGAACTAAAGAGGGCGATCCGACCAGTCCCACCATCTTTGTGATGGTATACTCAATGGCTATGCGTGTCTATGAACGCCGGGCGGCGGTCACGCAAGGAGCTGAGGGAGTACTGGTGCTCACATCTCCGCACACTTGGACATGGACCAGGGAGCAGAGGCTTCGTCAGTGGGTATTCGAACAAACTGACGAACGAATGCTAACACCACAACCACGCCCGGGATTGGTGCCAACCCTTACGACGCCTCTGGTACTCGAGCTATCTCTTCTCAGATCCTCTTTGCGGACGACACCACCTTGCTGGGACTAGTAACAGAGCAGGAAATGGAAGAGATAGAAGCAGACAGGCGAGACGCCAGGCACGAAAATAGGGAACCTAAGCCCACGCGTCAGGTTGCCGCACTTCAGTCTGTCCTACAGGACGCCGCGATGGCAGAGAACAAAACGAAACGCATACAAGGAAATGCTGCAACGCTGGCTACCAGGAATTTAGGAGTGCAGACCGATCCAGAGGGTGGCGTCGCGATGAAAATCCAGAAAGCATGGAGATCCTTCCACGCTATGAAAGCGAAGGTCTGTGGAATGGCTGGCGTCGACAACGTTAGACGCGGGAACTTGGTGCAAGCAACCGCCCGGTCAGTCCTGGTGTATGGCACACAGCCACAGGCGAACCGAAGTCAGTCTCCGTCAAGCATTGCAGAATGCTTGAAGAAGCGGAGCTGTCGATGCTGGCAGCAATGATTGGTGTTCCGATTTGGAGAAGACGTCATGACGACGTAGCCGATGCTTCTCTCTTACGTTGGACAAGAACTACTCCGCTCCGCTCGTTCATCGCATACCACCAAGCCAAACACGTGGCACATATAACGAGAGCCCCGGGCCTAAATCTGGAGAAGGCCCTCCTGCAAGGCCAGGCCATTCCACCGAGGAGTTCGGACACGGAGGAGAGAGATGCGCTCATAGCTTCAACTAGATACGACACAGCAATCCCGCCAGAACTCAGACAACCGCCTTCCTTGCTGGAGGACTTTCTAAAATATATGAGGACTGACGTTGGAATTGAAGACAGCCTACTAGTGGGATTGCTCGATCAGCCACCTACATCTTGTGCACCGTCACCCTCGCAGAGATCAAAAATGAATAAGCAGCAAAGGAAAGCGCAGGAGGACTATGAGCACCGGAGGGCCTTCTTTCATGAAATCATCAGGCACGCCTATACTTTCCAGTCAGTTGCACGATGGCAACGCGGGGGAGGCTGTGCCCCATCGCTTTATGCTGAGTTGGAGGTGCGTGCATGGGGCAAGACTCCTCTTCACTTAACCGAGGTAAATTGGCTGACAGATGAGGTAACTCGTGTTCGTGTTGGTGATGACCCCGCAGCGGCCCGAATCATAGCGCCTATAACAACTGACTTGTGGATCGAACCGGTGGTGGCGGGAGGCCAACGCTTACAAGGAGCGGGAGGTGCAGAACTTGATCCACAACAGATAGGAGCATCTCACGTGGTCGCGATCGGCACCTGTGGGAGGTATAGTCCATTCGCACCGAGGAAAAGATTAGAACTTCTAGTAGATGCTCCGACGTGGATTTACCTGGTTTGCTTGGCGCCACCAGTGGCGGGCAAAACGGACGCACCTACGACAGAGCAAGGTTTTTCCTGGAAACGTGGCCATGAATTAGAAGTAGGCGCCCCAATTGGCTCACCGCAACCGAGAACATACAAATCTTTGGCACTCCCAGCCAGATCAGCCCTGACAATGGCCCTGCTACCGCAAACATCATTTCTCCTTCTAGTAGGTCTCGAGCAAGGAACAGTAGACGCCCTAACCGTGAAGCAATGGAGAACTCCACTCAGCGAGTCATGCTGCATCGGATGTGAGGAATTAAGAATAGCAAGCGACTCACAGGATTCAGGGAGACGATGTAAAAAATCGTCGTGCCAGCTGGCGTTAAGGTCCACCATAGAAGCATGGAGAAAAAGCATTCTGATGCCAAAGCTGGACCCCTTAGCTGACAGGATGCAAGCAGAGGCGAAGGCGCGTGCGGCTGAGCGGAAGCTCCTTAGTGTTCGGAAAGAGGTGGAGAAGGAGGGTTCCTTGTTTCGACTCGTGCGATCCGTGGGACCGAAGCGTGCTGGCAGGAAGAAGAGGCCAGAAAGATACAGGTGCACGCCCTGCGGGCGCACCTTCGTCACATCATTAGGAGCAATGAGGGCGCACGAGCAAGCACGTCTTTGCATGAACATCATAAAGAGCTCTATCATAAGGAAGCGAAGACAGCTACATAGTCGAGTGGGCTGCACGCGTTCCGAGTACAGACCTGAACAGCACTCCTTCAACAAGGTCACAGGGCGTTACTCTTCAGGTTCTGGCGCTGTCCTGTGCGAGGTGATGACTCCAAATACTATCTGGACGGACGGGACAAAAGCAAGAATCTCCTGCCAGAAATGTCGCAAATGGAGCATTGAAATGTGCAAAAAGAGCATGACAATCAGACAACAAGCAAAGAGATCTGACTTCTATCACTCACACATTGAGAAGTGTAAGCTGAAGAAGTAGTCTAACTGCCGAACAAATGCAAACCTGAATTAATCGACCATAATTAAAAAGTCTTTGCTACCTCTCGAATGGGTACACTACTACTACTACTACCTTCAATCTAGTACTAGTGCCTACAGTACAGTAAAGTACTAGAAAGCTTCTTATCCAAGTACAGTACAGTACTAGGCTTCTTATTTCCTTTTGCTTGTTGTTCTTACTTCAGAAGGTTTACGTTTAGGCTATCCTTCTTCTAATAATAGTGCTTGGTAAAAATGTAGCTCAGTACTAGGCTTTATTGTATGATCCACCCTCTTCTAATAATAGTGCTTGGTCATATGGTAGCCGGAGCCACAACGAGCGCATCAGAGGTGGTCACGAACAAGCTGTTGGCAGAAAGTTAAAGCTCAAAGTCAAACACGACAAGCGTCCTTGCCCTCGTTTCTTGCCTTCATCTTCGTCTCTTCTTATTATATAATTAGAGTAGTTTATAGAACGGATGTAGGATGGACTTGGATGGATCGGATGGATCGGATGGATCGGATGGATCGGATGGACCCCCCTGATTCTTCCGATCCTACTTGAAATGGTGGAAAGTCCATCCGTTCCATCCGATCCATCCGATCCATCCCATCCCGGATCTGGCACCCCGATAAACTGCTCTAGTATATACTTCTCTAGGACCACAGAGGTAGCTATAGCTTTGCGAACAAGTTGCTGCGTTGATAACTAGAAGGTATTGACAGAGGTATGTCTAGTTATTCAGGAGAGCTACCTGGTTTGATACCTTTGTCAGTACTATCTTCTAGTTATTTACTTGCTTAATCTAACTCTACTTGCAGCTTATTTTCAGTACTTCTATCTTACTTGTTGCTTACTATCGTCTACTTATTTCACTACTGTCAGTCTCAGTGTTATTCTGCTGACTTGCTTATTTCAGTTTTTCAGTACTATCTTCTGTGTTGATATTCTAGTTATTTACTTGCTTAAGATCGTACTTTCCGGCTCATATCTCACGCTTACCAGTCATTGATTCGCTTACAACTTCAGAAGTTTTTCGAATGATAGACTCATCTACTCTAAGAAAAAAAGCGGGATCGCCTCCGAAAGGGTAGAAAGCGCGCTGATGGTGAATATCGCACTAACGACGGCAAGTTTCATGACGATCCAGAGACCCTGGAGTACCTGATCCACCTCTATGGTGGTGAATACCGTGCGATAGCTACCGACGAGGAAGTAAGCACAGACCCCTACTGTATGGAGGATGATGCTCATGCTTGTTGTTCCATCTTTAACGGACCATGATCCTGGTGGCACTCGTTATTTCAAGGAAGCGATGACTGCCAGGATCTTCATGGTCTGGCTCTAGAGGGGAGAAAAGACAGCATCCTCCATAAAGTGGGAATGGAAACCGAAGCTGATCGCTTTTGGCAAGAACTACCTCCTGCGTCGGGCAGCGCAGAGGCACATGATCAAAATCCGAAAGTTAAGGCCACTATTAAAGTTTTTCACTATGTATCCCATGGATCGATGTGGACTGTGCTGAGCGCAGAAGTCTTGCCCCTACAACATGGAGCGACAACGAAAGGGCATCACACTCAACCACGGATAGTCGTGAGAAACTAGCGCTAAGAAAGCTGAATATGGACGCCGCTCATCTGAACGCGCAAAAGATTATGGCTTCCCCTAATCCATCTCTAGTATAGGGATCCTTCAAGCATATGCCTCCCAATACGCGGGAGATGCTGACGCATATGCTTGAGGGATTTCCATAGGGATGAATTGGGGAGAGGTCTAAAAAGAACAAGCTGATGAAGGAAGCGGCTTGGCGGAAGGAAGTGGAGAGACCCAGGATCCAGCGAAACGGCCTCCAATTAGAATTAAGGCTTACCTTTATCCATCTTCTGAGGCATCCTGAGGAAGCTCCGCGATGGGAAAAAGCATCCAGCAGGGTGCACCCGCCCAAGAGGGAAGATTACGATTAGCGCGAGCTCTAATAAAGAATCAAATGGCCTCTGCGACTGGTGAAGCTGCCGATGGGTTGTGGTACGATACCTTGTTGGATATCTTTATGATACAAGTTCTTGTACATGAACAGAGCACACCAGAGAAAAAGTTCGTTGATTTGACACTCTGTTTGATTGATAAGTGTACAAAAAGACTGAACTACCTCAAATCCTCCATTAGATGATATGGATAAGGAGGGCACATGATGACATGACATGCCACGAAAACTGCGCCGGTCGTGAACAGGGCTGCGGTTGGACGAGGTCAGTTCGTTGGCTCAGTGGTGGCTTAGTTCACTCATCTAATCTTGACACAGCCGATGCAGAAAGCAGTCAGGTAGCTGCAGAATGGCGCAAGTCGCTTTTTGAGTGGGAGGATGCCGCGTTTAATGTGTTAGCGCAGCAACAGTCGAGGTTCTTATGGTCGCGCGAAACTTCAGTTATAAGAACGTTTTTGCTTGTGCTTCTTCGCTATGAACAAGCATGCTCTAAGGGAACCAAGTTAGCATGCTCTAAGGGAACATTCATGAAGAAAGGGAACCAAGTTAGCATATAAATGGTGACGTTCTATTAAATGAAAGTAGTATAAGTATTGATATGTATAAAAAATTTATTCGCCAGGGAAATCTTCTGCAGAGTGCCGAGTAGATTCACGCTGTCACATTTATAAAGAATCATGCAACTAAACTTAGAAGTAGGGAAGATCATCCAGCAGATGATGTACTTGCAAAATCAATGGATTCATCTATGTTGTATGCGACCTTCGTTCTTCTTGGTTACGAACGAACCTCTTCTAAGTGAAAATAAGCGAGTTCTTGTAGCTAACTGAAATAACAGAATAACCACGTAGCTGCTCTTCTTTCAGTATCTCGGTTATTCAGAGGAGTTAGTTTTCTATTGAATGGTTCTGGTATTTGGTAACCTGAATTTGATCCTAAGGGAAAACAAGAAGAGAACCCTTAGGATCAAACTCAGGTTACCAAATACCAGAACCATACATCTACTCACTCCTATTCCCGTAGTTCATTCTGTTCTTCTAAGTTCAGCCCATATGAAGCATGTGGTGAGTGCGGATGAGGCCAGAAACCTTTTGCGACCGACGGCTGTTCGCTTAACCGGTATGGAACAAGCGAAAAAGGGTTTGGATGAAAGAGGAACCGCGTTACGGCATGTTGCAGACAACATAAGAACTACTCAACTGGCCGTTCAAGTACTCGAAATCTGAAGACTCGATTGAATACGAGAGCTAGCTTTGAAAGGCTACTCTCATTTTGGTACTATCCTCTGGCTGCGTTATTGTAAACATTTATAGTACAACTTACTTGCTTATTTCAGCTTTTCGAGTAGTCGTAGTTCTTGAAGCCTGTCCATGTGGAATTGGCGAGGACTTAGTTGTAGTCGTGGTTCTTGTTCTTCTTGAAGCATATCATAATAGTCATCCGATGAAGAATCAGGTTCAGGGAAGTACCGAGTCCAAGTGAAGAAAGTTTGGGCTTTGAAAAAATATTATTATATATATTCACTATGAAGAGTAGATGTAGACGCAGTGGCTACTGAGTAGTAGTCCTTTCTAGAGGCTGCAGAAGAAGTTGCACTTGCACAAAAGTAATGAAGTAAGTCTTCGTAGTCACTAGAAGTTGTACTCTCTAATCTGAGACCGAACGTGGGACAGATTGAATCTAGGCTCGAAGGACATAGTCTACGATGTTATGGATGGCGTTTATTCCATACCCTAAGCGTGCAACCCTAAGCGCCCCCTTAAATAATGCTATACGTTATCTTCAAGCGGAAAAGGGTAGCCGTGACGGTCTGGCCAGATGGAAGAGACGCCATTCATTTGTGTATCATTACCAGGAAAAGGCGTGCACCATTACTATTTCACCGGAATGGATCAGAAACATGTGGATGTTGTACGTTCGAGACTGCAGTTAAGACAAACGTTATTGGCTCTTTTTGTTCTGTCGCACCATAGATCATACGAGAACGAAGAAGAACTTCTTGTAGTTGTACTTTGATCAAGAAGATCATCTCGACCAGAGCAGCGACTTCGATGAGGGGTTTCATAGGTGTCGTGGCCTGAGGAAGAACAAGTTCCCTACACGCGTTCGTAACTGAACAGAGTAGCTCATCATCATCATCATCATCATCGTCATCGTGTCAATATCTCTAAGGAAGTATGTTGCTACGCCTGCTTTTTTGCCGTGGCGACATTACTATCAACCTGCCCAGGGCGATAAACCCGTAGGGGAGAAAGTTAAGGCTAGCACTACTAGCATCTCGTTGGAATGAAGAACATGAGGAAATGTTGTAAAGTAGTAGCACTTTGCTATTGCTATGAAAATAGCCAAGTAGGTGCGGATTTTCAAAAACGATCCGCTTCTACCCGAATCTAGACCACGGAGGTCGCCTTCTAAGACGGTCCAAGAGTACTGAGATGTCACGAGAAACTAGGAATGTCTAGAAATCAAAATCTTCCAAGCCTGCTTCTGTGTCAGTCACTAGAAGCATGTTTCAGCCACTAGAAGTAGACCTCAAGGTTTCTTGTCAATGTCATGACAACGTCAACAAGGTTTGTCATGAGCTGCCTGCATCTATCTTCTCTTGAATTAGAGTCGCCCACACTTGCGTCCCCTCGCTCTAGACAGCAGAACACCTCTCGCGAACTTAGAGAATGTCTGATAGGAGTAAAAAAGGAAAGGCTAAAATGAATGAATCGTCTAAGAAAGGAGGGCAGAAAAGAGGGGTCGCTACTACTGGAAATGAGTTGGGGACGGCCAGGACTCGGATTATTTTGGATAGTGTTGCATTTTCCTCCTGCAGTGCCCCGAGCTTTGTTAAGACGTGGCTAGCGCGATAGAGTAGGCGACATAGCGCAGAGATATAGAATAGGGAGTAGAATAGAGAGGGAGGCATAGAGTAGGCGCGCTGCCTCTGCTGCTTCTACTAGAACTAGAGTCGTACTAGTCGTGGTCGAGGTAGAGCAGAGTCGTACTAGTGCAGAACGGAATCGCACTTGTCTAGAGCTGCCGCGCCACTAGTCATCTCTTCTATCGTCTTTAGAGCAGCATATGAAGAAGACTACATTGTGTTCTAACTTTTGACACATGTGGAGTGAGACGACACCTAACACGATTATCCCATCTACCGGAATGCGATGTTAAGGCGAATTACAGGAAAAGAATCACTACGTAGAAATTAAATGATTCACTACGTAAAAAGAGACCTGAAATTAATAAAGAGTCACTACGTAGCTGCCCCTCCTTCAGTATCTCGGTTATTCTCATCGTTTACATTTACTTGCTTAGTTCAGTTTATCGAATATAAACTCTCTAATAATGTGAGACGTGGGATGACGTTCGCCAAGTGCTAGACATCAGCGACACTGACGAGACCGTCACTGACTCGATTCGCCGAAATCGAATCTTCACCGGATATTGTTATGGAGTTATTATATGTTGAAGAGTATGTGGTCCATGTCCTTTACCTTCTAAATAAGCTAATGTGCGTCATGTGCTCTCATTTAACTTTGTGCTGTGGCGAAGTCGTGAACAACATCAAAGAAACGCCTAATAAAGGACTGAACCAACTGTGCAGTAGTTGCAGCAGTTTCTTGGAAGGAAAAACCCAGTCGTGTCTAGTAGTCGTGACTAATGTCTTCTAATGTGTTCTCTCTTCCTGTCAGCGGGATCCTACCTGTCAGCTTGCCCTGGTGCACGCTCCTCCTGGAGGAGGCGAGGAAGATGGAGCCAGGGACGCTGAACAAGATGATCCAGGACGAGGATTAAGGCGAGGATAGACATGATATAACTACAGGCGAGTAACTTCTAGTTCAAAACAACTGTGACTGTAAATAATACTACAGGCGTCAAACTGATCTAATTACAGAAAGTTGTGGTCAGTGGTCTCAGTTATTTTTAAGTAAATAAGTTCATGTGTCTTGAAAAAGTAAGAGTACCAGCTACCCTATCAAACTGTCTTGAAAAAGAGCACAGTCTTCAATAAGTAAAAGTAACCCTATCAAACTGACTTCAAAATATGCTGACAGAAAAAAGTGCACTCATACTCAAAAAACGGTCTAGCTTCCTACTTAGATCCTAGCCAATTTCTTGAGTGTGAGTGCACTTGTTTTTCCTTTCATAATATAAAGAGGGGCAGTCACACACATACTCTGTTGTAACAAAGTCTCTTCAGTGGGATTTAGAGTTTGTCCAAGTAGCTCTAGTCGTAGTTGAGCTCTAGTCATGATATTTGTAACGAGTTGGATTAAGGCTTCTTTTTTTTTGACTCAGTTCTCTTCTAATTCTAGGAGGTGGACGGGGGTCGACCGCACCATCCACGCCATACATTTGTCGCTTTGGAAGGTACAGTCCGGTGTCAGTGACGCCAGGTCCCTTCAAGCTCGACGATCCGGAGACAAAAAAAGAGAACACTGTTATGTTGTTGCCGAGAAATAATTGGAATACTAAGAATAAAGTAGATTTTATATAAGTACATGCCCAGCAGAAAGCAGGCCCATCAAGGGCCCGCTGCACTGGGCATAGGTTAATAGCAACTAGGCTGATAAGACTACGACGCAAGCCCCTAAGTCACCAAGCTAGAGGCGGCAGCTGGTTCAGGATGGACTATCCTGGCTGTCGCTGTCTTGTGGCTAAGTAAGGTAGCAAGCTGGCTGTGGCTAGCATGCCAGATATGGCGGAGCTAGCAAGCTGGCCAAGATTAGGCTAAGCGGCTGGCTCTGGCTGCCGAGCTAAGCTAGCAGGGTGGCCATGGCCCAGCTAGCCAGCAAACTGGCTATGGCTAAGAAAGCAGCTGCTGAGCTAGGTCTCGCAAAGGCAGCAGCTACCAAGCTAGCTCTGAAGCTATGGCTAAGCAGCTAGGAGCAAGCTAGCGATGGCCAAGAAGCTAGCAAGCGAGCTATCAAGGCCAAGTAGCTGCTAGCTTGCTAGCTTAATAGGGCCGAGCAGCTACCTAGTAAGCTCGCTAGCTATGGCGCAGCAGCTAGGAAGCTAGCCATGGCCGAGGAGCAGCTACCTTGCTAGCTAGCTATGGCTAAGCAGCTAGCAGGCTAGCTATGGCTAAGCAGCTAGCAGGCTAGCCGCTAGCTATGGCTAAGCAGCTAGCAGGCTAGCCGCTAGCTATGGCTAAGCAGCCAGCAGGCTAGCGACGGCTAACCTAGCCAGGTAGCTACGGGTAAGGGGTAAGCAAGCAAGCAAGCCAGGGCTAAGCAGCTAGCAAGCTGGCCATGGCTAAGCTAGCAAGCTCAGGCCCTTGCGAGGTGGCGGCGGCCCTTAAGGGTGGGCCTATTATTAGCTTAAGTTTATAACAGCTTTCCCTTAAGGAGCCACCTCCTTACGGAGGATCTTCCCTCTTAAGGAAAGCTGTAGTAACTTTTAGTAATGGGAATTCTTTATAAGGGAAACGATTTCCTTAACAGGAAGGAACTTGAGGAAGTCCCTTAAGGATTTGAGAAAAGTTGTTTACCCTATTATAAGTACTGATATAAATCAAGCGATAAGAGGTAGTACTATGTATTTGCCGATAAAAAAAAGTAGCTCTTAATTAGCCGAAAATCGTAATTCGATGTTATGATATAGCTTGCACGAGAGCTAGCATAATTTGAATCAAAGAAGAAGTTGTTCATGGGAGTAACTAAGAAGACGGGAGGCTGATGAGTGCTGAGTCAAATAGTAGTACAACTAGGGATCAAGAACGTCTTCTATCATGGTAAGGTAATATGGAGCATAGAGCTGTTATGTCTTGACGCATCGTGCGCATGGTGACCTTAGTCCATCATTAAGAACATTTGTGTAAGTAAGTTGCACCATTACCATATGTCACCATGTAAAAATGACGAAGTTCATCTTGTACACAACGAGTCGCCTCAAGTTCTTGTGGCCAGCACATTAATTTTCCGGTTCTTGCCCTACTTCTCCTTCTTTCATAGAGGAAAGAATCCACGTGGACCATTTTATATCTGGCCGCGTCGCCTTATGGATCATGTTTTTCCCATCCCTCTTACGACCATCGAGGCTGTTGACCCTTTAGCTTTCTTTCCCCTTGGAGCAAGTGTATAATAAACAAGTCTCTACTCGGGTCGCTACGGAACCAGGCAGCTTTGAGTGAGTTGCTACGCGGTTCGAATGAATGAATGAATTATGAATGAGAATGGAACTACAACTTCCCCGTGAAGAAAGTGTACTATCGATATCTTTAGTACTAAGTTATTTCAATAAGGGGAACAACATACAACATACAACTACCTCCTCGATGGTCTGTCCTGCAGCTTACGTAGATGGAAAAAACACGACGGACACCGTTCTTTCATATACCTACGGAGTGCCTCACGGCCGGGTCATTGAAAGGGAAGAAGAGGAGGAGGGTGATATCAACGCGGATCGAGATGCGAACAAGGAGGAGCAAGGTGCGAACAACGAGGAGAAAGATGAGAAAGCGCAGAAAGATGCAGATGAAAATTTAGGATATATATCAATCAAGAGTCAACGAATAGAGCAATCTGATTGATTGATTGATTGATTGATTGATTGATTGATTGATTGATTGATTAACTGATCAGCGGGAGCGCAGTCGTGCTTGCACAGTCCAGATTTGGTCCTGGGTCTGTTTGTTCCTCCGTTATCCAGCACCGCCGCTCGTTAGACGGCCGCATCTAGGTGGTTGATTGTTAGAGCATTCTCGTCGCCATTCTTGTAAATTATTCTTTCCTTTAATATTTCCTGTGAATAAAAAGACTTTCACACTATTTAATAGAAATTCTAGGCACAGACGTAATTAAGATGTTGATGGCAGCGAAGATATTACTAGAACTAGTTCTTGATAAAGGAACTAGAGGATAGTACTTTCGTCGTTTTAGTTCCTGTGAAGACCGCCTCGTCCGCCACTCCAATTATTTTGTGCCGTAGTCCCTCTGACGAGGTCTAATCGAGGCAGAAATATGAGTAAGCAGATAAGATAGAAGAACGGTCATGAGTATCGGTAAATTTGTATTCGGCTGGTGAGATATTCAAGATCCCTCTTCTTTTCTGTGACCTCTAATTTCATTGCCACGCAGTCTCCGTTTTTCGCTGTATACCAAAACAGATCCAGAACAGGGTTCCCGAGCTTTGGGAGCACGGAGTAGGCTCGCCCGACAGCTGCCTTGGGCGAAATCGATCTCCGTCGATGAGACACTGTTTAAGGCAACCTGGACTTTTCCATCATCCTGACCTCGGAGTTGAGCAGCTGTTGCCGGGGGTGCTCGATGTGCAGGATTCATAACCTAACGCTAACCTAACCTAAGTAGTTGTAGTTTAAGTTTTCCTTCTTTCATTCACTACTTCGTTTCCTTTTAGAAAAATTTCAAAAAAATAAAATTTCAACTTTTTTAGCTTTCATAGTTCATCTCACGAGTCAAAGTTTGACAATCAGAAGTACTGTGTTTGAAACACAGTACTTCTGATTGTCAACTAGTACTTTGATTTGTGGTTAAAGTTATAGCATTGTTACCTCAAGTAGTGCATGCTGTTACAACTTTTCATATTTCTCCTTAGTGTTAGTCGAAGATTCTCCTCTGCTATTCTTTCAAAATGCTCTTTCAACACAAGAACTTTTCAGGCTTTATTATTGCTTCATCCTCTAACCTATTCGAGGAGGACCGCCGCAAACTGTCTCAGTCATACAAAAATTAAGGCGCCTTTTTATCTACAACATGTACATGATCTAGCACTGTAGTATCTTCATTTTTTACCAGAAGCAGGTCAAGCTGACTCGGCCGATGAGCGCCAGGAGTTCTACTAGTGTGCAACTAGGTCTACAACATGATCTCCTGTATCATGTAGAAGGACGTGTGAGCAGCACCAGCAGTAGTGAAATCTCTCCAACCTCTGACTACTGCAAATGAAAGAAGCAGAGCAAGAACTACCCCATCCTCCTTCTCATCTCCTCATCTAAATAACAGAACTAGAACTACCTCATCCTCCTCCTCATCTTCCTCTTCTCCTCATCTAAAGAAAGGTGATGGAACTTTGGCGTTTGGTGCTTGCGAATGAAGAGTATGAGAACTACTTGCTAGAGCTAGAACACCTCACGCGAAATGCTGGAGATCCGCAAGTTATGGAGGAGGGTTCATCGAGCTGGAGTTAAATGAGTAGGGGGGGTTCGACTTCGTTGATGATGATGACGATGATGACGATATTATTGATGTTGCTCCTGCTATAGCTATTTTTATATAAATTTTCAATAAAACAACACATTTTTTCACGAAGATTTTTCGTCTTAGAGCAGGTGAATGACTACAACCACTACCATAGACGTATCGCAGTCACTATCTAATCCTTGTGGTCCTTCCGACGAGGGGAGCGCGCTACTGCCAATCGCTTCCATCATGGATAACACTCAGAAGGCGACAGAGTTGTTACGGCTTGTTGCCCGAGTCCATCCTCTGGAGCATCGTCCTGAGTAGGCTTTTTCAAGGGGGAAAGAGGACCAGGATGCTTTTCTTCAGGATGGATCAGGTCTAAAGCGCTCTAAAGTTGGATCGTAAAGCAGATGTGGAGACGAAGGTTATCCGTCCGCATGTTCTTGAAGGTCAGCAAATTATTTCCTGGCTCACCGAACAAAGTGACTTAAGGTCGTGGAGGAAGAGATGATCACCCCTTGTTGCTAGAGACTCGCTTTTAGTAGGTTCGTTAGTACTAGGTTGATGAAATAAATGTTGCTAGAGACTCGCTTTTAGTAGGTTCGTTAGTACTAGGTTGATGAAATAAATGTTGCTAGAGACTCGCTTTTAGTAGGTTCGTTAGTACTAGGTTGATGAAATGAATGTTGCTAGAGACTCGCTTTTAGTAGGTTCGTTAGTACTAGGTTGATGTATTTCTATTTGTACGTAATAGAAATGGTCCTCTGGATGAACTAGTAGATTCCGATATGTCTAGTTGACTTATCTCTCTTTTTTCGGTCTGGAAAAGTAGACTTGTTGTCTCTTGGAAGAAACTTCTAGTAGCCTTGTTGTCTCTTGGAAGAAACTTCTAGTAGCCTTGTTGTTTGTATGGCGGACTTAAATAATTATTTTAGCAAATAATGACTTTTCCAAATCTTCACTTTTACCACTAGATTCTGCAAAAGTGGAAAAGTATCTAGATGCTAAAGCAATTCTTTAACTCCGCCATATTAGTAAGTTGGGGAGAAACTTATAGTAGACTTGTTGTTTGGGAGAAACTTGTACACCTACACAGGCACTTAAAATTAATTATCTCTTTATAGAACACGACGTGGTGGTCTAGAAGTCTAGAAGGCGTTAATACATCAACATTGTAGATACAACTTAGTCTCTTTTTCTCGTTAGATTTTCTTGCTCTCCCAGCGAGGTACAAGAAGATTGAAAGGCCTTCACTAAGTTTCAATGCCTTGGAGAGCATTCAGATGCGGAAGCTCAGTCGGGAAAAATTAGGGCTCTATACTTTAATTATCTCTATAATTTTCATGTCCACACTGACATATCTCCCTATTGTGATCCTACTTGAACTTTCAACATGATACTTCTCCTGGTCCTGGCTATGATTTCCACATATCTCAACTTCGTTTAAACTTTGCTCATCTCAACAAAGAATTACAAGAGGAAAGACAGAGGTCCTTCTGATAGAAGTATAGAAGAAGAATGTATGGCTAGTATGGTATACAATCGCACAATTATAGGAATGTACTTATGTGTATACAATGTATGTGTACTTATTCAAGAGGAACAAAGAGATGCAATGACAAGAATGTACTTATGTGTATAGAAGAAGAGGAACAAAGAGATGCAATCTGCAATCATGCACAATTATAGGAATGTACTTATGTGTATACAAGAAGAGGAACAAAGAGATGCAGATGCAATAACCCCAAGAATGTAGTTAGTCGTTTTTTCGAATGTGACGTCTGTGGATGCGCGCGTCCCAAGGAGCGAAGGAGTCGATCAGCCAACTGAGTAGGAAATCAAGAAAAAACGCTGATTTTGCGTTTAATTATATTTACGGTACGGATATTAACAGAGCTTAGTGAAGTTAAATAACCTACAATCTAACTAATACTCCATTATTTGAAACGGATACTAACTACAGACTTTATTTTACAACTTTAGTGCAGCTGATTGAATGGTTTCCAATTATAAACAATTGGGTACACTACGGATATTAACGCCACGATTGGGTACACGACTTTAGTGCTGATTGAATGGCTTCCAGGAGTCATTTACATTTTGAACTTGCTTGATTGAATGGCGCTGGTATTTGGTAACCTGATTTTGATCATAAGGAAAACAAGAGGGGAATTCTTGTCGTGATCGAATTCAGGTTGCCAAATACCAGAGCCATACGCTGATACTTGTGTTAATCTATTTTTCAGGTACAAGTTTATTATCTCTAGCTTCTTTGACTCAAAAGGGCGCTTTTACGACTGTTTGTTCTTTTTGTTGACAGACAGTAGCTAGCCAGCCATGTCGATGTAGTTCTGAAACTTTATTAGAACCTGGTGAACTCAAGTGAAAATAAAGTTCACCAGGTTTTTTGAGAGAGTTAACACCTTGAAAGACAACGACCTCTTATATTTTTATTTGAGTTTGTCTTTCAAGGTGTTGCTCGTCTCTGCAGCATGAAAGTGTCGTGCCTTCAAGTGCATATCTAGCCTATACGCTCACTCCGTCACAAGTGAGCGCACTCCTATCCTATCCTATCCTATCCTATCCTATCCTATCCTATCCTATCCTATCCCACTGAGTGAATCCAAGTGAGTCAGCAGCCGTTGGGCCCGTTGTAAGAGGTATTGGCTTACTAGCTTGGAGCGTCCGACGACATCCCTCCCATTAGGATCCCCCTCCTCCCCAAAGTAAGAAACTAAGCACGGCAAAGATGTAAGCGATGCGCGTTTTGCAAATTTCGAAAATTTTCCACGTTTTGCCATCGTTTGCGGATTGAATCTCGTGCGTTTGAAGTGCTAAGGCCCCCAAGCTTTTTGACTTTAAGCCCTTGCCCTGAGACACAATTTCTTGGGTTTGCATTTTTCAAATTTCGAAAATTTTCCACATTTTGTCGGCGTTTTTGGATTGAATTTCGTGCGTCTGAAGCGCTAAAGTCCCAAAATTTTTGATTTTAAGCCCCTTCCCTGACATTCAATTTCTATCTTGGGTTTGCACTTTTCAAATTTCGAAAATTTTCCACGTTTTTGCGCCGTTTTGAGGTTGAATTTTGTGCGTTTGAAGTGTTAAAGTCCCAAAGTTTTTGACTTTGCGCCCTTTCCCTGAGATTCAATCTCTTGGCTTCCTTCGCGTTTTTCAAATTTCGAAAATTTTCCACGTTTTTCGTCGTTTTGCGTTTGCATCTCGTGAGCTTGTTGAAGTGCTAAGATCCCAAAGCTTTTGACTTTAAGCCCTTTCCCTGGAATTCAATTCCATGGCTTCGTGGTTTCTTGGTTTCCTGGTCTGGTTTCCTGGGTTCATGGGTTTGGGGTTTGTTTGTTTTTGCGTCGGAGGTTGTGGGCCTGGGTGTTGGAGGTTGAGGTTTCGGAGGGGAAGCGTTTGCAGAGTTTTATTGCTCTTAATATTATTACTAAACTAGGAGTCGTTTGTTTTGCCTACGTCGTCGGTTTCGATATGGATGTTGTGACGCTTCCAATGTTCATCATACTGGTACTGTACTATTAGGCATTGGTGTAGTACTTTCATAAGTAAGTAGATTCTATATTAGGTGATATTGGTATACATATTTCCATTCCTTTTCTTATATTTTTGATTAGGTCGTATTGGCTGATCCACCAAGTGACTCAGCGTCTGAGGTCGTTTTGGGTTCTTCTAGTGGGTTCTACTTTATATAATTTATGATATGACTCATCTCCTGGATGGGCGAAGATGCTGGTCCATCACGTCGGATACTATTTCACGAGGACAACTCAGACGAGTCAACAAGGAAACACGTAGGACACACACGATAACACACATCAATGTTGCCCTGACTGTCATCAAGCTCTAATGTTAAGGGAACAACTTGAGCATAGTACAAGAACTTGTTTTATTGTTCCTCAATGAATAGCATTTCCGTTTCCCCCTTAAGTTCATCCCAGTACTGCATACTAGGAGTTTTCCGCTGAAAACAGTACCCTCTCTTCAAGTCATGAATTTATATTTGAGTAAGTTTTACATTTCGTTCCTCTTCAATCTAAATCAGTCTTCACTGTTATTCTTCACTACAAAAAACTTGTTTTCATTAACCAAGTATAGTATGATGAAAAAAATCGAAATCCTCAAGAAGAATCACCAACTAACATGTCTTAATAAATATTATTTCGAAGAATGTGATCCCATTTGTCACGCAGTGAGTCACGTATTTTTCTATTGATGTAATGTCTTTGACGATTGGGCTTCCTACTATTCATTGCTACTTCTACTAGTGCTACTACAAGCGTAGCTTATTTTTTACAACAATCGGCATCATGTTTTTTTTCCTCGCGGGAGGATGATCTTCTCTTTTTCCTCTAATGATAAGTGCAAACGGCGAGGTGCAACGAGGCGAAGCAAATAGAGGCAGTGGAAAAGAACAGACTGGACTTGGGCGACAAGAATTAAGCCACGTTCATGAACATCGTCAAGCTTGCTCTTGACGTTGACTACATTCCTCTTCTTTCAGTATCTCCCTTATTTTCCGTAGTAAGTTACTCGCTTAAAAAGTATATTTCGAAAAATACTACTTGTTAGTCCTCCTTGTTTTGTAAGGCCACCTCGTGTTCTTTTACGAGGACTAAGTACGTCCGATGGTAACAAGACGGGGCCATACAGGACAGATTCACTAGGAACAAGAGCTACCTGTTTTAGGTCGTAGTCGTGTTCCTAGACTCTTCAGGACTAGGTACATGATTCATTGATGGCACAGAATCAGAACTTACTTTGATTGCATTTGTAAGAGGACTTCTTGTTCTTGTTGTTCTCTTTTTAAGTACTAGGATTGACAGGAAAACTAACCTAGGACGTTCTTGCTGGTGCATAATAAAAAGAAGATAATAGCAAGCTAATTTTTGCAATAATACCATTTAATATCAAGTTCAAGATTTAATCGTAGTTCTAATAACCATAAAAATAGAAGTAGTTCTAACAACAAGACATTTGGTGTAAAGACCGTCGCGAGGGCCGCCCACCAGACGATGTAGCTCACTTTCAACCAGCAGACGACAGTTAAGGCGTTGGTTCTTCTTTGTCAAGTACAACTACGATAGAATATGATAACAGCGACATCATATTGGTTAACTAGAAGTAAGGAGCTATTGCAAAACGAGAAAGAAGCGGATTAATGACTACTGAAATAAGGGACGACGTTGTAGCTTTCAAAGTCTCCCCTCATTTCAGTACTATCTTGATCTTCTCTGTTATTCTAGAAATTTGCCGCGCAGCTGCAGACTGACACTTGATAGAAGTCCTTTAATATACAATTTTACTCCTTAGAAGTTGTAGTGGCTTTTAAAAGTTCTAGGCTCACCTTGTTATTTACGTGTTGATTTCAGTTTTTCGAATAGCTACTTTGTTTTTCGATCATCTGCACTCAGTTACACAGAGGACAGTCGAAGACTCTTTTCCTAGTGGTCGAAGTTCTTTTTTTTACGACAATGACGGTCGTTCTAAATCAGCGGTGTTTACAAGTGCTACGCGAAAAGGCACGCATACCTCACTTAAGGCATCAACGCAACTACTCCTTCTACGACTACTTTAATTACTTTTTATCATGCTTCTTGCCGTAGAAGTAGGAGAACGTAGTTAAAGTTAGAGTTGTGGCGCCACCAGCGGTAGGTCGTATTCTTGTTTTTGGCTCGTCAGTAGCCTAGAACTACGTCTGCTAGTTTCCCTAGTGGGCCCACGCATAACCTGACCGAACCTAACCTAGTGCCGTAGGTAATGATCGCCATTTATACACGACGAGCCTCTACTACTGGCTCAGCCTTCGGCTCCGCGAGGACCCTACAACTTCCTTCTACGTCTATACAACAAGACTTTTCCTTCTACAACTTGAATTTGTAGATGACAAAAAAGTAACTTTATTTACCATGACGATATTTGGTCATCAACATGTGTTGATGTTCGAATTCGTTTCCTCCACCCACAGGTCGTGGTCTTCCCCTCTTGGTCCTCGTCCACCTCTACCCGGAAGCGGAAGCTTGGGACCTTGCTTTAGACTGTTTACAACTAATAGAGAATCGCCCAACATCTCTGCAACTTCGTCTACGCTGCATAGTCACCTACAACTACTACGTTCGTCTCAAGTGATTGTACCTAAAAATCAGTAAAAATCATCTCTGAGTTTTTCATTCATTCACTGCGCCTCATCAAGTGATTTCGCAAGTAATTCGTTTCCTCCACCCACAGGTCGTGGTCTTCCCCTCTTGGTCCTCGTCCAAACTCTAAAATAAGGGCGCGAAAAAGGGCGTGATGGCTGCTGCGAAATTCGTGAAGGATAAAGCGAAATCCTTTCTGGGATCACTCAAGAACTTGGGAGGTGGTCGCAAGGACGACAGCGTCAGCGAGAACTATGAGGAGGAGATGAAGGAGGAGATCAGCAGGAATGGTAAAATTATGGCTGCAAACGATGAAAGTATTTTTTTATTTATACATCTGGAGTCAGTAAGGGCGCTCGCGAGCGCGGCACGTGTGAGGCGGTAGGGTCGCGCGCGAACATCATAATAAGAATAAGCATGATAATAAGAATGATAATGATGATAATCATGATAATGATAATAAAGTCAGTGGGTGGATGATCGTACATCTATCTCGACATCTTGCAGCTGGCACGACCCTACTTTTGCCCTGTACAACGAACTAGTCGTACTACTTTTCTCAACACGAGGAATACACTGACTCTAATCAAAGGGCAGAGATCATCATGGATGAAAAAGAAACAGACAGAGTCGAAATGCATCCTTCCGCCAGCTCTGCAGGTAATGGCATTAAGAACTTGGAAGTGAATCTACTTACTTTAAGTACATCTACTTACTTGATAAGTAAGTACTTCTTGTTACTTAAATAATAAGTTGGATCAATAAATTATAAGTAGGACTCCTCGGATCGAATGAAGAACCGCTCTGACGGTACAGATCGAAGTCAGGTTAGCCCGAACCACCCTAAACCCTTCTAACAACCTCATCGATTTTGACGCCGTAGTCGTAGAAGACCTGGAAAACACTACGTAGTCGCTGAGAGTTGTACGTAGGTGTCCTCTTCTACAACGTTTTCACGGAAGTAACGGTCGTCAAGATGAAGCTTGATAGAAGATAATAGTAAGAAGATGTGCTGAAAGAAGGATCAAGTAGATGAATGTGGCTAAATATTAGGTTAAGAAGAAGTAGAACAAGGTCTAGCTGTCCACTACCAGTTCAATGTTAAGTGATTATCTTTTGCTGGTTCGACGTGGTTCCCGCCTTTGATGTTCAAATTTTTTCAAATATGATTACCAGAAGGGATTTATTTTTTCAAAATTAAGAAGGAGAAGAAGATTACTAGTACCACTATCTTCGTTTAGATGAAACTCCAACACAAACAAGATCAAGAATGATGAGTAAAAGAAGTGGTAGTATTTTTGTTTACACCAACATGATGGTATGGCTAGTACTTTTTGCAATTATATCAAATCGAGAAATAGATAGCACTTACTTGATCATCCAAAAACATGTGATTTTTGATCAAGTTCAAGTCACAGTTTGATACTACAACGTTAATATCGTCAGCAGGTGACCCCGGAATAACTAAAAAGAAGATCTTCAAGATGATTGATTCTTAGGATAGTAGAAGATCAAGATGATTGAGTAGAAGGTACACGTCCACCTCCTAGAAGAAATAGATTTTCATGTACTTCGTTGCCCTACTATTTCATGTAGGTCGTGGTACTAGTTCCAGGAGAATGAGACAATCTGGAGTGTTAGATTGTGACTGATCCACGTATCTTCACCCGTATGGGTTATACACTTCTTCGGCCATTTTATCGCCGCAGGAAATGTTTCGTCTTGCCGGTGATTCAGTGCAATATTCACTTGAGACGTGACGATGATGGCTTACTATTTCATGTAGGTCGTGGCACTAGGTCCAGGAGAATGAGACAATTCTCGGGATTCGTTGCCCTGTTTAGAGACAAGGAATGACAACGACCATCCAGAACTACAAGGAATGACAACAGACCTATACGCTACCTCTCGCGAAGCCGTTGTACCTAGCATCACCCTACCTTAGGCTACCAAAAAAAAGAGTGAGGCCCGTGAACTTGAGTAGACGATCTTCACGACTTACGCCGTGGGTTCAGGTTTCATAGAGCGCGACCATATAGCAAAGCATTCAAGGTTTCAACTTTCCAAAGATCTTTTTTTTTTGTTTATGATCATATCCTCTCCTAAAATGGAGAGAATTTCTGACTACAAGTAGCAGAGGCTGCGCTGTGCGACCGAGTCTCAAGAACATCTGTAGCTTTCGAATAAAATGCATAGTCGTGAATGCATAGTCGTGAATAGATGCATAGTCCTTGAGGCGAGCCAGCTCCTATCCTATCCACCAGGATGCAGCTCCTGCTAGTACTTTCTCGACGTCCTCTCCTGTTGCTGTTGAAGATTCTCGACGTCGTCTCCTATGTTCCAAATGACGGCAAAAATTTTGGAACATCTTTGCCAAGACGTGACGCTCTGGCTTTGCGATCGGAGATGGCGGAAGATTTTGATTGTTTCTACATGCCTCTCGATTTTCTCATCATAGGTTTCCCACAATCCGGAACAAGCAGCTTGCTCTCGTACCTGCGACAACTATGAAACGACGAAAAAGTGTTCTCATCGTCAGAAAATCAGCTCAACAATGCGCAGTGCTGAGGCGGGAGCCCTTCTAAATCTGAATCTAGCTAGTACTTCCTGTCCTTCCACACTTTCTTCACTTCAAAAATCCTACTCGTCCTATCACTACTTCTACTAGCTACAGTTTTAATACTACTAGCTAGCTTTAACTTCCTTGACCTTAAGTATTTAATATTTGACGAGTTGCACGCAACTGTGTTCCTTTCATAAGAACATCCCAGCATTTACCTGATGAACGAAGAAGACACTTTTTTCTGGCGTGGGCGGATTCGGCGCAACGAGTACCAGGAACAATGGTGGAAGCACTATGAAGAGGGGATTTCTCAGAAGAGGAATAGTCTATGGAAGCAGGAGCAGCAGCAGAACGGGTGCAAGCAGGAGCAGCAGGACGGAAAGTATGCATCTTGTTTGACTACAACAACGACAGAGAAGGAGACCGCGGACAAAGATGAGACTCGCTCTTTAATAACCACAACCATGACAACCACAACCGCATCAAGCAAGGACAAGAGCAAGAAGAAGATTATCCTCGGCATCAAAGATCCTTTACTTGCCCTATCCTCTGAAGTCCTGCACTTCGTGAAACACCGTGTGCGGGATCCTGGGAAACTAAAAATCCTATTCTTAAGGCTCTCAAAGTACTAATGCAACTACTCCATCAGAGTACACTCCTACTACTACTTCTACCCGATTGTAGTTCATAACCCAACACTCGCAGTGCCGCGACAAACGTCTTTACACCAAAGCAGAAGCGGATTTAGTCACACATCAAGGGGAACAACTATCAAATACTCTAATATTCGCAATCCGAGACCCGCTTTCGATGATGGTTAGCTGGATGCATGCGGGGACGCCATGGCTCATGCACTGGGACGATCCTATACACTTGAGCGTAGGCCTCCTCCACGAACAGATACAGTTAAGGTGGCTAGTACAAGAAATCGAATCCATCTTCCCAGGCATCGTGCTTGGTCCCCCCGTTTTCAAAGGGAAAAGGGAGATGATGTTGCTGCTGCTGTATCATGTAGGATTTTCCCGAAATCCTCGCTCTAATACAGACGTCGATGAAAATCCTAACGGTTCCGTCTCTACCAAGTGAGCAAGAAGTTGTCTTTACCAGAATCGTTAGAAGCTTGGTGAAGCGGATGATTGCTGAGGTCGTGGCACCAGGAGGCACTTCCCGGCAGGTTTCGGTGAATCTCGATGATTTGGTAGCTGCTGAGATGAAGAGCCCAGGAGAAGATGCAGAAAACCTCAACATAGATTAAGAGTAGGTCAAAGGTGCTTTTCTTACCGCTTTTTATGCCTCTCTCCCTTAGGATGAGAAAGGCATAAAAAGCGGGGTAAGCGAGCACCAAAAACCTACCTCTAAATAGAGTTGGATTCCAAATTTTTCGATTACGTGAAACGTGTCTTACCGCACCTGCCTTGTGTTGTAGTGCAGGAGCCTGCTGGAGGGGTCAAAGGCAAACTAGTAGGTGACGTCAACATAGTCGTCCCTTTCGCAGAAGTTCTCCCTGACGCTTATCACGCTTGGTTGAATGAAGAATCTTCATACCGCAATGCGGATGGGGAAGATATCGTTCTACCTGAGGCGGATTCGGAGGAGACCAGTGAGGTTATCTCGGAAATGATGATGACAGAGCAGGTGGCTGAGCGGATCATACGAATTCGAGTCCATCAAACCAGGACGTCCTTAGAGGCGAGGGCGGATCTTCATGTTGATGTAGGGGACTCTCATACGTCGACGTCCTGGAACAATCTTCATGCAGAAGGAGGCTCCTCTACATCGAGAAGTAGGGATCAACAAGAACATCGATGTAGGAGAAACAAAGGTTATACTAATATAGAAGAGTTCTTGGAGAAGTATGGTCGAGCATTTCGTAATGCGATCCCGTTAGAGAATTTTTTGTACTTCCCAAACGAACAACTGAAGCGGAATCCTCAAGACACACTTCAAAGATTAGTGAAGTTTCTACTCAGTGGTGACAGCGATGCTTCTTCGACTCGTACGAATGCGGCAACAACTTCATCAGGAGGTGCACCATTGATGATGTCCGCTCCTTCGTCCGCTTCTTCAGCAACATCAACACCAGTACTATTCGACGAGGACAACAGCGCTTTCGAATTTGATACTTCCTTTCAGTTCGAAGTAGCAGCAAAGAGGCATGTGAAACTAGAACGCTTACCCCACGAGTTCGAGATCTGTGATTCCCGTTTACTACCATTCCTAGAGATGCTATTTCCACAGCATCATAGGAAGCCCCTGGAAAGGCTTTTCAATTACGAATGGACTAAGACACCTACAATCCAGAAACAGAAAACTCAATAAACTTCATCTTCTTTCCCTCAAGAATGGAGGATAGTACGAGATTTGAATTTGTTTGTGATGTATTATAGATCACGTACAACTACGGTTGCTGTACCATCTTCACCGGCAGAAAAGCATGCAAAATTTGAGAAGGTACTAGAATAATCATCTGCTTTCGTCAACAACTCTCACTCATCTTCTAAGACCAACAGCAGAATTTTTTTTCCGCGCCTTTCTTCCCAGATTTGGACGAGAATCATCCATGCATGACGTCGAGAAAGATCAAGGAGAGCAGTCTAAAACGGCGCGTGATCCACTTGAATAAACTTGCGCCACAACTATGGCGCCAGATGGAAGTGATACGCCTACGGAAGCATGATATTAAGGGTAGGTTAAAGGTGCTTTTCTTACCGCTTTTTATGCCTCTCCTAAGGGAGAAAGGCATAAAAAGCGGGGTAAGCAAGCACCAAAAGCCTACCTCTAATGATAGTATGAGACACGATCGTATTATAGCGTCCACACGGATACGGAAGCATGATAGAAGTATTAAAGCGTCAACAAAAAGGAGACATGATAGAAGGTCACCATTCTACCCTTCCTATTGGTCCAAATGGAGGTGGCCACGGAGAGGTGGAGACTCCCCAGATGTACTTCTATTAAGGCTGTACTAGCTAATGCATCAGCCTCTTTGACTGCATCCTTGAAGCGACGTAATGTGGGGGAGTTGTATCCCAGTGCGATACTCTGGCATACTTTTCAAGGGTGCAGCTGTAAGATCATGAATTACACTTCCCATGATGCCTTAGCCTTAGGGTGAGCTCTAAATATAGATGCTAGAAGTGCAACTTCTAGCAGGAGCTCCTGGTCCAGCTCCTCGTCCAAAACAACATCATCAAGACGCATCTTCCCAATCGAAGATCCCTTGACAGAAGAAAGACGAAGAGAAGCAGCTGAGAAGCATCGAGAAGTGTATACCTTTCTTGACGAAAAGACACGCGGACCATTACAGGCGGTACTAGTAGATCATGATCAAGTTGATGTTGCTAGTACTTACATTAAGGCTAGTAGTTTATAGAACGGATGTAGGATGGACTTGGGCGATGGATCGGATGGACTCCCATTTTCTTTCAGAAGCATCCTGCTCCCGTTTTCAAGGGGAAAAGGGGCATGAAGATGCGGCTGAAGATGGATTTAAATGGTAGGTCTAATAACAAAAACACCATGTTGAAGCCTCCCAAAATACACCGCCTCCTCCGCAACGCTGCAGTAGTGGAAAAAATGAGATGGCTGTACCATGGTTCTGGAATACCTGGTGGGATCACCGTAGACCCTTATTTGGGTGGTAAAGACTCGAACCCAGTGCAGACGGTGTACGCAGTGTCGCGGTCGTGCACTAGCGTGGAAGAGGGACATAATTTACACGACAACTACGTTCTTGGTGGCCACGACGACGAAAAGCAAGACCCTCTCGATTTCAGAGCAAAGGAGACAACGCATTTTTCAGCAGTAAGGGCTTTGTCACGGAGGAGTCGATTTTCTTCAGTAGGGTCGTCGATGTCACGAAAAGCAAGTCGCAAGTCTCCAGAGTTGTTGCCGAATCCCATAGGGTATCGGGATATTGGTGATTACCTCCTAACTTAAGGCTTACCGTAATTCAGCTTGCGATGCATCTTTGCTTGCCCCCTATTTTAAGGGCAAAACATGTAAAAGATGACAGACTACTAAAGATGCTGAATATCTGTATTTACGGTCTAACGAACACCTGGAGAGAGCAAGGACAGGAGGAGAGACAATGCTCTTCTGGAAAGGAATAAAGTCGGTGACGAACAACATGAAGGCGATGAAGATACAAGCTGTCTGTTAAGGCGATACTTATTGGAAAAGCAAAAGATCTGACTACAAGTAGAAGTAACGAAGGACGAGAACAACATGACTTTATTTCAACTTATCCTGCTCTAACATTCAGAGGCACCAGCTTCATTCTTTCCGGGGATAGTTCTTTCTGAGCTTCCTTGTTTAACAGCAGTTTTAATGGTGTTGGAAAAGATCTGTCTACAAGTAGAAGTAACAAAGGAAAAGACCAACATGACTCTATTTCAACTTACGGAGCAAGGAACTCTAACATTCGGGCACCTAGAACCAATACATGTGACAGGGATCTCGCCGTCACATGGGATTTGTCTCCTGCCGAATATCTATGGGATAGTGCAAACGCATGAATTTTTGCTGGAGCACCAAGAATATTTATGACCTACATGGAATCTTTGAGTTTGAGGTCCTCTTTTTAAACACAACTTCTGAGGTGGTCCTAAACACTTCTGAGGTGGTCCTAAACATTCTTTATGACATGTACGTAGTTGATGTTGCTTTTTTTTCTTAAGTAAGAATTCTTGTTTCTTTTTGTTTGATGTATTTTTTCGTTAGGATCTACATTAGTTCTTACATAAGCGCACTTCTTGAAGTTCTTCAACATTTCTCCCTCTTTCATCACCCCTAGGCACGATGCAACAAGTAGCGGACTTCACGTGATCTTCATTTTTCTCCCTCTTTCATCACCCCTAGGCACGATGCAACAAGTCTCCCTCTTTCATCACCCCTAGGCACGATGCAGCAAGTAGCGGACTTCCTGACGTCAAGAAGGGAGGTCGCAGCCCTTTTCCACCATCCTTATGATGGACGGACTCAAGACCAAGACGAGGATGAAACGGTAGAAATGACCCAGGACAATCCCTTCCATGATCTATCTCCCAAGATTAAGGGTAGTACAAGAAATCCATCTTCCCTGTCATCTACTTGGTCCCGTTTTTAAAGGGGAAAGGAGACCACGGCCCAAGATGCTGCTGCGGATGGATTTTGAAGATAGTTGTAGTTCTAACAAGAAGAAGCAACTTCCTCCCGACGTGTGTTCTGTGGGTGGCGACGTTTTGAAGCATGTGCTCCGCGAGTACTACTGCGAGTTCCAAGCACCTCTGAGTTGTCGGAAGTGCTGTCTAGAGGACGCAGAAGTGTGTTGGAAGAACAAGGACGCAGTCTCTTTCACCCAGAATGTCCAAAAAGTGATGAAATCGTCAGCAGGAGTCGATGTACATCGTGCGGATTCGAGTGATTAAGATTGGTCCAATTGAACTTGTGGGGGAATGAATTCAAAGTCAGAAGTTGTGAAGAAGCTGTGTTGGCCTATGTTGTATTTGTAAGTAGTGCATCTTCATCAATTTAAATCTTCTGACAAATAAATTTTTAGTTTTGATAATGATGAAAACCAACACGACGAAAAGGAAGGTGGATGCTCCTGCAGGAAAGAAATGCAATCCATTGTTCCCAACATCCTCTTAGATAGCTCCTACTCTACAATCTCTAACATCCAGCTTCTATCTCGCATAGGCTGCATAGCTGTTGCGTAATCGTGGTGAACCATATGGTAAAGGCCACGACGGACTATCTGAAACTGGAATTGTGCGGACATGAGATTGGGTGCACCGGATGGAGAGAGAATTTTAGCACACCGTGAAACGCAAGTCGGTGCAAGTGCACTGGATGGAGGCAGAATTTTAGCACACCGTGAATCTGAATGTGGGGAAGATGCTGAAGATGATGCAGTGGAAACAGAATTTTAGCGAATAGTTGTAGAATGGATTTTTATCTTCAACTCAGTTTGAGAATACAGGCATTTATGAATTCTAGCAGATGACGCACACAAATCATGGAAACAGACGCCCACATCAAATGGAAACAGAATTTTAGCAATAGTATCACGCGACTGCAAGATGCAGAATGGAAACAGAACTTTAGCAATTATAGAACTCGAACTCGCGCATAGCGACGAAAAGACAATTACTCATTGGAAACATACTTTCCAGCTGGTTTATTGGAATTCTTGTACCAAGCAGCGAGACGTACAGGACAATGATCCATGTTTCTACTGCTGATCAAACGGCGACACTTCCTGAGCACCTGAGGACGCGTGTTGCTCAACGAGATTAAGTGCGACATCCATCAATCCTCGTCTTCCTTGTGCTGAGGATTTACCTTAATATCTTTTATTCTTTTTTTTCAAGAAGAACTTGCTTCTGCCCCATCTTCATCTGATGCGAACAAAAAAATGACCCCTCTTTCTGCTCCTCTTGTTGTGGTCCTGTTGGAGAGTGTGAGCGTCCTAGTAGCGCTTGCCACAAGGATCCGCTTCAAAGAGGAATTGCATGTGAAGCCTGTGCGCAGTGGGGCTGAAGATGCGTTTTTACTGCATTTCTCGTTCTCGACAAAGGCAGAAATAAGTACTACTGGTCCTACATCTACTGAAAGTATCCGAGGGACTACTAGCTCTACTGGCTACTCTACCTCGTCCATCCGTTCCCGTTTTTTCCAGAAGTCTATAGCACAAATTTTCGCCTCCGATGAAAATCTTGGTGCTTTCGATGCCACGCTGACACAAGGGAGGATCACTTCTAACGATGGTCGTGGCGCTGGACGAGCACAAGGAGGTGCTTTCCGTTCTCAGCCACCTGGAGCCACACTTATCGCTTCTTCGAGATGGAAAAGTACCAGCAAAACCCTATCTTCATCTAGATCTGCCGTGGCACGAGCCGATCTAGACTGGAGCAAGCTCGTATTCCAGTTGGCAGGGTTGTTGTGCGCCAGCTTCGAGGCTATGGATACTGGTCATACAGGGTTCGAATGGATTCAACCTGTGGAAAGGGTGGAGCAAAGAAGAGCATCTTTTGGTAGGGCATATAATTCATCTTCGTCAAGAAGTGCTTCTACAACTACGGACTCTACAAGAACTACGGAACAACAGCAACATGAAGATCTTGTTCACGAATCTTCTCAACATGAAGATCTTGTTTCTTCTCGTTCTCTGCTCTACATGACCCTGCCTTACGAACCAGTGTGCACTGAGAACTTGACGCCTTTGCTGAGGTTACTACCCTGTCGCGGAGACGCAGGCCTGGGTCAGATGCTGCTTGCGCCAGTCGCGTTCGCCACTGCTGGTTATTTTTCTATCCGTTTATCCGCCAGTCGTAGTGGAGGGTTTGAAGCTACGATCACAGCACAAGTGGAAAAGAAGACACTGATGTTTGCAGGAGTAGAAACTCAACAAACTCCAACTTCTGGAGAGGTGGATTACTCCAATTAAGGTGGCTACCGTTAGTAGAGCACTCTCAGCACCATCCTCTTTTCTACTTGTGAAAAAGAAGATAAGGATGCTCTCAGGGACGCGAAGGCGATAGCTCTAATCCAAGAACTATTTTGGGAGTATCTTGAACGCACTGGGTGGTGGGATGAAAGACGGAGGCTTTTCAAGATGCCCTATCAGCGTGTGGCCGCCCAATCTGTTATTTTATGGAGAAGAGAAAGTGCTGAGCACTCCTGGAGGAAAGAATATGAAGGACATCGAACGGATCAAGAATGCTCTTCTTGTTGGGACGCAGAATGGCGCGAAAGAACGTGAAATCAAGCTATTGGGGCAGCAGCACAAGAGAAATCGCATCTTCAACTCCAAACTAGACGGACTCCTAATTCAAAACCCAGCCAAACTCCGAGAGCTTCTTCAGCACCAGGGAAGCCCCAAGAAGAGAGAAGCCCCAGCAAGAAGTAGCGGTGATGGCTACGAAGAAACCGTGCTCCGCGAAATCCTTCCAGCTTCTTCTGGTGCGCGCAGCTACGGCACATGGAGCTTGAGAGTAGGAAATTTAGATCCTTATTTAAGGCTCAGCTTTCAATGGTATCATTTAGATTGGGGTTGGTCACTGAGATCGAAGAGGCGACCCGTTGAGGAAAGATGGGGGGGGAAAACGAAGGGAAGGGGGAGAGCCTTGAAGGGGGTCCGTTCCGTTCAGAGTCAGTGACCATTGAAGGCTGAGCTTTAACTTATGCTCGCCGAGTTGTGGAAGTAACAGAGTCGCTGCCTTACTTTCTGCAACCATTGTGGCATACAGCAGAATTGATAGTAAATTGCGCTGTTGATGTTCTTCTTGAAGTAGAACATGATCAACATCTTCGAGAACAACAACAGGTCAACACCAGAACCAGGACCCTCTCAGGAAAAGCGGCTCTACAAGCACTAAATCTAGACTTGAGAACACGGACAGGAAGAAAAGCGCAACTCGTGTTTGACCTTTCTGTTGATGCGAAGAAAATATTGGAACAACTAGAACAAGAACAAGTAGTACAACTGGGAGAAACGCAAACTACATCTTCTAGAACAACAGCACCTTTGTTCTCATCATCTCGACCTAGTAAAACGTTACCTCCGACTCCGACAAGCGTCTCTTTCCGTGTGCAACTACTCAAAAGATTTGTCCACATGGACGATTTCTCCTTCGCTGCAGAGAAAGGCTTTGATGTTGGCGCAGCTGCTTGGAAAGTAGTGGATGTAGATGAAGATAATTCATCCACTTCTACTAGAGAACAAAATCTACTAGATGATCTTCGCACCACGTCGAACAAGTACAAGGAAGAAGAGACGAGTAGTACAACTACAGAGAAAGTAGACAAAATACTAGATATGATGGTAAAAAACATAAAGGAGCAGCCGCCGCCTCATGTTCAGGACTCCGACAACAATTTCTACCAACATTCGTCCCTTCATTTGACAGAGGGTGCATTGGTGATGATCCAAATGCCAGACTTTTCGATGCCTTTTAACGTCGTCTGTCTGACCGCTACCTTCGCAAGCTTCTTTTTTTCACAGTTGTTCAGAGTGGCAACAGCACCTGCGGGACTCTCATGATCAGGAATCTAATAAATGTAAAAGTAGTTGTACTAGTTGTTCTACTACTAGTTCTACTTTAATACAAAGAAAACCAAAGAGCTGTTCTACTTAAGACGAACAATCAAGAACGAAATGTGTGAATTCCAGCACGGTCAGGACAAACCCCGGAGCACTTGTTCCCTTTTGTCTTCGTCTGTTCCAGAGCACTGATGCTGTGTACTGGAGAAATTGTTCAAAAAGTAGAAGAATCATGAAGATCAGCATTAATATTTTACAAGAAGAGCAAGCTGGTTCTCCCTTGTAAAGGGAATTCGGTCCAGAACAAGCACTACTCTACAAACCAAAATAGAAACAACAAGTCCCTTGCGCGAGATTAATTGTATTGTATTGGGATGCTTTATTAATCCGCCTGTTCTACTGATTCGTAGTAGAATTTCCGGTCTAGTGTCTTTGGATCTTTGGAGGAAATTGTCCGCTCCTTTTCTTCTTCTCTGCCGATCCACTCTTGTACTTTGCTGAGGTTCACTTCTGTTTTTTCTTGAGGACGATGATGTATCTGTATTTTTCCTAGATGATTTTTTGGCCTCGTCTTTTTACTTACCTAGTACGTCCTTTAATAATGCAGGACCACAGGGAACAAGTGGCTACAATGGTGTTGTGCATGTTGATCCGAGGTCACGATTAGGCTGTCGTGTAGGCCTGCAGCAGGGTGCCCATCTTCATGTTCGGATTTTGTTCCATCTGAAATTGTATCTTGAAGTTGTTCTTCTGGTGCTCGTCTTTGTTAATATTGTTGTAGAGAAAAGAAATATGCTCTGCGACGTTCTTTCGTCGTTCATCACGTCCAACTCGAGGAACAGCAGCTAACCTTTCGCTGGCGATGTCTGCCGGAGGACAGAATTAGACCTCTAGAAGTACTGGCGGTAACTCACTTGTAGTTGCCCTTGCAGTTATAATTCCTGTGCACACGAGGAGGTGGGTCGGGTCGACGGCTGCATTAGTACGACGAGGACTCTGCAGAAAGATGACTGCGGGAGGAAGTGATGATCATGCGGGTAGTACTGTCGAGTGCATCACCGCTGGTGCAGATTCATCTACACCACGAGGACCTGAAGTTGTAGAGGCAGGACCAGGAGGGGCTGAAGAGTCCTCACCTGAAGAAAGACAGCGGAATGGAGAAGATGTGGGAAAGGTATCAAAAATTGATGAAAATTTTTCAAATCCACCAAGCAAAGGAGTCCACCAAGATGGTGAAACTTCAATGGGGGAGGAAATCAGTTCTCGTCTGGCAGCAGGAAACGGGATGAAGGCGGCCACATTACTAGATGTTGGTGTTAAAGCAGATGAAGAGACGTCTGCAGGAGCAGTTGAAGCTTCATCAGGACTCGAGCAAGAAAATGCTGTTAAAGTTAATGCAGAAGCTAGACCAACATCTCCACGACCTCGACCTCCAGCAGTACTAGCATCAAATAACGCCGCCACTACAGCTGGAGCTGCTCCGACCGGGACCGGCGAGGGCAACAAACAGCTGAACCAAGAGGTCAGCGATGCTACTGCCAGAGAGCTAGAGGATGCCGATTTGCAACGAATACAGACACAAGTCGAACAGCTTGGGGTTGCGGCTATGGAGGACGACGCCGTTTTATTCGGTCCACAAGTTACTGCTCCACGATCTACTGTTCTTGAGAAGGAGATTTTGACCACGACAGGAGGAACAGGAGGCGAACAAGAACTACAACTACCGCTTCCACACGAACAGGAAGATGAACAGGAAGACGCTGAGATGGATGCCGATGAAGATGCTGAGATGGCAGATGGGGAGCAAATGCTAGCAGACCTACAGCCGATGGAAGATAGCTCAGCTCACGGAGGGTTCATGTTATGGTGGAAAAAAATGGCATACAACTTCTTCTGATTATAATAAATGTTGGAGATATAATCTTAATCTTAATCTTTTTATCCCAAGAACTTACAATTTATTTTCGGTCGTTTACGAACGGGCGAAAACGCCTCTTCTAATCATGATCGGCGAACTTCCAACAGGGAACGCAAATAATGGTTTGCAAGACGTCCAGGATGTCGAACTACTGAGCCCTACGTCGCGCAATTCCTCGTCTTCTGCTCTGTTGAGAGATGGTGTCCCGCCATCACTAGGCGTCAGAAATCTCTCGCATGACGACAGGGGAGTAGATTTTAGACCGCACGACGAGGACGAAGAGCAGGACCGAGATCAGGATGGAAGTCCAGTAGATATCAAAGTCAGAACTCTATCCTCAGAAGTTCCCCTCTCTCCTCCCGAAGAGCTAAACGAAGATGGGGACGTGGGTTCTGGAGGAGGAGCTACACTAAATGCCGCAGGAGAACAAGCTTCATCATCTTCGACGATGAACACTTCTTCCAGCACCTCGTCCGATTCTAACGTAGACCAAATAATCATCACCGCCCTTGGCGGAGGCAGCCTACCCTCACAACAAGAGCAGGGACCTACTAGATTAAGAGGTCAGAGTAGGAGTCCAAGCAACATCAATGCCAGCACATCTTCATCTAGCAGGTCTGCAGGTTCAAGAGAACGAGCAAATACAGCAGGAGGCGAACAAAATCATGGGGGATCCTCATCTACTTCAAGTTCATCTGTCATTCTCGACGGTCTACCATCTCACTATATGGACGGCCTAGGAGACTACAGTTTTCGGTGTAAATTGTACGAGTTCGATGCGGATGACAACACTGGTAGACAGGAATGGAAAGATCTAGGTACAGGATACGTTTTTGCGGATCTGAGGGAAGCGAAAAGACGCCCATTTTTTAGAAGACAAAACAACGCACCCGAAGGAGGAGGCCCGCCTCCATGTTCACGTGGTGTTTTGCAAGTCCACTCCGACACGTTGCCCCCGAGACTGATCAAGGAATTTCTGATATTGCCGCCAGCTAGCTACATTTTGCAAGGAGACCAGAGCAGCAACGCCAGTGACGACGAACAGAGTTTATGGCTTGTTGAGTCGATATTTTTGATGTTGGTGGCTTCATTTTCATTAGCATTATACATACTTCTCAGTCGTGATGTTTAGATAACCTTAGCAGATCAGGATTAATATTTAGTTCCCTCTAGAATCTAGATCACCTCTACTAGATGGCCACCAGTGCTCCTCGGTTGGAAATGAAATGGACCAAATCTTCTCTGAATAGAAGACGCAACGTACTCGAAAACTGAAAATAACCGAGTTACTGACTGAAATAAGGAAGGTAGCTTTGACAGGGCTACTCTTCCTTCTCATCAGTATCTCGCTTATTTTCAGTAGTTACTCGCTTATTTCAGTTTTTCGAATAGCTCAACTCAACAGATAGCTTACTCCCCTCACCAGATAATTAGCTCTAATCTGACAAGGTAGCGTCTCCTCCAGCAAGGACACGATTATAGTGTGGGAAGATTTTCACACTGGTTACGACTACGCGCTTTCGTTGGAGAAGGCCACAGACGCTGCACCCTTGTATGAGGCATTGAACAATCAAAATTGGCAGAGTCCTAGCATGTGCATTGGGAATCCGATAGGTATCTTCATGATCATAATTCTCGTCACTATTTTTTTCCTCTATAACATAATATTTGGTTTCGGATGATCCTTTGGCGCCTAGAATAGATGGATTGGCGCCTAGAAGAAATGGATCCTAAACTAGATGGCCACTTTTTTGTTAGTCCTAATGCATCTCAGCACGATCTGGGTAGAGTGGGCAATAGCACCACAATATCCTATCCTATCTTTACCTTTTTGAATCTTTCCTACTTGGGTTGATGGCTCCACCATTGTTTATTAATTTGGTTTCGGTTTCCTCCAGGCAAGCTGTGCATCCTCCTGTGTTAAAAAACTATCATTCCTCGCTCCAATAGGAGGTACTCATTTACTGGATGACCTCACAGGTAGACATGCACAGCTACAAACAAGGTTCCATGACATGACATCTGCTCTATTCTACCATCAATGGCTAACCCAATGTCCACGACCAGGCAACATCTCCAGTCTCCCCCACGATAGACGGATGCAACTCCAGCACGCGCTGCAAAAGCCACGACGTAAGGTTTTGCCGGATAAGCTAGACGACGACTCATTAGAAGTGGCGTCTCAGGTGATTGCAACCTTGGCCACGAACTTCATATCCAGACAACAGCTCGCGGGGAAGCTAAATGCCCAAGGAGGGTTGAATGTTTTTATGATTTATACGCAAAGTAATTGTTTGTAATATTATGCAGTTAGCAGGACACTTTAGGATACTTGTTGATATTTACCCTTTTCTCTTTATATCTTCCTCTGGTCTGTCTTTTTTCTAGTTAGGTCGGCTCCACCACAAATATTATGCATCTACATACAATTCTTTTTTCTTTTCATAGTTAGGTAGTTGGCTCCACCCATATTATGCACTAGTAGATGATGAAGTACTTAGATGTATTATTTCTAAATCACTTCCATGTTGATGAAGATGTATTAGTATATAGTTCTAAATCACTTCCATTTCGTCCACGGTCTTGTACTATTGAACAACTCAACAAACTTGTCAGTTGTAAGCATCTTCTCATGTTGGAACAATCATTTACATGATTTTTGCAATCAACCTCAGTACTTCTAAAGTGTTGATTATGTTGACAACGCGGCGTTGATGTGCGTAGTGCACGTAGTTGCAGCACTACTAGTAGCTTTCATCGATCGTTCTCTCTCTAATCTGCGTCCCCAAGTTCTAGAGATTGGCGGAATCACGGTGAACAATCGAAGACTGTGCAGTCAGGAGTGTGGTGAAACCTCTTGGTTTGCTGACCTCCACCAAATGGCCGCTGAAGCGGAAGAGCTAGAATTGGAGGAGCAGAAGTCCTCTGGCACGACGTTGTCCGCCAACTCGTCCCCACAAAAGCAAAAGAATCCGCCTCCGACCAATGCTATTACTATGAAACCAAAATCTGTTATCATTATCGTACTTTTCCACTTAAGAAACTTGATAATGATAACAGATTTTCTTTTCATAATTACCGGCGAACTGATTCTCACTCCTTCGGAGCACAAGAAACGACTCCTGTTCGAAATCGTCAGGAATATGTTCACTCTAGCCGACCAGAACCTGGTCAAAGCGATGTTGGATGCGAAGCATTGGGAAACTATCCTTTGGATTATGGAGTGGGACCCCGGTCTGTCCAGAAAGGTGAATCATCGCCAAGTTCTGAAGCGGGTCGTGCGCTATAGACGAGTCGTAAATTTTGCGAACGACGAAACACTCAAGTTGATCGATTTGAACTTCAGAGTGCAGTACATAAGGGACGTCGCGATGGCCAGATTGTTGGATGATGTGGTATTCTTTGATTTTTTGTACTCTACCCCAAGATTGGGTACACTACTACTACTGTACTAGCCTGTTGTAAGAGCGAACATCCACCCAAAAGCGGAACCTTCAACATTCAGCTAAATCCATCAACAGAACCAGCTAATTCGGCTAAATAAAGGGCCTGCGGCCGCTTGATGCCTATCTTTGATGTAGCCTGAAGAGCTAGTACCTATAATTCATCTTACCCAGCAGGGGTGGTCCGTTTGTTTCATGTACTTCTTCGCTGAAAAAGGAATTGACTAAGCAGGAACAACAGTGCTAAAAACGACGGTTCTTCTAGTATTCGAGGTCACGACTTCTGTTTATGTTGATCCTCGCGAGAAAGCATAAAAACCTTGTTACTACCTCTCGCCTCCACCATCACAACTTTTAACGGAAAAATCCACAAGAAGCATAACCTTGTTACTACCTCTCGTCTCCACCATCACAACTTTTAACGGAAAAATCCACAAGCATAACCTTGTTACAACTACCTCTCGTCTCCACCATCACATCAACTTTTACTACAACAGAACACCAACGTCCTGAATCACATCGTGGGTCAGAACCTCACGTCCTTAATCGAGTGCATTCAAGAAGGCAAAGGCGTGCTTCGCGCGCTTTTTGACCAACTCGATAACAAGGACTGGCTAGCTCTGGACTTTGTTGCCGAATCACTGCGAACTCTGCGCTATCAAAATATTGGAGTCTTTCACTCCGAGAAGGATAGGCTTTACTTATGAAGTAGAAGGTGCTTCACTTGTGAAATTATCACACACGACTTAGTATAGAAGAAGAATCATAGTTCATCTTTTAACATTCAGAATGTCGTTTTTTTCATTTTGGTTCTTTTGGTTTTTGTAGACTAGTAGAATGAAGAAGTAGAGGATGACGAGGAAGTCTTCTAGCATTGAGCTCACTTGTCCTCAGTCGATTTACCCTTGAAGATGTGAATAGGTTTTCGTTGTACTCCTCGGAAAGAACTTGAAGGAACTTGAAACTTGTTGTACAAATTCATTATATTAGAGTAGTTTATAGAACGGTGGATGTAGGATGGACTTGGATGGATCGGATGGACCCCCCTGATTCTTCCGATCCTACTTGAAATGGTGGAAAGTCCATCCGATCCATCCGATCCATCCCATCCCGGATCTGCCACCCCTATAAACTACGCTATTATATTTATATACAACTAGCTAGTAGAACTTCATCTGGAGAACAACTTCTACACCTTCGCCTCAACACCGTCTTCTAATCGGCACTTGCTACGAAAGAGAGCGGCTTTTTAAGTACCTTCTGCCCTTTATCGTGGAGCCGGACACGCCTGAGACCTCGGATATTCAGCACCTTCCGGATGATCTCGAGGAAGATGACGTGAATGACCTGGTAGACGATTTCCCAGTCCGAAGAACGCCACATCCTACTACAAGGACAGTGGCGCTGGACATCCTGCAGCTCTACGCATTTCACAATCCGAGCTTGTTGAGGAACGTACTGATAATTTTTGGTGTTGCAGCTTCTTCTAGAACACCTTGTGATTGTTGTTGAGCAGATTGATGTAGTATTATTTGTAAGGTTCGTTCGAAAAAGCATCTTCTAGAAGCAGAGGAAGATGATAACCAAATTTACTATTTTGCATCCGTGCTACAAATAAGACTGCAAGGTTTTCAATCATGACGAATGTGACAATTATGACAAACCCATAGAACAACAACAAGCTTCACCAAATCCAAACACTACGCATTTCTTGCTTAATAATGCAACAGTACGCTATCTCGAATCCTGACTGGCTGAAGAAGGTTGCTTCAATTCTCTTAGTCGAGAGTGATCAGCCAACGCAAAGTCTAGTATCGGAGGTCTTGCGGTGGACTCTAGACTTCGACGCTGCGCATAACCCTCAGCTTTTCATGATGTTACAAGCGGAAAGCTCGCATTTGAGTACTAACAGCATACCAGTTTTGTGGTGCTTTAGTTCCTCTGTAAATTATGTAGACTGCTCGTAGTTTTTATGCATTGTTCTTTCTGCTTCAATAAAGCATATATTATGATCTCCATCTCTACAAAAATTACATCTTGATCTTGTTCTGTCTTGTTTTCAACGACAACCAAACAAGGTTGTATTTGTAACAAGCTTCGCCCTTATAATATCTTTTTCTTCGTCCGCACTCTCTTTTTCTCCACCCACTTCAGCCGGCATACAGAAGATTGGGGTATCTGAGCGAGAAGGCTTCCTAGAGATTGTCTGGGAGCGACAGCACGGCGTTATGCTGCCTCTCGTAACAGCACTGCGCGACGCTACTATGTTTGACCCGGGGATGACTGGTACTCACCGTTTTTATTCAGCACCACGATTCTGTCTCTCTCTACTCGTACTGCTTCAAGTGCGAGGCTGTTTTAGATCATTCCACCATCAATTATCACACACTACAACTTACTACCACCTGATTGTAGGAGTACTTCTTCTTGTTCCACCATTTGTTCCACCATGATCACACTAATCTCTCCCACAACCGCCAACTCAGACGAAGCCAAGAATTTCGCTCGGCAGTGCATCCTCGATATCCTGGCCACTGGCGTGCAGAAGTCCTCATGTGGACAGGGCAAATCCAAACACGATCTCTACCATGTAGTGGTATTTCTGGTTACTACACAAGCAGTAGAAAAAGCAGCAAAACTCCTCAATGTGCCATGCAAATTCTTGCATATCACGGTCATAAAATTCATACGCACCGCCATCGAAAAAAAGAACGACCAGCTGATCAGGTATCAGTACAGTTTTGGGTTTTTTTTTCTGAACTGTAACAAACTGTTTTTAGTTTTTGTTTTATTTTGGAAAAGGAAAAAAGATTAAATCACATTTAATAAGTTATAGATTTTTTACTCCGTGAATTTTTTTATTCTTATCTAGAATCCTATGAAGCACGGTAATATTAGACTTTCGTGGAAATGCAAGTTTACTAAGACTATTTCTAGATCAGAAATACACTACATCGTCATATTCCCAAAAAAAAATACCAGATGCAGTTGAAATGAATAGTGGAACACCAGAAATTGAATTTCCATAAAACGGAATGAAACGAATAGTGGGACACCAGAAATTGAATTTCAATAAAACGGAATAAAATCAAAAATTTTGATTTTTCAAGCTTGAATTTCAAAATTTATAGTTTGGACTTCAATTTGAAACTCAAAAATTTTGATTTTATTCTATTTCAAAACAATTTAATCATGATTTATCCAAGATAAGATCGTTTTTGTTCACTTGCGTCCTTAGACCCTTGTTATGTCTGGCGAAAATAATTTTCAGGGCCATCATGAAAACCCCAGACACTGTTTTCGGACCGGTTTTTCGAATCCTGAAAGAGCAGCTGGCACCTCTACAGAAGCAGAATCGCATGACAGGGAACTCGGTATGTCAACATCATGTGAGATTTTTCAGTAAGTGCAAAGTGCTTGTTGTTCTTGTGCTACTAGTCCAACGAGGAGACTACGATCTTCGTGGTCCTCGACTATGTTGAACAAATGGTCCTTGTAATTCTAATTTTCCTGTCCTTGTAATTGCTTTTCCTGTGTCTTCAGGCTGAAGACACACCAAAAATATCTTCCCGAATTGACCGCAATCCTAAATCCACTGCAGCTTCTTTCCGCCATTCTCGCCTTGCTGTCGCAAATATCGGACCCGTCAAGTAATAGCAGTCAAAGCATTCGCGAGCTAGTGAAGTTTATCTTTGCCCATTTTATGGACGTTTTCACAGAACCTTTTTGTAATACGGAAAACCCAGCAGCTGGATGCGGGATTTACAGCTCCTTCTCTGCCAATGGTGCCGGCAGAGATTACACCCCAAGGAACCCATTGGAGCTGGGTGTGTTGACGAAGCTGTTCTGGAGCTGGAAGGCGATACTGAAAGCGGAAGAAGATAAAGTGAAGCAGGAAAAGTACAACTCTAGATTTGATATTTTGATTTTTTGTAGAGTCCTCACATCGATTAAGCTGCTCTGAATACGAGGACCTCTTGCTCGCTAACAAGAACAGCATATTTTTATCACGGTTTGTTCAACAAACCTCCATGGTTGTTCCGACAATACGAAAAAACTGAGATGAACTAACAGCGCATAAGCTTAATCAAAATACCGAACTTACTAAAAACTACAGGGAGCTCGAGCAGCAAGCCTTACTTGGTCGTAACAACCGCTTTAATAACGGTCCCCGCGGCTTCGGTACCCAAGGCAAGGGAGGCAAAACAGTGACGAATTACGAAGTCCCCGACTCTTGGTTCGAGGACTACAGCGACTCGGAAGAAGAGCTCAGCTCTGACGACGAAAACCCAGGTCCTATGCCTCCCAAGGGGCTGGGTCCCGGAGGAGCCATTACCTCTCTGTTTCCCAAGAACGAAATCGGTCCTTCTGCTCGTGGAGGTTTAGGATTAGGCCCGGGAGGTAAGCTAGGACCAGTCCGAGACCAGAGGATTTTGTCTGTGGAACAATTCGTCAAGGACCGGCGTATGACTCAAGACGACGATGCCGACGAAGACGCCGAAGCCAATCAGGCAATAGCGATGGTTCTAGGAGGTCCAGACCCCCCAAGACCAGCTGTTCAGACAGGATTAGCACCACCACCTCCACCGCCATCTTCAAATGAGCAAGGTAATTATATTTCTGGAGCTAATGGAGGCAACACTGGCGTTCTTGAAGGCCCCCGACCTCAAGGACCCCCTGGTCCTTTGGCACAACCTGGTGCTGATGGTGAGCAGCTAAAAAAAGATGGCGTCGACACAAGTTCCAACACGAGTTCCAACATGATAGGACCTGAAGCTCCTCCTTCCGTCAGCGGCGCCTACTCTAGTACGACGTCTGCGCTTCCCTCCTCAATCTCAAGTACGACCTCCACAACGAACACAGCCTCAACAACATCTTCACCATTTGTTCCCAACACGACCTCCTACAACAAACCTCCATCCGGGACCTCTACCCGTGCTCTCCTTGCCCAGTTCACCTCCAGAACCCAGTCTCCTGCCATTAGCAGACCCGGTGAATTTCGACCAGGGCAACGACTTAGTGATATTGCCTATGGTCCGAGCCGACCTGGTGCGCGCGATCACGACTACCGAACCTCACATACGCTGAATGAACAAGTTGGAGGCAGTACGGGAAGCACGAGTGGAGGTGTTAGAAGTGCTAGTACTAGAGGGCCGACGAAGGATGCGCAATCAGGTGCTGGAAATCCGTTACACTTAGCGAGCCCGTTGGGAAGCATTGGGGTACTACTTCTGCATACTTCTTGATAATTTTCAATGGCATTACTGGTGACATGGACATTCCATTGATTCAGAGCATCAGGTACTCGATAAACTGAAATAAGCGAGTAACTACTTAGAATAAGCGAGACACTGAAAGAAGAGCAACGTAGTGCCTCTTATATATATTTCAGTCAGCAACTAGGTTATAATTTCAGTTTTTCGTATTCGTATAGGTACTTGATAGATAAAAGATCAACCGTCACTGCCCCATTCATTCAGAGCATCAGTTAGGTACTTGATAGATAAAAGATCAACCGTCACTGCCTCAAAATTTACTCCATAGAAATACTGACTTTGAAACGTCCTAGGTAAATCTCATTAAATTCCGTCTATCCACACATCAGCATCCTGAAGAGCAGCCCAGTCCTCCGACGTTGCCCATCGGCGGAGCACGAAAACGAAGTATGATCGAGAGCAGTTCTAGTGGCGTGGACTTGGATGACGACCCTCTAACACACCAGTCTGCTCAAAGAATAAAACGCGTCACACCGGATACTGGCCAAGAGCAAAGCAGTCATGCTTCAACGATCTTGGAAGAGATTAAAGAAGGGCAGGGAGAAGGGGGTCCAGAGCTGCAAGGTGTTGTAGCTGGCTCAAATACAACAGGAGCCTCCTCGGGAGAAGAAGAGACTACGAGCCAGACTACGAGCATCATGGGTACAGGAGCCGCCACTTCAACGTCGTCGATGTCCTCTATATTAGACGCACTGCAAAAGCAAGCGAACTCTTCAGGTTCAGCTTCACTAGCTTCCGTTCTGGACCTCGTGTCTCCAGAACAAAAGAATGGCACAACTATTCACGAGGCGGATCCTCCAACTACGAGCGAAGCGGCAGGTACAACTGGAGGTACTAGAAAAAGCCTAGGAGGAGGTGAAGATACAACGTCTCCAGTCTCGCCTAAAGATACAGTAGTTACAGCACCTACTTCTGCTACCAAAAACCTCCAGTCACAAGAACTTCAACAGGAGCAAAAGCAAACGGCTACAACAACGACATCTTCTACAACGACATCTTCTCGTACAGGATCCAAAGCGAAGAGTATCTATGACGAGTATGACAGCGACTTGGATTCGGAAGACGACGAGGATAAAAGTAAAAATAAAGACAAAAACGATATTAACGTTGTCAATCAAGACAAAAAGCCCAAGCCGCCTACGGCAGGACCAGCGACAGGACCACCATCAGCAGCAACAGCAGGAGCATCAGCTTCGCCAGAGACGACTTCTGCAACAACGACGACGACTTCTGCGACACGAGACCAAGTAGATAGGGAAGGCAGCCAAGAACGTGGGGAGAATGATCGGTCGAAACGATTGAGAACGGAATAAAGGTGGCACGTTGTGCGTTTGGCGAAAATCAGACTTCTCTGTCTTGCGCAGCTGCTTCAGATTCTTGTGTTGTAGCTAGCCATAGGCGAGCGCGTGAGGTGTTCAATTATCAGGCTCTGAGATTAAGATTATAGTGGAGGTTTCTCTTTCTTAAATTCTTTTTCATGATCAGTTGATGAAGATGGTGAGTACTTCTGTGTTATTAAGCTTAGGGATAAGTAGTAGGTTAAGGCTTTTATCATGTAGTTATAGGGAATCGGAAAACACCAGTGGCCCAGCCCTACGTACTAGAGGAGGCATCAAGAATATATAGGGTCCTCGTGGAGGCCTTCTCAAGTGAAGATTGATTTCTTGTTTTTAAAGTGTTAGAGCCGTTTGACCCCAAGTTTTAGATTTAAGATGTATTATGATTGATTCCTGAAGAACTTGAACTTCTTTAGCAGTACTAGCAGAGGATTATCTTGCATACGCACAATTTTGAGACGCATAGATATGCAGCTGATTCCTCGTCTATATGGAAAAATGTCATGCTACTTCGCCAGGAGTGACGAGTATCTAGATGCAGATACAGCGACGCCAGCACCTCGCTGCCAGTGGGAATGAACATGGTATTGCGCTACCTACGGTCATAAATACTCACGGCCATGACCAACCGCAACCCGCATCAAGTCAGAAATCGTTTGAATCCACCAGATAGCACCACAGTTTCAACAATAGTCTCTAAATAGTCTCGAAACACTACCAGCAGCACACTTCTTTAGTATGCAGATCATTTAGATTTAAATATCCGATCCACCTCTTGCGTTTTTACAGATTCCGATGTTGATGTCATGTTTAAAAGTGAAGACAGGACGAAAACGACAGCAGGGAGATGCACATGCACACAACGCCTCAAACGGTAAGAGGATTTCAATGGACCACCGTAAAGCTTATGAATATAATAAAATTTCTCCTAGTTCTTCTGGTGGTGGTGCTGGAGGACGACGAGGAACACCAGGTGGAGGACGTCGAGCCGTATATGAAAGAAGCGAGAGTGAGTGATCCTGATGTGAGCAGTGATCGTGACTGAGGCTGAGGTGACGCGATCCTGATGTCTCGAAGTGTCATTTTCCCTTGCCCTCTTCCTCTAGTTGAAGCCGCCAAATCCGCAAAGTTATTGACCTACTACGCGTACGCACTAGAAGTTAAACTACGAAACCAATTTAGATACGTAAAAATGAAACCAATTTAGATACGTAAAAATGGCAGTTCAATATGAGTCTTCCTCAAAGCCCGACGGTGGCACGCGGACCCGGAAATTATTTACAACCGAACCGATTCGCCCGTCCTCTAACCTAAACCAAGAGCAGCAGGACCACAACTGCATGAAAATATTACGACTTGTTTGCTCAGTCGGGTCCTTGAGGCAGCGTCTACGGGTATCAGCATCTTCTTCTGTAGGGAGTACGAGTAGGAGTACAAGCAGTATTTACTTTCTTCAACAAGATACGATCAAGGGTCATTGGCACAACCGTCTATACATACATCCTGTTCGCCCAAATATTACACTCGAGCCTACTTACTACGGCAATGCAGAAACCCGCTCCAACAGCAAACGTGGAAAAGGTTTAAGGCGGCTGGTTCGAACATCCAGAAACCTTTAGTCGATTTTGATCCAGCCAATCCCCAATACAAAGGTAAAATATAGCTGGACCCTGAAGATGAGGCTACTACTACTACAGAACTTCTACGTCAAAAATACCAATTGGATCCAGATATTCTGGTAGTGGACGTAGAAGAAGAAGCGAGAACAAGCTAAAGATACCAAGATCTTCCACTCTACCATCCAGATCTACTTCACCAGACGATGAGCGATTTGGAAGTATCAAACTTGGATCGTGCTAGGATGACGCTGTGTCCGTATGGGAAGTTGCAGGGAATGGCAGGAGCAAGAGGAGTTGCCTGCAATGGAAGTGGAAGAGCCTGCTTACTTGGTGAACGCATATCTTCTTGGGAATATTGTCTTTGTCGCTGACGAGAATAGTGTCGAGGACACTAGTAAACGGTAGTTCATAGGCTGGCAGCACTCACGACATCACCGCCACCGATGGCACATCTTCAGCAGCCTCTCTAGATGTTACGACTCATATCTTCAGATGGCTTCGACACTATGCCACATAGAGAGAATACTTCCGTTTGGGCGTTGCTGTTGTGAGAAACGCTTTTAGGGTGGTGGTGGTGGTGGTGCTATCCTCTCTGCTACAAGAAACTACTTAAAGTGGTCTGCCAGTTATTGCAATATTGTCAGTCGGTCATGTTATCACGGTTGCTAAGTACTTTGATTACGATTATGTATTCGATGCAGCCGAACAGACCTACACGTTACTTCTCGCAAAGCCGTTGCACGACCTAGCAATCTGGCATGAGTGAGGCCCTTGAACTTGGTCTCACCTATTGAATGAAGAAGTACGTAGAAAATGTTGCAGACGTGTCATCCACCAGTGAAAAAAAGTTGAATTATGTGTCAGTCTGAATCTTTTAGGGTACAACAAGTTCACAAGTAGAAAACACTTTTTAGCAAAAAGTGCCAACATCAAGAAGTGCAACTCGGCTTACTGGAGTAAGCTAGTTTTAGTACAACTTGATAAGTGTACAGGCCAACGCCTAAACCACTAAAGCAACGTCCACGAGCATCATGATGAACTTTTGCAATCCTGCGGTAGCGCCGGTTTCTTTGTAGGGAGAGCCACGATATAGGGCGGCGTTGGAAAGCGATGTTGTCGGTGGTCGTTACCAAATCTGTGGCAGAGATAATTAGAGAGTAGCGATGAACATGAAGTAGTCGGTCTCTCACCTTCTTGCCCTCGTTGTTCTTCTAGCAGAATTTTCATTTCCGTTGATGTCGTTTGTGAAGGTCTTCGGTGCAAACAGAGCATCATGCTTGCCCCTGGTATCATGATCACACGCCAATTCTTGGAGAAGCAAAATTGCGTTATTTCATCAAATAGGCTTATAATCAGAAAACAAATAACTGTTGGACTCTGCTGACGTTTGAGGAAAACTTCTATTTTCAACATCATTAATAAGCGCAAGCAACTACCGAAAATCAAAATGTCGTCCGTCTCACCTCCGCCTCCGTTTCTCTACTCCACCCTGACAAACAGTCGGAGTTTGTCAGGGGCTGGAATTATAGGGTGGTCTATCTCAAGTGTGGATGAAGGGTTGCTACAGAAGTCCGTGAGCTCCAACATCGAAACTACAGACCGCGTCCTTGCCACTTTCCGATCTCTCTTCGGCTTCTCCCTAGACTGGCGTCAATTCCCAGTAGTACGGGTTGCAGACGTCGCACAGGGCGGGTCATCAGAAGGAGGCAATCCCTTACTCGCCCAACAGAGCAATTTGCAGAAGGGAGACATGCTGCTTGCGATAGGAAGTTCAGTCGATCGAGTGACTTTGGTATCGGGATGGGGTGCCAAAAACAAGGATAATATTATAGAGTAGTTTATAGAACGGATGTAGGATGGACTTGGATGGATCGGATGGACCCCCCTGATTCTTCCGATCCTACTTGAAATGGTGGGAAGTCCATCCGTTCCATCCGATCCATCCCATCCCGGATCTGGCACCCCTATAAACTGCTCTAATATTAAAAGTCCCGAAGCCGCGATCCTACACCGCGTTTACGAACGTGTCCAAGCCAAAAAGCCCAAAGTATGTACGTTTGTATTTCTACAGCACGAACGGGAATCGGAGTATGTGCAATTGCTACCGCTTCTTGGTGCTGTAAAAGGACATCAAGATGACGCGGAAACGACGAGTGCAGTGGATTGGGCAATAAAGGAGCTTGAGCATGCAATTTCTACTAGTTCTTCTACTGCGAAGCTCGTATCTTCATCACCATCTGCGAGTGTGCCAACATCTGCGAATAGACATTTTCTCACATTGGAATTGCAAGATGGAAATTCTAACACAAGCAACAAGAAGATCAATGTAGATTTAGTCGCCGCAAATGATCTTTTTCTAGAACAGGTAGAACCTGCAAGTAAAGAACGCTTGGAAAAGATGCTGAGCAAGGGCTCTTCAGGTGTGAGACCTTTGCACTTGTTGGTGAAACTGGTGGATCATAAAAGCCTACGATTGTTAAAAGACTACAAATCCAAATCTGAACTGCCTGCTCTTGCCCGACCTCTCCCCAAGCAATGGCAAGATAGAGTGAAGAACGTAGGCCCGTTTTTTGAAGAAGAAGAAGAGCAGCGTGATGATGTCGTAGACGCACAAAGACAAACTCCTTCTTCTGTAGTCGCACCACCACCAGCAGTACCAACTACAAGAAAACCAGTCCCACCTCCAAGACAAACGAGACATCAAGCTCCTGCTCCGTTTTTGCTTTCCCTATTGTGTGGTCTGGATGGTCGTACTGAGATGCAAGAGGAAGCTGGGATCAAACTTCTAAGAGCCATGCCAGAAGATTACAAGCAGCAACGCGACTTGCTTGTGCGGGTGATGGATCTGGGGATGGAACATTTGAAAACAGACTCTGGCTCTGTAGAGCATGGCCTTCGCGACTTTTTTGAAAACAACACCTCCAGAAGTAGATCATATGCTAGAACAAGTTCTACCAACGGCGCTGCAAGTGCAACCACTCTGGAGCAGTGGAAATCGGACTCCTCTATGTTGAAGCCTTTCCTGAGCAAAAATGCCACTACTCGCTTTCGCGCGTTGTTCGGTTTCGTGCTGGACTGGAGTGACTTTCCGAATGTGGTTGTGAGTGGAGTAGATGATGACAGCAGGAGAGGCCTATCTCAACTTCTGCCAATTTCGAGTAGAAAGGAGCTCGAAATCGGCGATCAGCTCCTCTTCTGCGGCGGCACCGTTGACCGGATTACCCTTATCGGGACTTGGTTGCAAGTAGATAATGTCCCTAGTGAGAAGTTGCTAGGAGGAGGTACGACGAGTAGGCCGACACCAGAATTGGCATTATTGCATCACATGCGAAAACGTATAGATTCTGGGAAGCCAATTTCCTTTGGCTTCGTGCGCAAGGATATGCGTCACAAATACCTGCAAGTGGATTACACGAAAATGATGGAGGAGCAAGAAAATGCGGTGGCACACGCAGAAGAGATGGCTGCGAAAAAACACAAAACTGACTCTGTTACGGCTTTGGTACTCGTGCTAGTCTTTCAAGATAATCAATATCACGAGGCAAGGTATTAATCAACATCTCATTCAAGATAAAGAAATGAAACTACGTACAGTCATTGCGATCTCGCTAATTCCTTCCAAGACACTCTCGGTTTCCAAGTCGACGAGCATTGTATCACGCCGTATTTGCCGATTGTATCAGTGGCGCCGAACAGTGTCGCGAGCGATTTCCTTGATCTCGCACCAGGCGACTTGATTATCGCAGTCGACGACCTTTTCACTGCGGACGGAGATAAACACCATGACTATCGCGCAAAAGCACTGCTAAAACTGCAGAAAAGGAAACGAATCTTAGCGGGAAGACCAAGCAGCGGGAACAAGACGGGAGTTATGATTCTCCCTTATCTAGATGGAAGATTCACAGTTGACATTCTCCCTTATCTATGATCAACAAGAACACAATCACAAGATCAGTGACCTCTACGGACAACTTCTTACACTATATTCTCCGTTATCTAGTTCTAGATGGAAGATTGACAGTTGTCCTTCTGTTTTGGTCAAAGACACAGGAAGATGATACTCACTTATCAGTATACAAAGGAGAGTGATAGGAAAGCAGAAAGATGCTATGAGTTGGCAATAGTGAGTAATTGTTGTAATATTAGAGTAATATTACTATTAGAGTAATATATATTAGAGTAATATTAGAGTGATTACTACTTTTCTAGGTTTTTTCGTTTCGCTCTAACCAGCATGAAGAAGTCCGTCATCTCCTATTCCGTAGAGCAGCGGCGTGGACTGACCGCGAACTCGACCATAGAAGTAGAGACTTTGCTCCAAAAGCAATCGCAGCTGGCACCACTGGCAGGACACTTCCCAAAGGCTGGCTAGAAGCGTCCCAAAAAGCTCAAAAAGAATGTGAAGAATTCTTCCAAGATTTGGGTCTCTTCAAGATGAACATCGAAGAAGCGAAACTGGTTGTGAACGAAACTGGTACAGATCATGGTCGTGGTGCTTCGTCTTCAAGACAACAAAAATCACCACCAAAGAAGGGTCGTTTCCTATTCCACATTCTAGCCAAGTGTCACGACATGTTGGATGTAGGCCTTTACGGATGGTCCCAGACTAAGTTCAGTGTGCCAGATGCGGTGAAGACGTTCAATTCCCGTACTCGTTTTGCTTACCTTTTTGGTTTTGACTTGGACTGGTCCGCTTTCCCTCTTGTGCGAGTGTCGGAAGTGTTGTCCTACGCCTACCCGTTCGAGGGGAAGAAACCTAGTCGAGCAGTGCGAAATGGGGTCGCGGTAGGAGATATATTGATCTTATGAAAAATCAAAATGACAATGCAGTACATATGATATTGTAGTGTGAATGACTTCTATGACAACATCACCGGACTGCTGCCCCGCACGATTAAAGATCCACTTCTTCAGAGTCAGACATTCACTTTCTAGTGAATGCTGCAAAAGAATATACTGGCTTTGGTCACTCTATTAGAAATCTCGCATCATCTGCTTCGCCTCTAACCCCCATCTGCGGTGGTTCCGCAGACCGGATGACTATGGTACCTACATGGGCAACGAAAGACTCGGCAGACCCTTTTTCTGTGCTTCTGGCACGCATGCAGACCCGTCTCGACAGCCAGAAACCGCTGTCGTTCCTGTTTTTGAAGGAGCAAAAGGCGAAGGAATTGAGACAAGTGGTGATTGACAATGTAGAGACAGCGAATTATTCACTTCAGAAGGATTATTCGTTTTACAGAGGCAAGCCTTCTGGAGGACCTAGAGCAGAGACGAACAACCAGATCTTGCTGTTTGCTGATGAAAAAGGCAAGGAGTTTTTATCTGAAGAAGGGCAAGACGAGCAGGAAGACGTAGCGGAAACGTTTCAGAGAAAGCTAAAGGAGATAGTAGCAGCATCTTCATCTCCAACTTCACCAGACAACAGGAAGGGCAATAAGCCAGTTTTGTACGTTTTACTGCGTTGTCCTATTAATCCTGAGCAGGACATGTTAGCTGACAGTCCTCCTGATGCAGACATTTCTCGTGCATTGAATCCTGTATGGGTGCAAGCGTTGGAGAACATGAAGCTACCAGCAATAGTGGAAGAGGAGAAGGAAGAAAACAAACCTGCCACATCAGAAAAACAGCTTATTGCCAGTGCCTCTGCAGGGAAGGAGTCATCTCTTCAGAAAGGACCACAAGAATCACGAGAACAACCAAAAAAGCGCAAAACTGTTGATATCGAACATCTGTTACAGCGTGAAGATCGCTTCCTTCATGCACAACTTGACTACAAACCAGGAGCCAATATTTAAGGCTCAACTTTCATTGGTCACCATTTGATTTAGATTGGGCTTTGCTTTCTTGAAGGGGTTGAAGGGGGTCGGTCTCTTCCGTTCCGCATCAGTGACCACTGACTGCTGACCTTTAAAATATGCCGCATTATCATGTTGTTGCGATGTCGCCTTCCACTCGTGGGGGTCCTGGGCAGGACCAGGAGAATAAAGGGCAACCGGGCGAGCAGGGCGAGCTAAATACGCACCGAGACGAAACAAAATCACCGAAAGCGATTGACAAAAACAAGGATGTTGAAGAGCTACCTAAAATTCCAAGACGCTCAACCTCCCGATCGCCGGCTGCATCAGCGCGTGGTCGTGCTTCTGTGAGCAGGACGCAATCACCACGACCTGACAAAGAAAGCGATAACGTAGATGTTGCTAGAAACAGAAAGAGTACTAGTAGTCGTCGTCCTCAACAAAATACAAATAGTACCTTGACTTGGCACGCACTGGCGCAGCTGGCACAAGAAGCAGCACTAGCACAATACAATCACGTCAATATTTCGAGTAGTACGAAGGACGACAACAACATGTCTTCATCTACTTCAATGAAGATTCCGAACAAGAAGACTGTAACCCGTTCGATTAAGGCTCGCACAGTTTTTCACCGTGTGTATGTTCCTTCTGTACCCATATCAAGTTGCCAGGAGTGGTCATATCATTACCCGGACTCTAGTTGTGTCTGAGTCGAGTAGCACCCTGATGAACCATCATTACCCGGACTCTAGTGGTGTCTGAGTCGAGTAGCACCCTGATGATCACTTTCATCATCATGCTCTAACATCAAGAAAAACCTGATCCATACGAAAACGATAAAGCGTCTACTCCAAGAGCGAAATCGTGGGGGTCGTACGTGGGAAGAGGAAAAAAACCGTTGCCCAGCCTTAGCAGATGCCATGCTGTTGGATGTGATGATGTGTTGAGCAGATACTTCTGGTCCTGGTGCTATTAAACGTGCCCATATGTTGATTTAAATGAAGAGGCTGCATAGACCGAAGAAGATGAAAGTAAGTTAACTACTTGAAAAGTTTGCCGATAGTACAACAGAATGACTATCTTCTAAGACGTAGTGATGATGATAAAAGGCTTTCTACGAGAAGACTTCTAGAAAATGCGTCACCGTCTTTTATGGATGGTCTTTTTAGAAATCGTGTTCCATTGCTCGACTGTTAGTAGGCACATTATGTTCTTTAGACACCTCAAATATGTCACTGTCTCGTCCTGCTCGGGCGACGAATTATTATCGGTCCACTGCTCATGCTCATGCTCATCTGCGTCATCCAGTATTGTGGATTAGCAGAATAGTCATTCTCAAACCATAGCCATACATTTCTTTGCTGTCATAAATCGCAACTTCAAGAACATCAACTGTGCAGAACGACGACAAGTCTATTCATCTAATAAATTCTTCATTGAGTAACAAAGAGAGAGCAGACAAGAAGATGGGCCAATCGTTATCCTCGGATTGTCGAGACCGTTGCCATGACAAGTGCTCAGCGTCACCCTCAGCAGACCAAGAAATCATTGCGAATGAGACTACCGCGGAGAAATTTTACTTCAAAGCTAAAGGTACTAAATACTTGAGACTTCCTGAAATCCATCTTCAGAAGCATCTTGGACGTCCCGTGTCCGGGAAATGGGTCCAAGATGAGTTTCAAGATGGATGTCCGGAAGGTCTAATAGACTCAAATACAACTCAAATAGGCAAGTAAAAAACACTCAATTAACACCTCCGAGTATCTGAGATTTTTCCCTAGCATACTAGGTTATTTTAGTTTTTCGATCAGTTCTTTTTGTGGTTTGCTGATTCTTCTAGTAAAAAGTGCGAAGAAGCCTCTGTTTGTTTTTTATAACAGGCTTTATCTTCTATAACAAGAAAACATCGTCGTTTTTCTTGACCGCAGTTTCTTTCATTTTTCACCACGACTACAGGCTCTTCCTTTTCAGCACCAGTGACAGAAGAGGCAATCTTTCTGCAACAGACGGCCGCGTCGATATTATTTGCACCTCCAACGGGTGCAGGGGGGGCTTCTAATTCAAATCCTCTTGGTGTACCTTGTTCGAGTATAACTACAGCAGGAGCTGGAGCTCCAGGCACTACTCTAACTGCCTCTACTTCATCTACGACAGGAGAAACTACGGGAGCTGCTCAAACCGCAACATCATGTACAACGAGCAGCTCTTGGCTACGATCACCACCGCGTGATATCATCTTGTCAGACCATACAATTACAACAAGTCATAGTACTGCAGGTGCAGGAATTGGAGGAGGAGGTCTACCTTTTGTTGGTGGAGGATCTCGAAGTCCGTCTCCTGGCACCTCGTCCAGCAGTAGTTCTCCTTCTCCCAACTACACTGGTGCCGCTAATACTAATTATTGTACAGGAGCTGCCAACAAGTTGCTATACAACAATCAAGTGATATATGAGGGGCAATTCAATGCGCTAGGGCAGAAGCACGGTCAAGGTCGCCTGAGATGGCCAGATGGGAGATGCTATGAAGGTAAGAAAAATTACGTTTGCGTTGATCTTTATGCAGGAAGCTCTAGATTTTTCGTTTAATCACCACCTGTGTTCAACCTTTCACACAACAGTTTCAGTTTCATCTTGCCACGACGACCTACAGTACCTACTAGACCTTCTACATCTCTACTCATAATATCTTCTTCATCATGTCGTGGTCGTCTCACTCTCACACCACTGAATCCCAAGAGCTTTTCCAGGTCCTTTCCACAACGACGAATTTTGTGGTGAAGCCACGATGGTCTGGCAGGACGGTCGAAAATACGAGGGCCAATACGAAAAGGGTAAAAAACATGGGGAAGGAAGCTTTTTTTGGCCTGATGGGAGGTCGTATGTAGGACAATGGCAAACAGGACGTAGGCATGGGGAAGGCGTTTACAGAGATCCGAAGACGAAATTTCATAGACTGTTATGATAACGTCGGTAGTCTTAAATGTACAGAAACCCGAAGACGAAATTTCATAGACTGTTATGATTTAGAGGGATTGATTTTGATGCTACAACAGAAGTATGAAGCTACTATACACTCTTTCTATATCAACATTCTAAAACTCGCAAAGTGGCACGAAGACGAGCCTGTTGAGTGGCTGCAAGATATTTGGTCTAGCGCTCCTACTGGTTCGTCAGGTAGTAGAAGCAGATCCTCCAAGTCACCACCTGCTGCTCCCGAGCCTTCAACAAATGCTAGTGGTGTCCGTACTCCAGCAGGACCAGGCCCACCAAGATATGAACAGTCCACGACTTCAAGTGCGGCGAAGATGATCACGTCGAACACTGTCACGGGTGGATCATCGAGAGGACGAAATACAGCACATAAACAAGGGCAATCTGGTAGTGGTAGTTCTTCAGGGCATAGTACTACAACTACTTCAACAGGAGCAACGACATCATCTCTGAACGCTCCTTCGCCTCCTGATTTGAGAGGTGGAGGTAGTACTGACAGGAATAGCATGAATAGTGGTAGCAAATCCCGGATGATTCCCTCCACAATGCGACCGCCGCCCTTTCCTCTGCTGGGAAAAGTTGGCGATCCCAACTCTCCACTACTAAATTACAAGTTGCACTTGGATTCGCCTCCTGGGTGAGGTAGATCGATGGAAGAGAGATCCTGCTTAGTGGAGCTTTGTACAACGTTGATACTAGCTGCGCGCGGACACTGAAATACGACCACTCCTGCTATGTCGTTGGGTCGTCTACCTCGAGAAGCGCTTGAAGCACTGAGAAGATGTCCTTGTTGTCTGAAAAATTACATTATACCAGAATATGAATATCACAGTCCGTCGATCTCTCCGAGAATACCTCCACGCTTGACTACTGATCGGTGACCGAGTAGGTCGGCTAGTCCTCGTGTCTGCATTCTTGATTCAATTCCTTCACTTTCCACTTCAAAATGCAAAACCAACACAAGAACTCATCTGCATGCATCACGGCAAGCCCTCAATGAAGGCAAAAGTAAAAGATGTCTTGCTGTAATTTTAGTTATGAAGATTGCCATTGCTCCTATGATTGCCAATCGGTTCTTGTTCCAGGAGCACCTAATTCCGTTTCCGGCTTCCGAAATCTAGATCTCAAGTGAAATTGGAAGACAAATCATCCCCCAACCGTGCTGCAGTCCAAAAATTTCTTTCATCCAGCAGAAGTACAGAAGCTACTAAGAGAATCATTTCATGAAACAACTACTTACAATTGTGCGTGTTCATCGTTAAACATAGTCTTAGTTCGAAAGCAAAGAAGCTGCGAAGAGAATCATTGTCAATCTACCGGACAATTGTTGACTTCATCTTCGTGTTTCGATTTGCTACAAGGAAGAACCTCGAACTAGATATCGCATTGTAGCGGAGCAGCTCGTGCAGTTCGAGTCTCAAAAATCATCTCTGGGTAGAGGAAGAAGACCTATAGCGGAACAAAAATGTTGCGTTTTTTGCTCTTCTTGGTATTCCACTTGTTAGTGGAATACCCAATGTTCGCTCATGCTGGGCCAGCAGCTGCGGTGGTAACCTACGGAACTTGTCAGACGGGATGTAACATTGCCTACGTTTCTTGTGTTGCGGCAGCGGGAAGTATTGCTGGCACTTTCACGCTGGGCATTGGCATTCCCGCAGCTGTAGCAGCGTGCAGTGTTGCGCAAGGCGTGTGTATGACAGGCTGCGCAGGCATGACCATAGCTGCGGTTGCGGCGCCGACCCCCTGATTTTTTTTTTTCGAAAAATATGATGTGAAGAAATGTGCGTGAATATGGAAAACACCAAGATGGAAATGACGGCTACAACAACTAATGACGTACATAAAACCAAAAAGCGCTGAGGGGAACGTCATCCGCCGGATATGCGGACTCATTCTACTGATCATAGCAGATGAAATTGTACGTAAAACAAGAATAGTTTCCATTTTCATTATATAAGTAGGAAACCTCATTCATCAGCTTAAGAACAAGAGCATTGAACATGGACATGGAGTAGAAGCAAAAGTGTAAAAAACATACGCAGTACTAGAAATGTAGAATTCCTAATATTTATATTAGTTACGTCCGTCGTACATCGGCAGAGGACTATCACTATGACTTGCTATACCGATGAAACTCAGTCCACATGTTACACAACAACTGGTGCCTAGTTGGCACCCTCATTCGAATACTCACGTAGTAACCGCAGGTGGTAGAAGCTATCGGCTGTACTGTGTTTGGCAGCAGGTTTTTCGTAACATTATTCTTGTTCCTTTCGTGAGTTCTGTGAAAATGAAGATTTTGAGCGATAGTGGTCGTTATAATATACGAACTTTTATTATTACATTTACACGACGAGTGGCGAGGAACAGCGTGAACAAGTCTGTGAGGTCATCATTGATCTGTCGTACCCCGAACGTTGAGAAACGCCAACGAGAATTTTCTAGTACCCCTTTTTGCATTTCCTCCCCAAGAAAATGTAAGTAATGAGTGCCTCAGGTAGTGACCAAGTCGTGAAGCTTATAAATATCTAGCTGAATCAGCTTATAGTGCAAAATCGAATCTATATGGCGATAGATCACGTACGCGACGGACTAGTCTAACTTTTCTTCACACTCTTCCACTAATTGAAACTAGATGAAGGAGAACAACTGAAAGTTGGCAGTAACTCTAACTACTGCAACTGCAAATACAACAAGAATATTAACTCCTCACGTGCTGGAGGCATGACTCGTCGTCAAGAATAAGAAGAATGTCTCCTCACGTCCTGTGCAAGAGTACGTCCACCTCCACGGTGGGAGCTGGAGCTCTAATTAGACCTTACAAATATTCATCTTGAAAGATGGCATCTTTGACGCTTTTCGGGTTTAGGGTTTAGGGTAACAAGAATGACAAAGACTCGTCGTCAAGAATAACAAGAATGTCTCCTCACGTCCCACAGGACCCATGCTCCTGCTCTGCTCCTCCCACTGGGGAGACGCGTCCTGGTGTTGAGCGGACGAGTGTTGTCGTCACCTACGCAGGCGTACTCCAAGCCCATGAACGCATCCGCGAGCACATCCACCGAACACCTATTTGGTCCTGTTCATCGCTGGCGAGGATCATACTACCGGACTCTGATGAGGAGGCGAGGCAGCAGGAGGTACTTACTTAGTGGTCTTATGTATCCTCTTTCGTATCCATATTAGACAGTCTGGTGTGGCTTCCCTATTTGTCTTTTTCTTGATGTCTGTGAAATGCACTGACGTTTTCTGAGCCCAGACTTCTGGAGCCCTGGCCGCTGCCTGTCGCAAGCCAGAAATCTCTTAATCATAATCATGATTTTGGTCGACGGTCACTTCATGCATTCCCCCTTTACCTCATGAATAGGTAAGTCAATCAATCAATCAATCAATCAATGTTCTCGATGTTGAGACACGTAGTGTTGGTGTAGTGGAATAAGGAGCTTAATATCCTTCTGTACTTCAACTTGCCTCATCTTCACTCTGCTCGCAGCCATAAAACACATGTTGAATCATCTTCCCCATGATCTACTTCCGCTAGGTCGTTATAACGCCAGCCACTGCAACTTCTGATGCAGCGCTTCCATTTCCGACAACGATAAAAGAACTACTTTTCAAATGTGAAAACCTGCAGAAAATTGGTGCCTTCAAGATCCGTGGTGCTTTGAATGCCATCAGTCTTTCCGCAGCGGAAACAATTGTGACACATTCTAGTGGCAACCATGCGCAAGCAGTGGCACTGGCTTGCCAGATTTTAGATTAAGGCTAAGTACTCGAAAACTCTGAAACTTGCGAGTACTTAACAGAAACAATAAGCGAGTATGTATCTGGGATCAATATCCTACCATACTCGCTTATTTGTAGTTTTTCGAGTACAACAATAATAAATGCGTCTTCACTGCTGCTCCATCTTCGTTCCCTGCTGCTCCCGTTTCTCAAGGGAAAACGGGCATCAACAAAATGCTCGTTCAACACGGGCATCAAAGTGCAGCTCCTTTCGATGGATTTGTGGTAGTTCTAATCAAAGAGAAAAGCCATAGTGGTCATGCCAAAGGATTCCCCTCAGCCTAAAGTGGATGCAGTACGAGATACCTACGGTGCTGAGGTGCGCTTCTGTGAACCTAACCAAGCTGCTAGGGAGTCGATGTGTGCGGATGTGATTAACGAGGTCGGAAGTGCGTCTAACAAGGTGGAACTGATTCATCCTTACTTACGAACGGTAGTTATCGTTGTTCTTTTTGTGCTTGTGTGGTGCTGGAGTCTCTGTTTCTCATGATCTTGGTTGTCAGTAGACACTCATCGTCTGCTTGCTAAGATGTTCAGTATGATTCAAAGGGATGATCAACCCAACATATACAAGTAGAAGCATCTAGAAGTTGAAGAACAAGATTGAAAATGAGAAGCATCTAGTTGAAGAAAGAGATTGAAAATGAGGACAAACGAAAACCACAAACAAAAACGACCAGGAGTCGAATGTGCGGCTTCTCCGATAGATGTAGATTTGTGGCCGATTGTCCGGTCTTATGCGCCCCCAGTATGTAACTTGGATGTTTTTAGATTTATATATAGGTTAACTAATTGATTGTGATTGAAAGGGTGGCAGCATATAGTCCTAACGCAAAAAAAAAAAAAAACGACCTCTACGGTGATGATCATAACAGGGCTACACACATGACATGACTGCTCCAATATTCGACGATCCACGAGTGGTATGCGGACAAGGGACGCTAGCAGTAGAATTTCTAGAAGATGCCTGTTGTAATGCTAGTTCGACAGGTTCTACTTCTAGTTCTACGACAGGCTCTACACGTTGTACTACAACAGGAAAAAATATATCTTCTCTCGATGCCATCGTTATCGCAGTGGGCGGCGGTGGACTTTTAGCGGGTTGTGCTACGGCTATTCGTGGCTGGGAACGGGAGAAGTTTGGAACTCAGTCACGAAAAATAAAAATCATAGCTGCCGAGCCTCTCAATGCCAACGATTGTTATCAAAGTTTCACCCAGAAAACCCGTATAGACAACGTAGGACCGCCGAAAACGATAGCGGATTCCGTGAAGACAAACCTAGGAGAGGTCACTCTGCCCATCATCTTACGAGAAGTCGACCACGTTATCCAAGTTTCAGAAGATAATATCAAGCGAGCCATGAAGTTGACATTTGAACGATCGAAATTGGTGGTCGAACCTGGAGCAGCAGTTGCGGTGGCAGCAGCCATGAGCGAGGAAATGAGAAGGAAATGTCCAGAATGTTTAAGGATAGGCGTGGTTTTGTGTGGAGGGAACTTGGATATACGGAAATTGCCGGATTTGTTGCTGTGAAATAAAACAGCTAAATTGATATGACGAGATCTATAATGAAGCGCGGAATGAGATGAACAGAAAACGTCGACTTAATCTGTCAGTCGATGTTGAGATGTCACAACAGCAAAGAATAAGAAGGTAGCACGTTGTTCGATGAAGATGCCGTTCTCCCTCCTTTTTCACCGAAAGCATCTTCTCCTCACGAGAGGGAAATCCTCTGTATGTTGATTCATCCTGTTGTTTTCGTGAGAAGCACACGATTAATCACAAGAATTTAGAAAAGAAGAAAATGCCAGATGAAGTTGATGACGTTTTGCTTGCTGAAATAAGCTGAGTGGTGCTATCTGCCCTTTCCAGACGTTGAGAGGAACACGATGCTACGACTTTGAAAAGCAGCAACTACAGTAGGGCCTCCAAGCATAATGGGCATGAGGAGGGGGTGGATTTAACACATCACGCTGCTCGTCGACGTCGCGCCAAAGATAGACGCTCGACGTTTTGATAGACGAAGAGGAAGCACTCGATTTTGATAGACGACCTTCTACTTAAACAACATCCTCAATAATCTTATATAGGCCCTGCGGCGCTCAAAGCACTAAGTAAGACAACCGGCTAGTTTTCACCTCGACTCAATTAGGTTTATCCCGAGCAACAATATATTACTTACATTTTACCACCTGAACAAGATGATCGACCTCTTCCTCCTCTTCTTCACGATTGTGGCGATCGGGAGCTTTGTCCTTATCAATGCCAAAATTGTCTTCTACTACGAAGACAATGACAGCGAGAAGAACGACAACATGGGTCTACGAGCGGTGGTCATATTATGGACTAGATGTCTATAATGATCTAGATGTCTATCGTCTCTTGATTAGAGCAACAAGGATCAAGAAAGAGGATCGATCCTAGGGTTTAAGTGTCCTCTTCGTGAAGCTAAGGACTAAGTACTTCTGGTGGAGCGGGTCAACTTTTACAAAAAGGAGGATCACAAACACAAGTGCGATCTATGTCTATCTCGTGTGAAGCAAGCATGCATCCTCCTGGTGGAAAGGCATTTCAAGGGAAAAAGGGCCCCCCAGGATGAGTGGTCGCAAGATAGATTACGTTTAACATACGGCGAGCTCTAATCATAGCTGCTTTGTCAGTAGCTTACATCGTCATCTTCTTGCTCCCGATTGACATACGGAATTCCCGCAACGATGGTGGCCTGAATATGGAGGCGTTTTGGCTGATTGGGTTTATATCCATCATACTGCTAATCCTCCTGATCCTGCCAGCAGGCATGTTTTGGCTCGAAATCCAAGGAGATAATTAAGGCTCCTGCTTACCCTAATCCATTGTCGTATGAGGCTTACCCTCGTGCTCTCCTTGTCGTACTAGAAGTCGAAGATTTATAACCCATCTTCTGAAGCATCTTGGATGGATCTCCTCGATAAGGGGGGGACAGGAACAGCTCCAAGAAGATGAGCCAGAGTCTCAAGATGGATTTGGGTCTGCTCTATCTCTAAGAAAAGCTGATCTTCGAGAAAAACACGCCCGGGAGGAAACTTTTGATGCAGATGCTGCTCTTTTTCTTCTTCGTCTTCATGTTCTTGGTGATATCCTTTGCTTTTCTGGCTGAGGCGCGATTGCCGATTCAGGACTACGCCTGTAGCACACTGCTAGACGCTGATGACGCGATCAGCGGTGGGCATTTGTGCAAGACATCGGAAGAAAAATACTTAGCGGTCAACGTGCGCTTCGACATATACCTGATGGCGGTTTTTTGCTTCCTGGGTTGGTGGCTTTTCGTCATATTCGGCGGCGTCGGACTGACAGCTCTTCCGATGGACCTGTTGCTGGAGTACTACGACCGCCCAAAGCCAATAACGCCGGCGCAGTACGCTAGCAAGAAGTTGCTGTATGCGCAAACAGCTGAGAATCTAGTGAAGAAAGCCCAAGAACTGCAAGACGTGGACGCTCAGTTGAAAGGGAAATCCGGATGGCAAGCGAGAAAAAAGCAGAGACTGTTGAAGGTGGAGTACAACAAGTTCAAGCAAAGCTGTCATCTGTTGGACAAGGAGTTTTCACATACAGAAGTCTGTATGAAGAAGCGAGGGGAACACCCCTTGACAAGTGCGATAAAGATCGGCAGTGGGGTGTTGTTTGCGCTGTTGAGGTATGGCATGAAGATGAAGTTCATCTGGTAAGAACCATGGCCTTGCACGTGGGAGGAGCAGTTATAAATTTATAAACAGAAGAAGGCTTAGCCTTAGGCTTTTTAGCACTGAAACGACCTACTTAGATATTCTTGTTATTGACCAACAGTTGTATGTTCGACCAAACTTCTTCTTTTTGATTCTTGTAAGATAAGATTTTTGACTCTCTAAGGTTCGCAAGATCCTTTACTTCCTCATTCTCTAATCTTGCTTCTTCTGGATTTTGCATGTCTTCTTTTACATGCTGGTCACTGACGAGTACGACACTCCGATATCGCCTTTTCTCAACTTAAGGCTCCTGATAATTCACCCTCGCAGGAGAGTGTTAGTTACCTAGCTTGCTTGGTTGTCCTGGTCTTAGTTCCTTCTCCTCTCCTCAATCAATCTTGGAAAAACAAAAATCTCAGACCATGCATGTTGAAGTATGAACGTAACATTTTTAACAGATGCATAGAACAAGCTATGAGGAGCTCTAATCAGCGACTTTCTAGCAGCCTTCGAAGCTGGAGGCTTCTTCGTCATTGCCGCAATCCTTTTCGCCATTCTCAACATGCACCTGCTGTTCGCCACGGTCAAGGGGTGCTTAAAAGTCGGCATGCGGGCTTTTTGCCTGTTTAGCATTCATCCGATGAAGCAAGGGCACACACCTTTGAATTCACTGATGTTAAGGCTACCGCATATGCATCTTCGACGTCCTCGTTCGATCCTCATCCGTGGTTCTTCACTCTCATCCTGAAAAGAAACAAGGACAAGCCTTTGATGTTGCCATCTTCAGGGATGAAGATGCGATCAAGCGGTCTAAGCAAGTCGTCTAATGATGTTTAACGCCATCCTGGTGAATTTGACCTCTTGTGCCATAGTGCAGTTTGCGCAGGGAGCCTTCCGGGATTACGCGAGATCAACAACAGCAGACGTGCTCTTCAACGCGCAGATCAAGTACCTGAAATTCTACCGGATCTTCTTCGAATACAACGTGTTCCCCATCGTGTTGGTCACTTGTTACGGCTGTATTCTCTGCTCTAGTTGTAACAACTGCTCCATGTATTCTCTGCTCTAGGAACAATAGGATCAAGGTTCCTATTAGAAAAGCAATTCTCGTCCACACACTACATGTACATGTATTTGTACGCGTACTACAGCACCTACAACAGCACCTACTCTTCTAATCCAAGTGCCTGCTCTCCTTCGCCTATCTGATCATGTATCCTAGGGACAAACCCGCTATGGACGGCACGGGAGCGGATTTGAGGAAAGCTTTAGGTGACTCAGGAACTGCTGAATCTAACAAAGATCATGGTGGGAAAGGAAATGGAGGAGGTCTAGCAGGTGGAAATGATGCTCCTCGAGGAAGTAGAATTCTTGGTAGCAAAGAATTAGGCAATGCAGTGTGATAAACGCAACGCGAACGCCACATCTTCAAAAGGTAATTTTCAAAAAAATGTTTCATATGAGTGACAAGGTTCAGAAGTACTGTTTGAAGATGTAGCGTGAATGCAACATCTTTCAAAAGAAAACTCTTCTTGTTTCTGAATTTCCAATGCATCGATTTGCCGTGTTGACCTCGACACAAAACTGACTGCGCCACATGCGTTGTTGTGAGAAGACAAGGTACTAGATCCTCTAGAAGAGAGTGAGAGTGTGATAAACGCAACGCGAACGCCACATGTTTGAAGATGATGCTAACATGCTTCAAGCCAACATAATCTGTCTGACTGAGTAGTCCATCTGCTTCTGTCTGAGAGGTGCGATCATGAGAGAAAACTTACTGTACTCTCGTCTGTCTGAGTTTTATGCTGTAGTGAGATATATGTTAGTCTGTAGTAGAGATCGAGAAGGTGTTGAATCCAGAAGTTGTAACGATGAGAGTTTCTCCTGTCTATGCATGAGGGAACGAGTGCCCTGCAGTCTGTCCTCCTTTCATCTGTAAGTAGAGAGAGCAAGAACTAAAAAGATAATATCAAATGATGTCTTCTTGTCAAATCATGTCTTTATCTCGAGCTTCACTCGCAAAAATTGGCCATCTTCCGAAACGAATTGCAGCATGCTTTTGAATTCCCGATTTCCATATGAAAACCTGTTTCCCAAGTACAATGATTCACCAGATGAATTTCTCTTTCTACTTCATCCTGTGTATACTACTAGTTTGGTGATATTTGTATTCTTCTTCTATAGGTAGTTACCCTTGCTTACCTGGTAACAACAACAACAACAAGTCTACAACTCTAACAAACTATAAGTAAGTAGCAATTCTGAGCCATTCAAATTCATCTGTATTTCTGATTTTTTTCGACGTTGAGTATGCTATTCTTTCTTCTCCACTAAAATGGATGCTCCTTCCGAAGAGCAGCAGCCCCTCTCAGAAGGAGGGCCACCTCCCAGGAGCAGCAAGAACATCATGAGTAACTACAATATTAGGTCAGGACCTGCTGTGGTCACCGGTACTCGTGGGGATCCAGCTGCCAATGGCACGAAAGCGATGATGAACGCTTTCGGACAGCTGGACAAAGATCAGCAGACCCAAATGATCATGTCTCACGTGTTTGGGGCCCAGAGCGGCAATGTGCCACCTGTGTTTTTCGAACTCTTGTCTGGGTATGACGTCAGGACGAACTTACTGGCTGCGCAATTGCAGTACTTCCTGTCGGACAAGTACGGATTGGAGACGGAACTGAATACGGAATTAGGAGATATGCAGAAAAACAAAAGTGGGAATGCTGCTAGTGCTACGGGGCCGGGAAGATCCAGGCAACTGTTGCGGCCACCTCAAAGGGAGTTCATGTTCCTGTCCAAAGAGGCGATTGAGAACAAAAGGCAGTTGTGTGAGTTTCTCTGCAATACGATATTCGACGAGCACAACAAGGCGAGCGACAAAAACCCGCAAGTGGTGCGCTACGAGAAAGCAGCACGGTTGTTCATGGAATACGCGGACCGGGTTGGATTGGTTAAAGATTCGCCAAAGCCAATGGGAGGTACTATGAGCCCCTATAATCTCCTGCAAACACCGGAGAACCAACGGGATCAAGCCTTGTTGGCGGCTGCGCAGAGTCATGCGAGACGAGCTATGGCGAATAGGGATACGAGGAAACTGCAGGTAGCGTTTAAGCCCCATCACGTGAGAAGTGAAATGCTTTTAGCGGCTTCTGGGATCAGCAGTGCCAGAGGCAGGGGTGAATTGAGTGCTCGACCTTCGATGAAGGCGACTTCGTTTGCCGATATGGATCGAGACACCTTTGACCTAGCTGGAGGAGCTAGCATGAATAGTGGCATGCTAGAATACACTGATAATCGACGTGCGGCTCTGCAGAATATGCTGGAAGTAAGGGCGCAACTTCTACCAGGATCCTCTAGAAGTTTTTCCATGCTGACAAACAAACTCCACTCCCTGCCAATCCAGCAAAACATCTTGCGCCAGAACGCCCAATTTGGTGCCACAACCGGCATGGCTGGAGGCCCAACTACCGCGCCTCCCTCTTTTAGCGTGACTGCAGATTCCTACTGCAACAACTCGCTTCCAGAGTATACGTATTTCAGACTCCTCAATGACATGCTGAGTAATGTCTTAACATCCGAAGTAGGTGGTGGAGCTGGAAAGAGTGGGAACAGCGATGAAAACGCAGTCGACCACATGGTCCATAACTTGATGCACAACCACAATTCTGCCCACACTGGTGCTAGCTCTACTGCTCCTGCTCCTGGTACAACTGCGGGAGAACTACTGTATAAAAAAGAATTCGAAGACCGATTTCAAAACTTGTACAGCTCTGGTAGAGCAGGCAGTGCGAGTCGAGCGCCGTTGGCCGGTCGTCAACTGGCGGATTTTGGGCAATTGTATCGAACTCGCAACGATCACAGCGTGGCAACCTTGATGCAGTTGAAAAAGGGCTTTCACGCGGTGCGAAAGCTCGTGGAGGACGTGAACAACTTCTATGCCGCCGTTCACTTCTGCGTCCGAGAGGACAAACAACGGGTGGACACGGCTACTCGGGTGTCTGCTATCAAAGCATTGGAAAAGAAGGTGCAGAAGGAGAAAGAAGCCGCGGGGGCCCATGGCGAGCAACATCAGCATCGTCCACAACCACACTCTGTCGTGGATGTTCACGCTTTTGGTGGTCACGCGGAGAGTCCACGAATGGATCAGTTCGGACGCTGGCCTAGACCTCCATTGGTCCAGCGCAAGGAGGACATCAAACACGACGCTGAGGAAGGGGAAGTTGCTAACAAAGCTGAGGGGAAGAAAGAGCAACGCATATCCGAATTCAAAGCTTTGGCAGTCTCCGCGTACAAGAACAAACCGGCGCCTGGCGTGATACATCGCGTATCAGCGAATGTGCAGAAGGAACTATTAGGCTTGCTATCTCGTGGAGGGGACCTGCAGAACAAGCATTTTTTCTTCGTCATGCAACAGCAAGCAACGTTGTACCGAGACCGCGCTGGAGGGGCAAAGAGTGCAATGAGCGTTAGCGGAGCCGAAGCGAGGTTGTCTCAGGAGTTACTCGAGATGCTCGAACTAGATTTGTATCGAGACGGCTTTTTGTTACAGCAGAAGGAAGACTTGGCGTTTTTCAGGTCTGGGAAAAGTCTGAACAGCATATGCGGAGCTAGTGGACGCAGGATGGATCCCGGAGCCCTGATGATGCTAGGTGGTGGCCTTCAAGGTGGAGGTAACAACTACCGGCCAGGACGAGGAGGCAACACCGCGAACAATTCTAGACAACATAGTATGTCCATGAACCAAACTCGCAACGAACAAGAAGAATCCGAACCCTTAATCTGCACAGCCTTACACGCCATTGCCTCCAGCTGTGAGCTTCTCCACGCCAATACCTGCTATATCGAACGAACTCTGGAGTCCATGCAGCCTTACTTGAAGAAACTGCACGAATCTCACCGCATCGCAGCCTTGTTCCAGAAGCAGAAGAAGTTTGGGCGTACTAGGGTCTTGCACTTCTTCACGCCAGCTACTAGGGGACCAGAAGAAGGCCGTGCAATGGGAGGCGGCTACGGATATTTTGGAGGAAATGCAGCTCCTGGAGGTAATCCTGGAAAGCCAAAACCCGGCAGAGGTGGTTTTCCTGGCGGAGGCAATAATGTGACTGGAAATGGTGCTCCAGATGGAGCCGGAAGTTCTTCTATGAATACTTCTTCTCTAGGTGGAGGTACGAGTGGTAGTAATATGCATTCTGGAGGTGGCAGCTCCAGTGGTGGTCCAGGTTCGACTAGTAGAGGTGCGGGAAATACTAGGATGAACAAGATAGGAGGACATCACCATGTTGAGCATCATCCTCATCGGTCTACGTCCGCACACTCACAGCACTCACCGGAGGGAGGAGTTCGGTCTAAGAACAAGGGCAATCCTCCTCAGAACTACCATTACCCTGAATCTTCGGCTTCGGATTCCTATGGGGCAGATACATCGGAAATGTCGGATTTCAGTGCAAGAGGGCCGGCTCCGGGTCCATCAAGTAACTTCTCGGAGATGATTAGCAGACCTTCTCCTTCTTCGAGCAGTGTCGTTGCAAATAACACAGTAGAGGTGCTGCGTCCTCGTTCTACCTCTGCCCAAGCTGTGTCTTCCTCTCCTAGCACTAGCAGTCCATCGACACGGCGGCCACGACAGCCTAGTGGTGCGCTTGTGGGATCTTCTCCTGTGCCGAACGACGAATCATCTCCGAAGATGTCCTCGCAGCATTCGTCAAGAAGCCCTGCTACTGAACGCCATAGTCGCAAGATGCGTGGAGCTGCTGGTATGTCCAGCGAGCTAGTGGACCAAACTGAAACTCATCTTCGCCATAATGCTCTTCCAGGAGCTCATCTGTTCTACGATGAGACTGTAGGTTCGCCTTCGTCCGCGCCAGGGGCAACCTCTGGGGCTACCTCTTCCACTTCTGCCAACAACAACGGCAAGCAGAGTACTAACCCTTTCGTTTCTAAGAAGTACAATGTCCTTCCGAAAGACGACTTACCAGCTGTCCGAGTCGTCGATAAGAAGACCCAATGGCTGCCACTATTCGCAAGTACGGAATTTCACTACCGCAAAGGTCAGAGAATTGGGGAAGTGAGGTCGCTGATCCGAAGAATCGCAGAAGCACAATGGAGCGACGACGGCGAAGGGATTAGCTGTTCCACGATCCCACGCATCCGCATTGACGAGGACGAACTGCTGTTCGTTCATGACCCGGTTTTTGATGCTGGACTACGAAGTGCGGATTACCAAGAAGCCCTCATGCATGCGACAGCCCTTGCGCACACGCATATGGTGGAAATCTCTAGAGCTGGCAGTCTCGGAAGTGGATCTGGATCATCTGGATCTAGGAGTGCTGACCAAACCCTGAATAACTATCCAACGTCGCTGTTCGGATTTGCTAAAGGGGTAGCGGCAAGCTCTGCGAAAGACGAGTCAACATCTTCAAAGTCATCGACACGACAATCGACTTCATCTAAAAGTACTAGAGCGTCGACACGTAGTCTAGCCAGTGATGCAGCTTCAAAGGGTAGCTCTTCTGGGGGAAATGGAGCTGATGGGAGTGGAACAAATGGTGGCGCTGTTGCGCAGCATCAGGGCGCTCAGCACCAAGGTGCCCAGCTGCATCAGGGCGCTCAGCACCATCAGGGACAACAACACCATCACGGTGGTGCACCGCATCACAATCAAATGCACAAAGAAGGTTCCCACTCGCAGCCCGCTCCTCCAGCTTCCAAACCCGGTCCCGGATCCTCTCGTCCTGCAGGACCTCCGCATAGTCGTTTAGGCTCAGTCGTGGGGACTCCTACTTCTAGAGGAAACCTCGGCGCCAGACAGTCGGCTGGCATAGGTCTAGGCTCATCTGGGGGACCTGGCTCTCCGCCGATTTCGGCAGCACGTGGCCTCCCTTTGGCCAGAGATGCATTGGGAGCTCTTGGAGGTGCAAAGGATGCTGACGCTTTAATTAAGGGTAGGTTAAAGGTGCTTTTGTTACCGTTTATTATGGCTCTCGTCCTAAGGGGGACAGCCTCAGCCATAACAAGCGGGAAGATATGCGAACACCAAAATAAACCTACCTCTAATTTAAATTCCACAGGAGTCGAGCCGAATTCCGCAGGAGCAGCTACAGCCGCAGCAGCAGCCGCTAAGAAAGCAGCAGGTTTGAAGGCTAGGCAACAGCACATGATCGATGACCCTTACGAGGGGATCGAACGCCCCCTGATCGACAACCGCCACTTGTTTCCCACTCGTGCTATGTTGAGGAAGATGGAGGATGAAGTGATCTCGCAAGGAACCGAAGTCGCCGATGTGAGACCTCATGTCTTGTCCGAGGAGCGCTCTCTCGATGAGGTCAGCTACGTTGTGATCAAAAAGAAGGAGTACAATCGTCAATCCTTGCGGCTGTTGATGGATGCATGTGGGGTCAAGGAGATTTCGGCGGATGGAACTTATCACTTTTTTCAAGAGCAGATGAATGCTGGCGCGGCTGGGGCTGCACCCTCTGCAAGCGCAGGCGCTGGAGCAGCAGCTAATGCTTCTCTTTCTTTTGGCAATATCCTTGCAAGTTTTGGAAGTAAGATCAATGCTTCAGTAGGAGCCTCTAGTACCATAGCCATAGGCGAAGCTTTTTCGAAAACAACACCTCACTCTGCAAGTGGTGCAGCAGCAACCACGACTGTCGTGCCGCAATTTGTTGACGGACGTTCTCTGCAGAAGCTCCGCATAGAGCTTCGAGAAGTCACCGGTGCCGAGATCTACTCCACTCTGTTCCGCAGATTCTACAACTCTATGGAACTCTTCTCCAAGGATACTGAGGAATTCCGACGTCTTCGATCCTCGAAACTGATGCTGTTTCAGTTCTGCGTGAAGAAGATGATGCAAAGTCGCAATGCGATTGCTAGGAAGAGGAATGCCACTCTAGCTATCCAAGAACACACGCAGCCATCGACGTCTCGTAGCGCCTCGTCCTCTCAAGCTGGTGGACCTCCCATTCCTGTTTTTCGGAAGTTATTGCATGAAAAGCTTCTCCGCACAGAGATTCCAGACACTATGCAAGACGCCAGGGCCAAGAAAGAGGCTTTGGAACTCGAAGCAGGACCTATGGTCTTACCTCCGCCGTTATTGTTTCAGTCTTTCGTGAAACGAGTCATGGTTCGCATTCAAAAAGACCACTTGGCGGATCTGGAACTAGCACGTGAAATGGGCTTACATCGCGGACCACCACCGAGCGGGACAGCTTTTGAAGGTTTAGTTGGGACTAAAAACACATTCGCAAAGGGCCATCCGGCTGCTTTGGTGCATCAAAAAAGGATGTCTGGAGCTGCGCAACGAGGTACAACTTCAAATTCTGATCCAGGACAGGCTGATGGAGCAGGATCCAACCCAGCGAAAGGAGCTAACTCCAGCGTCACAGGTGGAGCTAACTCCAGCTTTAGGGGAGGTGCTTCTTTCCGTCAAGGTCAGACGCCTAGCAGTTCTCCTAAGAAAGCTCCAGGTCCACTCGAACCTCAGGATGAGGCCTTGTTGCAGGATATTGAAGACGTGGCTAATTTCGGACCCTATGGGAGTTTAAAGTACCAACGGCTAAGGGATCCAGCACTTGCCGCATCTCTTGTCGCGAAAGCTCCAAGTGGGGAAGGCAGCATCCGAATGGGCAGTGGGGGTTCTTCTTCTTTCAGCAAGGATCAGCAAAACGCTATGTCTTCTATCAGGGGTTCATCCATCTCTCCTAAAAACAAGTCGATGTTGTCCTCCAAGTCTCCTGTGTCAAACAACAACAAGTCTACGAACGCCAGTACGCGACGTCGAAGTGGATCGAACAATACCGACGATTCTTCACCCAATGGCAATACTAGGAGCAGTAAAAGAAGATCGTCATCTTCTGTGGGTGGCGGCAACAATCGGTCTAGTACTGGTCTGAACAAGAAGAAACTGCCCTTGAAGAATTTGGTGAAAGGTAAAAATGCTTACGGCAGACCGGATTCAAGTGGCACTGATTCTTCGGATTCGACCAACTCTTCGCCAAGATCTGCGGAAGATAATGACCAGGAGAAGACATCACGACCATCAAGTAGAAAGAGGAGCGGAATTATTTCAGCAGAGCAGGAAGATGCATTATTTCCATTCTGCTCTCCTAGGAGCTTAACGCTGCAGCATTTGAGTCCTCGATCAGCGGAGAACTTAGTCCGTGAGCATGATGGCGAGTACAGTCGGGGGATCGGGAAGACTGTGGCAGACCTGGAATATGAAATGATGGCCTATAATTAAGGCTACAAGATGAAATCCATCTTCACGTGCATCCTGAGACCGTTTTCTTCAAGGGGAGAAGGGTTCTAAGATGCGTCTCAAGATGGATTTCCATTTCTCTTAGGTCTAATATAACACAGCTGTGGCTGTAGCAGCCTCTGCCATCAATCAAGATCCGCAGGATGGGGACCCGGAACCAGAGCTAGGAGACGCGTCAGCCCGTTACCAGCAGAACAAGAAAATCCAAGCTCACGTTCGGTTGCAGCATGAGATCCGGAAGCACTGCCAATCAAAACTCTTGGGCTATTACTACACGGCTAGGAAAGAGCGACTGATCGAAGAGCAAAGGCGGCAAGACTGGTTTCGGAAACAGAGGGATAAATTGCATCGAAGGATTCAAGAAAAGAGGGCAAAAACAGACGCCATAAATATCTCTAGCATTACCGGGACAGCACAAGGAGGACAGGGAGAAGGACAACGAGGCGATGAGGTATCATTTAATGGTTCACCAACCGACGACAGCAATCAGAGTCGCGCATTGCCATCGACTCTAGTTAGCAGGGTGTCAACACTCAAAGGATCAGAAGGTGGCGCGGCTCCGCCAGATGAGATTGAGAGTGGAGAACACGACGACGACGACGACAAAACCGGAAGTGGAGAAAATGACGCAGAAGCCCAAGCGGTTCAGGCTAAAACGAAAGCCCAAGAGTTGTTCGACAGAGATCATGAGCAAATTTCTGACACAGAGCCGGTGAATGGCAAGGGCATCTTGACGGCAGCTGGTTGGGTCTCGGAAAACTACTTCTACTTGCCACCTACGTCGCAAACGGGAGGTGGATTGAAACTCTACATCACAGCTCAACAAGCCATCGAAGACCATCTCATCTCGCAAACGGAGGAGGAACACGTGGAACGCAGAGCAATGTCGATGTCGTTCAACGCTTCTCATGGTGGTCAAGTCCGCACCGTGCCGAAAATCCCCTTCGCCAACGTGTTGAGCTACTTCCCTGCGCGCGACGTCCCCACTGACGCAGCACATGCGAGACATCAAAAAGACTGCAAAAGGTCGGAAATGGCCATGGCTCCGCATGACAGGGTTCGCGAGGCTAGTCGCACTTTGTGGTTGCACCAATTGTCAAAGGACTTGGAGAAAACGCCGACTGAATTCCTCGATGCTTTGAACTTTGTGCACTTTCTGCAGATGGAGTTACGGGATACGATCCGACCAAGCATGGTTTTGTTGTCCAAGCGTGTGAAGAAGTTGTCTCTCCAAGCTGCGAAGTACCTCAAAGTATCCGTTCTCAAGAAGTTAGAGCGGGTGTTGCTGAGTCCCCACGTACGCTTAAGGGCCCCAATCGACCGCATGGTGCCAGATGTAGGTCGTTTCAAGGCGAACTTGGATTTGGAGCAGCTGCTCGAGGTGTACAACAATCCAAGCTCCACAATGGGGATGGGTGGATCGACTTTGCTTTCTTCCGGATCTGCGAACACTGCCGCTCGTATGATGCAGCAAAACGCAGACGAGGCTGGCGCGGCTGCTGCCCCAACTGTACTACCACCCACCGGCGCGCCTTCGCGTGGTGGAGAACCCCCTGTTGTTCCTGGCTTAGCGTTGAACAACCTTGCTGGAGGTCCTCAGGACACCAGTAGATTGGATACTACGTTGTCTACCCCAGCAGGTGGGCCAGCCTATTTTGCTGGTTTGGCAGGTGCTAGAGCTCTAGGAACTGCTGGCAACATGCAGAACAACAGAGTAGGATCCTCATCAGGTAAGAAGCCAGTCTCAACCAAGATCCACCCCGACGTGATTCATCGCGTCGTTGGCGCCATCTTCTCCGATGCAGTCCAGGAAAACTTTGCGTCTGGTCCGACGAATCGTGGAGAAATCCGCTCTCTCAGCACGTCCAATTTGCTTGCTAGTGAAGCCTTTGGAGGTATGTTGCGAGACCAGCTGGGATTGCAATTCCATGTGCCTCTGGTTCCTCCTCAGAGAAGGGGTAGTAGTACGACTAGTTCCGATGGCGTTGGTGTAACTGGAGGTGTAGCAGGAGGTGGCGCTGTCGCTGGTACGACGGCTACTACTTCTGGCACCACAGATGCAAATCCTCCAGCAGTCGTCGTCTCCCCTCCCCGAGCAGCAGATGTCGAAGGCCAAGAGCAGTTGGCCGTGGCTGCTTTCTTTCCTGAACCAGCTTCGAGCAGAGAGCAACAAGACCCTGCTCGCACAAATAAGAGTACCTCCAAACACAGAGACCACAAGGAGTCTGGAGGTGTGCAAAAAGAGAAAGGTTCCTCTTCTCTAACCTTCCGCAGTAGCGGGAGCAAAGCTTCCTTAACCAGAGGAAACAGTGCGCAAGGAGAAGCGATGCCCAGTACCAGACCACCTGCTTCATCTGTGAGTACGTCTAGACCTGCTTCTAGGAGATCTTCGGATAATAAAGCAGGTGCGACGAAAGACAAGAGTAGACCTTCGGATATTAGAGCTCCTGGTGGAAATGTTGCTGCACAACAGGAGACTCCCGCATCTCCTCCAGAAGGCGATCATGACCCGACTACAGGAGGGATGGATGCTGATGTCGATGGTTCCGATCAAAATGTTGGTCGTGGGGTGGGTGTTCTTAATGCAGCTCCTGGGGGCGCCACCACTGCAGGTGGAGGTGCTGAAGATCCTGGCACAAGAACTGGTCTCGATGGAGCGGAGGACGATGGGCAGCCGGATGACGAAGTTAATTATCCTCAAGATGAGGATGACGAAGTGTTCATCGACCCGAGTGCCTTGACAAACGGCCAATTGCCTTTGCACTTGATGTTAGGCAGCACAGGGACAAAACTGGTCCGTCATGCCATGAAGGATGAACTGAACGTGAAGCGCGTGTCTAAGCCCCGTGACGTTAAAGTTCCCTTCGTCTCCGTAAGAGAGTTACTACGGGAGTGCCTGGACAGGTTTATGGAGGCGGGACGTGAGTTGAGCATCGTCGACACGTTTACGGAAGCTCTAGTGAATGACCAGCGTGCAACCAGTAAGAAACGAGCTGCCTCGACGGCGGGAACGTCGAGCTACGTGACTGGACCAGAGATGCTTCAGAGGATGAAGAGCCGGCGAAGTGGGACTACTGGAGGTGGATCTAATTCTCCTGGCCCCCTAGAAGCTGCAGGAGGAGGACCACAAGGACCTACAGCAGGAACAACTAATGTCGATGGTCCTGAGCGCAACTTTGAGAAGGAGGAAGGACCCTTTTCCGGTCACAAAATCCATAAACAAGCCTGGGTCGACGTTGGTCTGGAGGATGGTGGAGAAGAAGAGAAGGGTGGAGATGGCTCACCAGATGGCTCACCAGTTGGTCGGGGGAAAGAAGTTAGGGCTTCCTCTCCATCAAGTGGTACTGCCTCTGCTTCTACCGTTACTCCGAGAAATGGGGGAAAGCAAACCACACCAAGACCGGTTGTCGATAAAGAGTCTATAGCCGCTGGTAAGAACCAGGATGCAAAAGGTGACGTTCTCTCTGAAATCTGCAACGCTACGGAGAAAGGTGAAAAGATTCCCACTATGACAGAGCTAAACAATCTCCATCTAGCCCAATTTGCTAAGAAACTTCGCTCCTTGCGGGATGCCAGGTCGTTTTCGCACACGGGCTACACGACCCCCCATGGGCCAGAGCACGAACACGGCGATCTAGAAAATGATATGGAGTTTCTCAACGCACCGACGCAGGCGTCGAGCTTTCTGTTTGGCGCAGCGAACAAAATGACCTCCTCTGGTGGTCCTAGGGGTTCTGGCTCTAGAGGTTCTGGCAAAAAAGTGGGCCAGCTGCAAGAGGGTGTAGTCAAGCATCATCAGGCGGAACCGCATATCAGTTTAGACAATTTGCTGGGTCCGGATGTGAACGAGGTGAACCGCACTGCCCGTGAGCAGACAGGCGCAGTTCTGCAAGGCGTTGGCGGATTCGGCTTACAGCATGCACCTCCTGCAGCTTTGACCGACTCACTCAGTTTAGACCTTCTAGCTGCAGCGTCGTTTTTTGGTGCGGGTGGAGCTCCGTATAACCCCTATGCCCGTGAATTGTCTGGGGCACAACAAGGAGGTAAGGGCAGCACATCAACGACGATCATCACGACAACAAGCAGCGCGGCAAATAACCAGCGTGAGAACAAGGATGCCATCATTCAACACGCTCTTCAGCACATGAATTCGTCTCCGTCTGGCGGCAATCTGGGAGGCGCTGTTGAAGATCATTCATCACCACATCAAGCAGCAGTAACCGCAAATCTTGCATCTCCACAGACTACGGCTGTAGCCCCAGCGCCAAAGGAGAAGGAGAGCAGGTCCTCGAAGAGGGGCAAGGATCATGAAAAAGAGCCGCGAACGTCCAAGAGTAAGAGCAAAAAAGACAAAGAAAAATCTAGGACTTCGGATCAGCAGGAAGATGCTGAAGACGGAGCATCTTCTGCTAAGAAGGACAACGAGGATGCGAGTACAGCGGTCGTTAGTAGAGTCAGTTCTGCAAAAGACAGTGCTAATAATGCTGACGCTGATGGTGCTGGAGCTCTTGTTCGTCCGAGCAAAAGTTCATCTCAGGACGCGGCACCTGGCTCCTCTACGGGCGCCAAACAAGATGAATCTTCAGACACCACTTCCCCCACTGCTTCCACGATGGCTGCAGCTGCGGAGATCAATTTTGCCCCTGAAGAGGGCTCCCACGACGGACCCGAAGGACTCCATGTCGCTCTCACTCCCTCTTCCGGCGTCCTGAAAAAAGCCTTGAAAACTGCGGAAGGAGAAGCTTCCCCAGAGGGGCACAAGAAAAAGAAGATGATGTTTGCGCAGGACGACGAATTGCAAGAGACACGGGAGTTCGAGGTCTACAGACATTCGATCCTCCAGGACGAGGAAGAAGGGGAGGACGAGGAAGCCTCAGGTGGTGACAAAAAGAAGAAGAGCAAGAAATCCAAATCATCCTCCTCAAAAACGCTGTTCTACGAAGAATCATCGAGCAATATTATGGAGAAGAAAAGTAAAAAGAGCAGTACTAAAGTTGACAAAGATAGAAGAAACTCTTCGTCTTCTTCTTCATCGTCCTCGAAGGATCGTAAGATCAATCCGCAGAAGCCGAACAAGCCAGCAGACATCTTTGACGAGCATCATGATGACATTGCTCACGACATTCGTGAAGAGGATGTTGGAACCGACCACGTGGAAGAGCCCTCAAAGTCTCCACCTGCCGTGATGATGTTTGCACCGGAAAGTGGTCGTGGAGCCAAGACTGCCAAATCTGCCGTGCTATCCTCCGTCAACAGCAGCACAGCTTCAACTGGAAAAGGAAACGCTCTCCAAAGCGCGGCAAAGCGTGCTCGTGGCAAGCAAGCGAAGGAAGAAGGTGAAGCAGCGGGTCGTGGTGATACTTCATTCAGCAAGCCTGGAGATGTTGACGTCCAAGTTATTGGAGGCAGTGACCACGACATCACTAGTATGGGTGCCGACGGCATTGCCTCAACTGTCAATGGTTTGGCGGCTGGTGCACCAGGGGTTGAAGAAGTAGTGGTCATCGAGGACCGACCCCTGCCACCAGGCAAAAACCTCCAGCAATTCAACGGCGATTTCCTTCTCCTGCCTTCTCCTCGTTCCGCTCGTGTCCCTTTCGTTTGTGAAGAGAAGAACGAAAAGAACCCGAACAGGGCTCTTAGACCGGTTTCCACTGCGGACTTGAGTACATTGTCTTCTTCTTGGTGGACTAAAATTGAGCACACCGACATGGGCCCCGACCGCAGTCGATTCGCAGCAGATACTGATACAGCACGACCAAGAATTCAGAGACGTAGAAGTCGCTCTAGTGACGAGCACTTCGTTGAGGAGCAAGACGAGCACGTGCAAAACGTGATTTCCCATGGATTGCGAGATAAGATTAGGTCAAAAAGTCCAGGAGCTCAAGAACTACCTTCTCAACATCAGCAGCAGCATTCCTTCTTTGCTCCGGAATATGTCAACGGCCTAACCGGCAGCACCACCTTCGCAACTCCCCAGCTCCAGGATGGCAAGCATCAAGCAAACCGACGTTGCGTCCTAGGCTTTCGCTTCTGCTTAGTCCGCGACCTTGTGGAAATGCACCAGCACCAAGAACGCCTACTCCAACTCCAGGAAGAGATGATACACTGGATTTGGCAACTAGACCGTTGTGCCACTACAGTCTACGACAACTCAGATTTGCCCTATTCCGGTTCATCTATGGGTTCTAATTTTAAGGGTACAAGAAATCTCCCATTTTCAGAGGCATCTTGGTCCCGTTTTTAAAGGGCAAAGGAGACCCAAGATGCTGCGGAGGATGGATTTCCATTAGTTCTAATAATTATATGGCTTCTACTGCGGGACCTTCCGCAACCAAGCCCGGTGGCACTAATAGTGTTTCTACACCGCGGGTGCCTCTGTACTATCGGCATGATGTAGTAAAAACCACGCGAACCACGAGAACCACAACAACTGAAGAAGTCGAAGTTTCGTCCACCTCTTCTGGAGATGAAATCCAATTTGTTGGCAGAGGGAAAGATCCGGTGATGAGACGTGTGGAACGCACCAGATCTGAACATGTCGAGCACGTGGAGATTTTCACCAGCACCTCTTCGTCGAGTAGCTCAGACGAGGAAGCAGGAGTTAGAGTTGACTGTGGTCGTGCTGAGGTGGCTGCCCCAGGAGTTAGAGAAGGTGAGAAGATGACTAAAAGAACTCCATCGACGAACAAAAGTGCCTTAAAGTCTCCGACGCCATCTTCGAAGAAGGAGAAATCTTCATCTGCTTCTTCTCGGCGTAGCTCCTCTTCAAAGAAGGACAATAGACCTTCATCATCTAGTAAGAAGGAGAAAAACAAGAAGCCTTCTTCCAGTACTAGCTCTCGTCGTGATAATAGTTCCACTCGTCGTGACAAGGACCGCAAAGAAAACTCCGTGCAAGAGGAGCGCGACGTCAGTCCAAGTTCCTACCTGTTTATGGAGGCGGGCGAGGGAACCGGAACGAGGAAGTCCAGTTTTACCCGCGGTGGCAACAATATGAATTCCTCGATGTCTTCAGCAAGCCAAAATTCTTCTATCAGAGGGAAGCCAATATCCGAAGCTGCGGAAGAACGAAAGAGCAAAAAAGCGAGGAAAAGCACCAAGGACAAAGAAGGCAGCACTAAAAAGGATAAAGACAAAGATAAAGACAAAGAGGAAAAAGGCTCTTCTAGTGGAGGCTCTGGGAAGAATGGAAAGAAGACTAAAGAAGAGAAAGCAGCTGAAAAAGCTGCACGTGCTGAAGGTGAAGCATTGTCGGGTAGTGCTGGCGAGACTTCTGCGGTGGATGGAGCCAACAAAAGTCACTCCTCTTCTGGTGCTGACTCTTCGGGTACAGATAACGCTGGTCGTGGTGGCGTACTACCCGACCATAGCCAGCCCATGGGAGCAGGTGCACTTAGCGAAGATCAAACTTCGTTGAAGAAGATGGCAGGAGGTGCCGAAAAGGGCACGCGGCTCGGTACGCCGTGGACGTTCGATGAGTCACGTCCTGGATTATTTGAATCTGTCAAACGAGAGTGGGCTCAGCAATTCGGAGGAGCTGCAAAGACAAGTGGTGCTGATCCCGCACATCAACTCTTAGATCATGATGAGTATAATGGGAATCCTAACCCTCTTGGTATTGCAGATCCGCTTGCTTCTACTCCCAGAAGCTACAATGATCCGATGGCTACTACAACTCAAATGTTGGCAAAAGGAAAGAACAAGAACCGCAGCAGCTTGAATCAAGAGGAGTTGATGCAAGCTCTGCGAGGCGATGTAGTTTCTGGAACAAAGAACACCAGAATCTTCAAGAAGAAGCCTCAACCGTTGTTGAAAATGCTCTTGACAGCGCATTTGAAGCGCAAAGATAGCAACTATGTTTTCTACAACGGTGATTTGAAGCAGCGTTGTATGCAGTTGGGGAATCGAGTCGATGAAGGCACCATGCCCGTGCTGAAGCATCTAGGTGACGTCTTCTTCCACGACAATCACCTATTCTCAGCGAACAAGATGCTGAACCACCCATACTACGGCAGTCACCCTCAAGCATCGTCCGCGCAGTACCAAGAAGCGATAGCGAAAGCGACGAATCGCACGAGCAACACTACGACAACCGGATTCACTGGTGGCTCCCTGTTGAACGAGAAAGGCGCGATGACTGGCGTCCTTTTGAGAAACGTGGATCCGATGATCCGAGCCATGCTCCGCTACGTCGACCACACTGCGACTACAACTCTGGCGCCAACCGACGATGTCATCGTCCACTCACCGTCGCAAGAGAATTACGCCTTTGCGCATTTCTTGAAGAACAGTCGGAAATACTTGGGCTTGCGACAGCAGGAGCTCGAACTGCACAAAACCCACATGAACGAGACGGCTTTCAGGAACGCCAGAAAGCATGCGGAAATGCGAAGACAGAAGATCTTCAACGTGTCTTATACCGATATGGACTCGGCCGAACTGATGTTCCATGCCCATGCGTTTCGGACTTTGGAGCCTTACTTCGTGCCGCCAGCCGCAGCAGGTGCGCCAGCCTCTACTGCGGCGAAAAGCTCTATGCAACTAGGCTCGATCATCGACGCTAGCGAGAGGTTTGGGTGCACTAGTTTAGGCCTCGGCGGAGGTTCTTCTGGCGTCGTTGGAGGAGCAAAGCCGATCATGCGGTCTAGGATGTTGGTTGACGGCGACATCGAAGTCGGTGCCACAAGCTTGGCTTCTCGCCATTTGCATCCGGAAACGGCACTTGGCGCGACACGCGGACACAGTCTGGGTGTGGACCACGTGGATTCCGTAGTTGCCTCCGATCCGAAGTTGAATGAAGCTGAGATGAATCCCTATGCGGTCGCGAATCGCGGTTATTACCAAAACTTGCAGAGAACGAACAGGTCCAATTCTACTTCCGGAAGATTAGGCTTGTCCCCAGGCAGACGCCGTAGCGAGAGCTATGGAGGCTACGGTGGCTATGGTGGACGTTACGAAGCAGAGGGCGCTGGGGATAGTTGTACTATCGTCGCCCACGAGTCGCAGTCTGTGCATCTCGACCCGAATCGCCAATCGAGTGCGGTCACAGCGGGCCAATTCAACGTCGCAAACGGCCAAAAAGCCTTTGAAACGGAGTGCCAGACCGGTGGCACAGTCTTCTCCGGCTTGCGTGGAGCGCAGATCGAACGGAAAAAACACTTTCTGCAGAGACAACAGCAAGCGTTGCTGAAAGATGCGCTGATCGACTTCAGCAAAAACTCATCGTTCTCGCAAAACGGCCTTTCGCCGAAACGACATGACGAGGAATCTAGATTCGACAGACTCTATGCAGATGCGGTACGAAGAAGCGCGAGTGTAGCAGCTTCTAGGTTGATGATCGATAGTCTGCAGTTGCAGGACAATAAAGAGGAGATGGCGCCGCTGACGACGAAGGAGAGAGACGTACCTGCTGTTATACTTCTAGTTTTCATCTGACTTCTTCTTCTTCAGATTCTGCATCTAGTTTGATATCACATATTGTAATGTTTCGTGGCCACTAAGATTTATTTAGATATTTGAATTACTTGACTTTTTTTCGGTCTTTTGCTTTCTAGTTAGGTGTGCTCCACCGCTCTTATTATAATGTTTCTGAAAATTGTAATTGTCTAAAGATCAAACGAGGCCCCTCCATCTCCCTCCTCCTCCAGGCCTGCCTCCGCCTCAAGAAGCAGATCGAATTGATGAAACGACGCGGCGAATACGATGGTCCGACCCCTCCAAGTCCAAGGCACTGGCGAGAGAAGGTCACGCCTGAGCAGCGTGCAGAATGGTTTAGGGTTGCTGGTGCCAAGCGTGATGCCCTGTACGAAGCCAGAAGAGCGAAGTCAGAAGCTGATAAAGCTAAACGTGCACAAAAAGAGAAGGAAGAAGCCGCGGCAAAGGATAAGGTATTTCTAAAATGCAACAAGGTGTTTTCAACAAGGAGACACTATTTTTTACAGGTTCTGCTCTCGACGCTTCTTCACTCACAATCAGTCACAATCTCTTCACAATGATCAGAATATAACTGTTGTGACCTCAACTAAAATCTAGATCTACCCAACCACGAACAGGACGGGCAATTGCTAGCAGAGCTGAAGGAGAAGCGTCTCGCCGGCATTTCTGAGTACATGGCTAGTCAGGGTGAGTTCAAACTTGCTGAGTCTGTGAAGAAATACAAGGAACGATGCGACTTGAAGGGCACTGACCAAGACCGCCTTCGGGAGCGCATGGAGGAGGAAGAGCTGAAAGAGTCGTGCACGTTCTCACCTGAAACGGGGAAATTATCCGAAGGTAAGAAGAAGAACTACCGGGAGAAACGTATGAAAGACTTGGGCATCGAAATGACGGCGAAAGCAGAAGACTACAAATTAGCGCGGAAGGAACTGGAGCGACAAGCGGTGTTGAAACGGCAAGTGGAGAATCGGGTTTTGGATCAGCCATTGGAGGGCGTTGCGAAAACGCCAAAACAACTGTTGGCCGAGAGAGCCGAAGCAGAGAAGATTCGAATTGAGAAGTTGAAGGGATCCAGGCAGAAGATACGGGCAAAGGACATGGAGAAGGACGAAGATGAAGATGTTCTTGACGGGGGCAACGATAAGAAGGACGTTGTTGAGGAGGATGAAGAGCTAGATACGGATGAAGAGAGACGTGTGGATGGTGATGAAGATGGCGAAGAAAAAGGGACCTCGTCCAAGAAGTCCTCTCGGTCTCGATCTCCTAAGAACAAAGATCCTTCTAGTTCTACCTCACCTAAGAGTACTTCAGGCAGATATTATGACGAAAACGGTCGCCGCCACAAGTCTTTCCGTGAAAAGCGCGAACAAGGTGAGACGAAACTGGCCAGTACCTCTCGCGGCACCCAGCGTCACGTTCGTACGAGTCTCGCCCACGCGTTCGCGAAGGAGGAACTCGACGAGATGTACGTCATCGGCAAACCCGGGTACGCACCGCCTTTAACCATCGACGGCACAGCCCACAATCTACGTTCGCCGCCAGAGAAGAAAGAAAACGGACCAGAGAATGGGTTTGAGTTCACACCACAATTGCGCAATGTCTTTTCGGACAAGAAATGTTGGCCGATTTCGGAACGCTTCCGGAAGTCTACGAAGCACAAAGTGTTTGAACCAGAGGACTTCTCGAACCCGGAATTCAAGGGGAGGTACATTGAAGGTGCGGACGTGGTGGACCGCTTGTACTACTTGGATCACGCCCAACCCTTGAGACTCGAGTCCTGGCAACAGCAAAAGCAGACGCTGGTGAAGAAAGTCGTCAAGGCCACGACGGACCGTGTGCGAGCAACGAAGCGAGCTGAGAAAGCTGCGAAAGGTGATCAGCACCCGGAAGACACGCTGAGAAGGTACAAGGAAGAAGACGAAAAGTACGTGGCGGATGAAGAAGAACGACTCTTGTTAGAGAGCAAGGCGACTAGGGACGAAGACGGCACCTTAATCAGCATGGAAGGGGGCCATCCGATCATCATTACGCCTCCGCATAGGTCCACGACCAAGGAAATCGAGGAGCAAGAAGTCCGAAAAGCGGCTGCAACGCTCGCCCACATCGATTTAGCGGGTGGTGAACATATAGGCGTAGCCGGTGACGGAGACGTTCTAGATGTTTTCGAAGAAGCGTCTCTCGAACACGCGAATATGGCGCATGAGAATGTCCGGCAGCATTCGTCTGGAAGATTGCATCGTAGTGAGAGATTGCATCTGGAAAAAGTAGAGAGGAGACGGAATCCCTCAGCTTTCGTCAACAATAAAGACGACTCTCCCACCGCTGTTGATGGTGAAGATGCAGAACGGCGTACACACCAAGTTCCACCTACTATGGAATTGCCGAAAGATCTTGCGGATTTGCATATAGGAAAGGATCAGCAGGGTACTGCTTTCTTCTATTTGTGACACCGACTGCTCCTGCATTAGCTAATTAACCAACGTGATCTTCGTTCTTCCATCACTTTCACAGCCTGACTCCCTTCCAACACATAATCTTCATCATCTTCTACTTTCTCTAGCCTCCGTAGCGACTGGTGCCTTTCTCTAGCCTTAATATCGTTGTACCTTCTAAAGTAATGCTTCTAGTACTGCTTTTTGGTTTTTTCCTTAGATAGGCTTAGGTTGGCTCCACCACTACTTTTATAATCTTCTAGGAGAATGATCTGAATCATGATTCACGACATTTTTTAGTCATGGTCTACTTATCTTCACTTCTTCTAGGTGTTGGCGACAGTCGTGGCGCTCGCGTGCGTGGTCTCGGCGACCGCGCTACGCCGAGAATAACAATGACAGTCAGCCCAGAAGAATTGGCGAACATGACTGAGAGCCAACGACAGAGGCACCTACAGGAAGATCTAGGGATACAAGGCAATGCGGAGGATGGAAGCGACATTCTGACGGCTTTGGAATCCAAGATCATCACCACTGGAGAAGGCGACAACAAGGAAGCGTTTTCGTTGCATTTGTCTGCTTCGTCAACGGGAGGACGTAGTGAAACAGGAGAACATTTACCCGGGGTAGGGGGCGCCGCGTCGAGCACTGGCGTAGCTTTTGGCAGTATGGGAGCTGCAGGTCATCTTCATGGAGGAGCTACAGCTAATTCCTCTCTAGTATCATCTGGTGGTGGTTCGCAAATGCCTTTGTTTCAACAAGATCGGCAAGTCGCGCGCATAAAGGCCGCAGAAAAGAGCATGCTGCGGAATGCATCTCACTCTGGATCGGGCTCCTTTTCCAGCGTATCCTTCAGTTCCCAGGCAAAAAGCCGCAACATCTACTCTATGTCGTCAAGGTCGATCACTAAGGCGAAAGCGAAGGCCGCGCCGGCGGTCCCAGACACCAGAGACCCTTTAGAAAAAGAAGCAGACGAGCTGTTCCAGAGAACGCAGATGGAAGCGGTCCTAGAAATCGGAAAGGAGCCACCTTCTACTGGAATCGATCAAGGCCCTGGCGACGCAGATGGGGGAGCACAATCTTCATCTTCAGCACCAAGAACCTCTAGGAAAAGCAGTACTTCTAAGACTCTAAGAGTATCATCAGGAGTAGCAAAGCGAAAGTCTAGGAAGTCCACTGCAGCTAGAGCTGAACAGGAGGCAACAGGAGAGGTACTAGCCGAGGACGAGAAAGATAGGCAAACCACCAATACTGGCCCAATACTAGGTCATCAAGATCAAGAAGGAGCAGCAGATCCGCCAGTTCGCAAAAGCCGCTTGTCCGTAAAGAGAGTGAGGCCATTCGGGAAGAAACGGAAATCCTCTACGGCAGGAGCCGGTGTGGAGTTACCGCCTTCACCAGTTTCGATTGTGTACGACGTGGATAGTGCAGAGCCAGAGGTAGCTGCTGACGACGATAATTCAGGCACTGCTACTGCTCTAGGAACTTCTACTACGAGAGCTACTCGTCCTGTTTGTGCAGTAGAACAAGAACCATCCGCCGCTCCTGCTCCTCCTCCTTCGACCACTGCTCCTGCCGATGAAACAAGAAATACCGAAAGTTTGCTTGAAGACGATCTATCGAACAATGTTGGTCCGGTCGATGATGACTCACCCCAAAGCAATGTGGACGATGACAAAGTCATGGATCAGCTACTGGGACAAGATGTCGGAGCCAACATCAACAATACTATTAACGCTTCTGCTGGTGCCAAGGCAGCTGAGGAGGGGAACGACTTCCTCCGGACGAAGGAAGACCTCTCTCTAGTACCAGGAGACTCCAATAGCGACAGTGCGGTAGATCGGACCTCGCTGACAAGTCTGCTAGTCGGCGGAAGGGGAATGCCGGAGGAACCCAGTGCTAAAAACGTAGCCAAGGAGCGAGCCTCGATTGATGATGACGAGGATGAAACTTTCCTCTAAAAAATTTTCACGGGAATGAGGGACGAAACTTAGCAGGAACAACCAGGCTTCAGCGCGTCAAGCGAATAAGCAGTTATGAACACGGCTTGTGCAATTGCAAGGCGAGCCTTTTCATTTTTTTGTGCAGTTTGTTCCCGTAGTCTGGACAACATTATAATAAATATTTATATATGAAAATGACATCAAGATGAACATGATAAATGTGAAAACAAACTAGTAGAGGCATTATGAAAGCTATTCTTCAATAACGTGAAAGTACTTAATCAAATCAAAAGGCCCTTTGCCCATCACGACAAGTAAAAAGAGTAACTACTAAAAAAAATGAAAAGCAACTGGACAACCACACAAGATATACACCAACACTAACGTCGAATCTATCAGGGAACTGTTCATACCTACAAATCGATTTGCTGTACAGAGAAACGAATTACAATCATTGATGGATCATTGTGTACCAGAGATAAAAAATCATACATCAGAAAATACTTATGGCCACTAAGAAAAACATTCACGTAAACAACAGCATCTTTTTCAAGTGTAAATAAATACATCAAGCAGGAGGAGTTGTTATTACTACTACACTAGAATTATAGGGCATTTTGCCGAGTGCACTCTCTTGCAGGTCGTCATCTACTAGAACAAATGAAAATGTGAACGTGAGAATGTGAAAGGTTACGAATTACAAGTGAATTCTCGTCAACGAGGTCTCGAAGATGTAAGGAATGATCATCAGCATGCAGGATGGTAATGATGAGCTTTGACTCCAGGACTCTACTGTCGTTGCAAATAGTAGTTGTTCGTTCGCGCGTTCGCGTTGCCGAAGATGCGGCTTCTCAACTGCAACTGGTAAGCAAGTTGTACTTGTACCTTGAGCGATTCTGAGTGATGTGTGACACCTGCTTCTAGTTGTATCTCTCTAAATCATCAATCATGCATATGAATATGTGCGTTGTATGGACCTTTCCACTGGAGTAGCTAGCTGCGACTGTGGAGGCGAGAGGAAGGATAGCTTCTGAGGAACAAGAGGGACTTGGCACAGTCCTCTACAACAACTGTTCACTGACTTCTAAGGTAAAACCTCTAACTAAACCCAAAGCCAAAGTCCTCTCAAGAAACAGCACAAGCACAAAACCAAAACAAGATCATGTCCCCCCTCGTTCGTCGCACTCTTATTCTCCTTTCCGGAGCTCTCTGTGCGTCTGCCCGACTTTTGGCCGTCCAGGAGCCTCCAGCTTGTGCGAATATTTCGTGCTCGCCGTTGCAATGTCCAGCTGGATTTGAAGAAAAGCAAGAGCCGGGAACCTGCTGTCCAGTCTGCTTCAATCCGAATATCAAGCTGGAGTCGGTACTTGTTTAGTTTATACGTGGTACTTTTCCTTTCCAAGTTATTAGGTTTGCGTACTTGTTTAGTTTATACGTTTAAGTAGTAAGTTTGGTTTTTATTCTTGCGAGGGTAGTGCTAGTGGTGAAAATGGTTTAGATGATCTTGTTGTTAACCAGCTGGTGTTGACGAAGGACCACGATGATGTATCTCTTGTTGTTAATACCAGTGACAGATTGTAGTTCACCTTCTACAATTCGCTTCTACAGACGACGACTTTTTTGCCATGCAATCAAATGAATCCGACATCGACATGAATATATTTCTCGTTTCTCTCGTCTTCGATGCAATGTATATGATCAACGTGATGGAATTCCTTGCTGCCCTCGCAATACATATTGAAACTTCATCCTCCCCACCACAAACTACCTCAACAGCAACCCGCTGGAGCCACTGGTGAGCATGGTGGTGCCGAGAGTACCTTCTGCAAGAGCACCTGGTGCTTCCCGACCTTGTGCCCGAGCGAGGACAAGATCACGGCTCCAACCACCGAGAACGGTCAGTGCTGTCCGGTCTGCGACGTGTAAGCACTAGGGCAGGAGTCTTCAGACATGGTCGAGGTCGTGATGTGGTGGAGAGAGGTGTGCCACGAGAGGAGCACTAGGGCATGAGTCTTGTTTCCGTGAAAAAGCTAATTTTCTACCCAGGAAAGTGAAAGTTGTGTTGTGGATCCTAAGAAGGAACGGATATCTAGATCGAAATTGATACGAGCACTACTCTACTTTTCGATCCAATTTCAAATCATTTGGTGGTGGTTTCCAATGTGTATTTTTTTTCCGTCAATGAATATGAGGCTGAATTTCCATTTTCAGCATTTATTAGAAGATACGTCAGGTCGTATGTATCATGTCGTTCCTGAATATGATAGAAATTATTCGTGATTTTAAAGTTTCATCGACTTTTCAAGTTTATCCCGTGTCCCATTTGTTCAACTTTTTTTTCCAGTTTTACAGAAGAGGAAAGTGCCAAGGTCTTCGTCACCATAATTGTTCAACTACTCCGTGAAAGATATGAAATGTGGTCTCGTTTTGTCAGGCAATCCGCAAACTCGAATCAAGTTGTACCTCTGACAAGATATAAGTTCGAATCCATCTTCTTTGCTAGAAGAGTGCGTTGTCGATGTGCCAAGCACCTTCGGTCTTGCATTATGCCGCTCACCTTGCGGCAATCAACATACCTCTGTAGGTGGACGGAAGCGTCGTTCAGCCCATTGACCATGTTGAGCGTTCCTCGACAGTGCAAAAAGAATTTTGAAAGATGGAAGTCCTAAGTTGAAGTAGGCTACTTCTAAACAGCAAAAAACAGAGGGAGAGACTGAACCTCCTGACCTGGAATCACAATTTTTTTCGAAAACTAGCTAAAAACAGACAAAAGGTGCTTCGCAAGAAGAAGTTCCTGTTTGGTACAGTAGAACTAGGACACAAGAGTCAAACAGCTTGAGCTGTTCCTTCTATAGGTCCTTTAACAGTCGCCACACGACCACTAGCAGAGCTAGATACAGGAACTGGCCCTTTGCTAGCTCCTTTAAGTTTAGTCGTCGGCGCGACAGCGACTAGCTCCAGCAGAACTACTCAAACTAACCATGTCACCAACCAAGAAAATGGCCTCGTCCTCGCCTTCGATGAAGACAGCAAAATCTGCTGCAACGAAGGCTACAGCGATGAAAACTTCTAGCGTTAAAGCTGCCTCGAAATCAGTACCAGTGATGAAAAAAGATGGAGCTGGGAAGCCAAAAGCAAAAGCGACCGCTATGAAGAGCGAAAAGAAGGAGCTGGCGAAGCCAGACTTCTACTTGATGAAGTCGGAACCCTTAAGCAGATTTGAGAAAGGTAATGCTATTGCTAGTAAAAATGCATCAATATTATATAGTATACTTTCTTATACAGTTCTTGTTATATTAATTTTGTTAATAACAATAGTACGATTACTACTTTTGTGGCCGTTGTCGACACCAATTACCAAAATATTTGCATTATGATTCGCGGCCTCGGGGACATAATTGTAGTTAAGCGAGTCTCTTGCCCTTCACACGGCATCCGCGTCAATTTATCTCCGCAGCTCCATCCGGCAAAGTATGCGATATGAAATATTCGATAGACGATTTGATTGCCGAACCAAGTCAAACTTGTGATTGGGATGGCGTTCGAAACTATCTAGCACGAAACATCATGTTAAGGGTTGGAAGTTGACCTCATCTCGATGAACAGCATCGCTATGGCAGGGCTTCTTCAAGAAGTAGGACTGACTTTATACCTCTAGACGGGGTCGTACACTACCACTACTTCAAGGATGAAAACCATACATATGCCCCCCTGAAGAAGAGAGAGAGAGGTCAACTCTCAACCCCTAATTATGCGCTCTATGAAGAAAGGAGACAAAGCGTTCTTCTACCATTCTAATGCAAAACCATCAGGCATTGTAGGCATAGTGGAGGTGATGCGGGAAGCGTATTATTTCACTTTTTTTTGTAGTAGTGAGTGTGAGGCAGGCTGGATCCACCACGGCACTTGATAGAAGTAGAAGGTCAGGATCTTTGACGTTTTCAGATTTTTGTTTTTGATGTGCTAACTCGGACGAGTGCGTCACATTTATTCCTATACACGACAGATACAGCGAAGGGAATATCTGTGGAAGTTTCCCATTACTAGTTCCTTTCGTTTATTGGAAATGGAAATCTCAAAAACTTAGTATCAGTCTACATCTTTCGCGCAAGAAACCCAATCTCAATGTGGGTTTTTTTCAAGAGGTAATTCGCTCACACCCAATGTTATTGTGGTTGAAAAACCCGCCCAACCACTCTGACGAAATTATCTTCACGAGGTATCCCGACAAGCAGCAGTTCGACAAGGATGATCCGCACTACGACGCAAAAAGCTCGAAAGATAGTCCGACTTGGGATGCAGTGGACATCAAATTTGTGCGCAAGCTGAAGAGAATCATACCCCTCGACGAGTTGAAGAATGATGCATTCCTGAAAAAGTCGATGCAGCTAGTCCAGGGAAACCGAGCACCAAGCGTCAGTGGTGTATCAAAGGCAGAATGGGACTACATCGTGGGGAAATTGGAGGGTGCGAAATGAAAGACAGAGACCACTGGACCAGGACTACAACATAAAGGTCTTAGACAGATTGTAGGACTACTCATTTACAGAAAGGACTACAACATAACAGGTTTGTAGTTGTAACAGAAAAACTACAACATAATATATAACATAGAAGTACTGAACCTCAAGTTTTTGACTCACCTGGTGACGAGGGTCTAATATAGCTTCCGTTGTTCAGTCTAACCCGCTTCCAGTCTACTGCGCATACTTTGACGCTCGATCGTCCTGAAGACGTTGAATAGTCCAGTAAGCAGTGGTATCGGTACTATTATAGCTGCAAATGAAGAGATCCTCTTCATTATGATTGTGTAGGCGTTCATCGGTGGCATCAGCCTACCAGCCTGTAGAGATTAGAGCAGTGAGCAAAACAAAGATACTCTGTCTGACTACGGAAAAAAATCGGTCTGAGAATCTAGAGCCAGAAGCGCGTCTCTACCCAGAATTTTCAGACGTATCCCGTCTACATGAATTAGACTGACAGTTGTTGGAAGCGTTACTGTACAAGAATCGTAACTAGTTGCACTTACAGTTAATGGGAACAACTACTTAATAAAGTCGTAGAACACAGAGGAGATTCAGGGAAGTCGTAGATCGAATCCGAATCGACGAGCATTGTGTCATCGTCAAAGTTAAAGATACTCCCAGACTAGTTCATCTTGTTTGCCAATGATCCATCCTCTTCCTCATACAACTCAACATGACTACAACTGGTGAAATAGAAATAGCTCTATAGTTGGCAGTACACAAAAATGACGCTTCTTGCACTTCTTTCGACCGAGGATCGGTTTCCGGTTTCTCCGGCCGCGCCAGAATGTCAACCTTGCGCGACCAGGAGCGGAGGTGCATCACGCGGCCTTACGTCATTCTTGGCAAGGTCTTTCTTCAGCCATGGCCATGGACAACTACAAGGAGCCCATCACCAAAATCCCCATCACCCAGTCCACACTTCTTTCTGGATACCAGGACTGATCTGGCTGATCAAATTGCCGTTTTCTAGTGGTCTCAAAAGCTCGGATCTAGATCGAGAAGAATGGGAGGTGACCGATGCAGTGATCCCTCTAGGATCCCACATAGGGACTGCGGGAGGCGCATATACGTGGCCGAAAAGACCGATTATGATCGATCAGAGGGAATACTAACTTTATTAACTACTCGAAGGAAGGAAAACTTCTAGAAATATTAACCGAGTAGCAAAAACAATGGCCGAGTATTTCGTAACAAAAACAATGGCCGAGTATTTCGTAACAAAAACAATAGCCGAGTATTTCGTAACAGAAACAAAAATAGCCGAGTATTTCGTAACAAAAACAGTAGCCGAGTATTTCCGATTATTACCTCGGCTCTACTCGGTTATTTCAGTTTTGTATGGAATACATGATATGCAACATATTACCGCTGTTATTTGACCGTATTAATCATTCCTCAATTTGCCCTCAGGAAGTGCAAAGGCTGAGCACTAAATAACCACTACCACATCATCTAGTATAGGTACAATCTCAATAATCATCATCATCCTCATCATCATCGACCGCGCACCTTCTAACTACACGTACACATGTAATTGCTCCATATCATGATAATTATGATCCCTCCTCCTTTTCATACTCCTGACTCGCGCAGAAGCCAGAGCGCAGTGGCTTGAGACAGGATCAAAGTTCGAATTTTTCGACAAACTTTCGCTCAAGAGCAGCAAGTCTGCGGGGCTAAAAACCGAAGGCGAGTGGAGCACCGGGATTAGTTTGAATGAGAATTATGAAAAGCGAATGATTACTGCAGTTAGTAGGTCCTTTGATAGGGTCTCCTTTCTCGTCCACTTCTAACCCGCCTCAACTGACGGCAACAAGGTGACTCTCGCAGGGTGTAGTTGAGGAAGGCACAACCAAAGACTCTTTTCCGCTTTCCGGTACAACATCAAATAGCAAAATCAAGAGTTCCATTAGGGTCTCCTTTCTCGTTCTAACCCGCCTCAACCGACGGCAATCCATTTAAGTTCAGCAAGCCCAGTGCCCCGAAGCCAGTAGTTAAGGATTTCGAGGACGTAGTTGCATCATTTCTCACTACCATGATCCTTCACTCGTAATTTTCGAGTAGGACGGCAAACGAGCAGTCAGTGAAGGATGGCACGTAGTGAGCAATGCAATACCGTAATCTCTAAAGTAGGTATAGAGGGACTGCCTATGGAGTTTAGTATGAGAGATAAGGCTCCGGCTCCACAGACGCCCAACTCAGTTGTAGATGCTGCAGACGCAGAAAAGAACTTCCAAAACGGCATTAAAAGCGCACAGTGGCTGTCTTTGGCAGGTGAAGCTTTTAACTGGGGAACAAAAGGGAGCGGAACGGAATTTGAACCTTTGTTATGTGGATTTGAATGGCAAGAATCACTACATGATTACAGTAGATCCGCGCGGTCGTCCTCGTCACAAGCTGAAGGATATAGCCTTCAGTCTGAAACGATAACGACGCAAAAGTAGTAGATCAAGATCATGGAGTCTGATAGAATTAATTGATCACTGGTCTACGATAACGATAAGCGTTCGCATCTATCTAAACCCCCTCCACCACCAATCCTTCATCTCCCCCTTCTATCTCTAACCCCCTCTACCACCAATCCTTCCCCCCTCTCTCTCTCCCTAACCCCCTCTACCACCAATCCTTCCCCCCCTCTCTCTCTCTCTCTCTAACCCTCAACACCAATCCTTCTGCTCGTGGTGTGGAGCGAAGACCTAGGCTTTTTGGCGGCGATTTTGCGCTGTCTGACGGTCGCAGAGAAATGGCCTTGCGTGCGAAGTTGCAGTATTTGAAGGATCTGGCCGCAGGAGGTGGCACTAACGTTAAGGCAAACAAGAGTGCATCGACAGGGGCAAAAAGCAAGAGTGCACCATCGATCCTTAGTGTCATCATCCTTGTTGTTGTTCTCTTTTGATGAAAAGGAAAAAAGGACCTCCCAGGGACGGTCTCGTCAGGGATTCGACGCGCTAGCTCTAATAACGGGATTGGTCAAAACGCGGGTCCTGAAGGGCAAAGCTTGCATAACAATGCCTATCCGCCGTTGACACCCCAGCAGCTTATGATAGACGCAAAGCCTTTCTTTTCTTGTGATTTGATCATGATCTAAAACAAGCTCAAATTTTTGTACTACTTCAATAGAATAATACTTTTACTTGTAGCCTTAAAAGTTTTTTATTCTTGTGCCATTTTTGTTTAAAACAGTTTTTTTTACAATTTCGCATCCGCCACGTTCGTGCGTTACTACCAACTTAGTTTTACAATTGTTTCTTATGTAGATTCAGTTTCTCCTTCTCTTCTAACATTCAAGCCCAACTAGCTGAGTTTCCCCCTGCGATTACAACAGACGCCATGGCGGAAGCTCAGTATCAAAACCAGTTGAAGAATATGCCTGCTGCTGCTTCTCATTGTCCGAAGTCACCTACGCCGTTTGGCGAGGCTATGGGTGGTGCCAGGAGTGCAGAAGGCTTCATTGATAATGATATGAATTGTATGAAAAATCAGGGTGGTGTACGGATTTCATGAACAACATGGTGAATTAATGAACAAGGACGTGCAACATGATACCTCAGGATGTTTTTCTTGAAGAAGGTCTTCTTGCAGAAGCAGTACTAGATTTCAGGAAGAGGAAGTTTTCATTTTCTTGACCTATTAAGCAATGGTCAATGAATTCGTCTGCGATTTTGACATGCGATTTTGGCATAGTGGATCTTTACTCAGAATGTTCCCCCTATCGTGTCATTATGGTGAATCAAGGAAGTTCAAAAGGACAGGACTTGCCTATGGTGCTTTTTCGTAATTACTCGAAAACTCAAGATAACCGAGTTACTGACTGAAATAAGGGAGGCGGCTTAACATCACGGCTACCCGTCCTTCTCGTCAGTATCTCGGTTATTCTGATCAGTTACTTGCTTATTTCAGTTATTCGAGTATGTCGCTGTTGTTACAAAGAATCTATGCTCCAGGAGATACTTTTTGTGTTCTATTTCATTCTCTTCGAAGATTAGTGCTCCTGATTACAAAAAGTCTGCGTCATTTCACAATCAAACGCAGCTAGAAACCAACTGTCAATACAACGAGCCTTGATCCCCCTAAAGAATGTTTTGATTGTGGTTGAGCTTGTGGCCCATCGCGCGTCGGATGAATTTGAATTTCTTTCTTCATAATACAGAGAAAGAAGTAGTAGTGAAGGTTTTGTTGTACTACTAGAAAACAAGGAGGCAAAAGATAAAGAAGAAAATGGTAGCAGCAAGGCCAGCTTACCAACTCCGTTGTGATTCCGAACTACGCGATATTGTCTTTCTAGGCGAAAATCGTTTGGTGTCGTGTGAGTCCAATGGTAAAGTTGTGATATGGGATTTGCGGACAAGACGACCAGAACGGGTTCTGGTGGAAGAAATGAGGCAACTCGACGATTTTGTTGACGAGGAGGAGGAGGAGGCTGAGGGGACGACTGTGAAGGGTGATCAAGAAGACGACAATGAGCAGTGTGACGAGGAAGACGACGAGCAGGGTGAAGAAGAAGATCGAGGTATAATGGAAGACACGAACAACAAGCAAGATGATGAGCATCTTCAAGTGGAAGACAAACACGGAGACAAGGAGATGAGGAAGAAAATGGCGGTGGCTCGAAGAAGACTCATGGGTCCGATATCGTTACATCCCTTTTTCGTACGTGTACCTTCCTCACAGAAGCTCGGAGAAGGCCTGCTCGTACAGCAGAGGCTTGCAATCTTAACAGGTGCTGGTCGCTGTAGTGTTTTTGACGTAGCCAGCACAGGGGAAGATGACGATGATGACATGGACGATAGTACGACTGATGAGGAGGAGGAGGAGGTGGACGACGATGGAGCGGCTTCTGTAGTGGCTTCTGTAGTAGATGGAAGGAACATAAAGACAACTGGTAGAAGTGGGAATTTATATTTGAAACGCAAAACTAGAACTACAGTGACAAATCTTCATGCGGATTGCACTGAGATTTTCAATGCCCAGCGTGTCGGTTGGGCTCGAGCAGTGGTTATAGGGACGGACATTTATCTGCCGACTGGAGCTACTCCCGGCACTGCCGCAATAAGCTGCTACTCTCTTTTGGAAAGGGATGAAACTACGACTTTTATATCGCGAAGTAGTGAAAGTCGTGAAGATAATTTTTATCCAGAACTACAGCATCCTCACGAACCTCCAAAACCGAAGCGAGAACTTCGTTATGGCGCAGTGAAGAAGTTCTTACAGAAAGAACAGCATTTGAGGACTCAGCGAAGTAGATCAGAGATGAATGATAAACTAGTACAACAGGTGGACGACGACGAGGATAGTTCCCATCATCACCTTGACATGTGCATGTCTTTGTCATGTGTTACCTCAGGAGGTAGCACCCTACTCTGTGCAGCATACGAAAGCGGGCTTATCGTCTGGTGGGATGTACTAGTTCAACAAGATCCAGAAGTAGAGCCTGTAGTAGAGCCCGTAGACGTATGGGATCTGCGATCACTGAATGTCGTTAATCCTAACTCGGTTCTGGTCTCGACACTGCCGATTAGTACATCATTTTCAAGTAGCTGTAGAAGTACAACTACATCGTCCACAGTTGTAGAGTCTAGCTCTAGTTCACCGCCACCTACTTGTTCTATAACGGGGGCAGAAGTAGATCATGGAGACCAGGAGCACAGTCAGAATGTCCTCGGTCTCGATCGTAGTCCTCCTGCTCTGAGTACTTCCTACCTTTGGGTCTGTCTGGCCAATAAAAACGGTGAAGCGGAGTTTGAGGATCATCCAGGACAGCAGGTTTTTGAGGGCAGTGCTTTGACGCGGGCAGCGTCCTCTATGGGAGGGTGTACGTTATTGATGCGCCGTCGTGCTCAAGCGGGGCCACAAGCTTCCACGAGTAAGGCTATCGATGATCATATCAAGCTAAAACGACTCCAACCACTGGACAATACAGTGTATGGCTGTTTGCGCTTGGTTCCTGCTGTCGCTGTTTGTCGCGAACTGTCGCACCACACAGGAGCAAGACGAAAGCTGTCTAAGTCTATTATAAGTTGTAACTCCACTACAACTACTTCCGCAGTAGACAACCCAACCTCATCTCCTCAGAGTGTAGTCTGTGGTGTCCGTTGGGATGGATCCACTGACATATTGTCTCAAACAGGTCAAAGACTAGCGACTCTTGGAGGAATCCAGCAAGGTCCGAAGAGCCATAACTTTTCCTCATTGAGCAGCACGTCTTCGCTGTCGAAAGAAGGACAAACTTGTCTTGCTGCCTGTTATAAGAGCTGCAATCCTCTTCAAGTTCAAAGTAAAGATAAAGAAAGATGCTTCAGTAGCATCTTGGCAACGGTATCACCAGGAGAAGCAAGCAGAATAAGCATTCGAAGACTGATATAGGACTCTGTCTTGTTTGAGTCTAATCATTATCTATAATCAGGATAATGCTGTGCCTTTCTTCGGAAGTGAAGCACGGTATTAAGTAGTCCCATCGACAGTTTCGGAACACTGATCAGGGCGAAACTCCATTCCAAAAATCAGGATAGCAGTATTACTGCTGCAGTAAGTTCTGAGTTCTAGGGTCAGAAAGATTTTGTTCGTTTGAGAAGATATTGCGTCCTGTGGTCTTCCACGGTCCACCTCATCACTATCCATCAGGACTAGTTGCTGTTCTTGTTGCAACAAAATTAGATAGTGATAGAAATTATATTTCTCTAACTCTATCAAAATCAATAAATTTGAATTTTGGATTTGTGGAAGACGGAGAGTGCTATTATTCCGCAAGCATTTATCAATAGCGAGGATCTGTTACTCTTACTACTCGGTCGCTTGATATCAATATCATCTTCTATCGGTCTGCTGCTGCTGGTACTTCTAGCGCTACTATTGCAGGACGAGAAAATGAAAAAAGTCAGTGAGGACACAGTGAGAGATGGAAAACTAAGAGAGAGCGAGTGGGAGGAAACAAAAAAAGAATCTACTTTGGCTGTGGAAACAGGAAAAATGCTAAAAAAAGAGCAACAGCAAAGGTCTGACTAGCTGCATAGAAATCGGTGCGAGATGAACGTTGCGTTCACAGTGTAATAGAAGTCTGTGATTGCTGAGTCGTGCAAAAAGGTGCACAAGAGCGGTTAAGCAGGTCTACAATTTTTCCGACCACTTCCTGTGATGTTGAAGAAAGCGCTCAAAAGAACAAATGCACGGAAATTTTACAAGTACTATTGATCTTCATTCCATGGGCATCCATGGGCATGACTAGGTTACGGTTACGCTTAACAAGTAATGAATATCTATAGTTCTTCGTAGGACATCGACATTATGATTATTTTTGATTTGTTTTTGTTTCAGCAACAGTAGTTTCACGAGCACAACTCTCAAAATACACGAATGATCTTCATTTTGTGGATTACGAAATCCAAAAGTGGATCGAACAGCATCCTCTAGGGCGATGCTCTTCTGAAGAACGGCGACAAGAAGAACAAGAGTACCTCCTCAGCCAATGAGCAGCACGGTCGACAAGAACAAGAAGAAGAACTTCAAGTAGAACGCGGCTAGCCCTAGCGCTTCAGCAAGAACATCAAGTAGTGGCGCACTGCTGGTCACAGCTTCCAGCCGGCGAAAATGAGTAGACGACGGCGGAGAAGGAAGGAGCAGAGCTGCTGCACAAAAGCTAGTTCTTGTGCAGGAGCTTCATCTGCATCATGTAGACGAGGCAATTTCCATCATGTAGGTGGTCACGGTAGGGGAAGATCAAGATCTAGAGGACGTCCGTCGACAACTTCTGCATCTTCTAGTTGTAGTAGTGGAGGAGGTCCATCGAGGCGGACTAAGCCTACAACGACTAAACCTACAGCGGCGCATTTTTTACTGCACAGTTGCAGTTACCTACTTTTTGTTATGGTGTAGAAGTTGATCGTTGTATCAGGGAAGTTGTAGATATTTTTCAAGATGTTGAAAGTCTAGTACAGAGGTAAGAATAGTATAGTTCCTGGAAGAACTTCTTGTTTTTGTTCTCTAATTTTCGCGGAGGTGGTGCTATGAATGGGCGACCGCCTGTATGTACCGCACTAAGGGCTCCTCCCGTAGAAGACACAGCATTCAATCATGTTGATTTCGATCTAGATGATGATCCTACTGTAGTTTCTCTTGACCACAATAGGGGGAGGCGAGGCGAACGACCAGGTGGCTCAGTGTCTTCATCATCATCTCCATCATCATCTTCAGCTTCGCGACATGGAAGTAGTCGCGCAACACGAGACGAAGAATTATTAAGGTCAGCTTTTATCCATCTTTCTCAGCATCTTGGTTTACCTCCAGGTACTACTTTTAGTTGGCTTAGTGGTTTAGAAGTCGTTGACCTGCACACTTATCACATGGGAAAGGGGGCGACGAGATGGGGGGACCGAGATGCTGCGGATTAATTCTGACTCTAAAAATACCAGACGCCGATGAGGACGTTGTAAAACTGCTACACATTGATGATGTTGATGAGCTGCTATCTACGTCACCCTCAACGTCTTCTTTTGTGAATGTGAACAGAAAAACGCTGATGTCTAAGACAGCAAATAACTTGGCTATTGACCCAGACGAGGACGCTCCTCCAGACAGGAAGGACCACAGTAGAACAGACAGTAGTAGAGCAGGACATAGTACTAGCACAAGACTTGGTGACGATGAAAAAAGTAGTAGAAAAGGCAGTACTTCTGAATCTGATGGGAGAAGCAGTACTGGAGGTACAACTGGTGATCGTCGTGGCGTTGACCAAGATAGTGGTACAACTAGTAGTAGTGGACGAAGTATACTTGGTAGTACTACTAGTACTAGTAGTTCCACCTCTGCTAGTTCTTCATCTAGAAGTACCACGAGTAGTTCCTCTTCGTCTAGGAACCATGAAGCCAAAAGCAAACGCGAAGAGGAAAAGAAAACGAAAAAGGAAAAAGCGAAGTCCTCCGCTTCCTCTTCATCCTTAAGGCTACAGCTACCCGCTGAAGCATCCTCAGCATGATCATTCCTGGCGCTTTTTCTACTTGAAAAACGGACAACCAAGGATATGAGTCACTCAAAGGAGTAGATGCTAACGCGGTAGCTGCTCTAACGTTTTCTAGTTCTACAGCCGCAGCGACCTCTTCTACAACCGCAGAGAAGAAGAAGAAGAGACGTCGCGCAGACATGGTCGATTTTGACACAGATACGAACACTATCGATTTAGACAATGCTAGTAGTGAAGGACGGATAGGACGTCCCAGAAAAAGCAGGAAAATGAAGACCACCTCGACGACTACCAACATGGGAGATGAAACAGAAAGAGCAGGTGGTGAAGCAGAAAGAAGTAGCACTAGTGAAGACCACACTGCAACCTCTTCTACCTCCAGTACTGCTCCTGCAACTTCTACCTCCTCCGGTACTGGTTCATCTTCCAGTAGCGCGAGTAGCCGTCAACATACACCTACTTCGCGTTCATCAACTTCGGCTGGGACTGGGGGATCTCGCTCACCCTTGGCTCATAGTGCTACAAAAACGAATACAAAAACCAATACCAAAGCTGCTTTTAGTTCTAACACGAAGAAAGAGCCACCGGCTCGGCCGACGTCTACGATCGCATCAAAAGCGAGCGTGAAAAAAGAGCCACCGGCTCGGCCGACGTCTACGATCGCATCAAAAGCGATGGTGAATACAACAATAACAGTAGAAAGGGAACTGATGGTAAGGCAATATGATTATAACATTTTTAACTAGGGCCAGCAGGCAAGTATGAATTATACCGTACTATGAATAGCGTCTGGAGGTGTAGTTCTAGTAGTTTTTGCAGTCATCTTCACTCATAAAATAAAAAGTCTAATCACGGATGCCCAATATCGACAAGTCGCGCCAGGATACAAAGTAGAGATACCACATGGCAACGCGGGTCGTGGTGCAAGTAGTGGTAGTCACCGTTTTGACGCGATAGATGTGGGAAGAGAACTGGATTTAAGGCCGCCTCTTACAGTTGCACATGAAACAGAGTAAATGGGATAATTTCCTTACCATGAGTTTACCTCTGTGTAAGTTTTGCTTCAAAAGTGGCCAGTAAGGCTCGAGCCTGAAGTGCATGACCATGACCATCGTTTTTGGAAAGTCCTACCCCATGAATGGGTACACTACTACTACTAGGGAGCAGGGCGGGGCACTTCTCATCTAGTATTTGTATGTCCATGAAGATGAAAAAGAATCAACTTTTATTCTTTATTTAGACATGCGATTCGGAATCGGATTCTGCTTCTGGTCCTCCTCTTTTTCTTATTTAGACATGATGCGATTCGGAATCGGATTCTGCTTCTGGTCCTCCTCTTCCTCTAACAACCTCATCAACCGCGACCGACTCGCATTTATCGGAGGCGGCGAATGAAGCACCGGTAGCGAAGTTCGCCAGAGAATTCGGGCCTTTGCCTTTTGCCACTAAACTGCGAGAAAACAAGTCAATACCACCACCAGTTCAGGAGACTTAAGGCTAGAAGTACTACGAGATATATGAAAATAGTACTAGCATTCATTCCAGGAGACTTAACCTTAAGGCTACCAAAAAAAGGGAATGGAAATTCTTGAGAATTAGATTCATTCATGCTCGTCTTCTAGTTGTAGTACAACTGTCCATTCCGCTCGTTCTTCAAAGGTTATTCAATCATCTCCAAAAAAAGATTGTAGTGACGAGGTCTGTTTTCAAATCGCAAGTCCAGTCTTAGAAGAAGAAGAAGAAGACGAGACGAGGTCTCTTTTCAAATCGCAAGTCCAGTCTTAGAAGAAGAAGGCGAAGTGGATGAAGACAAGATGGACCCCGACTTGTATGTATCAGAGGACTCTAATAAACAGAAGATCAGGACCAGGACCAGCATGAGCAATCCGCTAGCGGCCACGAACAAGAGTCGTTTATGTGTCACTTTTGTGCATCTATCAGACCATCGAGGCTCCACCTCTTGCGCTCCTTAGACTTCTAATATGGCTTTGATATGAAGGAGAAGTTTCTCCTTATCTATCATTGCAACTACATTAGATCCAAAAATTTATACTAAATAAGTTAGGGAATGGAATTTTTAAGGACCATGATGTTCTTATTGAGGATCATAGTAAGGAGAAAAGGGAAGATGGCTGCCGCGATGGGTGTCTTCCTAGGACTACTAGATGGAAAAAACTACAACTACTTTTATATTGTTTCTCGCGGGGGCAACTCAACTCCCAGAGGACAACGAGAGCAAGAACGAGGTAGAGATACCAACAGCAGACAAAGGAGAATCCTCAACGTTTCTCGATGTGGGACACGCAATTCATCGTAGTTTTTATCTTGCCTTTCATCAACCCTGCTCGTTGTAGTCTCGGATCTACTGCTTCGCACGTAGAATTTTTAGTCCTTAAACGTCGTAGCTTTAGTCCTAAGGACTCGTAGTTTTAGTAGACCTAAAAAATCCAAAGGAGCACTACTACAGGTGACCACCGGACAAGCGGGACACCAGGACAACGAAGTGCTGCCGCTGTTAATCCAAAAGCCGGGTACGCAGCTGGAGTGGCGTCACCTCAAACGCCACGAGTATCTCCGACACTTATGCAAGAATTCTTGAATAATTCTTGTCGGAGTCCTTGCTCCGACATTTCCTGGAGTTCTTTATCTTGTTTTGGACCACTTGGAGTTTTCCCGCAACATTTGCTTTGTTTTTGTATGTAGTGATGAACAGCTCAATGGAGTTGTATGGTGCCGCTTTTCGTCATTGAGAGCGAAGATATAATGGGAATGTCGTTCCAAAGTAACAAGGCAAAGGGGGAACGGCATGCGCCTACCGACATTCTCAATGAGTGGAAGCATTCAGTAGCTCCTGTAGTTGGTCACCGTGATGATTACTAGTGGGGAGCAGTCAGTAGTTTGCGAACCTATAAAGTATCTATAAATATGATGAAGATGAAGGGCCCAAGAATTGCAATTGCAAAAAAAGAAGTAAAGATATTGGTTGCCCGCTAATGAAAATGGAAAAATTCACGACCTGAATGATCCGATGGCTGCTTAAGGCTGTGAAAAGATTAAAGAATAACTCGAGGTCAAGGTGGACTTCCTAGCCTATCCTAGCCTAGCCTATGGAAATAATATATATCGCTTCACTTGTTCGGACTCGAACTCGAAGTCTGCGTACCTGCCACACGAGCAAGAAGTTTCAAATTAATTCAGTTTCAATGTCCACGATCAGAACACTCATTAATATAGTTCCGCTAACTTCAGAACAGAGAGGGTTTGGCGGACCTCTGCGTTCTGCCTGCGCAATATTTAACGCATACCGATAACATGGACGGAACAAAAGACAGAGAGACAAGACGGGTACTATCCATGATTAAATGAGTGATAATGCATGACTCGGGAGGTACTAGTAGCAGACCTAGTTGTAGTCGTCCCGGAAAGAAAGATGTTGTTATATGTAATATATAATTTATATGAATATATATCCATTTGAGGGGGCGAGGGGTACGACCTGGACGAGTAGAAGACCTAGAAGTTGTGCCGGTTGAAAGAATTGATACTGTCTTGTTGCATGAAAGCTACTCATTTGAACATAACAAGACGAGAGCGTCCTCAGTCCTCTCAGAGTACACCACGCTTACCACCTTATATCGTGATAGGATCCTCAGAAGTCTTCTCAGACACGTATCTCACGCTTACCACGTTATTGCATCATTATGATCTATTGTCGCCTCGTGTCTTGATTTCGATCATGATCACACTCAGACTCTGTCTCTACGGGTTCTATGAGCAGTACTATCAGGGGCATGCGCGTGACATCTTGATGGCTATCATAGATACTACTGACAAGGCTATGCTAGCTTTGTCCTTATCAAGGTGAAAAAAATCTAGTCCCTTCACATTATGAACTATAATTATCGTTATGATCTATAATGTTCGCCACCTCATCAACATCTTGAAGATTCACCAAATCAACTACACAGTTAGTTTTAGTATGTGCATTACTGCTTCTTGAGACTTATGCCTATGCTTCCGTCACGACTTAGGAGACACTTCGCTAGAGCCAGTATGTGATGCGGCTCCTTTTTAGGTAGTTCGGCTTTAATTTTGACTATAACACGGAGCGAACGCATGACACGAAAACAAGAGCCGCAGGTCGTCTTTCTAGTGCTTCTACCCTTCTACTTATAGTTCAAACTTCATCAAAATGAAACGCCAGGTCTTCGTGCCCGAGGTTCAGTATAGCTACGTGCATATTGTGAGCATTTCATTATGACGAGAGGGTGCTCATATCACGGATCTGAACTACAGCACTTGCAATGCCAACTAGTACTTGTTACTCCTACCTTCTACCCCTAGATGCAGTAGATCATTTATGTGAAGAGACAAGCCTACCCTCTATCTCTCCACTTCACCATCTGATTTCATTTTTAGCGTTGCTTCGATCTAGAGTCAGAGTCTCCACAATGAATATTATTTCGCTAGTCCTCGTCCTCTAATTTGGCCTCATATCACGAACAACTGGTTCGGGTGGGCCGCGTCAGCCTGTGCCTGCTTAGCAATGAAAAAAGACGGTAGTGGCACAGTACAGTGGAAGCAGCTTGGCGCTATCAAATTACGAGCGCAATTGTCTATGTTGTACTTTGCATATCCTAGGACAACTAGGATTGTACTATATTGAATTCCCGTACTTCTAGCCATTTTGGTTCAAGGGATCTAGCAACCCTTTCTTGTTTTTTTATTGTTGTTTCTTGTTCCTAGTTTGCTTCTGCTTGCTTGTTGTACTTACGGACTGATGCTTGGATTCTTTCTGACACACACACACACACACGCGTAAAGAAACATAACAACAACACATACAGTCGTCGTAGCGGTCTTGTAAAGTGTAGTTCCCTATTTGGCTGAACTGGCGTAAAGACTACAAATAGAATTGTGAGTTATTGAAGAGAAAACAGGAAAGAAAGGTAAGACGCGCTTAAATAGAACCAAGAAAAGAAAGGTGACAGACTGATCCCTGGCTAGGTCGGACACACTTGTGATTGCGGTCTGACACGCAATTACAGGTTACTGGTTATTAGCAAACTTCGAGGAGCTGGCGGCAAGCATCTAGAAGGAGGAACGCCTTGACTCCCGCGGTGCCCTTGGTCCCAGCGGTGGAGCAGCGTTTAGAGGATGCCCAAGTTGAAGAGTGACATGGGCGCGGGGCGACGCCCCCCCCCCTAGCGGGGGGGGCGGGCGCCCTGGACCCCTTTTTGAGGCGTCTGCCGGGGGAGGAAGGCCTCAAAAGGGGGCCAAGGGGCCACCCCCGGTCCCTTCCAGGAGCTTTGTGCCCCCTGGAGGCCTGGGAAGTAGGTGGAAGGCCTCAAGGGGGGGCCAAGGGGCTCGCTGCCTCCTTTTCGTGTGCATGTACCCTACAGACTGGAAGGGTTAGAGGGCTCGAGGTGCCTACCTGTGCCCTCAGTGCGTCCGCTAGGCTTCGCTGCCGCAGCAGTGCACCGGAAGGCCTCCGAAGACGGCAAAAGGCGAGGGGCTGGACCCCCTGAGCCGTGCCGCCTGTACCCTCCGGGCCCTTGGTCATCGGCTTGCTTGCTCTTGCGACTGTGGCCCTTAGGAACACGCCGAGAGGCCCAAGGGGAGGCCCGCGCCAAGTTTTGACGCCTTCCACCACTAGAATCTGCGAAAAATCCGCGCGGAAAAGCGCGCGGGCGGGCCACCACAGACCAGACCACAGGGGCGGCCGTTCGGCCCTGAGTCATATGTGGGGGGAGAAAGGTCTTCAGAAATTATACCACCCCGGACAAGTTCGCCGCTAGCAGAAAACACGGCGGTCAATCCTCCCGTGCGGTCTCCGAAGCACGTCTCGTGGTGGAGAAGGTCGCCGAAAGGCATGCGGGTGCGCGCGCAGCGAGGCGCTGAGACCATCGAGCGCTCGTTGGCCGTGCCCGGCAGCGGTAAGATTAATTGGCAGGACTCCCACGATGCTCAATGAAGATTCCAGCCCCTGGAGAGGTACGGGACCACCATGAAGGAATGCCAGCGGTTCCGCAGAGAACTGCGGTCGCTAGGGCACACTGCGCGTGGGTGGGCGAGGTGGAAGGCTGCAGGCATGGGCGAGGTCACGTCGCTCGAGAAGTTCTGTGCAACACAGGTCCCGCGTGATACCGGTACCACCATGAAGGGACCAGTGGCACGCGCAACACAGGTCCCGCGTGATACCGGTGCGGAACGTTGAGGGCCGAAGAGACTAGGCGACAGCGTCGAAGGAGAAGAAGCTGTTGGCCTGTGCTGCGGCCATGGTTCCCGGTGTTGAACAGATGGAGGAGAAGGCCGAGGCCTTGAAGGCGTGCGTTACTTAGCAGGTTCGAGGTCAACAACATGCAGAAGGTGACGTCGGTCAGTGCTGCGGCCTGGGATCTGGCGGTCGCGAAGCGCGGCGATCAGAAGGAGAGGAAGAAGAAGAAGAAAACCAGCAAAAGAAAAAGTCATAGCACTCACGAGAAGGGAGGCGGCGATGTTTGGGAGTTTATCTGACTTGCATGCTAAAAGGCGCGCAAATCATGTGCGATCATGATACGCCCACGGCGTAGTCATCACAAGCAGCTAACCCAACTCGCATGGCCGCTTCCTGCGAGAGTGTGCTGGCTCGTCTGTCTCTCTTGCATTAAGGCCCCAGGCTGTGTCCTATCTTAAGGCGCTTGGGGCGATTCATGGCGCAGTGGTGGAGAAGTGTGCGAATTGGAGACTGCCGACCCTTGCCGACCAAAATGTCACAAAAATAAATCAAGGAGAGAATGCGAGATGTGTTTCGGTCACGGAGAGGAGAGGAAAGATCCACGCGGACATCGGTCACTCGGCAACGACTTTACTCAGGTGGGCCGCCTGCCTCGGTGCTCGTTGTAGACTTGATACAGGTCACCTATCATCCTCGGAGTCGAGCAGGTGCCGGTGGGGCTCGATGTGCAGGATCCATAACCTAGCCTAACCAGTACTCCTAGGACAACGACAGTTCCTGGGGCGACCATCGCCACTAGGTGGAGCAAGTCTATTATTTCTTAGGCTATGTATGAAATATGTGTATCCTCTCCTAGTAGTTCGAAGTCTTCACTGCTCTAGACATGAAGTACTACCACGTCTTAGACTTGTGCGTCCCATCAGGATTTTTTCAGGAAGAACTATTTCGTGTTGCCGATGGAAACAGCTGTCAAAGCATAACTTCTGCCGATCTGGTGCTCAATGCGCAGGGCTGAGGCGGGGACCCCCCTAGAAAATCAAAGCCTAAATCTAGTGGTGACCATTTCAGAGGTGCAATGATGATGATGATGATCATGATGATCTTGATGCCACATCAACATTTGCGCTGACTTGCAGGCGCAGCTAAGTCTTAGACTTCTTGTGTCATCATCTAGTCTTACTAGCCCTGTTCTTCCATCTTCTGCTTCTGCCCTTCCAAATCGAGGAACCTCTCTTCTAATAGTGTGGCTACCATTATTCGACGATAATCCGCCATGTCCGTACATTATGGTGTGAAGGGGATGTGACGATGACCAATAGTCTGTCAATCGAAAGATTTATTCGAAGACTTGAAATAAGCAAGTTACTGACTGAAGTAAGAGAGTCTACTTGACTACACTCTTCTTTTCAGTAGTTATATGAAACGAAAAAGTGTACTCATCCTCAAGAAAGTGGGCACTTTCTAAGTAGGAAAAAGCCCTCTTTCCTTGAGTAAGAGTATGAGTACACTTTTTTCTGTCATAAGTATGAGTACACTTTTTTCTGTCATAAGTATGAGTACACTTATTTCAGTTTATCGAATACTATGAAAGAGGAACTACAAGACAAAGAGCAGGGAGTCTTCGTTGCTAGGTCTGTCCGTGAAATCGGAGGCAAATGACATAACAAGGGAAAATCTCCACGTTTCGCCGCTCTAAGTATGAAATTTCCCAGGACTCGAAGAATTAGGGCTTTGGGGAATCCATCGTCAGAAGCATCTTGGGGCACCTCTCTAAGGGAAAAGCAGACATAACAAGATGACTCTCCGGATGGATTTTGAGAAGATCTAATCGAGACTGTACTTAAGGCAAGAACTGAGAAAGCTGCCATCAAGGCTACATTGCATTCGCATTATCGCAACATGAACATACTCCGAGGCGCTTCTTGCAAATACATCCCTGACGGTACCTCGGGAGGTTTAACCTTCTTAGATAATTGATCCTATCCTATCGATCTTGACGCTGTAATAATCCTCCGTGCTTTATTTTCTGAGAAGCGATGAATCTTCTACTAGTACAATTGCTTCCCTCTTTGGTTGGCTTTTCCCTTTCCAGCGACGCTCAAAGAACATGAGTCCTCCTTTAATCTGCAAAGATTTTCATGGTGAGAAATGTACACGATTCTTGGTTCACGATATGCGGCAATCCTTGTTAAGGCTGTACTACAACTAGAAGCATTTCTTAGCTAGAAATTGAAATTTTTCATCTTTGACTGCAGCTGCAAGAACCTTGAAACAAACGCTGTAGCAAGCTAATTCATCTTTGAGTGGGAGGTGACTGCAGCTGGTGCATTGTTGAAAGTTGAAACACAGTATGGGTGACTGCAGCTGCATCACTGTACCCCATGAATGGACTAGATGCTACTACAGGGAAATATAATGCAGCCTTGTCTTGGGACCACACCAGCGACTTCGTAGAAAAAGACCTCCTCCGCTTCCTTGCACACTACCCCCATATTACTTGCTCAAGAATCAGTAGTCAGTCGGTCAGTGAGTCAGTCAGTCAATAAATGAATCAACGACCACGCAGCTGAAGGAGGGAGCATGATGCGGGTCGGAGAGCTCTAACCTTGTCCCGTGATCCTGCAGCACCAGCTTAAGGTGGAACAGCTATTATAGTGAATTGATTACTAACTTAATTAGTAACTACTTAAAAATTAGTAAGTTAATTAGTAGGAGTAGCTCGTTCTCTTCATACTCATACTCAGCGTTTCTTCTTGTTTGATGTTTTTTATCACGGAGCTTCTTCGGAATACACTGTTGGAACACCTGCGTTCTAATTATTAAGCAGCTCTTTTCTGCAAAACAAAGAGAAAGCAAGCGGGGCCACAGAGGACTCAGAAGGCACTTCTCACAAGAACGGCCGGCAATTGTCGTCATTGTCAGCGTCGTCTCCTGTTATTAAGCCCTATCGATGATAGAGATGGAAAAGAAGTCTTCAGACGATCATCTTGTAGATGAGCGAGCAACACAAGTTCAAGTCGCGAGAACAATATAAAGCGTGCATTTTTTTCCTGGTGATGTACTCATGTTTTTATTTTTAGGTTCCTACGTACAACCACCTGGGCCAGCATCTACTTAGCTACTTTATTTCGAACATCATGAGTGACCACGACTAGTACCAAGTCCCCAGGTGACCAGGTGGACCACCAGCTCGTCGAGCTGTTCTTCTAATGTTCGAAGAGGACAACAGCAGACTTTGGATACTACTAGGCCAACAGTGTCATCAAGGAGGACCACTCCTAGCGCCTCTTCTAGAAGCAATGTCGTCGATCCACCTGAGTCAGCTACTTCTAGCCCGAGGGTAACCGAAATCCACGACAACAGGGAGGCGGGCAGTGGTAGTACTACTAGTCCAAGAGGAGCTAGTACACCTGAGGGGGCGACCAAGAGTAAGGACAAGAACAAGGAGGCAGTTACTACCAGGCCAAGAGTAAACCTAAACGGCGAGAAAGCTACTACCTCCGATACGAACAACAACAACAACAACATCAAGGAAGCTGGAGGAAAGATGTATCTAGAAGCAAAAGAAATAGACTTGTTAGACTTAGAGTTAGACGAGTTAGAAGGAGATTGGTCCGCAACAAAGAGCAATAGCAACACAGGCGCAGCGGAGATGTTCGCCAAACTTGTTGCCTTGGATAACGATGACGATGAGGCCCTTTTCGATGGACGAAGATTTCGCGCTGGTGGCCGTTTTGCTTTACGGCTCATAATCATTTATCTTGAAGACTACAGCTGCGCGCTGCGTATCTATGGCCACTTCTAGGGACGGCGCTTTCAGGGATAGGATACACACATATGTATATTCTGCGCCGCCGGGCTAGCATTTTTGCGGCGCAGAGAGCGCCGTTCTCTGACAATGTCTAGAGACGGGACGGCTACAGGAAGAAGCGTGCACAGTGCTCGTGAAAGGATGCCGGGCCGCGTTTGGACAAGTTGACCACATTTCGCGCCATTGGTCACGAATTGTGGTCAACTTGTCCAAGACCGTGGCGGTGGCGGAGTCGCTGCTGTTGGTCCTTGGCCACGCTTTGAGTGAAATGAGGGGCATGAGCAGACCACATTTCTGCGCGCGCGAAGTAAGGGCAAACCGTTGGACAAGTTGACCAGATTCCAGGTCCACGTCACGAAATATGGTCAACTTGTCCAAAAGTTAGGGGGCGTTGCTGCGCCGGCCTGTGTTGCCAATGCGGGGGCTAGCAGGCTCTCATGAGCACACTGCGGGAGGCGACACAGAAGGCGCTGGCAGTGCTTGGCCGATGTTTGGACAAGTTGACCATATTTCGCGGCAAGTGCCCCGAAATATGGTCAACTTGTCCAGGACAGTTGCTTGGCCAAGTTGAACGCCTAGTGGGGCGCTGAAGAAGATCCCAAAAATCCTTTCTAAGCGAAGCCCTTAAGAGACCCCTCTTATAAGAGGATCCTCTTAAGAGAGGGCGTTTAGGCGAAGCCTTTAAGAGGATTCTCTTAAGAGAGGTCCTCTGAGAGAGCCTTTCGAAGAGAGTTCTTTACAAGATTCTTTTAAAGGAATTTTCTAGAAAATATCTCTAGAAAAAGTTTCTAAGGCATTTCTTTAAGAAGCGGCTTCTGCTTAAGTTGTTTTTTCTAGAAAATTTTTGTAACGAAAGGTGAACTCATAATTATAATTATCAGTCTCTCCTTTAACCTATCTCTCTCTCCTTGTTTACAACTTCTTGGAGCTTGAGAGCAAATACAGCGTTTCTCTTGTTAGTATGCTTCTTGGAGTCCTCTGACTCAGAGACATCTGTGAGCGACGTAAGAGATGAGTATAGAAAGTCTGTGAGCGCTAATTCCTGCCGCTCTTTCATGGATAGTAGAGACCCTAGTAACCTACACGGAGCGCTTTACGAAACACCTCGAACAGTGTTAAGGCTCATAATGTTTTTTTTTCCGCGGACGCAGTCGTCACAGCAAGTTGTAGCAACTTGTGTGTCTCGATTTCCTTCAAGCAGAAACCTGCCTCTCGAAAGTTCTGAGACTACATGATTATGATCATGATGATCTTCGTAAAATAAGATGAACTACTAGTCTATCCATATTCGAAGGATGAAATTCCTTATCCTTGATATCGAGAGTTGCTTAATACGCTTATGAATGCATATGGTGCTCTAACAATGGTCAACATTTTTGGTGGGAACATCTCCTCGCACAGCAGCTTCGGAGGAGGATGCAGCAGTTGAGGGCTCAGGTCAGAACGGCACAACTTCCAAGAAGGGAGATAGTTTATTCCTTGACGACGTATTTGCCGATGCTTTGGCCTTCACTGCCGAACATTAAGGGTAACTTTTTTTAGGTGTTCGTGTTTTTACCGTTTGTTTTGCCTCTCTCTCTCCTGAGGCTTCTCCCGGACGAGAGAAAAGCAAAAAAACGGGGCAGACGGGTAACAGAAACACAAAAAGGCTACGTCTAAGATCAAGTTGCTGCCTCGAAGTCGCAAAAACCTGCTGCTCTAAAAGCAGAGTCCTCCACTTTTAAGGCTTCTACCGCTGGTGCATCTTAGTCTTTCTGTCTAGGACTGTAGGACAAGAACCTCGACAGGGCAAGTACAGAAGAAGGAGCAATATATTAAGTACAAAACAATGAATATATTAACAAGAGGGCGGGTCCGGTCGTGGAACTACAAGAACCACTTTGATCAAATTTTTAGACCGCACCCACTCTCTCACGAGTCTACTAGTATCATATGTCGCACAGGAGCACAGGGACGATGTAGATCGACGCAGCAGCTACGGAGGTGTGCCACCCTAACTTCTAATTACCCTATATTAAAAGTGGCTGCTCTCTTGATAAAAGTGGCTGCTCTCTTGATAAAAGTGGCCCCTCTACTACTGTGTCTTCGTTATCTGTCTAGTTGTTAACCGATAATGCCCAGCGCAGCGCGTGCTTGCTATACTATAGTAGACTCCTGCTCCTGGCGTCATCATCAATATTTATACAGGAGCCCAGGGACGATGTAGATGGACTAGCAAGGGACGATGTAGATAGGCGGGGTCTACTAATTCTTCCCCATCCTCGTACTAATTCGTCTTGGGCTTTGCCGTCTTGGACTGATTTTTTCGCGCCACTCAGCGGGGCTCTCTCCACATTCGAAGTGGACGCCGACTCTACTTAAGGGTAGGCTATACTAGGTGCTTTTGTTACCGTTTGTTATGGCTCTCCTAAGGGGGCAGGAGCCATAACAAGCGGGATAAACGAACACCAAAACAAGCCTACCTCTAATCTACAACGCACGATCTATTCGAGACTGGTAACTTCACCTCCCATGACACCCTGGAAACTGTAGCTGGCACAGCAAAAGCAAGCCCCATAAAAAGCTTAGCAGAAGCGGGATCAACTTTCGTCCCTACAACAGTTACGGTGTTGTTGACCTAGAAGAAGGTGTTGTTGTTGACCTAGAAGTTGCATCGTAATCGTACCTTCGACGTCGAAGGGCGAGACGCGCATGGATTTATTTTAATGACCCACCCTTGTTTTTTTCGTCAACCAAGAAAGGGGAAAATGATATAGACATCGATTAATGTTGGATAGACTTAATAGAGTTGGAGTTTTCAGACATGCGACTGTGAGAAAACTCCAACTAGTACATCTACAACTTACAACCGCTGAACCTAAAGTAGAAGCAGGACCTCACTCTCAGCCTCACATAATATGAAAATCGTAGATACTTCTACAACTTCTCTTAACATATTACTTCTCCTTTTACTTTTGGACATGATCCGCTATTCCATGATTTACTCTTAACAAACTTCTGCTTCTCTTAAGAACATCATCTAATCTGCCTAGAAATGGGACAACTGCTGCGTCTTTTACGCAGATTGCTTTTGGCACTAGAAGAGGGGAAGAAGACCCCTGGCCTGGACACCCTGACGAAGCGGATCTGATTAGGGGGAGAAAGAGATGTAGCCTTTTCATCTCTCTATCTTATATTTTCTGGTTTTTGTTTTTTTTCGGTAGGTGCTCTGGGACAATTTTTAAGGAGAGACGAAAGTAAGAGCGAGAGGTTGATGGAAGTAAAACTTATATTTTTTTTATAGAAACTTTTTATAGAGCCATTGCCATAGCCTCAGACTTCCATTGACTTACCCTCAGACTTGTTAGAACTAGACGTTGCTGAGTTTTCAAATCAGCTCACTTCGTCTAGTTCTAAATTCTTTAGCGGCCTCGTTTAGTCACCTGGTGACCTTCTCTCCACGACCTAGACTAGTGCTCCGGCTCAATGATATACTTCCATTCATTTATCCTTTAAAGAATTTAGAACTAGACGAAGTGAGCTGATTTGAAAACTCAGCAACGTCTAGTTCTAAATTCTTTAAGGGTTGCTGCAACTGCAAGAAGTTGCTGAGAGTCAATACCTATGAGAACCTTTGTAGATAATGTCAAGGAGGAAGTTGTAATGATAAAAGGGCTTAGCCTCACTCAGGCTTAGCCTCAGACTTAGTCTCACTTACCATTAATGCAATATTAGAAGTTCGTAGAAGTGTAAAAAATAGCTAATGTTAACGGGATCACGCAATGCAAAGGAACAGAGAGTGACCATCTAAGTAGACGCGTTAGTGATGATTTTGGCTCTTCAGTAGCCAACTATGTCTGCTAGTTTTTCTAGTGGGCCCACACCTAACCTAACCTAGCCATAGAGTCTAATTTTTACTTTCCCGAAGCTGCGTGCTTGCTACGACTTAGCGCCGAAATACACCCGGAAGATTAAGGCTGCATCGCCGATGGTTCTGTGTGTAATGTACAAAGTTATAGCTAGCTATTTTTAACTACCATATCTTTCATTTACAAGGTCCAGCGACGCTCAAAGCACTAAGTAAAGCAACCGGCTAGCTTCGCCGCTTATCCTAGGTGTATCACTTCACTTGCTCCGGATCATTCTTCTCGTATATGCTGATCATTCTGCTTCCGGCCTTAGATTTGTTCTGTAATGATCTTGTATAATATTTGTATAATTGTTATTGAATAGTTTGACTCTGTTCTTCCTTGGTGAAAGCTACTGAGATGTTGAGAACGAACCCATGCCCATATGCATACAACTTAGAGTTGCCTGAGAACAGCCGTATAGTTCTTTATTTGATCAGACTAAGAACAGCACCCCACGGTCGGATTCTCTATAAGAGACGATAGAGGTCACCCTGTGGAAGACGACTCAACCCCGATCCTATCGTATCCTACACTATTCTGTTCTATAATCCCATCCGATGCTTCTAGTATCCTATCCATTTTCGCTATTAGAGTCATACATCTAAGAAGAGACGGACGGAAGGACTACATTTAAAGCGGCAGAGGGTATCTCGTCAAAGGATGACGAGGGAGGAAAATGGGGCATCTCATGGCGCAGCTCCGACGATCTGTATTTACGGCTAAAATTGAGGTCTAATGCAGCAACGCGAGTGCCTTCGCCGCTACACCTACAAGCGAGGGCTGCTCCGTGAGGAAGAGCAGCTGCTACGCCTACACAAATGGAAGTAGCTTTGTTCCGTTTACTGTTCTGTGAAGAGAAGCAGCAGCTGCTGTTACTTCTCCACAAATGGATACTAGGCTAGCCCCCTGGCGTGGTTCCCCAGCGTCAGGATTCGATGGGAGCACGAGTCACCTGCGAGAAGCGCCATCCCTCGGAGATCTGGCCCCTGCTGAAACTTTTAAGCTTTTGCATGGAGCTCGCTTGCCCTCTCTCAGGAGAACGGCGACGGGGCTCGGCTTGCTTTCGGTTGCATGCTTCTGCCTGAGGACACGCGGACACCAGGGACACAAGACCGCTGGCCCCCATATCTTCTCGGGCGGAGAGATTGCAAACTTTGCAAGTTTCGGCGTCGTCTCGCGTTGTTTTCGGGGCGGTGGTGGGATGGGTAGCGAATGGCTTTGGATAGCGGTGGGTGCTGCAAAATGGAAACGATTCCAGAAGGGGGAAGACATGTGCGGACCCCGTTGTTTAAGCGTGCCTGCCCCATTCGGCTCCGGCGGGGTGTCCGCGTGTCTGTGGTGTCACCAGCAGGGAGCGGCGGGCCCTTCGTGTGCCTCTTGTCTTGCCTTCCGCTTGAGGATGCGCGGACACCAAAGAGAGGCAGGGGCGCCTGCGCGCTTATCCTCAGCAGGAAGACATAGGCAGGCGCAGGACTTGGCTGGTGATCCTCCCTGGGGAATTAGAGGGCTGTCAGCTGCTGGGGCCATGCGTGAGGGCCTGCGGGCCGATGGTAGTGGGCTGGGCTTGTTCGTGGTTCTTTCATGCCCCGCCAGCTTGGCCTAGTGGGCAACTATTTGCCCTTCGCTCCTGAGCTGGTTCGAATCTTGGAGGTGGCTCGACTCGCAGGGAGGTCATGGCCTTCAAGTGGATCGCCGTCCCGCACCCTGGGGGGTGAGAGCTCGGGGGAGCCCTGCCCAGCTGGTGCAACTGTGCCGAGGGGTGTACGCGGTGCGCCGTTAGTTTTGTAGCCCGCCTCCCCAATCATGCATGTCGCCGCGGCTTTCGGAGTTTCTTGTCTACGGCATAAGAACTCTCAGGTGGGTTTGTGGTATAACTTTCAAAATTAATGTCGTGACTTTCGAAATTCATGGCGAAACTGTCGGAGTTCATCCGCGCTGTAACTTTCAAAATTCTTGCACGGCGACGGCGTAGCTTTCAAAGAAAGCTGATCCTTTCAGGCTGTAGCTTTCAAGATTTACGTCGACACTTTCAAAATTCGTGCTTGGTGCAACTTTCAACATCCGGACCGACCGTAGGCAGCTTGTAAAAGTCATGCTTTGACTTTCACAATTCTTTCAGGTCGTAACTTTCACAATTCAGGCTGTAACTTTCAGGATTCACGCCTTAGCCTTCGCACTCGATCCATCGCAGCTCATTGGCCAACAGTCAGAATTAGCCCCCGGATTTTTTTTCGATCGACGTGAATTCATCTTCCAACCTTCAAAGTCCACGCATGCCCTAACTGTCAAAATTCAACCATGTCGTAGGTTTCACTATTCATGTCCCCACTTTCATAATCCTTGCGCCTCTTAACTTTGGGCATAGCTAGGAAGGCGCCGCCCGTTTTGTCAGTGTTTTCGCAAGGTTCAAAAGCCAAACTAACTCTTTAAAAGATTCAAATAAATGCGAAATCTTAAATTCAAAGTTCAAGATCCTCCATTAAAATCTTAAATCTAAACTCAGTATTCAAAACCAAAGCGTTGAGTTAAAAAATCAAGAGCATCCTAAAGTTTTACAAGTAAAGAGATTTGTTTCTACTTGAGTTGATGTATCCATCCTCTACATCTACGGTTTCTGTTCCGTGAAGAGCAACTGCTGCTGCTGCAATGCCAGTGGCAGTGTCCGTGTCGGTAAAATAGTAATATATATGTTCCAGGGCTCAGGGCCGCTGAGGGCCCCCCCGATCTAACTTTTTGAGGGGGGGGCCTCCCAGCCCCGGACCCTTTTCGCAAGGGGCTGCCGGGCGGGAAGGCCGCAGAGCGCCCACCCCTGACCCCTTCCCGCTTCTTGCTTGTACCCTAGAGCGCCACCAAGCCGGAGATGAACGCTGAAGCTGGCAAAGCAGGCAAGGCAAGGCGGGCTTATTGCATGTGCCCTACAGACCTGGCAAAGGTGGCAAAGGCTGGGCCCTCTTGTCGTGTTGCAGGTACCCGACAGGGCTGGCAGTAGAGGAGGCAAGGCGGGGCCCACCCCCTTGCTTGGCGTGCTGCATGTACCCGACAGACCTGGCAAAGGTGGCAAGGCTGGACCTTCCTGGCGTGTTGCCTGTACCCTACAGACCTGGCAAAGGTGGCGAGGCTGGACCCCTCTGGCGTGTAGTTGCATGTGCCCAATCTTACAGACCTGGCAAAGAAAGGTGGCAAGGCTGGACCCCTCTGGCGTGGTCCCCCCCAGATCCATCCACAGGGGGGGCCTCTCTCCCTGGTACATATATAAGAGTACGCACTCGAAAACTGAAAATATGCAAGTCACCAGTTAAAGAATTATACTGTTCTAAAATAGTTGCTCTCTTAGATCACCTTGCTCGGCTATTTCAGTTTATCGAATATATGAAATAAACTGATAAAGAGAGTAGGCGCCGGCGAAGCTCGATGTGAAGGATCAATAACCGGCCCTAAGCCAACCTGAAGGCAGTCGACGATGTTGAGCTAGTTTTCTTCTCATCAACACTATTATTTTGATGTTGATTTTGATCTACTTGTTGGAGATGGGCTCACAACTCTTCTACTTGTTAGAGATGTGGTGCTCACTCTCCTACTGTAGTTCACCATCTAATGTCGCGTGAACTGCAGTGGGTGGCCAGTTCGAACGCGAAGAGTGGTAAAGATCAACAGTTTTCGGGGCAGGCAGTGGCAATGCGACTAGAATTTGATGATTGGAAGGAGTGCACTGTTATGCAGACAAGTGGTAGATGTTGATAAGCTAGTGCACAGGTCAACGCGTAAACCAGGAAAAAGTTAATTGCGCGATTATCTTTCTTAGTGGTTTAGGTGTTGACCTGTGCACGGCTCATCAGATAGTATCGTATTGATCTCAACATTCTAATTTCCAACTGTCTGTCTCTCCTTGTATCTCTCAGTTTTCTCAGGCACTTTTCTGAAGCTTCGCACGTTATTGATTTGTGTGCTCGTTTTGATCATTTCAGGGGTCGCTCTAACCTCATACTAGTCGCCGTCTAGTCCTCTCATCCTTAAATGGATGACTGGAAAGGATCGTGGAGAGTTTACACCCCATGACTGTGCACACTACTACCTCTTCTAGTACTTCGAAGTTGATAGGTCTACCTCTGCCATAAGTACGTACAGCTGCACTTTCTCTCTTATACCCCACCACGGCTGCATAGTATACTGCAAACATTTATTTTAGTGGATCAAGAAGTATGTTGAGAAGTAGGTAGAAATGCGTCTAATGGAGGCAGCTGGCTAGATCCCAACGATGAGACAGGCGGAGGAGACGAAGGACCGGCCGCGGGGGAAGACTTAAGGCGGGTTTCCAAATGTTGCAAGGTATTGAATTATTCTATTATCGAAGTATAAATATAGTTACATTAATAATTTAAGGTAATGAATTATTTTTATGTATGGAGGTTCCTTCTAGTAATATTTGGTAACCTGAATTCGATTTCGAATTCGATCACAAGGATTCCCTTCTTGTTTTCCTCATGATCAAAATCAGGTTACCAAATACCAGCGCCATTCATTTTAGTATAGATTGTTCCAAGCTGCATTCTGCATGTCGTGGGCCCACCTCCTACTTTTCTTTGTTTTCATTCAAGTGAACAAAATTGGGTCCGTCAACGTCAAGCATGTTGCAATGCTTCTTCTACTGAACAAGAAGGGATGAATCCTCGTACTAATGTATGGTTCTGGTATTTGGTAACCTGAATTCGATCCTAAGGGTTCTCAGAGACCGACCTCTTCTAAGCGAGCAGTCGTCCTTCACACAAACCGCGTCGTCCATGTCAACCTTCACGCAACGAACATCAAGACGACAAAGCAAAATTAGGAAGAGACGACATTCCGCTGAAGAACAAGAAGGCGGAGAGCAGACCATGGAAGCTCATAGATTATGAGTCATGTTTTTCCCCCATTAAACAGACCATCTACAACTACAACATCTACTCGAATAAAAGTAAAAATAAGCGAGTTAACAACTACATCTAAGTACAACTACATCTACTTGTTACTCGAATAAATAAGAACTTAAAATGAATAAGCGAGCAGTAGCTAACTGAAGTGACCGAGTATCTGAGAAGGTTACACTCTGGGATACTCGCTTACTTTAGTTTTTCGATGCTATCTCTTGATTTCCCCTTAATAAAACAAATTGTGTAGATATGGAGAGATGTTGATCATGGCGTGTTCACGTCGACTTGTCAGAAGGGACCACGATGGTCTGTCCTCGCTCTCTCTCTCTCTCTTCTAGAGGGGACGAGAATGAAAAAACGCGATTCTACTTTCATATAAGTGCGGCAATCCTACTGAAGCCCAAGTTACTAGTAAAAAATACCGAAGAGGAGATGATGGGCCTAGCGAATACGAAGCAGGCAGGATGACTAGGGAAGATGAAGATAAACCAGAGCACAAATTGCATGGTGGTGTCAAGATTTAAGGCCGCTGCGACTATCTAGTTCTTCTTGTGAGTGTCTACATACTAAGTAACTACGATTGAGGCTCCGTCGGCTGAAGGTGTTTCTGTTACCGTTCGCTTCGTCTTGCCTTGCTGTGGACTTGGACTAGTAGCGGCTTACTAAGTATGAGCCTAGAGTAGATGCAGATCACTATGAATGTATTCGTATTGGACTTATTACGAAGTCCTCTATCTTGGACCACTAGTAGACCATGTGAGTGAAGGCGAGCGCGCGCAGGCATGAGGAAGATCATCTATTAGTATCAACTCCCCTAGACCATCTTCACTAATACTACCCAGCAACATACTACTTAATATAGTCAGTTCTTTGCTCCTAACTATCTTGAGTAAGTCGTGTAAGAGGAGCATGGAGATCGATCCCCTTGTCGTGAAGGTTGAAGAAACCACGAGGGACGAGACCAAGGACATAATCACTGATGGAGCAGCGAAAGAGCCCTTCTCTCGTGCTTGTTTGTAGTTCGCTTGCTTCTTCTCTAAAAAGCGGCGTTCGTGGTAGGCTACGACGATTAAGGCTCGAAGACGCATAGCTATTCTTGCGTGAGATAGTCATAGGTATCAACATTCGGACACGGAGGACACAGTACTGACAGTATAGTTCTTTTGCACTATAACCAATACAACATTGTACCCCCTCCCCCCACAATTATAGGTAGCCCCTTTACCTCGAGAGTGCGAACGTTAGTCAATCACTCAGTCAATCAGTGAATCAATGAATCCTAAGCAATAGAGTAGAGACGCCTAATGATGTGAATCGGGATACCTACTCCCGGTGATTACTGGGTCTCCGAAATGGGAACATTTCCCTTACGCCGTTCGAGACACCAAAATTAAGACGAAAAAGAGTCAGATGTGTAGATGTAGTTTTGATTAAAACGAAAAAGGGTCAGATGCGTAGTAGACGGAGTTTGAATTTAGCGAACTCAGCAGGTTCTCTACATTTGGCTCCCTCCAGGCATAGAGTGGCAGCGGCCTCAAGCTCGTCGCACTTCTCAGCTCCTTTCTCACGCTACAGCTACTGCCATGACCTTCTTCGTCACATCATCTGAAGCCACCTTCTACTAATCATAACTCTTCTAACTCTCTAGGTTAGACCAACTCTGCTTGATCAGCATTCTTCTTCTTATATTTACAATGCTTACAACGATATTCGCATTGGTGGCCTCTTTCATGCCCCATGATTGCGCACGCTACTCCTCCTCCTCCTCCTCCTCCTCCTCCTCTTCCTGCTCTTCCTGCTTTTCTTCCTCCTCCTCCTCTTACTTCTCTTACTCCTCCTACTCCTCCTACTCCTCCTACTCCTCCTACTCCTCTTACCCCTCCTACTCCTCCTACTCCTCCTGCTCTTCCTGCTCTTCCTACCCTTACGACCCCTCCTACTCCTCCTCTTCCTGCTCTTCTTCCTCCTCCTCTTACTTCTCTTACTCCTCCTACTCCTCCTACTCCTCCTGCTCTTCCTACCCTACTTACTACCCCTCCTACTCCTCCTCTCGCTGCTCTTCTTCCTCCTCCTCTTGCTTCTCTTACTCCTCCTACTCCTCCTGCCCTTTCTACTTTTCCTACTCCTCCCTCCTACTCCTCTTCCTACGCTTCCTACTTTTCCGACCCCTACTACTCATACCTCCTACCCCTCCTGCTACGCCTATGCTCACAATGATACTCCTACTTCAACTATGCTCACAACGATGCTACGAAGTCGCGACCCTTCTTCTAATTCCTACAATGCTTACGATGGTACTATCCCAGCGGACAAATCATACTTTAAAGAGCTGATGAATGAAAACTTCGCGAAGCACCACAAGAGGAACTGGAACTGGTTCATGTACTTTATGAAGGGGTGTTGCTTGCGCTTGGGTAGATTAATTGTGTTGCAGCTTATTATGATTCGTTAAGATCTAATAATTATCTTGCTTAGTATTTAATTGGTGACTGGTTAAGATTATTCAGTGACTTACTTAAATTTTTGAGATGAAAGAGAATGATAATGACTTCCCAGGAGGAGCAAGATGAACTTTCTTATTATAGTAATCGAAGATGACTTAAAATAAGCGAGTAGCTGCCTGTGCCTGAAATTAAAGAGTCGCTACGTTCTTCCTCTTTCGTCAGTATCTCGGCTATTCAAAGTCCAGTAGCAACTTGCTTATTTCAGTTTTACTTCGAATACCTACGTAGGAGTAGGACAAAAAAGCACTGGCTCTCGTTCAAGCTAAGTAGGACGAAAAAGCACTCACTTGATGTGAAGAACTTGTAGGGTGGATCATGAATGTGTTATTTACTGCTACTACTAGTAAGAAGAAGTGTCAACATCATGTTGACTCTCAATTACTATTTCGGTATGATCTTCGTTCATGTTGTTCTACGTGGTGCCGATAACTCTGCTCACCATTAGCTGCAGTATTTGCTGCTGCTGTTGTTAAGGCTAAAAATTGTACTAGTAAGCGCAATACTAGGGTGCTCGAACCTCTAGTCAGGCACGTCAGTCAATCTACTCCCATATTGCATACAGGATCGAGAAGGGTAACAGGCACAGGAGGGGAACAACTTTGTATTATCAATCTTTGCATGTGCGTGTCTTGTTGATTTACTTTTATGCTTAGTTGTTCGTTGGGGTTCGTCTTGTTAAGCATGATACCACCAGGCTCTCAGAACTAGTACAACTTGATGCGCACTATTGTATCTATATTAATACACCTTCATTTCAAAGAGAATGAGCATAAAGGTCCAAGGTCATGCTGCTCCAAAACCAGAAGCATAGCGCAGGAACTAGACTAAAACTAATAATGTACTATTCGTGGATAAAGATAGATCTATCTCTAATAGTGCTGCTGTCGGATCTGCAGTCCCAGCAAACAAGCATCAAAGTTTCCAGAGCCACTCAAGAGAGACAGCGTTGCACCAGCGGCCGCTGATCCCCGGATAGAGCAACTCATGAAGTTGGAGGCTCAGCGTGAAGCAAGGTTATGGCTCTGTAGACGTAGGAGAACGAGAACGACTCTAGATGTAGAACGCGTAACGTTCTTGGTCTGGAGATCTGGAGATCACCCTCGTCTTCAGTTACTCGCGTATTTCAGTTTTTTCGAATAGAACACCTGTTCTAGGTGCAAAAACAGAAACACGTACTAGATCTAGATTTTGGCTCTGATTATAGGTCGCTAGAAGTCCTCATACTCTATGTACGATCATTAAGTGCGCCCCTCGTATTAATAAGCTGTGGAGCTTAATATTAAGTATTCAAGAACGCACTATTTAGTAGTTCGTAACTGGCGAGTAAGTGTAAGTCTAAGTACTTACATGAGTGACCACCTTGACCTTATTAAATCAGCCTGTAGTTGTATTTACTACACCGTGCTTGCTGTCTAATTCGAGAAGCAGAAGAGCGGAAAGAAAGACAAGAAGCAGCAGAGCGATTGGAAAGACTCGAGGCAGAGAGGCTAGCACTCGAGAGGGAACGTAAAGAGCAAGCACAACTTCAACTTCTTACGTCGTTGGCACATATTTTTAGCTTTGTCGTTTTCAGCCACCTGAGACCGACGAGTAGAAGGGCCTTGCAGGTGCTCTTTCTACTCGTTCGAAGACTCTAGTAAAAAGAGAAAGAGTAACTACTTACCCTTTTTCATCTTTGAAGGGAGCAAGAGAGCAGTAGACAAGATGTAGCAAAATGGAAACCGAGAACTGGAAAGGAGTAGCAGTAGACGTCTTTTCCTCAGTGAGTTGTAAAGATAGGTGTCGTCTGTCGTGGTCTTCTTCTTACAGTATAGAAGGAAAGAGGACTTGTTTGATGATCCTGGTGTATCGCTCTAAACCAGAACAGCCATTAGGTCAGCCGGACGTGAATGTGAACATCGATTGGTCAACATTCAAAGGCACGAAAGTTAAGACGTGGTTCTACTTGAAGATTGTTACGTTTTTTTTTACCCTGTCGTACGTAGTCGTGCTGGTCCGTCCTAGTCCTTGATGTACTGCTGGGATATTAAATATATCCGCTCGCTTCTTGCGAACTCACAAAAGAAGACTCCTGAGATGATGAAATAATAACCAAAGACAGAGGAGAATGAACGACGATTAAGCCCCCTCAATTTCTCTAAGTTTCGCGACGATTGGTGGAACCAGGATGGAGGGAAGGGAGGCGAGTGGGGCAAGGGAGATCTTAAGGCTTGTTCTTGTTGTGCTTCCATCATTATTTATTGTTCATGGTGCCTATGTTGTTGTTGATGGTCCCTATGTTGTTGTTGATCTTCTGATAGTAGATTCATTGATGGGATGCAATGGTCGTAATCTACCTCTAGATGTTGTTTAGCTCTAGTACGTGCTTTTGCTTTTGCACTGGTCTGCTCTCCGCTTCAAAGCTTATAATGTTCGTTGCATCTTCATCTTCTTAGTCACTTTCACTGCATGTGCATCGTCGATCTACTTTGAAAAACTTAACGAAGAGCATGGGAAATAAACTAAATGTTAAAGTTATTTGACTGGTGACATTGTCATTGGCTCCCTATGTATGATATAGATACTCTTCGACTGCAAGGACTTCGAGTAAGGTCAAGCAGTCCATGAGGTATCTAGCTCTAGGATAACTTCAAGGACCTCCAGTAAGAGGAAGCAGTTGATGAGAGATGAATGAGACCAGTCTAATGATACAGGTCAGTGGGGAGGGCAAGAAGGGCAGTGGGGCCGAGATGGCGCGTGGGGCCAAGATGGCGAGTGGGGCCAAGAATGGGATGGAGTGTGGGGTCAGGAAGCTAAAGGTTAAGACGAACTGGAAGACTTGTAGATCTTGTTGTTACACTGATAGTGCTCGAGTTGTACTTAAAATGAATACAATTCAGACCGAAGATGTATAGACGCCAATTCAGACCGAAGATGTATAGATGTAGTTAGAATAACAGCATACTTTTCGTGGAAGTATGTACTTCTAACATAAAGACGACCAGCAGTGGTGGGGAAAAGGCGGAGAAGGGGATTGGGGTAAAGGCAACTGGGATCCGAACATTCATATTCATCTACCATTAAGGCAGCTGCAAAGAGTAAAGACGTGGCAATTTTTAATAGTACACTAATCTGTGATGTGGGTGTTGAGAAATTTGCTTGTTTTTTGAAACAACATAAAAGTGCACACTTGAAGATGTTTAGTTGTAGTCTTCCCACGACAGTGAGTAAATTGTTGAGCATTTTATTCCCCATCCCCAGCAGTGTCACTGACAGCACTTTCGGACCCTCCCCACCCTGCTGAGCCAGCACTAAGACCGGAGCAACAACAACAAGTACAGCCGCAGGGTGAGCCTATAGAAAAGAAAAAGAAAGAGAAAAAGCCGAAGAAGGAAAAAAAGCCAAAAGCTTACGGCCTCTACTACTGGTGCTTGCGTATGCGTACAGTACGGGTTTTTCTACAACATATAATTTGTTGCACGAAAGATCATGAACATGATGAAGATGCATGATTCTTCTTGACGGTTAAAAACAAGACTAACAGAAGAATTACCAGGTCTTACACTAGTTACGTATGAAAATTACTTGTACAACATGATCGACTGACCATTTCTTGGCTAAAAACAATAGTGTTAGATTCCAACTAGGTCTCATACGCATGCGGAGTAGGAGAACTCTCTAAGTAAGGCCCAGGGGGAAGAAAAAAAGCAGACAGATCCAAGTTGTGCTTCCACCCGGCTATGGAAAACTGGTACTTTAACTCTTTTTTTTACATCCGTACGCGTTAGCGTTTCTTCGTTTTTTCTACTCGCTGAACACTACTTTTGTCCGGATGATGCTTCGTCTTACTCACACTACCAGTTGTAGTACCACAGGATTAAATGTCGAAGAAAATACACAAGAACCCCGTTAGTCTTATTCAGGACGTTGAAGAAGATTACTCTTACTCACAACAGGATGATGACGAGGGTACTAGGAAACGGAGTCAGTCTGCCAAATCCGCTAAGGAGAAGGTGAAGAAAGAGCCGAAACGGTCGGTCAGCGTTACTACAAAGAAGACGAGGAGAGTTATACCGAAAGTTATGAAGAAGAAGAGAGCACACTCACAGTACTATTAGAATTTGACACACAGTTCTTGCAACTCCCTGTTTTCCCCCGCCATTAGGCTAAGAAGTACTAAATGGGAACGCATCCTCGTATTTTATTTGAGTTAGAATTTTTAGAAGGAACGCGTTCCTTTTAGAGCATTATAAGTAGTTATGATTTTTATTGTTTGATTACGGATGCGCCATTCACTTTGTAAGTAGTAGCTATTCTGACTTTTACTGTGTATGTTGTCGATAGGCTCCCGAGTGAAGATTCTCTTGCCTCGCTGCTGTTTGATCTGGTGTTTCTCGTGGTTTTGTAATCTCGGTCATCCTTCTTGTATCTGTATTTTGCTCTGGTCTTTTCGTTTTATTTATTCGTGGTGTTCCCTATTTAAGTAGCTGAGATAATTGTTTGATTTCTCTGCTATAAGACTGGAGATTTTTTCACACGACAAGCTTGGGATGTCACTGCGGGTGAGCTAGCACCCCTGAGCCGCAGTGGCTCACCGTGCCCTTGCGTGTGCGAGCACTCACTTTCCGTTGGTTCTTCGTTTAGCCTTTTCTCTTTCCTTCTTGCCTACTTGCGTTTCTTTGCGTTTTCCCGTCAGTGAGAAATCTCCTTACTAGCTATCTTAACTTTCTTAAGTTAGGTTTATACCCCACCCTCCCCGTCCTTGGTCGCTGACCTTTGGATTTCCTTTTTAGTTGATCTTATTATTCTTCATGAAGGCTATTATACGTTCCATTTCCTTCCTCTATTCCACACAAGCACAAGATAATATCACAGGATTCTTCTGAAGATCAACTTCTACTAAAAGGGTATCAACAGATCTTCTGTGTGATAAAAATAAGTGATTGAAAGCGGGAGTTCCTCGTTCTTGTCAGAGTTTACGAATTGGGAACGTGAGCCTTCGTGCTTTTGATTTTCCCACCCTCCCTTCCCTTGTCTGCATAGAATGTAAAGTGGCTCGGGGGCTTAGATCTAGTGTAAAGCATATATTAGATGGCCATCTTATGACGGCCTCTGAGCCATTCCGACTGAGTGAGCGGATTTTTATGACAAACGCAAGATGAAGATGAACCGCTCTGACGGTACAGGTCACCCTGTGGGCGCCGGCGAGTTGATTCCTATCCCAACCTAGTGTCCTATCCTATCCTATCCTATCCTGGGATAGTTCTAAAACCTGCGACAAAAGTAGCAAGAGAGGACGCAGCGCCAGTAAGGGTGACGCGAGTAGTCGCAGCGTTTCCGGAAAATCAGCTGGAAGCAACAAAAGCGGTATGGCTCCTCCTTATAGTCACAGTCTCATGGTCACCTCAAGTAAGTATGATTGTAGTTGTAACCATTCCTGTTCTAAGATCCGAGGAGGTTTTGGCAAATCGTTTGCGTTTGCGAAACAGAGTGGTGCTCTTGGAGCTGGTGGTGGCTTCGGTTTTGGTGGTTCCAAGAAGCCTGGCTTTGGAAGAGGGGCAAAAGCTTATGAGGGGGGAAGCGGTTGTCTTGTCTTCTTGTATTCTGTACTACGAGTATGAGTACCACTATATGAATATTATTATTTCTTCTCTACATCTTATATTCTACTTGTATTTCTTATATTCTGTGCTGGAACTGTTTTGTCCTACCATTAAGCTAGTAGCACCAAATGTTGGGACACCATGATGATGACGAGGTTGAGTACCACGACTATAGGACTGGTTCCGGTATTTAGTAACCTGAATTTGATCACACTGATTGTGATTCTCTTCTCGTTTTCCCTTATGATCCAAATCAGGCTATACCAAATACCGGAGCCGTTCTTCACTATAATTATAGATGGCTCATATGATCATGTTGAACCGTGACAGGGACACAATAAGCATGACGATGACGTGGGGTTGTAATGAATTACTCGAAAACTGAAAATAACCGAGTAAGTGACTGAAATAAGGGAGGTAAGTAGGTTTGACAGGGCTACTCTTCCTTATTCAGGCTCAACTGTGCTTATTTCAAGTAGTTACTCGGTTATTTCAGTTTTTCGAATAGAGTCTCATCATCTACTAGGAGGCCTACTAGGCATGGACCACTTGGATCATGATATTGATCTTCGAAAAAGAACGACAACCTGCCATCGTTCGGACTACTGCCAGAGTAACTACTCGAAAACTGAAAATAACCGAGTTACTGACTGAAATAAGGGAGGTAGCTTTGACAGGGCTACTCTTCCTTCTCATCAGTATCTCGCTTATTTTCAGTAGTTACTCGCTTATTTCAGTTTTTCGAATACCTAAAATATTAAGGGAGCCAGTACTGAAAGAAGAGGCATGTAGTCACACTCAGTTAAAAATGACGTCAAAAATATTCTTCGAGAAAGAATTATTCTAAGAATCTTCGAAAGAGGAGGACGATGTGCCGCCATCGTTCGGACGCTGATGAAAATTCGAGACCACAAGAGGAAGGGAACAAAGATGTCAGCAACAATCTATCACAAGAACAAGAAGAATTAGAATAGTGTAGTTTTCAATAAACATTTCAGTAAGAAGATTATGGTCAAATTCGTTTTCCGATATTTATCAGGACTAGATCAAGAACAATGAGAAAGAAGATTTCAATACACGAGGACCAAATGGACAAGAATTTCGCACTATTTAGTATCTATACAGAAGTTTATTTCCATTTGCAGTCTCAGTAGCAGATCAGAAGCTGCATAAGCAGTCGTAGGAGGTAAAAAGTACTTTTAATATTCAGTCACATTTACAACGACACGAACAACAACAATGAGGAACTACTTTGTGAAACCTGAAGATAAGGAAATTTAGAGTGACCAGCATAGCGACGTTCGCGTGTGATTATATTAGTACTACCAGGTAGTGTAGTAGTTTCGATGTGCATCACCATCAGTCATAAAATGAATTGTAATCGTTCGAAGAAAATGCGGTAAGGCTAACCTTGTCAACTGAACCCCTGACGACCCTTCTATTAACCACTATATTGAACCCCTGACCCACATCCACCTTCTATCTATCAAGGATATGAGGTGGAAGAAATGGTAGGACTTCTATTTATATATTATAGAGACAACCCGTGGTGAGGACGAGGACGACTAAGGTATTTGAAATTAAATTAGATTTTCTATTTCTCAAGGTTAAGGTAGTAGTTCACCTTCAACACACAGATTATGCAGAAGCAGTCATCAACACGATTTGATTGAGTCATAAAATGGTAATGCAACAACATGTCATACCAAAAAATGTTGAGAACCAACCACAGAAATGTTGAGTCATTTGAAAAGTTTGTACATTTGTAAACAACTTTACGGAGAATGCATTAGAAGATAAATCGAAAGCTCCTCTGCACTCAAGGACTAGGCTTTAAAGGGGTGCGAAGAGGATTGAGAGAAGTAGCGCAACGAAGATGTTACTATCTACAGAGAAGTAGCGCAACGAAGAAGTTACTATCTACTTTTGGTTCTTGGCAATGAGATCATGCTTTCGCTCAAGAGAGAGAAGTAGCGCCACGAACTCAAGAGGCGAGTGGGATACTGTATTAACGGAGAAGAACATTCTGCTACTCGACAACACTCAACAACCTCTAGTACCTCAGCACTGTGTTATTTGTCTCAACAACTCGTCGTTGTGCTACTAACTAGTACAACTACTTCTAGTTCTAGTCAACCCAAGAAAGATATCAAAGATGGACCAACATCAACAAGATCAGCCTCCTGCGAGGCTGCCTAAAATGGAGGACTTTGACGTAGTGAGGCCTTTGGCTTCTGGGAGTTTTGGGCAAATATTCCTCGTCCGAAATGCAGAGCGGCAATTGTCAGTTCTCAAGAAAATCAGTGTGGCGACACTGGATGAGAAGTTATGGCGAAGATGCTTGTAGGGATAGCTTCTAGGTCACTCTGTGGAGTGAACGCAGATCATTATAAGCTTAGCTGAGGCCCCCTCGCCACCGATCTAGCGTATCACGTGTTCGATTCGCAGGGTGTAGAGTTTAGGGTTTTTTAGTGTAAATCAGACAGAGTCCGTCATTGTTGCTATTTATCCGCTGTAAACTTCCTCTAAGTGCCGAACGGCAATCCGTGGAACAGGAAGTTGCGCTACTAGCCGCCGTCCGACATCCAAACATCGTTGCCTATAAGGACAATTTTGTGGACCAGAATCACTTGTGCATCTTGATGGAGTACTGCGATTCGGGAGACTTGTACACGTATTTACAAAAGCGGAAAAATCAACCCATGCAGACTGCGGCAGAGGAGGTGACGATCTTAGAATTAAGGCTAGGTTAAAGGTGTTCTTGTTATACCGTTCGTTTTGCCACCTCTCCTAAGAGGGAAAGGCAGAACGAACGGGGTAAACGAACACCAAATAATACCTACCTCTAATATAATGGTTGATCCAGATCGTGACCGCGGTTCAATTTCTGCACGCTAGGAGCATATTGCATCGAGATTTGAAGAGCCAGAACATTTTCCTGCATACAGGTGTATGAAAGTGGAGACCATCGACTAGGACTACAACACGGATGTATGGCTCTAGTATTTGGTAACCTGAATTCGATCACAAGGATTCCCTTCCTGTTTTCCTCATGATCAAAGTCAGGCTATACCAAATACCAGCACCATGCAAACCCGGACTAATAAGCATTGACATCATGCTACTGCTACTAGGCTCCGCCTGAGTAAGTTGATTATTCAATCAAGCAATAACATACACAGGATACAACTAGCTGTACTTCGGACCAACATCCACAGAGACCCCCTTTGTTCATCCTACCCGGGTCCACCAGCCCAATCGTCTAGCACTTCTAGTGCACATAATTCCAGAGCAGACCACGGAACTTCCGCAAGCACCAGGCTGATCAAGTTGGGCGATTTTGGCATTGCGAAAGTGCTAGACAGTACAGTAGACCTGGCCAAGACTCAGATTGGCACGCCCTTCTACATGTCTCCAGAGGTATTCAAAAACGCGTCTTACAGCTATAAGAGCGACATCTGGGGCATCGGCTGCGTGCTGTACGAACTGGTGAGTGGGAAGTTACGGCTGAATCTGACTTTTGAAGAAGGAAGGTGTATAACTTCTGAGGCCGTTCTTTGAAAAGATGAAGACTCATTTTATTCTCCCTCTGTGGAGAGGCGACTTGTTCTACCTTGCGCACCACAACTGCCGCAAATACAAGTTGCGATTAGGTCTAATCAAGCATGCCTTCGGCGCCCAATCGTTAAATGGACTAGCGGTGAAGGTGCTCCGAGGCAGGTACTAGAATTCCTCTGGGAACAAGACTATAGTTTTTCTCTGTCATCTTTCATAACGCGTGGTCAAACCACACAGCAGGAACAACAGATAGTACACAACAGATACTGTCTCTCGCGGCCTTCCTTGAAAGAAATGTCAAATGCAGTCTAAAGTAGAGTCTTTGTCTTTCATCTCTCAACACACAGGTACACACCTCTCCCGCCTTCCTTGAAATGCAGTAAAGAGGTGCAGAGTTTGATAAAGTCGCTGTTATCTGTGAATCCCCAGCATCGTCCAAGTATATCGGAGATGCTACATCTACCTATCCTCCGGAAACGGATTCGAGGAACTATCAATTATGTAGCACCTGTTTTTGGTTTTGGTGATGGTGAAGATCTTCTTTTTTGATTTTTGATAATAGATGCTTATGCGTTGTTGACTGTTCGGTGTTACAATAGTAAAAGAAGCACCAGACTTTTATCAAAATCAAATTGAAACAAATGGAAGTTCTTGTACTAACTCTACTAACTTGCACAAGTAACCGCAGCCGCATCTTCTGCTCAAGAAAAAGCACAATGCCACGCTATCTATAGCGACCAGCTCTGCGCACTCGGATTAGGCATCCTAGTGGATAGGCCTAAGAACGAGAACATGTCGAAGGCTGTCAAGGAAAATATCGAAAAGGACGCCTCCAACATCCGGGCCAAACTAGAATTACTTCGGGAAGAGCGAGCCAGGCAAGAAGCGACTCTGAAACAACTAGAGGAGACCATGAAACTGCAATCAACTGCTGGGTTCTTGGGAGGAAGACCACTTTTATGTTGGGAATTAAAGGTCTGGTGGATATTGAGATGCTGATGAATCTTCTGAATGTGAATGGTTCCGGTATAATTTGGTATAGCCTGATGAATTTGATCATAAGGGAAAACAAGAAGAGAACCCTTAGGATCAAACTCAGGCTATACCAAATACCAGAACCATACAGAATGAACTTGTCCTCGCTCCTGTGTAGGTCGTATTAACTTGTGTGTAAATTTTTGGACCACGAAGAAGAACAAGAGGACCTTATAACTTGTCCCGACGGAAGCGAGGACGAGGTGCTTTCCTCCGATGAGGAGCTGGAAGATGAGGTGGATTCTGAAGAAGAGGAACTTGAGCTTTTGGCGCCTGCGGCATTGGCCCCGCCACAGTTTCGCACTGACCGCGAACGAGTGCTGTGGGAACGGCAGTTAGGCAAAGAAAATGCTAGATTGCGCTACGAATCGGAAGCTCGCTACATTCAGGCAGCCAATGCCTACGAGGCGGAACAGGCTAAATTACGAGCAGCAAGCGACAAGTGGGGACACAGTGTGCCAGCGTCAACAACTACGCTGGACGAGATGACCTACAACAACCACTTGGACGGCGTTGTGCCTCCGGGAGTCGTCTACCCAGGTGGAGCGGCGCAGCATCATCATCAGATGCCTCCGTACGAGGAGAATAATCAACTGAGTCAACACGGCTATGGAGTAGAGAATCCACCAGCGCAACCTCAACATCAAGCAGCACAACCTCAACAAGAGATACAAGAAGCACTACAAGAACCGAATCACCATTACAGTCGCGATCACAAAACAATGCAACAAAGTCCGCAGCGTGGCATGCAAGGCAGCCCACAACGAGCTCTAGGTGCACAACCAAATAGCGGACCCTCCGACCAGCAACCGCAACAACTTGCGCCGTTACCTCTGGTACTACTCACGACTGACTAGATCATCTTAAATGAAGTAGATTTTTGTGACTTCAATCATCACACTTGATGAGGGTAGTTTTAGTGTTAACCTTATGCTGATTCTGAAAATGTAATAATAAAGTCGTAATGATCCATGATGTCGATGCTCAGGTCCGAAACAAGCCAACAAGTGAGGAGCAGGCTTTGGTTGGAGAGTTTGCCCATATCTCGGACGAAAATTTGCGCAACCCGTTTGGTTCTTGTCGACCCCGCGTGTTGAATTCCCCACCAGCCACGACGAGCCTTGTCGGACCGCTAGGCCTTCCCGGTGCGCCACTTTCGCCACCTTTGTCACCACAATTGTCGCCGAACAATCAAATGCAAGAAATGCTAATGCAACAACAGTCTCCGGTGATCGGTGCTGTGGGTGCGGCTCAGAATCAGATGCTTGTCAATAATAGAAGTGGAGGTGGACAAGAAGAGCTGCAGGATCCTTCCGATGAAGGGACTTATGCTTATCCGAATCTTCAAGTAGACCAAAGTCTTCCTCCGAATGGCTTACTAGATGACACGACACGAACCGCACGTCTAGCTCTAGACGGCACAACCAGAAGCAACGCAACAACGGGCAAGCAAAGTCGAGCGGCGACGGCTAGAAGACGGAGACAGGAGATCAATTCCATCCATTCCCAGATTGAAGCGTGCATGAGTGCGATAAATAAGAGTCAGATGACCATAGACACGCTACAGTTTCGGTTGCAAGATATGCAGCCGGCAGCTAATAGTGGTGGTAGTAGTACAACCACTGGTCAAGGACAAGCAGGTCCACCATCTGGAGGTGCACCTCCAAGTGGGGGCACCAGTGGATCTGCGGGCGCAGGAGCAGGTGGAAATCATCACGCTCGAGTTGGACCCCAAGCTCTAGTTGTACCTTCTAGTACAACACCAGGAGCACCTGCTCCAGGGGCACCATCTTCTGTAGCCAGTTCCTCATGTCCCTCTAGCAATTCGACGCTATCCTCTAGCATGACGAAGAGTAGTGCAGCACCAGTATTACCTCCTGCAGGACCTCCAGCACCGGGACAAGGACCTCCAGTTCCAGCAAGTTATTCCACGCGTCCGCCACAGCTTGGTGGAGCGCCAGGTTCTTCAGTTAAGGCTACGATAAATGCATCTTCCCCACCAGGAGCATCCAGGTGTGTAGTTCTACTGTAGTAGGGGTGTGTAGTTCTGCTGTAGTAGGGGTCCGCAACAAGTCAAAAACTTCACCGTAGAGAGTCCTGTGTTTGTCCTCATTGAGAACTTCTCTTACGTGGAAGAACTGGAGTACGGATTTTACTTCAGTAAAAAGAAACGGCCATCAGGATGCTCGTATTGCAGAAGATGCATTCAAAATTGATGTAGCTCCAACTTAGGAGGCAAGAACATGGCACCGTCAACATCTTTGAATAGCAATGCTTCCTCCGGAACAGGAAGTAAAATCCGTACTCCAGTTGTCGTGTCACCCAGTGTCCGCCACGTTTCGCACGGCGGATACCATAGCAACATGCGCAAAGATCTAAAGTTAAGAGTATTGGCAGTTGTTGACCTAGTTGTATCTAAGCAGGGCTTGACCTAGTTGTCTCTAAGCAGGGCATATCTTGCCCTACGACCTTTTCCTCATAGGAAAGTCATAGACCACATGCGAGCTAGATCGATCAAGGTCAAACTGCTGCAGCCGCTAATTAAAGGCATCGCTAACGCCAGAACTGAACTGGTGCGTACGTGTCAGAGAGACTTGGGGGAACACAGATTCGATGAATTGTTTCAAGCTTTTCAGAAAGGTAGCTTTCTCGCCAAAGCCAATGCTAAAGATAGACGCTTTGCATCCTTGTTCGAGCGAATCCGTCATCTGGATGCACAGGCTACTCAACTGGGAGGAGGGGATGTGTAAGTAGTTCTACTGGTGTAGTAGGGGTGTGTACTAGTTCTTCGATATGGGTGTTCGTTGTGTAGTTCGATAGTTTTTTGTCAAGTCTACTGACTCTGACTTGCAAGTGAAGAAGTAAAAAGTAGCTGTGCAAAAAGTCGCACATATGCACATAGCAAACGTTTGTATAGATCATTACGTGTTTTTTTCTTAAAGTTAGTTTAGCCGCCCTTTTAGTTTTAATCTCTCTGTGTGCTCCATTCTCCCTCAGGAGTAGCGCCAGGTGTATAGATCCGCCCTCGATAGACTGTGTTAAAAATTAAAATTGTTTGATACATACGGCGCAAAAAAGTTTTTCTTCTTGACTTCCTTCTTACGCGAAGATCAACCTCGAATCTTGGTCTCACACTTGGTCTTAAGTCTACAAAGCTGCGTTGTCACAGCATGAACAACATGATGATATGGAACAATAAATTAGTCTTTCGCACTGATGCCCCTTATCTTGTGGCATTGAAAGACATATCCCAACCTATCTGAAGCTGAACTTGCAGATATGGAAAGAGAGTGACAACATGAAGCAATGAAGAGTTCTTGGCACAAGAAAAATCAATTTTTTTGATCTTGAAAATACGGTTTTTAAAGCTATAATCTGGACGAGCGTGCTGGACTGTGGTCCATCCATGTGACCGCAGAGATGATCTTGATTGGAGATGATCATCAGAATATCAGATTATAAAACAAAGAAAACGATCTCGATCTCGATCAGCATGGTCCAAGGCTCTTCTCCAAATTAAGTATTCGTCCACCAGAATGATAATGGATGCTAAAATTGCTATTGGGCAGTCTTGCATCTGTAGAGTTCAATTGGAAGCGATCCACTGACTCTCACCCCGTCATGTCGTCACCTCTCGTCATCTTCGGATTGAAACGTGAAGAAGGAACAAGATTAGAGGGAGCATACACAAGTGTTTGTTCCTGATATTAGACATCTTGTTTTTCGAAAAATATGCAGCTACTGTGATTTATTTGATCGCATTTTTTATTCATCACAGTGATTCAGATTCATATTAAGTTTCATCACATTCTTTTAACTTCAATCCGAAGAAAACATGTCGAAGATTGTCGCAGTTCCAACCGAAGACTCGCATCAGGATGTCTTCCCTGTTGCAAGGGTAAGCAACTGTTATTTTTTTTTTGACAGGGCTAGTAATGAAGCATGCATTTATTATTTTTTGATGAGATGTTCTTGACTCTTCATGATCCTTCTTTCAAGAAACTGACCAGCCTTTAAACTCCCCAACCCCAAAAATCTGAACAAAAAAACAGCAAATCCAGTCTCTCATGAAGGAGGAAAAGCTCAGCGAGGAGAAGATACAAGAGTTTGAGCGAAATTTCGTGGAGCACATCGAGAAAGAGGACTGGTACCAGATCTTCCTCCTCTTCGGAGACAAATGCGATCTCATCGTCAGGCAAGTCGATAAAAAGGGGAAGCCAGCAGCGGACAAGGTCGAGTGCTACTTCGCGACTCTGATATACCTCCTAGATGCTATGGACAGCATCATCAAGTTGGAAGCGGCAGTGACGAAGGTAGTGCTATTCTTGAGTGACTGGTGCTAAAAATCATGTAAGAACCAACAACTTCCTCTTTTGCGAGTTCTTAGAGGACGTTGTACCACTAGAATCGAATTTCTTCACAAAAAAAACACCAATTCCAATAGGTTGTCCAACTCCTCCTTTCTGGAACCGAATACGCGCAATTACGACTGAAGATGTTGAAGACCGCCTACAACTCACTTCCAGTCAGCCCAAAGACTGCGCATCTTTCAAGACAAACCTTTTTTGGGGTGCTCAACTTCGCGGCAGACAACCAGTTGTTTCACGTAAGAGGATTCTTATAAATATACAGTGATTCTTGATTTTCCCATCTTCAGAAAAGTTCTTTGGTGATGGAGATGTCTCGTCAAAGCTTTTGATTTACTAGAATCTCTTACTTTGCTGTAGTTGTTGAACAAGAATGTCTCTTTGCACTTGAATTTCCACAGGAACTCCTCCCTTACTTGAATTTCTTCGAGCAATGGGTCGCCAACTGGGGAGAAGCGGCCAAAGAAACCGATCGCAAGGAGATCTTCCACATCATCGCCACTGCTATTCTTAAGGCTTGTTACGCCGCTAATTGACCCTTCATTGTCCTCCTTGTTACTCTAAATGATGGTCCCCTATTGAACTAGATTGAGGCCCCTTGTTACCCTATTGAACTAGATGGAGGCCGCTATGAACTAAGGCTCCTTCTTACCCTAGAACTAGATGGATGGTCCGCCCCTAATTGTCCCTCAACTTTGTAAAGAAGGTCCGCAAGGGTCCTGCTAACTTGCACTATTGATGGTCCCCTAATTGTTGTCCATCGTCAGAGAAGTCATCTTCCCAGAAGAGAGTCAGTCTGTTTTTCAAGGGGAAAAGAGACCTGGGAAGATGAATCTACTTCTCAAGATAGCTATTGGGTTAAGCTTAAGGATATTAAGGGTATCTATGACTAACATTTTTTTTGTAGAACGAAGTGATCAACAAGGAGATGACAAGGGTTTACTACTTCTATCTACTATGTATTAAGGGATAATATTAAGGGTATATATAAGTAACAAGTTCTATAACAAGCTCTAACACTCCTCAATTGAAGCCAGAAGTGAAATTGACTCTGTCTTCAGATGTCTTGTTTGATGACGAAGAGTTGGCATTTTCCTGGATGAAGAAGTACTTGCTAGAAGAAACAGAGGTGAACGAGCAGAGTCTCAAAGCGGTAAAGACCTTTGTTGCGGATATCTGCAGACTGCCAGGAGTCTATCAGGTACCTACAGCTACTTGTTTTGCTTCCTGTTGATGATGATGATGATGATGATAATGTTGTTGATGATGATCGCATCATGATGGTCGTTTTCGCCTACAATCTAATAATAATTCCATCATTCTTCTTTTTTTGGTGGTACCTTCAAGAATCAGCTTGAGTTTCTTGTCAGCACGACCTACTGGAGGTTCAACATGATTAAAATGATCCCCAAACAAAAAACTATAATACAGGTCGAAGGTCTCCTCACTATCCCTTTCCTTGCGGAAGCAGCGAAGAAGGATGCCTCCATTCCGAAGATGCTTCAGTTATTGCAGCTTTTTGTAAGTGGCACTGTAACAGACCTCGAAAAATTCAAGAGCGCCAATCCAGGATTGCTTGAGAGCCTTGGGGTAGAAATTTTTATAATGAAGATAGTATGGCTCTACTATCATGGTGATGTTACATGATGATCATCTCAAAGAATTTCCAAGAGGTCTACTTCACTTTATATTTTTCTTCCTGACACCTTTCATCTTGGTCTTCTCGGAGATTGATTTCTTCATTCACAATCACAAACTATACCCTCAACACAGGTCGCTTCCTCCGACATCGAGAACAAGTTGAGAGTTCTCTCCCTCTGCTCCCTCTGCGAAGGGCGCTCCACTGTCCCACTCGCTGAGGTCCGCAAAGTCCTCGGTGCCGAAGACGTCGATGACCTCATCATCCAAGCTGGGCATTTTGACGTCCTCAACGCTAGAATAGACGAATTGGACCAGACTTTGCATGTCCAGACCGTGTTGCAGAGGAGTTTCGGTCCTAAGGACTGGGCACACTTGGACACGACTCTGGAAACGTGGATCAACAAGATTGATGCTCTCATCGCGATTAACAACAACGACGTTGGAAGCACGGTGGCGCAGGCGGGAGCGTAAATTAATAGTACTTCCAGAACTACTACGAGGAAACGATTTTGATAAGACGAAGCATGTGAACAAGAAATCACAGGGAGCAGCAAACACATGACACACATGACATCATAGAACTAGTACCGGGAGCACCAGGACAAGGTCTCACTACGAACAACAAACTGTGTGCTGCCATCTTCAGTTTCATGATCATATGTCATGATATCTTCAGTTTCATGACCATATATGGTCGCCCATGCTGCAAATGAACGACAGTAGAAAATTGTTTCATCTTGATGAATGCCATCGCGCCTTCGTCCTCTACCAGAAGTACAACCCAACATGTTGTGACACACACGACATAACAAGCAACATCACGTCCTCGAGCATGATGCTGGAGGATTTTTATGCACCAATATTTAGATTATATCACTGATGAATACTTATGAAGTTGTCATCGCCAAGACCAATATTTATCACAACTCTATTGAAATTGATTCTGATTGCACATTAACTACAACACACCTAAATACTTATTCTAAAAATACCTTATCACGCACACCAATATGTTGCATCGACGGGAAGGGTCGATGTAATCTGAACGAAATGACTGATCTAATCGACAGGAACTGCAGAGAAAGGACCAAATGGCTGCTTATCCTTTTTCTTTGTTTTTCAGATATGTTGCTACAAAAGTTGTAAAAAAATGTTGCTGTTGTAAAAGCTGCAAGAAGATGTCGCACTCGCTGCGGTTGTTCAGACTCGCCGGGCAGAACGTGTCGTAGTCCGAAAAGCCAGCTGCTGCAGTTCTGTCTGTCGTCGTCGTGTTCACCTCTCTAAGAATCAAAGCCTTTGTTCGTGGTCCATCACATCTTTGGATGAAAATCGTGTGGTCAAAATAATGAATCACAAAGAAAGACGTCTAGAACGCGTGTGAATGAAACAAGATCTGTCTGAGAAAGAAATCTGGTAATGAAAGAGAGGCTGGATCATAGAGATAGGCTGAGGACTGATTATGATACATCTAAGCGTGGTGCTATCGTAAAGGTAAAGCATCAACGCAACAAAGTCAAGCTTTCTGATTTCTCAAAAATATGCAGCTGCGCCATTTTCTCGCTTTACAATTGCGGTTGTTATATTATAAGGTCGATGCCCACGACTGTCAGCAATATTGATCACCCGCATGTTTTTCTCTAGTTCGCCCACGCCCTCATTTTGATCCTATACACTTCTATGTGTAAATAAATTATAGTAGACTTATATAATTATGGAATAAAAAGATTAAGACTCATCTAGAAGTACCTCAACCTGCACTCTAGTTATAATGAAAAACACGGAGAAAGAGTTCTAGTTTTCCATGATCATGAATTATCATAGTTGATAAAACTACGTTTCATCTTGCACTTCTTGATTTTTTGCTTTTTTGCTCAGTATCCACAGGCGCAATCTTCATCTTCTAGTTCTAGTAGTGTAACATACTTATTAATTCTGTAGTTGATGATCTAGAATACTCAGAATGGACGAATAACACGAACCTCTACCGCCCAGTGGTGGTCTTCCTGCGACTTCGTTGAAAAGAAACTCGAATAAAGCGACCGCCAAGATGGTGATGGAGAAGGAAACGACAGCAGTGGGGGACTCTGCGGACCAAAAGCGCAGTACTACTGCTAAAGGTGTACGCGAGCCGCCATCGGAAGTTATGAAAAACGAAGATTCGATCACGATAACCAGTATCATTTTTCTAGTACGAGTTCTAGTACATCACTTTCCAGGACATCATAGGTCATCCTAGCTGCACTTCTGGAGAAAGTGCACTGGAACTAGTATCATTGTTCTAAATCCTCCTCCTAGCTGCACTTTTATCTCTCTAATGTTAATTCAACCTCTACTACTCTAGTGTTATTAATTTCAACAACCTCCTCTAATCCGGAACACGAACAAGAATGGATACGATTACACACGACCTTGTTGAAGATCATTCAAAGAACGGATTGCGGCGTGATCATCTTTGCGCAGGTTAGGCCATTGCTGGAACAAGAATGGGCGGTACCTACTTCGGGAACCTTTGACTTGAGGAAAGCGACATGGGGATACGATTATGGCTTCCTTGGTTGGTGTCATCTATAGTATAAACATGTTGATTTAAATGTTCTAAGATGAAGATGAATCTTAAAATGATGCTGATAACGAAGACGTTCTTTGTTCACATGTTTACATGTTCACATGTCTTTTGTTTCGGACATTCGTGGTTTTGTAGTTCTGGGTTTATTTGATGAGGACTTCGAATTTCATTTTTTATACCACGCGGCAACCTTTTTCAACCTCTAATACATATACACAAAGTTTCGGCATCTAGTATCAGATGTGCTCCAGTGGTTGGCAACGAACGATGAAAGCGCGGCCATGCGTCTGGAGAAACTCAAATTCTCTGCTGACCAGTTCGCTGATCCTGATCTATGCCTAGTCCTCGTCGACATGTACGAGAAAAATAAGGACAAGCTCGTCCCGATCCCGAAGAACAAGGCTGCAGCTATACCAAGAAGAGCAGGAAAACAAGAAGGCGAAGAGGCTCCACCCAGCAGTCACACAGAGCACCGAATACTGGAACAAGCTGTCCCTTCGGCCACGTCAAATAAAAGTAAAGATTCCACTTCTGCGACAACTTCTTCCAAGAAGAAAGCAGAGAAACAAATAAAGGTAAAGGATGGGACGGCGAAGAACAATAAAGGTACAACATCTCAAGAAGAAGATCGCCAACGGTTGATGGCAACCAGAGGTACAACATCTTCGACGTCTTCGTCGACGCACCATCAGAGAAATTCAAATGCGTCTAAGAAAGGTTCTGGTAAAGGCGGTAAGGGTAAGAACAGCAACAATGTCAACGAGCAGAGGAGTACTACGGTTGCCTCCAGCACGACTCTGAAGAAAGGTTACAACCATGGCGAACGGGGTTCTTGGTTTCCTCCGAAAGTGAGGCATCAACAACGCTACACTTACCAGTCACCTTCAACTTTTGCTGGGTACTACACCTACCATGATGTTGGGGACAATGGTGCAGTTGATCAGCATCTAGTAAGTAATGGAAATGGCGCTCTTCTTGGCGAGGAACCCCAACATCTTTCGCATTCATCTCTGTTCGCGGCCGATATCAAGAACAGGACCGCTGCAGCTACGTCTGCGTCCTATCTCGACCACACGGCATTGAAAAGCGCTTACGATCATGATTATCAACGTAGTTCATCTACTCTATTTCAACATCCGTCAGCACATAATTATGCGATCAGCACGACAGAGGATCACAGTCCTTACATTGGCGGCTACCACGTGATAGACCCTCAAACGGCAGAGTATCACTCAGTTTTTCTTGATGCCAATGGAGGAGAGCATATCGTGTACCCGCCAGCAGCGGGAGCAATTTTCTATCCGCCCCCGTATCTCTTTGACGGTGCAGCTGGACTGCAACTACATGGCAGTGGACTACATGGAGGTGCTGGTGGGTTACTACACTCAGCCACATCACTGCAACATACATCACTGCAACATGATTCCGAAGAGGCACATCATGAGGACCACTTGATGAACTTGTTTCCTTTCAGCAGTAGTTCGATGCTGATGAATCCGAGTCTCTTATTCCCACCTACAACATCGACGTCAAGCTCCTCGATCAAGGTGAAGGTAGACTCCGTCGGAGTAGTAGCTGCAATTGGCGAACGTGAAGAAGGAGGTGTCGTGTCCTCAGCACTGGGCGAACGTGAAGAAGGAGGTGTCGCGTCTTCAACATCTTCAACACCTGCACCGGGAATCGCGGGAGATCCAGCTGATGGAGGTGGCAGAGCTTATATCGTTGGAGAAACAGAACAAGCCCAAGCTGGTCGGGGAGCCTCGACTTCTTCCTCGGACTCAAAGAGCAAGGCCAAGGGCGGCGGCAAGAAGCGCCAGAACAAGAAAAAGAAAACCACTGGAGCCGGAGGTGAAGAAGAGCAGGGGAAGAAAACCTCCACCACAGCGTCACCCACGGACCCAAAAGAGGAGATGAACGATAGAAAAAAGTCGCCAAACCCAGGAGCAGCTGTAGCTCCTGAAGACGGATCCTTGCATCTGCAGACACAGAAAGAGAAAGTCGATCTTCTTCATACATCAGAGAATGCTGAAGGTATTAAACTGGAGCCACAACTTCTAAACGATTTAGATTTACCAACATCCGAGGAACTAATCGTCTCTCTAGAGGACTCTCTAGAAGAGGAAGCATCAGAAGAGAAGGTTCTTTCTGGATCTGGGGTCCTCGTAGGGGCTACAACTAGTAGTACTAGTACGAAAATGATAACAGGATCCTCTTCTGGATCGTCTTCTGCCACTGCCAGTTGTAATCTTCAGCATCCAAGCAAGAGCAGGAGAGTGGACGAGCAAGAGCATCAACTTCAGCGTCTGATCGAAGAGCTAGACCAGAGCAAAGCGGCGCAAAGCCATGCCTGTTTCGAACGGGACCAGCTACGAAATGAGAACGTGGCACTGCGGGATGCGAATTTCAGCCTAATGAATTCGATGCGCAAGATCAAGATCGAGAACGTGGAGTTGAAAAAACGAATTTCCGAGTTCAATGCCAAAGCGCATGAAACCTATCTGAAATCGCTATCAGACGCTAATTGGTGGAACTCTCAGGTTGTCAGAACTTCTGCTGGTGGACATCATCCTAGGACTAGTGCCGCATCAGCGTCAGTGGTGGTAGATCTAGCCGCTCCTCCAATACCTTCGACCGCGCCTTTGCCTCCTGGAGCACTGCCGGAGGTAGCGGAACCTCCTTACAACACCGGAACTTCTAGTGGCATAGCTACGGGCACCATCATGACGGCGTCTACTCCCGGAGGAGCTGGAGGTGACGCGTCGACTTCATCTTGTTTATTGCCAGGTTCGCTACCTACTTCATCCTCGATTCTGAATATGAGCATGTCCACTGGCAAGACGAGTTCAACACCCGGTCCTCTCGGAGGTGGTACAACTTCTACTTGTCCAAGCACGACACAACTCAACATAGCTGGCGTTGTAGAACCCGGCATCGTGCAGCATCGTGCGGCACTGCTGCAGCGGGGATCGGGTTTTGCTGCCACTACGCCACCGACCATGCTAGAGCAGGTGCAGCCGACAGGACATCCGCCACTGCAATTGCCCTCGACACGCATAAAACAAGAGATGCTCTCGACGTATCAACTGCCTCTTGTTTCCCCAGGAGGCAATGAGCAGGTTGGTGGTACAACTACAACAAGCGCTATAGTTGGTGCCACAACTACAAGCGCTAGTAATATATTCGCGAGCAGCTACAACTCTGGAACGGCAGGAGCACCTGGAGCAGGATGTTCTCCCGGGACTGCACATGGCGCGTCTTCTTCATCCACTTCTAGTAGCTCCAGTTCCTCGACAACAACAGTTGTTGTGAAGACCAACAACAATCTTCTGAATGGAATAGATTTGAATGGAGCTAGTGGATGTGGACCCCATCATGGGCAACTACAACTTAATAATAGTACAGCTGGTGGTGCCACTTCCTCCTCCAGTACTACAGCTCCTTCTACCACTGTAACAACTACAGGCGGGGGGCTTGTGAGTCAGACTATCCAGCACCAAGTCCAACAGCAACCGACTTCGCCTAGTCCTCTCGTCGTCGGTGGCTCTTTACTACGAGGCCCTGTCCAACATCCTGGAGGGGAGCAGCAGTTATCCATGCATTCCTTCGATTTTCTGTCAGCGCAAACCAGTGGAGCATCAACGTCCACAACGTTCTTGAGTGGACAACACACACCCCGTTTCAGCCAACCCAGTCCTGGACCGAAGATTGTGATTCCGTTCTCACGTGATGACCGGGTCTTTATTCCTCAAGGCATTGTTCAACAGAAGAAAGGACAATTCGACTCGACTTGAAGGCATATCGACCACTTGAAGGCGTAATTAGAAATATATAATATTCTTCGCGGCGCTCAAAGCACTAAAATAACACAACCGGTTACTAGTTTTTACCTCTATAGGCTTAGCCCTTCAAACAATATAATACTCTTCAACATATCGGTGTCCATAATATTACAACCTCCCAGCACACGAGTTCACATGTTGATCCCTCCCATACACACCAAAGGCTAGTCGTGTAAGTATTTTTTATCTTCTCATAATCTTCTCGCGCACTTTACGTTTACTTTCTTGAGACCACAACAATCGTATGACAAGAACATCATGATGTTGATAAATATTCAACACTTATTTTTCCCGACATCCACATTGTCGCTTTTCGAAAGAAGACTGACTACATTCCCGCTTTTCGAAAATTTGAAAGTGTTCTACCTTGCACGGGTATAGAAAAAAAGCAATTTTTAGATCCACTTCATCTCCACGCATCTACGAGATCGAGAGATAGAAGTTCTGGATAGTCTGTTTCCCTACTAGAAATACTAGAGGTCCACCGCCACCGCCACGACGACGACCACCACCACCGACACGACAGGTCATGCTAGTTTGTTCTTCCATCCTTTTACTAGTTTGTTCCTCCATCCTTTTACTAGTTTGTTCTTCCATCCTTTTATTCCCCTCTTAATCATGATCCCTTGTTTTCCTCTTGAAGATCGTTATTTTTTCCCCGTGTGAAGATCCGAAGAACTTCTGCGTATTACCGACGTGGTCGACGACAAAGAGGAGATGCCAGAAGGCTGCAGCATTCAATGAGTTCACCACGACAAGAACTCCGATCACGTCTCTCCTTCTACAACACGTATTCGCGCGAGCCTGATCATCTACAACAAGTGCAAGAACACGAGGAAGAAGTCCTCAGGAGTGGCACCACGTGATGACGAAAGTCCTCTACCTTCCTGCGCGGATTAGCACTGACGAGAGACGAGGATCTTAATAAAATAACTTGAAAATAATGAAGCTCTTCCCATTGTGGAACAGGGAGGATAAAAGTCCTGGCGGTGTAGCGAAGTGTTTGTTCTGCTCCATATGGGATAGAAATGCAGGTCTTAGCGACGATTCTTTCGCTTTAGCACAATTTAAGGCTACAAGATGAAATCCATCTACCCCAGCATCGATCCTGGTCCCGTTTTTGAAGGGAACACAAAGGGGGCCCCGGATGCTGCTGAAGATGGATTTCTCTTAGTTCTAAACAATGCAAAATTCTTGTCCTTGTCATCTTCCTCACGTATGTCCTGTTTCAATTGGTAAAGAGAGTATGTGGCTTGGAGTTTGGTAGAGAAGATTATAGATGCAAGACTGGCGACCACGACAAAGACGAAGAAGAAGCGGTAGATGACATTTTTATTCGGCCTCCACGAACTGGAAGAAGAGCAGGAGGAAGGGGAGGTTCAACGAACAGAAACAATAGGTCGAGTCCTCCGACGAACCGAGCTGGCACAACTCGAACAACTGCTGACACGACGACCTTGCCTCCTACTTCATCAACAGCACCAACAGTACCTCCGACTACAGGTGAAGGACCGACAGGTGAAGGACAGGATCCTCAACACGAAGTAGGATGTAGTCCAGATGATGAACCAGAGGGAAGATCTTCATGAGCATATCTATCGGCAAGAATATCATCATCCTCCAAACTATTCAACCTGTAGTTCTTCCATTTCGTCGTGGTCTAGAAGTACAGAGAATGTAGAGGTTACAAGCAGGCTGGAGAATGTACAACTGCATCGAATCTTCGTGTTGCCAATGTGGTGCAAACGCATTCGCATTCTATGCTCAAAGTTAGAGATTATTCCTTATCCTTGTGTTCAACTTTCACTCGTGCAGATTCTATGTATGCAGATGCGACAGCATCAAGTGCCAGCACCTGATCTATTCCAAGTCTATTCTTATCCATGATCAAGCTCTCAGTCTCAAGGATAAGCGTCTACGTCTGCGAAGCAGCACTGAGATAGAGATTGATGAGTAATGTTGACGTTGGCATGCATTGAGTTTTGGGTCGTGTTGCAATTTATAGAAGGACGGAAACATCCTAGTAGACAAACACAAGAGAGGACCACGCATACTCACTCATTTTCTTTCCGATGTTGTGAGTTATACGCATAACAAGAAAGAAAACAGAGGCACCCATTTTGACTTCTCTATCACAAAAGACTCGCTCCACCTGACCTAGTAGTTCTTGAATCATGACCTAGTTGACACACGACCACGGCCACATTCATAGGCATTGTACTAGAGCAAAAGAGAATCAAAAACATGTTAGTTCCCAGAACGCCACCTCGTTCTAGACCGGCTCCGCGTCTACTACGGGATGGAGGAAACGAGAACGCTGGTCATTCTGGTCGCTTCGATCCGCCTAGACTGAAGATGAGGCATAGCAGGGAAGATAGAAACTTGAGGAGTCCTCGTCAATCGCGAGATGACAGCTTGAGGAGTCCTCGTCAGTCGGATTCTCTGATGTTGGACATGAACAATATCATGAGGATGCATCGAGGAGATGATATTAGCATTTTAAGGAGTGGCGGTCCACGAGAGCGATATGAAGGACGAGGAGAAACATCAACACGAACAAAGGACCCTACTGGGAAAAATGATATTGGAAACAAGAAATTAGTTTTGATCAGAGAATCTTCTAGCTCATCCAGAGGCAACTCGTATATTAGAAGTCATGGTCAGGCTCTGCAGGGTTCTCGCCCTGCTGCGGAATACCTCCAAAATAGAGAACTTCACATGATTGTAGACCCGCTATGTCGACGAGGAGCACCAGGAGAACAAAGAACCACTCGACTGAAGCAGCCGGCCATTTTTCCACGTAGGAGTATGATGAGTGCAACGAGCGCAAGAAGCGGCCCGATGGCTGGTCCTGGGAGGTCTCAAGACGAAGTCGTACTAATGTCAACAGGGTCCACTAGAAAGCTAAGTGGAGGCTGTGTTGGTAGCAAAGCCAAGATGAAGATGAAGCTTCAACCTCCTCCACTTTCGCTTTCACCGACTTACAGAGATCACGTTGACGTTGACGTTCTGGGAGACGAGCATGAAGAAGCTGTGGATTTGGCACACGACGACGACCATAGTCGACTACGACTTCTACATCAACACAGTGGTCAGAACGATCAAGAACATGAGGTGGACTGCTGCTGGAAATTTTCATCATCCACGACGCATGCTCAAAGTAGTTGTGCTGGTGCACCTAGAAGTGCTGGAACGATCTCGTCTCGTTTGACGAGTCCTCAACCGAGTACCACTGCGATGCTAGTAAACAGTAGAGACAAGAGGCTTTTAGAAGAGAACAATTGTCGAGGTCGAGAACGGGATTTGCCTTCCTCTTCATCTACAAGAACTGCGAGGCGATGCAGATCTTCATACCAACAACAACATCCATACCAACAACAACATCCATACCAACAACAACAACAACATCTCCTTCACAAAAACAATATAAGAATATCAACAAGTAAAACTACAGCCACAAGAACACCAGCAGTTGGAGAATCATGTTCGAGAAGAACTTCCCCTTCTGCTAGTCGTATGCTGGCGAGTACGCCGTATCGCTCGGTAGAGCCGAGTCTATGCGAAACGATCGACTTTGGAGATCACTCCCTCAAACAGTTTGAAGAGGGAGACGACAATTATGTCGAAAATCTCCATCTTTTTGGACAAGAACAGCAGCAACAGTTTATTCACTTTCAACAGGATGAAGTACCTGGACATGGTTTTGCTCCTAATCATCTGGTCCACTTGGAGGGCGAAGGAGTAAACTCGCGGAAAAAGGAACACCACCAGAGACGCGAAGATCATCATGGCCAAGAACCACAGGAGGGCGAAGATTTTGATTTTGGTGGTAGTTCCGCTATCATCGTAGAAGTACCTCCCGGACAGGACGAGCTCGAGCACCATACTTCGCATACTTCGGAAGACAATCTTCGTAATCATCTCACATTCGCAGACCAGACAGAAATCGCTTCTCCTTCTTCCTGTGGGTCACACTTAACCTTGACCCTAGCTGGCATTCTGGCAGCAAGGGGCGCCTCCCCACGTCAGGATTTTGACTTTCTGCCTTCAAGAAGAGAAATCCATCATATAAAAAACGACGTAGACCCTGCTGTTGTTCTTGAGGGTACTTCTAGTTCTAGATTCCCGGACGACCACACCAAGAAGAGTAGCACCAACATGCCTCCGACTTTATTTGAATTAAGGCTGTAGTACTTAATACATCTTTGGACGCATCCTTGAAACGTATGGAAGTAGAGTATCCACCTAAGGGAATAATACTCTCCCCCATAGTACTTATTTTCAAGGATCATGCACTTGCAAGATGAATTCCGGACAGCTCTAATTGAAGATACTGCACCATTGGATAGACCAGACACGGACCAGCAGACCACGAAGCCGCTGCCGGACCTCCCACCTTTGGTACTCCCGACTCCACGAGTTGAGCGACCGGATGCGGATGCTACCTCATCTTGTACTTCATCTAAAAATATTAAAGTAGATGACCTGGTGCTCTTCAAAAATTACGCCCTCGACGTCTCCTGTGGTCCAGAACAACAAGCACAACTTCATCAACTACAGGATAGAAACGACCACAACGCACTAACTCAAACTGCTCAGCGTGGTCATCATCTAGTAGACGCTAGGGGAAGTATTAGGGGAAGCAAAACTCTGCCGCGTGGTCATCATCTTCTAGACATCACTAGGGGAAGTAGGGGAAGCACTAGACAGCCACTAACTCAGGTTCTACAGACTGCCAATAATGTGCGTCTCCTTTGCGATGAGGCTGAATCCTTTGCGATGAGCTCGTCTTCTGAATTGGAGAATTTAGGGCCCTCAAAAAGTGAGCTTGTACTTGTAGACCACGTGGAATTTTTGGAGAATTTAGGGCCCTCAAAAAGCGAGCTTGTACTTGTAGACCACGTGGAATTTTTGGAGAATTTAGGGCCCTCAAAAAGTGAGCTTGTACTTGTAGTTCCACCTCTGAGGAGGAATGAAAAAGGAGAAGGAGACCTTGCCTTTACCTCTGCTGCATTGATGACTGCTTTGACTTCAAAGAGAACGACGAAGATTTTCTGTGCAGACGAAGAGGGAGAGACGACTCCTGTTTCTGTTAGTTTACAACAGCTTCAACTCCAAGATCGCGAGATCGAATGTAGTGAAACTATCTTCGACGACCTGAAGGGACTTCGTGAAGATGAGAAAAAAGGCGATACACTATTTGATCCTGCAAGTGAAGAAGACGGTGAAGACGAAGTTGAGCCGCTGCACGATCAGGAAACGGAAGTGCGAGAAACAGAAACGAGAGAGATGAATGCTCAGCAGGTGGGCGACGGCCTCATGGCTATGCAGGACAACACGGAGAAGCAACTTGCAGGACAAAACGGAGAAAGAGTAGATGATCGACGAGTAGTGATAGGGAACGTCACTCCTATTTCTGATGATGTCCACAAAGTAGAGCAAGCTGGAGAGGAGCACCTCCAGGAGCAGAAGGAAGAGGATAAGGTGGACCCACTCACGGAGGGAGCTCCTGCAGTTCTTGAGTACAACATAGCAGAGCAGCAGATGATGATGAACGAAACTGATTCAGAAGGAGCATTAGCATCTTTATTAGAAGGTGCCTGTGGTAGCATGACACAAGAAGTACAAGCGGATCATGTTGCAGAGGAACGAATCGCACTTCTACTCAAGGAGCAATTAGCGGGTAGTTCTGCTGGAGATGGAGAAACAAGAAAAACTTGTGAAGAAGAGTTGTCAACTATAAGAACAGCATCTACATCACCAACTGGTCGTACTGGTGGTCTTCTATCGACCATCATCTCCATCATTCTCCTCTTTCTCAAAAGATTCGTTCTTTTCTGTTTCCTCTGTTCGCTTTTCCTGAACCTGTTGCGACATGGTCGCTTGTATGCATTGTCCTTGATGTGGCGTTGTCTTAGCATCGACCATGTGACGATCACCAAGAATGTTTTCCAAGAAGTTTTCTTGTCGTTTGTTTTAGAAGATGGTAGTGACGGGGCTGGGGGTGAAGCAATTATGTTGTGATTCCTGTCAGCATTCGTAGACGGCGGCCATCAGGTCTCTACGGTGATCAAGAATGATCATGACAAAGACACAGGAGACATGACTGAGTCTCCAGAGGGGAGTCTCGAATGTGAAGCACTTATGTTGTGACTCCTGTCTGGAGCAATTATGTTGTGAGTGCGGTGAATTTGAGTCCTGTAGTCTTCACGACCCTAAGCTGTCTCCAGTGTTATGAGCATAGAGACTTTGATTTTTGGATGAACTGGATCTTGCCTACAACTGCCCGAATAGCCCAAGTAGTACACTGGTTGAAGATGAAGTGATTACCCATCATATCGTCCACTGACTCTCTCTGCCTCTCCCACGACTTCATGAAAAAGTATGAATAGACTCACAAAGACAATCTTCATGCAGGGCTTTTCTTCGCAGGCCAGCACTGCTGATTACTCTGACGGACATCCGATATTCATCTGCTTCTTGGCGAGCTCTTCATAGACAGAAGCAGAAGCAGCAGCTGGCTTGTTGTAGGTGTTCTCAAGGCTACTCAAGCCTCGGCGGAGGTTGAAAAAAATCCAATCCTCCTCAGCAAAAAGATTTGTAGATGTCGTGGAACCAAAAGCAGAACGTCTCTCAAATCTAGACTTTGCAGGTTTCACTTTCTTTGTCTAGCACTTCTATGCTGTATTTTGACTACTTCTATGCTGATGTATTTTGAATCTCCAATGTATTTTGATGTCTTAGAAGAAAACCTACATGTGAATGTTTCTCGTAGTACTCTCTTACAAGAGCAACTGACTTCTTTTTCATCGTGAACAGCAAAAGCATATTTTTAAACCAATAGTTGACAACATCTTTTAACCTTATAACGACAGGGATGTGGTGGATGAGACTTATTTATCGAATCACGTTTATCGTCGGAGTGCAGTTCTAGTTCTCTAAGCACGAAATACCTTAACCTCGATCTTTTCGTAGTTCTTTACTTCTACGCACGACTTCTATCATCCAAAAAGACACCACACGAACAGATAGTTTGAGTACTACCTCTACCAGTGAGTACAACATGATTAGTTCTTACTAAGCAGCGTAATATTATCTATCAATCTCTTACTTATGTATTTATTAGTTGAATATTGCTAGCAATCTTCAACACTCGCTCCCTTCCAGTTGTTCTATCATCTTGTACCACTAGCACTTCTACAACATCAGTAGCACATGATCAAGAAAGTCATCAAACTAACATCATCAATCAACTACAACTACTACTTGCAAAGACAAAATGTCCGTCATCCTTGGAGGACGGTGGAAGGAACTGGCGGAGGAGAATGAGCGCCTCAAGGTCCAACTCCAAATTGCAGATGACGCCTTCGAAGCGGAGCAGAGGCGAGTAGTCCATCTCCAAAGAGACAACGATCAACTCCTAGCGCAGCTCCAAGAAGCAAGATGGAGGACGATTTCGGTTGTTATGGTGTTGGTTTCCTCTGAGTTGTTGTTATTGTTTGGGTACTACTAATGAATACGAAACCCCAGTAGATAGGTATAGGTTTTTGTTGGTTTGGTCTGGTTTATGAGAGTACTTAATATGTGTAGCAAGTGCAAGAGTCTTTCTTGGACGATTCGTTCCATTATACTTGTACCATCTTCAGAGAGGATATCTGCTTGCATGCATGCTACAAAAATGATGTTGGTTATTCAAATGGAAAATTTTCTTCAATTTCTAAAAGTTTGGAGCAGTTGAAACTACTTGTTCAACTTCAACCATCAAGATCACAAATAATCTACTCAAAGTCAAAATCTACTCAACATGATCCTGAAGAAAGTAAGAGACACAACTTCTTCCCACGACCTAATCTACTCCACATCCTGAAGACAGAGACACTTCCTACCTTCTAAGTGCGAAAACGACCGCAAAAGTGCGGAAGAAGAGATCGCGCATCGCGATGAGGAATTGGATAAACTGGCTTTAGAATGGGAGAGGCAGTCCATGACAGCGGAAGACCTGGCCACAGAGAACTGTCAATTACGCACGAAAAAAGACCTAGGAAACACGAAACTCTCTGTGATCAAGGAGCAAAGGGATCAATTATCGAAAAAGCTGAAAGTGGCGGAACACAAGGTTTTAAATTATTCATGGATTTGGATAGGTTTTTTGAACTTTTTCAGTTTTGGAATCTTCTTGTTAACCTCATTCGTGGTCTCCTTCTTTTCTCAGATCTGCATGGCCCTCGAGCATCGTCGGGAACGCGAAGCACGTATTTCGAGTCTAGAAGCGGAGACGCGTGCTCAACAAGCTGGCATCCTCAAAAAGGACACGTTGATTCGCAGTCTACAGCGCGAAAAAACGTCGATGTTTCAAGATTTAACCCGCTTGCGCGCCCAAACGCCTACGAACGTGGAACCCTTGCAGAAGGAGAATGCGAAATTGCTGTTATGTGCAAAAGCAACATCAGAGAAAAAAAGCAAATCCTCCTTGTTTCTAAAGATTGAGGAATTATGCTTAGCAAATCCTCCTTGTTTCTAAAGATTGAGGAATTATGCTTAGCAAATCCTCCTTGTTTCTAAAGATTGAGGAATTATGCTTAGCAAATCCTCCTTGTTTCTAACGATTGAGGAATTATGCTTAGCAAATCCTCCTTGTTTCTAACGATTGAGGAATTATGCTTAGCAAATCCTCCTTGTTTCTAAAGATTGAGGAATTATGCTTAGCAAATCCTCCTTGTTTCTAAAGATTGAGGAATTATGCTTAGCAAATCCTCCTTGTTTCTAACGATTGAGGAATTATGCTTAGCAAATCCTCCTTGTTTCTAACGATTGAGGAATTATGCTTAGCAAATCCTCCTTGTTTCTAAAGATTGAGGAATTATGCTTAGCAAATCCTCCTTGTTTCTAAAGATTGAGGAATTATGCTTAGCAAATCCTCCTTGTTTCTAACGATTGAGGAATTATGCTTAGCAAATCCTCCTTGTTTCTAACGATTGAGGAATTATGCTTAGCAAATCCTCCTTGTTTCTAAAGATTGAGGAATTATGCTTAGCAAATCCTCCTTGTTTCTAAAGATTGAGGAATTATGCTTAGCAAATCCTCCTTGTTTCTAACGATTGAGGAATTATGCTTAGCAAATCCTCCTTGTTTCTAACGATTGAGGAATTATGCTTAGCAAATCCTCCTTGTTTCTAAAGATTGAGGAATTATGCTTAGCAAATCCTCCTTGTTTCTAAAGATTGAGGAATTATGCTTAGCAAATCCTCCTTGTTTCTAACGATTGAGGAATTATGCTTAGCAAATCCTCCTTGTTTCTAACGATTGAGGAATTATGCTTAGCAAATCCTCCTTGTTTCTAAAGATTGAGGAATTATGCTTAGCAAATCCTCCTTGTTTCTAAAGATTGAGGAATTATGCTTAGCAAATCCTCCTTGTTTCTAACGATTGAGGAATTATGCTTAGCAAATCCTCCTTGTTTCTAACGATTGAGGAATTATGCTTAGCAAATCCTCCTTGTTTCTAAAGATTGAGGAATTATGCTTAGCAAATCCTCCTTGTTTCTAAAGATTGAGGAATTATGCTTAGCAAATCCTCCTTGTTTCTAACGATTGAGGAATTATGCTTAGCAAATCCTCCTTGTTTCTAACGATTGAGGAATTATGCTTAGCAAATCCTCCTTGTTTCTAAAGATTGAGGAATTATGCTTAGCAAATCCTCCTTGTTTCTAAAGATTGAGGAATTATGCTTAGCAAATCCTCCTTGTTTCTAACGATTGAGGAATTATGCTTAGCAAATCCTCCTTGTTTCTAACGATTGAGGAATTATGCTTAGCAAATCCTCCTTGTTTCTAAAGATTGAGGAATTATGCTTAGCAAATCCTCCTTGTTTCTAAAGATTGAGGAATTATGCTTAGCAAATCCTCCTTGTTTCTAACGATTGAGGAATTATGCTTAGCAAATCCTCCTTGTTTCTAACGATTGAGGAATTATGCTTAGCAAATCCTCCTTGTTTCTAAAGATTGAGGAATTATGCTTAGCAAATCCTCCTTGTTTCTAAAGATTGAGGAATTATGCTTAGCAAATCCTCCTTGTTTCTAACGATTGAGGAATTATGCTTAGCAAATCCTCCTTGTTTCTAACGATTGAGGAATTATGCTTAGCAAATCCTCCTTGTTTCTAAAGATTGAGGAATTATGCTTAGCAAATCCTCCTTGTTTCTAAAGATTGAGGAATTATGCTTAGCAAATCCTCCTTGTTTCTAACGATTGAGGAATTATGCTTAGCAAATCCTCCTTGTTTCTAACGATTGAGGAATTATGCTTAGCAAATCCTCCTTGTTTCTAAAGATTGAGGAATTATGCTTAGCAAATCCTCCTTGTTTCTAAAGATTGAGGAATTATGCTTAGCAAATCCTCCTTGTTTCTAACGATTGAGGAATTATGCTTAGCAAATCCTCCTTGTTTCTAACGATTGAGGAATTATGCTTAGCAAATCCTCCTTGTTTCTAAAGATTGAGGAATTATGCTTAGCAAATCCTCCTTGTTTCTAAAGATTGAGGAATTATGCTTAGCAAATCCTCCTTGTTTCTAACGATTGAGGAATTATGCTTAGCAAATCCTCCTTGTTTCTAACGATTGAGGAATTATGCTTAGCAAATCCTCCTTGTTTCTAAAGATTGAGGAATTATGCTTAGCAAATCCTCCTTGTTTCTAAAGATTGAGGAATTATGCTTAGCAAATCCTCCTTGTTTCTAACGATTGAGGAATTATGCTTAGCAAATCCTCCTTGTTTCTAACGATTGAGGAATTATGCTTAGCAAATCCTCCTTGTTTCTAAAGATTGAGGAATTATGCTTAGCAAATCCTCCTTGTTTCTAAAGATTGAGGAATTATGCTTAGCAAATCCTCCTTGTTTCTAACGATTGAGGAATTATGCTTAGCAAATCCTCCTTGTTTCTAACGATTGAGGAATTATGCTTAGCAAATCCTCCTTGTTTCTAAAGATTGAGGAATTATGCTTAGCAAATCCTCCTTGTTTCTAAAGATTGAGGAATTATGCTTAGCAAATCCTCCTTGTTTCTAACGATTGAGGAATTATGCTTAGCAAATCCTCCTTGTTTCTAACGATTGAGGAATTATGCTTAGCAAATCCTCCTTGTTTCTAAAGATTGAGGAATTATGCTTAGCAAATCCTCCTTGTTTCTAAAGATTGAGGAATTATGCTTAGCAAATCCTCCTTGTTTCTAACGATTGAGGAATTATGCTTAGCAAATCCTCCTTGTTTCTAACGATTGAGGAATTATGCTTAGCAAATCCTCCTTGTTTCTAAAGATTGAGGAATTATGCTTAGCAAATCCTCCTTGTTTCTAAAGATTGAGGAATTATGCTTAGCAAATCCTCCTTGTTTCTAACGATTGAGGAATTATGCTTAGCAAATCCTCCTTGTTTCTAACGATTGAGGAATTATGCTTAGCAAATCCTCCTTGTTTCTAAAGATTGAGGAATTATGCTTAGCAAATCCTCCTTGTTTCTAAAGATTGAGGAATTATGCTTAGCAAATCCTCCTTGTTTCTAACGATTGAGGAATTATGCTTAGCAAATCCTCCTTGTTTCTAACGATTGAGGAATTATGCTTAGCAAATCCTCCTTGTTTCTAAAGATTGAGGAATTATGCTTAGCAAATCCTCCTTGTTTCTAAAGATTGAGGAATTATGCTTAGCAAATCCTCCTTGTTTCTAACGATTGAGGAATTATGCTTAGCAAATCCTCCTTGTTTCTAACGATTGAGGAATTATGCTTAGCAAATCCTCCTTGTTTCTAAAGATTGAGGAATTATGCTTAGCAAATCCTCCTTGTTTCTAAAGATTGAGGAATTATGCTTAGCAAATCCTCCTTGTTTCTAACGATTGAGGAATTATGCTTAGCAAATCCTCCTTGTTTCTAACGATTGAGGAATTATGCTTAGCAAATCCTCCTTGTTTCTAAAGATTGAGGAATTATGCTTAGCAAATCCTCCTTGTTTCTAAAGATTGAGGAATTATGCTTAGCAAATCCTCCTTGTTTCTAACGATTGAGGAATTATGCTTAGCAAATCCTCCTTGTTTCTAACGATTGAGGAATTATGCTTAGCAAATCCTCCTTGTTTCTAAAGATTGAGGAATTATGCTTAGCAAATCCTCCTTTCCAAAGATGAGGAACACTTTCATCATGTACTTTTTTTGGGTTGTTCCTATGATCATGTGGATTTTTTTGCGTTCCTCACATCACTCAACACATTGTAGCTTCTAAATCTAATGCTACGTGAGCTCCATCAAATCAAGATTGGGCAGATGCGTGCTGCAGCTGCAACGGCTGACGTTTACGGAAATCCGTGGGGACGTGGCACGACAACCACTCCTAATGCTAGTAGTGCTGGAGGTGGAGGTGGTGGTGGATTTATCACTTCTACTAGCAAAACCTCTGCAACTACTAGTACGACTAGTACATCAGCATACGAAAGAGAAGGATCTACTGGTCGTGCACCACGAGATGGCTACGAGCAAAGCAGGGAAGAACCACGAACTTCTACAAGCAAAAGCAAGAGCAAAGCTTTGACTTCTAGCACTGCAGCCTATCATGATCAAGTGGAGCGAGACGACGTACGTGACCAAGAACGTGACCTTGAGCGTGATCATCAACGCGATCACCGAGAACATCGTGAGCATAAAAAGAAAGCCTCTGGTACGAGAACAGTTGTGGTTTACGAGAGGGAAGACCGTTATAAGAAGTCCCCGTACGAACAAAGCCTTCGGAAATCTTCTGTGGTTAAGGCTTTCATTATAGCTCATCCATGATCCATTTGCAGAAGCTAGCTGCATCTTGGCGATGTTATTTTCAAAGGGAAAAGCAAAAAGTAGGTCTCAAGGAGAGTCTTCTTCGATTGGGTACACTGCTAATTAGACATTCTTCTACACCCCAAGATTGGGTACACTACTACTACTACTACTACTGGGGTCCTGTCGATTTCTAAGTCAAGCAAGGGCAACATCACACGTTTAAAACAACAGCAGACTGGAGGATGTGACTATAGTATGGACTATGACGATGAGGAGATGAATCACCTTCCACAGGAGATGAATCACCTTCCACACAGGAACAAGAACGCGTTCATGGAATTAAGGCTCAACACAATTTTCCTTCCCGTTCACTACAACCAAAATCGTTTATTTTTATCTTCCTCTGGTCTGTCTTTTTTCTAGTTAGGTCGGCTCCGCCACAATTATTATATGAAATCTTCTATCGTCCAGATTCCAAGGATCTATCATTTATTCTCTTCGGTTTCCGTCTAACTCTAAGTAAGGATTCGGCGCAGAAATGAAGGAAGAAAGACTTGCAAAAATTTTTTGAGCTCTAATGGAAGAAGACGACATTCACGTCCTGAGGATGACGACGAGGCGAAGTAGAGATGACGACGATCCTCATCTTCAGGATCATGATATGGTTTCTGTTGGTAGGACCACCTATAGTTGTGGGAGGACCTACAGTGCTGCTGGGAATACTATCAGGAGTCATGCAGCTCCTCAGAGAACATCATCAACGGCCGCTTCCAACATGCTCGTACAGCATCTGCGTCATACTCATACGCCACCTACATCATCTCATCCTGCACCACCACCACACGCGCCACCTTCTCCGACAGAGGAGAAAAGCTGCTGGAAGACTTGATCGTCAAAATCAAATGAATAATACGGCAGAGAGGAAAAACCAACATTGTGAATATCAACTGTTAATAAAAACGTGAAGGTCCTACAGCCCTAAGAACACAATTGCTGCGAACGTCATAATGAAGGAAATTAAGTCGTACTACCTGATCTACCCAAGTGAACTTAGAGCAGTACGAAGACAGACTAGTAGAAGCATTCCTCGTGATGTTCTCCATTGGGGTTGTGAAATACCAGGACACCTTGTGATGTTTTTCCTCACGCTGTTCCAGAAAGATTTACCTTCTCTGATGAAAAAAAATTGCTTTGCTCTAAGAAATACACTGATTCTCCTTGCTGGACACATGAGTGCTGGTAGCAAGCAGAGAAAAAATCTTTCAAAAATTTGATCTGATGATGTAATGACGAAATAAATCCGTATCCGTCTATGAGACAGAAAACGCGAAGCGTGTCCTCCAATCTGCGATCACCCATGAGTACGCTCAGTCATACGGGTAAGCACAGTGCATAAAAAATGTCGCTCTCGTCTCTACAATCCTAATCTTTACAGATTAACGGTACTAGCGCCACGATGTCAGCACCGATGCAAACTACAAAATGACGTTTTGCTTTTCGTAAATAGTCAGTGATTATCTTGTCCCTTTGCGATTGATGCGTGTCACACGAAAATAAAAAGAACAATGTTCGTTTTACAACTTGAGCTACAACTTGTGTTGTTTCTCTTGTCCGTCACTGTGACAAGAGTTGAGGGAGCACGGCCCATAGCACCATTCTCACAAATTATTGGCAAGGGCGGCGGTCGACAACAAGCGAGAAAAGCAAATGGACAAGCAGGAGGTCGAACGTACCAATCGCGATCACACAGAGACGATGGTGGTGCGCGGCATCCTCAAGGCGAAATAAATGCAGGAGGTCGAAGAGGACAGCAGCCACTTCTTCGCCCAGTAGAACTACATACTAGGACCACCAAGACTTTGATGAGAAAGGGACGAGGCGTCGCGGATGACGACTCAAGGAGCGCATTTGTCGATCTCGTCCAGCGTAATAAAAGCCCCTCGCCCAAGAACAGCAGTAAAAGAAACCCACTTTCCCAACAACTAGCCAAGTCTCGGAACGTCCTGAGACTTTGCCTCGATCCCAGTCTGCTGCGGCTTGTTTTTGCAGAGGAGGACTTGATCACGAAGTATGTGGTCCATCCGAATAAAGAGCATTTTCGGAGCCCGTTCGTCCGATCTTCGGCTGACTCCAACGTCTATGCCTATGTGCTGAACTTTCTAGGACAGTCGTTGTTACATGCGGTTTATCGATGTAATTATAGCAATGGGCGGGAACACGAACAAGATGTTGGGAGTTGTGATCTTGCAGGAGCTGCACGAACAAACCTCTTACAAAGCTTGATGCGTGACGAAGGCAAAGCCCAAAAGATGCTGAAGCTGTTGACTGTGTTTTTGCAGAAAGCTGCGGGTGTGCCTCCTAGTGCTGCAACAAGTAGAGTTCTCTATGTGCTGGGCCCGTCACTAGTAAACGAGTCGGAGTCGGATTTATTTCTTAACGAACAGTCTCCCATGCAAACGAAGTACATCCAAACGGACTACATTACCAAAGTTTCAGAGAAAATCGCAACCACACCAAGCGCTCAGAGAAGAGGGATCCGAGGCAGCCTCAATACTCCCGAAGAGTGCATCTACGAGGTCGCGAGGATGCGTGATGATGTTGCTGATGGAATGCTGATGTTGCTTGCTCCACAGGAGGAGGCTTTTCCACCTCGAAGAACAGGCTTACGACCCGCAGAAACTTCTAAAAATGCTCCACAGGAGGAGGCTTTTCCACCTCGAAGAACAGGCTTACCCGCAGAAACTTCAGGGAACACGCGATCGAGCTACGCACACCATCATCTTGTGGCCGCTGCTCCTTTGTCATCTTCATCATCCGAAGATGAGTTTTTCGATGGTCCCACACGTAATGGCCCGGCCCCAGGCGATATACTGCACTATCACGCGAGCTCGACGCCGGTTGCTAGTGCGAAGGTTCGTGGGATAAGTGTCATAGGGCATCAAGCGCAACAGCTGGAGGAGTTTGGTAGACATTACACTGAGAAGCCTACTCCTACAACAACACTTGATGATCTTGGCCGAAAGAACTATAATCCTTCTTCTAATCATGCAACCACTTCTGTCGTGACCACCAGTACTATAGTACCCAGCACAGTTGTACTACTACAAGTACAACAGCCTCTTCAACACGACTTTTCGTCACAACAACCACGAGCACAAGCGCATGCTCTCGTAGAAACAGCAACCAAGCTGTGCCCCTCGTTTCTACGAGAGCAAATGCCTGGCGTATATTGCTTTGCGCAGAGGACGGGCCTTCCTGAGAATATCTGCGGGAGCAAGCCTGAATTGATCGCGCTGTATCAGAAGTATGAAGTCTTACAGTGGAGTCATGTATTGTGTAATGCGGCGAAATACGAAGTCCAGTGGAATCATGTAGTGTGTAATGCGGAGGGGAACAATGGCTCCTATTCCTGTGGTGCTGAAGATGACGATGTTCCTTTTGGAGCGACAACAACTGCAAGTCCTGTGGATGAATCGTTGCAGGCGCCCTCATCCTCATCTTCAAACTCATTCTCATCTTCAAACTCATCCTCATCCTCGAACTCATCCTCATCTTCCAGCACAAGAAGTAGCTGTTCTAACTCACCCTTCTCATCCGCCGCAATCAGGATGAGGAAAAGGAATAGTTTTGCTCCGGGAAGAACAAGAAGGAGTCCAAGTACTAGAGCGACAGCAACAAGTGAAGGCACTGGTACTGAACAAGGCGCCGCCACCACGTCTAATATCACAGGGTCCACCCCATTTTCTTCTTCGGGTTTTCATGGCGGTCCTCGTCGGGAAGTAGTGCAACTAGTATCTTCATCAGAAGATGGAACGAGTATTAGCAAGAGCACCAGTGAGCTTTTACTCATGAAGATTATGGCGATTCTTCCACATGAGCATCGACACCTCGGAGAAGGAAATCCCTCAGGATGTCAGCAAGGACGCCTACAAGCAAGAGAAACCTTACAATCATCACGTTGTTCCTGCATGGAACAGCTAGAACGCATGTTGCGTGGTGACATAATATCTTCGATGCAAGAACAGGACAGCGCTTCATCATCTAGTTTACTAAATGAAGAAAGCCTTTTCCTTCTTCGCGGGGCGGGTATCGGCATATCAGAGAATCATATTGCATTTTCTTCATCTTCTAGTTCTTCATCTTCCTCCACCTCTGGTCACTCGTCGTACAACTTGGAACCTCCACTTCTGGAAGGGCAAGGACAAGATGAAGTACCTCGGCTAATAGGCTTAGAAGTACCATCTTCAGACTCGTCATCCGATGAAGACGGCGATGCACAAGCTGAAGCTGAGCACATTATTGAGCGTCTGCAGAGTGCGCTAAAGGCGCGACAAAGAGACATACATGTAGAACCATATACCCACCTTTTGAAGATTTCTGATGACAGAGGTTGCAGGTCTATGTTGATTTGAGATTTTAGTCGAGATGAAGCCTATTCTTAGTAGGTAAAAAGATACAACTCCTCTGTAGAGGTGATGGCGAGGGAAATTCTCATGAGGACCAACGCGGTCATAGAAGATACAACTTCTCTGTATCGTCTATTTTTGTGATATTGGTTTCGCTCTAACTCTATGATCGTGGTTTATTAGATTGATAAAAACCGTAACCGACTCATTAGAGTTGATTCGCAATCTTGCTATGTGTTTGTATTATAATTTTCACTGGTAGAAGTGCTTCAGCTGAGCTGCTATTAATATCATATTCAACATCTTTGTTCTTATTGTAGTTTCTTGACGCAATCTTGATAGTTCCACTTCCATTCATCGGTCCCATGTGAAAAATTAAGACTAGTCTCTCAAATCTAATGACGAAGATAACGACTAGGACTACTCTCCTAGTACGCGACTTGCAGCTATGTTATCCTCGGAGCAACATCAAGAGCAAGTGCAAACTATGACTAAATCTACTTACTTATATTATGAGTTTATTAACGAGTATGCTGTTCTTGCTGCTCTAGTATTCGAAGACAACTATGTTCAAGTATTTGATGTTTTAGCTCTAGATGATGTAGCTACACATTCATACTTTTGCGTACTTTTGTCTGCAACGAGGACAACATTGAGAGGTCAAGAAGATACAAGAACCCAAATGACTGAGTGTAGTTTCTTTTAAGGCTAGTCACTGACTCGCTATCTACTAGGTTGAGCTATAATATTAAAGAGCTTTTACTTGACTTCGAGGCCCTCTGAGTGAATGAGTGAACCGCTCTGTTGGTCTTCAAGTTTGATTCTCCAATGCGTACCTGACCGGGTACCCGTAACTGCAGGTATGATCGGTAGGCTCATCATCTAAATCGCGATATCATGATCATCATCTAATGGAAAGTGTGAAATGGCAGCAAGTTCTATCTTCTGTGCATTCATTGACATCGAGGGTTGCGAAGTTGTCACGTTCACCCAACAAGAACAACTACACTGTAGTTCCTCGTCTGAACGCTTTTGCCATGGTCGGATCACGAAAGAAATTCAAAATCTGAGCGACCTCCCTGTCTGACGATAAAGAGAATCAAAATCGTCCACGCAAAGCTGTAGAAATAAATCAACTTTTTGGGTCTACTCCAGTACTTGTTTTTGGGGATTTTTTTCTAGTGGAAAGCAATATACATCTACAACCTCAGAGCGATTAAGTGTCTTACAACTAAGTCCGAGAATCAACTACTGGGAGAAACAGAAAAAACACTACCAGTACCAGAGCACTATCTTAAAATCATACTATTATTATTACTATGACTCCGTGTGGCAGTCTCCTGCACTGAATTCTGTGCGAGATTAGTTGTATTGTATGTATTGCATTGCCATTTGTTACCAGGCAACTTTTTACCATATCGCCCTTATATTGAGATCATAATGCAGATCAACATCAACCTTCATTCTTGGCTACATCCAGCAAACTATGTAGGCTAGACCTATCGAAATTATAGAAAGTAGATCGTAGCTGCCTCTGTTATTTTAGGTCTCAAGTATGTGTTTGTTGAACAGTATCGACATCGAGCTTGACTGTTGGCATTGCCGAGTACATACTTGCGATCATGAAGCAGATGAAGATGATGCTTCTCGCTTTCTTGAGCATGCTGCTCTTTCATTGCGCTGCAGGAGGGCTGCTTAAGGCCCGATCCTCGTGCTCTCCTGCGAAAGATATTGTTGTAACGTTTTACTATGGTTTGGCTGCATCGAACAAGATCGTCAGCGTCAGAATAGGCGGCAAAAACGAAGGAGAAGGAGAAGGCAAGCAAGACGATGACAACGAAGGAGAAGGCACAGACAAACAAGGCGAGGAAGTCTCTCTGGCGTTCTCAGATACGGCAAGAGATTTGGGCGATGCAGTCCTCCAAAAATTGGTAGCACAACAAAAGAATGGCACACTTTCTCTCAGTGCCGAGATAAAGTTCCTCGAACAACTGCGGTTTCTGATTGGTACTCAGGAGCTGCATCTCTCTGGTGAAAGAGGACGTGGGGGGGAAACGTTGAATCAACTGGAGGCCCTTTCGGTTCCTTCACATCAAGGCGTGGACGGTGTGGGTCCGGGTAGTGGAAGTGTAAGCGGCAGGGCTCTTTCGTGTCTAGTCGTGGCGCAGCGAACCGTCGAGCAGCTGAAGGAAGAGCAAACTTGGAGGGAAGCTCTGCAGGGACAGGACAACGGTCATGCAATTAACTACCGCGACGCATCTGAAGAAGCACGAGAGAGGATCGAAACAATCGTTCTGGAATCTGTGCAGCAAGATGGCCTCGCCCTTCAGTACGCACCTCCAGAGTTACGAAATAGCACGCAAATCGTCATGCCAGCTGTGGAGCAGAATGGCGCGGCACTTGAGTATGCATCTGAAACATTGAAGGCGGACAAGGAGGTCGCCCTGAAAGCTGTGGAGCAGGACGGCCAGGCACTTATGCATGCATCTGAAACATTGACGGCGGACAGGGAGGTCGTCCTGAAAGCTTTGGAGCAGGATGGCTGGGCACTTGCGTATGCATCTGAAACATTGAAGGCGGACAAGGAGGTCGTCCTGAGAGCTGTGGAGAAGAATGGCGAGGCACTTGCGCATGCATCTAAAACATTGAAGGCGGACAAGGAGGTCGTCCTGAAAGCTGTGGAGCAGGACGGCGAGGCACTTAGGTTTGCATCTGAAATATTGAAGGCGGACAAGGAGGTCGCCCTGAAAGCTGTGGAGCAGAATCACCTGGCACTTGTGTTTGCATCTAAAACATTGCAGGCGGACGAGGAATTCGCCCTGAAAGCTCGCGCTAGAGTTGTCGCTATGCAGTCATGAATATACTCGGCAAAACTGAATGATATACCACGACTCATGCAGGATTTTTTGGATCACAGGAATCAGAATGAGGACAAAGCAGCGGATGTAGAACACCGGAGAAAGAACCATCTGAAAAAGGGAGTTGAAACCATTGAGGGAGAGAAAGTCATGATAGTGTCAGAGGTTCTCACACTATTCTTGTGTATTGTCAAGTCTCGCAAACAGATAATTTTTCATTGCAGTTCACTTATGACCGAGACAAACGAACGATGAAAGACAAGAAAATCAAAAATTCAAGTCGCTGATTGGCGCAACTCCTTTGAATCAATTTCGATTTCCTCCGATTAAGTTCGGTTTCTTCACGGGGCACATGTCCTGTAGTACTTAAGTAGTTTGGAGTACATGGCAACTAGTACCATGTAGCCAACATTTGCGAGCTCTCCAAGCTTACAGTCTCTTCACTCCTTCTTCCTCAGGTCGAATTTCTCCTCTCACGAGGGAAGTTGTTACAAGCAGGCTTTTAGCCTTCAAGTCTATCAATGGAGAAGAGCCGAACAATCAGTTAGAGTCTGCCACGCAAATGCAGCTTGCTTTACAAGGACAACACTCGCGTGGAGGACAACCTTCAACGGGACCGGCGCCGGCGTTCGATCCGCTTGGTGCCGAGTGCCGTTTTCCTCTCCCTTAGAAAATGGGCACCTATGATGGACAGTCTTGGTCTTGCAGCTAATTAGAGATGCTACACCCCGCGAGTGGGTACATCACTCACTCACTCACTCACGTAGATCATTCGAATTGATTGGTCCAGGTTCTATCAAAGCATTTGCATGTCATGATCCTGCACTAACTCTAATAACCACAGCATGCACTGACTCGAGCAACCATATTTGTTCTTGGTATTCACCATCCATAAATCGCAACATTTCTTCCTAGCGTCGAACAACAACACCCTACAGTACTAAGGTTGTACGCGATCGATCTAAGAAACTTATCCGCGAATATGATGACGATGATGAGCACCAAGATCCTGAAGCCTTTGAGCTGCAGGAAGATCATCAGGATAAGGATCCAAGGTCCCAGGCAAGAGCCCCCCCGAAACCGATGAAACCAATGAAAACCCCAACGCAGCTCCCCCCTAAGTTCATGCAGATTACGCACCAAAAGCCTTGACCTATTTGGTTTGTATGAACCTCAACACCTTACAGGCTTAGGGGCTTAAGCTTTTGCATTTTATAAACTTGTGACTAGGATCAACGCGGAGCAGCATCGGAGCTGCTGCCTTATCGGTTTCGTATTCTAATCAAGGTATGCCTATTTCCTCTGTCTAAGTACTTCACATTTAATATTCAAGCTTTGGCACTACTACAAATCTCATGTCTACTTACATTCATAATAGTGAAGATCCGTCATTTCCAACATTCGGTATAGTTGATGTTATCCACTTGCTGCCCCCTCGCTTTTATCGTACTTTATCATGCCTCGTAATAAAGAACACGAACAAAGAAGCTAAGATCCTCTGAGTTTTAGTTGTTCTAACTTCTACGAGTGCTTCGCGTTTTTATCTGTTTTTAAGCATCATATCGTAGATCTTCATTCTCCATCCAATTTAAATCTACTAAAACTTTTACCGTCAACACTATCACTACTACTACTACTACCGCCACTACTACATATTTACCTTTGTTTATTTGTAATATCTCATCTACACTGCTTGTTTGAGTTATTTCTTGAAACTACGAAAAAAATGTCGGCACTTTCACTAAGTACCTTCCTGGTCCTTATCGTGGCCGTGACGGGAGTTTTGGCAGCACGGCCGCGACAACTTCACTCTCTGCATGGAAATGGAAACTCACGACCTCCGGCACAATTATTCTCTTCACAGAGACGAGAACTACTGCCTCAGCCTGTGCCCCCGCTTGGAGGTCCTCGTGCTCCGCATCCACCTACAGAAGACGCCGACATCATCAAAGCATGGCTAGGCAAAGGGCGCAAGATTTTGGGACGTTGTTTGCATCCAACTAGTGTTCTGGGAGAGCTTTTCACGGAGGAAGATGTAATCACGAATTTCTTAGCACACTCAAATCCAGATCTCTTTCGACAGCCTTCGACTCTTCGACAAGCAAATGCGGATGTCTATGCATATTTGGTGAATTTCATATCAAACAATGTCTTGCATGCTGTTTTTAGCTGTAGTGTTACTGGAAGTCCTCGAAGTGGAACCGATATAACTTCTTGCTCATATTTACGCAATTTGATGCAGAGTTACGGCAGGGTGAAGGCAGCAAGAGCCCTGATGTTTTTGACCGTGTTTTTACAAAAAGTTGGTGGTGGACCTCCTAGTGCTGCAACTGCTAGGATTTTAGAAGCAATGGGAATGACCACGACGTCGATTGATGTCCCTGCGGTTCTCTCAGGAGAAGATAAGACGACATTCGAGAGGAAGTACGCTACAGCAATCATGCAGGGTAATGCTCCTGATGCAGCCCACTTTACTCCAGAAAAGTGCATTTATGAGATCACGAAAATGCGCGATGAGATTGCAAGGCAGATGGCAAAGTTTATGCCTCCAGCTGCACAAACTACTTCATCTTCTAGGTCCACCCCTGTAGCTGCGACTCGCGATGATCTACATGCAGGAGAAGTTGTAGTATCGTCACAAGAAGTACCAGACGAGCAGGATAGCCATCTGAGCCCACGACTGCAACGTCGTGTTAATACTGGAGATGAGGAGGATGGCCTCGTGTCGGAAAGTCTCGAAGGAAAAGTAAATTATGCAAACGACGAGCATCCTAAATATTTCACACAAGACCATGCATCACGACCTGATCAACAGCATGATTTGGATGATTCGCATCCCCCCTACTTGCATGAGCAGATGCCGGGAGTGTATGGATTTGCAGAGAACATCAACACAGGACGACTACGACTTCCAAATGGGATATGCGGCAGCAAGGAGGAAATGATTAAAATGTATCACGCGATTATAGCACAAGAACAAGCACATTGTGCTCAAGGACCACGGAAGAGTAGCAACATCAACGTGGAGCTGCGTTCTTCTTCTTCCAACTCAGAAGCGAAAGTAGCTGCAGAAGAAAATATCAGTAAAAGACAAGGACGAGATCAGTTACTGCAGGCGACTACTTCAGGACCAACAAAAACTGCAGACCCGAGGATTGTTCTCAATTTATGCCAATTATGCCTTGATCCTCGAGAACGAGAGAAAACCTCCTCCACTCCCTCAGATAGTCATAGTACTGGTCTACGTCCCCCACACGCACGTGGTCTCACTAAAGGACAAACAGAAACGCTAGCATCTTCTTCCTGCTCTTCAGGCAATCGAGGTGCTGCCAGGTCAAGAGCGTCGTCATCTTCCTTGTCGTCATCTTCCTCGTCGTCATCTTCCTCGTCTTCGTCTTGTTCCTGTAATAAGGCGTTGATGACGGCTTCGCTCTTGCGTAACCAGAGGAGAGATGCTTGTGCTTCACGACCACCCTCCGATGCTTCACTCCTGTCACCGCGGGGATCATCTCGACTTACTTCTTCTAGAGCAACATCTAGTTCACCTTCATCCTTTGATGAAGCTTCAGATGACGGAGATGCTGATGATGAAGCTGACGCTCAGGAAATTGAACAAGAGCTGAGAATTGCGGTAATTGAAGCGAATGCGCAAGGTCTGAAGTCGAGACATGTAGTGAAGATGTACTAGAGAAGTGGCGCAGTAGAAGAGGGAAAGAATGAAGGAGCCCCTCGTCTGCCGTAATGCTGTAAAGGATCGAGTTTGATGGGACTAAAAATGATGATTTTATACGAAGATTGTCCTCCACAGCATAAACTTATTAGACATTAACATAAGAAAGTCGTATATTCTATACTAGCTTTTCATTCTCTTCTTCTTTCTGCTTAGAAATATTGAAGGACTTATGGCTTTGCGTGTTCTACATTTCAACTACATCCGAGAATTTACGGCGTAGTTGTGCTATGCACGACTGAATTTACGACGATGACCTGTCCTTGTTGTAGCACTATTCTATCATCTTACGACTTACGTTTTCTTCTACAAGACATAGGAGGCTGTGACTGTAAGTGTTGTACTATTACTTGTTTTTACGGGATCGCTCATGCGTGCATGAACTACGTCTTGTCATTTGTTGCAAGTTGGAAGTCTAAAAATCCTTTGGCTTTGGCCAAAACGATGAAGCTAACGAAAATTGAGAGGATGGTCGCTGACCGTCGTCCATATTGTAGATGTACTGCACATGATTAAATGATCAAGCTCAAGCAATATTTTGAAATGATATCTATAAACTACAACTAGTAATAGTATTACGATTGCGTGATAATCTTAGGAATGATAAATCGGTCTGCAGCGCCTTATTTGTTGTACAAATGTGGTAGAACAACAATACAGTACTTCTATGCAATATCTCTGTATGCTATGATCATCTTCAAAGACGAAACTTAATTCATACTGGTCTTTCACTTACTCTTGCTCTTCTGCTAGAACAAGGCTTCAACTGATATTTTTCATTCTAAGCCTCACATTATTAAGAGAAGCAAGTTTGACAGGAGCATGTGAACAACATATCTACACAGCCTAGAAATTATTAGAACTACAGCAGTACGATAGGGTCACGCTCACGCGCGACAATAATAATAATAATAATAACTATGTGAGCATCTACTTCTAGGCGGTTCTCGACGAACGAAGTGGCCGTGTTTTCGATCGTCATCGCCTCAACCACGCAATCATAATAGAAAATGGTCCTAGTGCTAGTGCTAGTACCAGGCTTTGGAAGTAGAACTAGAAGATTATGAAGGTGCTGTCACTAGAAGATTATGAAGATGCTGTCACTAGAAGATTATGAAGATGCTGTCACTGTGCATTCTGATTCATTATAATATAACCAAATGAATGAAAAACTACAACCAAATGAATTCTTGTATTATCAATTTATTCTAGTCAAAGGCCGCGCTATTTGTGCTCCGTTGACCCTTATGGGTGGCACGGTGTTCTTTCCAAAGAATCCATATAGCGGTAGACACCTAACTAATTCCTTCCCGAGAAGAGCGCTGGACCGAGGACCAGGGCGACGCACAGGGAGATTAAGAACTCCCCGCTATGCCGGTATCCACGCGGAAAATACGCGGCTAGGTTTTGACTTGTCGGAACTCGCTCCAACTACAAAAAAGGGAGACCCAAAGGAGTTGCCTTGAGTTGTAGCCCCAGCAAGGTCAAAAATGAGCCGTTGACCTTTCAAGATCTCGCGGATCACCCGAGTAGTCCGAATCGACTAACATCATCATCATCATCATCATCATCATCATCAACTTATTCTAATTTGATGTCCATCTTCAGGAGTACGAGTAGAACTCACGGATCTTCACCGACGTCGTCGTCGGGATGATACCTTCGGTTGATGAGGCATAGGAATTTTTCGGGCTTTGCCGTGGGTCTGTTGAAAGTTGTTAGGTGCTCATGGCATGATGACGTTGAAGTGGACCCACACCTAGTGTGACGTTGAAGAAATCTGCATCCTCTACTTCAACCTCTCTAGTACTTCAACCAGCATGAGTCGGTCACTCGCACTGTCGTGGTCTGTTTTTACAACGATCCTGTAGCTGTGCAAGTGTTGTGACTAAATCTGTAATGCTCGTCTGCGGTCACTGAGATTTGCTAGAACAAGAAAAACTGAAGACCCCATAGTGGCTGAGTTGTGTGGTCTAAGAAGGCAAGCCTAAGTTTGGTAATAGAAAGATTTCACAAATTAAACTCGTCTTCAGAGAAGCACTATGATTGAAATTTCAAATCGAAAAAACAAACCATGTCAGTAAAAGCCATCGCTTGGAGCGTGGACAACCCTGAACATGTCAGGTTTCTCCTACGAGATTGGCTGTACGATAGACGGTTGCAACGCCCAAACAAGGACTCGTCTGGTGGGCGTTTCTTTTCGAAGAGGATAGGTGTATCTGGATCGGGTGATTACGTTTTCGATAGTACCCAACAGCATGCCCATGCACATGGTGACTCATCGAATCGAGAACGCCTGCAGAGTCTCGCAGCAGACGACGTATTACCAGAATCACAGATGTTCGCCGATAAATCTTGACAAGGAGTTAGTTTTTTCCGGTATTTGCACCAGAGCGAAGTCGACGAAGACGCGATCTGTGGCTCTTGCTGAGAGTAGATTGGAGTATCAAACGGATCTTGGTTATGGAAGGGAAAAGTGTGCTTATACTCAGAAATTTATTAGCTAGTTTTTCACTCGAATGTATGGTTTTGGTATTTGGTAACCTGAATTTGATCACAAGGATTCTCTTCTTGTTTTCCTTATGATCAAAATCAGGTTATCAAATACCAGAACCATTCATCGAACCCGAGCTACAGACTCGGCCGTATGTTCTTTTGGAATTGCAAGTATAAGGACTGTCTTACCTTTATGATGGATCCATCGTAGACGTGAAGTCCTCTAGTGCGGCTGACGATCACAATCAAGTAGGAACCGGAACTTCTTCAGTAAGGTCTCTCCAAGAAAACCGTAATGACAGGGTCTGACGAATTATACTTATAGTGCAAGTCGTGTATCTACGACTCTCATGTCGAATATCTACGACTCTCATGACTGTTTAACGAGTATCTACGACACTTATGTCGAAGGGGCGGGAGTGGACAATACTAGTGGATGGGTTGGGCGAGCAATAAGGCGTGTCTCAACCTCGAACAACAGAGCTGCCTATAAATCTGTGACTGTGAGGGCGGTTAGTTGATGAACAGCGTCACGTATGGTTTGTAAAGATAATACAGGAGACAGGAGACAGAGAGGATACAGGAGACAGACTGTAAAACTCCTACTGGTGGACAGAGTGTTCGGCAACATGTTAGAGTTTGTCTCTATTTTTTGCTATATCATCCTGGATGTAGATGAAATTTCGACGGGCGAGCGCACTCGCTTGCGAGCTGCATGGCACCCCGAATCAGCAAATGTCTGCTAGTTTCACAATGATCGATACGTGACTCCGCTATTCTTTTAGTTGTAGAAGTTTTGGCTTTTTTTCTTGTAGGAATTTTTCTGTCAGTGTCATCAACGTCGTGTCTTTCTTACAAATACTTACATATTATCGTAACAGTTAATTACAAGAGCCGTTTCTTATTATCATTAGTTCTTATCATCTTCATCGCCATCACTATCTCACAAACCTGTGAAAAGCCCTCAATATCAGACAAGATGAGCACGCTTCAGCTGCCGCATTTTTTCGCCGTCGCACTGCTAATGCAACTAGTTGTGCAAGGCATCTTGGCATCATCTTCTCTGTCCTCTACTTTAACCTCCGCACCAGTAAGGGACCAGCAACAATCTTCGTCTTCCTCTTTAAGGCCCAACTTTCATTAGTCATTGAAGTTGGTCACTGACAGCGAAGCGGAGACCCCTTGAGACAACACGGGAAATCTAAGGGAAGAAGGGGAAAGCTCTGTAAGGGGCCTTGTCCGGTTCAGAGTCAGTGACCAATGACTGCTGACCTTTAACCTCTTCTCCGTTATCTGCAGATGAGATCTTCGAAGCTTGGAAGTCCTACAGGGCTGAACAGAACAACGAATGCTACCATCTGCCTGTGGCGAAGAAGATTTTCACCCTCACTTCGGAACAGGAGGATCAGCAAGCAGATGATCATCTCGTGAACGCTGATGATCACTGTAGTATTGCCGGAGATGGAACTTAAGGCTCGATAATATAATTCATTCTTGTCAAGAACGTCGGATATGTTGTTCTGGTTCCTTCTACTTGCGACTGATTCTGAAGAAACAAATGAAGGGAAGAAATGAATTATTTTTCTGCTCCTCGTCTTCTAAGGAACTACAAGTGCTAGCTCCACACGTCCTTGGTCAGCAACAAATCGTATTGATGTGGGCGTACAGGCTGGTGGTGAGACCACTGTTGTATCTGCTTCAAGTGGGAGCTGTACTACGATTGCTACAGCAGCTAGTACATTGGCAACTGAGTTTCTGCAGAAAAGAAGCTCAGACGACACGACTCGAATTCGTGAGGTTGCAACTGGAGGAGCCGACGACGCCGCGGGTCGTGGAGGAGTCCCTGCAGCGTCTTCTTCCACACTCACAGATCCTCCAAGTGGTAGTAGTTGTAGTGGGCATAGTACTTGCGCGGCAGCAGCAGCACGACCGGCCGCGTCTTCTGTGCACGTCGAAGATCCTTTTTCTACGGGCACAGCAACTACTAGGGAAAGCGTTACTACAGTAACTGAGGAAGATGTTGCGGATCCTAGAAGGGTTTCTGAGCTTTCTGACCATGTAGTTCCTGCGACTTCTTCTAGACCCAAGAAAGGCGATAAAGTGATGAAAGCAAGTGCTAAACGCCCTGCCCAAGACAGCACTAAGAAGATCTCAAGTACTGGTGCCACTGCTTCTTCGAGCTCGTCTTCCTCTCCAGCAACATCGTCATCCACCACGTCATCTACAACCCCAACGGGTTCGACTTCCAGTCCTTTGCTTAAGAGTAGCTTGAGAACGTCGGCTTCTTCTTCACAACTTTCTAGTAAAGGTGCTACGGCCACCAGCAGCAGCACGACCCAACAACTTCTTGCCAAGCGTGCTCTTAGTCTTGTAGCAGAACTTGACCGCAAAGGGCCAGCCTTGCTGGAGGACACGCGGAGTCCTCTGCTAAAATGCGGTCGTGATATCGAGCAGGAGAACGCGAATCTTGCTAAAAACATCAAAAGAGCGGCGATTCAGAACAGCTTGAACGCGATTCTTCAGTTCGTGGAGGGATGCATTATCACTTTGAACAATGGCAGTAATGGGTTTCACAAGAAGTGGGCACACGCACAACAAGATGGGACATCTAAGGAAAACGTTGCCAAATCAGCAGCTAGGGGGCAGCGTCAACTAGTGCATGAACAACGGGGTTGGCACACTCCACAACAGCCGACACCTGCTTTTAGTACTCTGGAAATGCTGCGTCCGGGATCAAGCTACTTCGAACAATATCAAAAAAGCGAACGTGCAAGCGGGACTCTGAGAATCAACATGTTTCGCGGAGATTTGACCGCTGTGCCGCCTGATGGGATTTTGGCCCAACGTTCTATCCATCGGGGCTTTCGCACCGACGGCATGTCTGGATGTGATTCGGATTTTAACTCGGACCTGCCAAAATACTGGAATTCGCTGAATCCAATGTGGTCACCGACGTTTTTTCACCGATTTACTTCAGGAGTAGCGTGGGACATTCCTGAGGGTATGGAAGTGCATCCACACGTTGCGTCGATGTATATGAATTTACGAAGTAGTTGTAGCCCTTGTTGTTGAATGGTTCTGGTATTTGGTAACCTGAATTTGATCCTAAGGGAAAACAAGAAGAGAACCCTTAGGATCCAACTCAGGTTACCAAATACCAGAACCATACAGTTGTAGTAAGCTTACAGTAACTTCTCTTCAAGGTTTAAGCGTATTCATTGCTGTTGTTGCGAATCTTTTCTAACTCCACTTGCGTCGATTCGGGAACAAGACGGTTCGACTCCAAATCAGCGTGGTAAAGGTAGTGGCGGGTCCACTACCACGACTTCTACCTCGCGTGGTTCACCTTCTGCTGAGCAAACTAGCATCTCGCCTGGTGATGAACTCCTTAAACGCTACCTCAAGGAAGTATGGACTCCAGCGCGACGTGTCTTGGCGCGCAATATCTTACCTGAGCCAGTGGTGGTGAATGAGTTATGTGGAGGACTTTACGTTATTACTTCGTGAAGAAACCAACCACCCATTTATTCCTTTGCTTGTCTAAGTACTAAAATGAGTATGCAGTTCAAGCTCTATCTCTTTGTTTTTTTCTTTGTTCTACTCTCTCTTGTCAAAACAACGCCCTCTTCTAATTTCCCAATCCAACGCCCGCACTGGCACAACAACCTCTGGCGCTTCTCCACCTACTAGGCGGATGAAAATGGACGGCGAAGTTTTACTGGGTCTAAAGAAGATTTTCGAGTATGAGAAATTCGACTTTTTTGTCAGTGCAAATGGTGCAAGAGTCTTGTCCTCGTTGTCGACGTCTAGTACTGCTTCTACAGGTTCTAGCACAGCTAGTACAGCGCCTGCAGCATCCGCGTCCTCTGCGTCTGGTTCCCATCATGGTGCAGCGGGAATGGCAACTCCAGCTCCTTCTTCTTCATCCTCGTCCTCAACATCAGCAACCCTGGCATCTCCAATCGCAGAAGACTGGGTTGCTCTATCTCCAAGATTCACGATCTGCGTGCCAGGCTATTGTGGTGCGACTGGCCAGGACGAGGCCGAGGGTCGAAGTCAGTTAGAAGGAGCCATTGCTCGGCCGCGTTGAGAAGAATTTTATAATGTTGTGAAAGGGTACTTGTACTACGAATGCCTCTTCAATAAAGTAACGGGGTAGCAATGGTGGTAGCTCTGAATGATCTTCGTACTGATCTTCGTACTGATCTTCGTACAAACATAGAGACAGATGGTGTAAATTAGGAGTGGGGTTCTTTTTTTTCGCTGTTGCACTGCTTGCTAATAGGTGTACAAGAACAGCATTGCAATCTTGAACTATGAAGCAAAGTGTCTGTTAGCTTCAGATGAAACGTGTCTAATACGAACGCCAACAAGTAAAATTGAGAATATAGCCGAATTAGAGACAAACACAAGTACTGCCACACTCTGATCGCAAAGAATCAGAACAACGAGTTGGTCTTCCCTCGTTGACTGATACAAAAAACCAAAGAAATGTGTCGGCCTAACATGTTCAAGCACGATCTTCTTTATTCTTCTTGCGTCTCTACTTCATTCCCCAGCAAGACTCCCTTCGTCTTTCTTGACTGTCCAATATCACTGCAAAAAAGGTTCCATATCATGCAAACTCATCAAGTTGTTACTGAAATGGAGGGTAGATTAATCATCACTGTCCTCAGGCTGGACGTGGATATCCACGAGATCTGTGTATGCACAAGAAGATGCCAGGAAGATGCTTTTCAAAATGGGAGACTTCCAGAAGTCATGCTTCTGAAGATGGAATTTCCGAAGTGAAGATGGACTTCCAGCAGTCTTGACTGTCCAATATCACTGCAAAAATGGCAACGAAGGAGACAGCCCTGATTCTCATGGAAGACTTATGGAAGACTGACGGAGACTAGCAGGATGAAAATGATAGTCACATTTTTGCTGCACGAAGCCCACCACGTCCATCGAAGAAAAGAACGCAAGCTTATAGCATCCTTCCTTAACATCCAGAATGCTTGCTCACACGTCTTCCAGGACTGCCGCTTCTGAGGCGAAGCGGGTGCGCCACCTTGCACTCGAATGCCTAGCCACAGAAACGCCGCTCGGATCGTTGGCTATGGTGCAGAAGCTATTACTAGAAGAAGGACGAGGACAACAACCTGGAGTTATGGTCGTTAGCTTTTAGTGTCCATCTTTCTCGGCATCTTGGTTGTACCCTTTTGTTCTCCTGTATTCTTCTCATGAGATACAAGTGGAAAGGGGAGGTCGAGATGAGGGGAGCGAGATGGAAGATTCAAGTTGAGTCTAATGGAGCTGAAGGGGAGGGACGAGATGTAAGCCAGGACTCAACCACTGTGGTAGATCACTTCAAAAAACGACAAGCCGAAACACAAGTTGCTGTACTGTACAAGAACCCTAATCAGGACCATGCTTTTGGAGCCAGCGACAACACAGTGCCTTACCTCCTCTGCCCAGAAGCGTACGACGAACGACAGGGCAAATACCTGAATCCACTGACGAACGAACTTTTTTTACCGGACAAAGAGACATGGTGTTCGGAGATTGCCTTGGTGGACGTTATACAAAATGCCGTTGGAGGAGGACCTGGAACAGGTGAACAAAGCAGAAAGAGTAGCAGCAACGGACGAACATCAAGAGCTAGTACACGAAGAACTACAGCGACTGGAGCAATCGTTGTTGATACTTCCCCGATAATCGGGAATAAAGACGGGGACTCAACGGCATTTTCTGGCCCTGTCTATCGGGAAGCCCTACAAGAAAGCTTAGACAGATACTTTAACACAGGTCTAGGAAAAAAGTTTTACGCTGTTGCTTTTTCCACCACCACAGGACCAGGGGCAACTACTTTTTCATCCCCTTCGCGTACTTCACTACTTGGCACAAAATTGAAACTGGCAGTACACATTGTGCGGAGAAGAAGTAGAGTGAATGAAGATCATTTTGTAGGGGGATCGTCGAGTGCCGGTGGGAGCACATCATCATCTTCTTCAAACAGAAACTCAATACTGTTGGCATTGGCTTCAACGGCACCTTCAAATTTCGATGAATGCAGCCTAATCGGTTCCTTTCGCGTTACCTTCGTGCCTGCACAGGGCAGTGACGCTCTGATGGAAGGGTCCTTCGTCATCGAAGGAAGAAACGAATCAGTGTCGAAATTCGTTTCTGTCGTGGATCATTTCGATCCCTTCGGTGGAGGTGGACCGTCCTCGAATTGGTACAGTGGAGGTGCTGGATTGAGTGCAGGAGGAATGTTAATATGTTGAAACACATGTTCTTGTCCTTCTTGTTCTTTGCTACTCGTTGTACTTTAAAAATCATGCCCTTTCTTCTTATCAGCTAGCTCTACTACTTGTACTTTAATAAATATGCAGCTGCAGCTGCTCTTCAGGTAGTTTGGACTTGATATCAACGACCGTCGACGGGAGAGACACGCTTTCTCTAACACCACACTCAACGACCAATTCCTTGCTTGCTTCTTCGCGAACCAGTGCTCACTCGCAACGTCATGACCTCCGTTCTCGCGCTCGCTTCAGGCAAGAACTTGCTGCTTCTGTACTGATAGAAAAACTACACGACCCAGACGCTGTAGGAGCACAGATTGCGACCTTCCTCTATGAAACTCTGGAACAACTTCTCAAGAATGTGGAAGAAGCAGCAAAGAATAAGAGAGATAAGAATGTGCAAGAAGTAGAGGAGGAAGACGGACGGGGAGTAGCAGGGGGTGTAGGGATAGCTGGCAAAAAGAACTTTAAGGGGAGGTTAAAGGTGCTTTTGTTACCGTTTCTTATGGCTCTCTCCCTTAGGTGGGGACAGCCATAAGAACAAGCGGGATAAACGAACACCAAAAATCTACCTCTAAGAACTTCTTTGGTGCACTACTTGTTGCAGGCAGAGGAGGACGCGCACAAGAATCAGCCAGTAACTCATCGTCTCTCAGCTCTTCCCTTCACGACAGACTAAAAGCTACGATGAGCGAGCTGCGCGGGAAGAAAAAAATCACTTCTGATCATGTTTATGATCTGGATAGCGGAGATGGTGCAGCTGCTGATCCTCCTCTCTCAACAAGAAGAGCAACTGATAGAGATAGACATCAAGCTTCTAAAAAAGAGAACAGCGTCGATATAGCAACTTTACTTCATGAAATACGGCGGAGTAAATTAGTTGGAGGCACAGACTTCGACTGGGGTGTTGGACCTCGGACTGCCTTGATGCAAGAACTGAGTAACCGAAAATGAAAATGATTTACATGATCTTCACCTTCATTCCAAGAAAAGTGAAGAAACTCTGAATATGTTCTGCCCCATAGACATTGGTATTTTTGTTCTGTGCTCCTTCGAACATGAAGCTGATCATAGGCAATCTCAGAATCCCGAAGACATGAAAAAAGCAAACCAACAAGGGCTTGATCCGGAATCTCTCCGCTGAGGATCAACAGAAAAATGCTTGTTGCTCATAGACCGATAGAGATGGTTCCACAGTATCATGTCTAGAACTAGAATCTGAATGCTCTTTCTGGTCGACGTAATCACCGAAGCCTCTTTGATCTACTTTTCCTCGGCGTGGCCTTGATCCGACTCTCGCATTACTGGCGAATGTGCAAACCGCATGATCTTACGCTCCACGTGCTGACGTTAGCACAGTTGCCGTTCCTTCCACTTTGTAGGTACCGCAAGTAAACTCACAACTGGCATCTGGATAGAGTCATTCTCTTTTTGAGATAACAGCAAGCCCCTAGCACTAATAGCACGGGATGAATAAATGTTATTTATGCCCCGCTTCGATCTACTTACAACTCGGCACAAGAAATAATAGGCGGAAACTAAACATCTCACGAAATCGCGCATCATCAGGTGGTGAATTTGTACTACGTAAAAGATAACTCGTAGAACATCAACCTCATCAAGCATACTCTTACTCATTATTGCATCTTTTGAATCACTTAGACTTTCGCTTTTCACATCACTGAATAAGAAAAAATGGTGTCGGGACCGAGCAAAGCGATGTCAGAGAACACGTCATCCTTCGTGGTGACGAACCAGGCATTGACGTGCAACATTCAGCCGTTGGCTTTGATGACCATCTTGGATGCTTTTCAGCGAAGACCGAAGAAGGAAAGCAGAGCGATCGGTAGGGTCCCTATACTTGTGACTCAAGGACACCACACGTTTCCTTGACTCAATCATGTCAGTCCTTTTGTTTATGTTTTCCCTATACTTGTTATGTCTGTTTTTGTTTTTTCTAGTTTTTAGGTCTGCTCCACCAGCCTTAGCCATGTATGTGTTGAAGATAATTATGATAAAAATGATAGACAAGGTAATCGAGTTGCCCGTGTTGTCGGAGTAGGGTACAGCAAAATTAAATGTTTTGCCTTTTTCAAATGAAATTCAACAACATTAGTTCACCACAAAACAAAAAATATCAGGTACGCTGATGGGTATGGTAACTGAAGGTGGTGTTTTGGAAATCGTCGACGCGTTCCAAGTCCTCCACAGTGATTCAGCGGAAAGAGGTACAACATGAACATCCAGTGTTCACTCCGTGTTTGTGATTGAGCATTTTTCATTTCCGTTTTCTTGTTCCTTTGAATCATCCATTGATATTGAATCCACGAATTCAGATCTCCAACTCAATGACAACGATTTTCGTCCTCCAACCAACCAACCAACCAACCAGACAACCAGACAACCAAGGAACTGAATACGCAACTACACAACATCAATACATCAAACACAGGTGTCCTCCTCGATCAGAACTACCATCAAAAGTTTGTGAAGCTGAGGCAAAGCGTGCACCCCAAGGAACAAGTTATTGGTTGGTTTTCAGTGGGTGAGGCACATCAGTTGGATGAGAGCACACAAGCTATTCATGAGTTCTACCGAAAGAAGGAAAGCAAATTCGCAGCACAACCAGCACAGAACTTTCGCGATCCGGTCTACTTGCAGGTATGTGCTTGTGGTTATTGTGGGTTACTCTACTTAGATGAGTGGTTATTATGGTTAACAAGGTATGTTCCATGGCTTGGGGCTACGGTACCCCCCCACTTAGCGTAGGGGGGGCACCGGTAGCCCCGGACCCCTTTTGGAGGCGTCTGCCGGGGGTGGAAGGCCTCAAAGGGGGGCCGAGTGACCTCCGCCGCCCCCTTCCAGGTGCTTGGCTGTCCCCAGAGGCCTCCGACGTAGGTGGAAGGCCTCAAGAGGTGCCCAGGGGGCCGCCTCTGCTTCCTTTCCAGGTGCTTGGCTGTCCCGTACAGGCCTCCGGTGTAGGTGGGAGGCTTCAAAAGGGGCCCAGGGGACCGCCTGCGCCCCCTTCCAGGTGCCTGCCTGTGCCCTAAGTGCCTCCGGTATGCTTCGCTGCCGCAGCAGTGCGCCGGTTATGGAAGGCCCCCGAAGGCGGCAAAAGGCGAGGGGCTGGACCCCCTGAGCCGTGCGGCTTGTACCTTCTGGGCCCTTGGTCATCGGCTTGGCTTGCTGGATCTTGCGACCGTCGCCGCCTTCGGCGGCCTTTTACCCTGGAGGCCTCCCGCCTGCGAGGGTCAGCAGAGGCCAGGAGGTCCCTGAGGAACACGCAGAGAGGCGAAGGGGCCGCCTGCGCCAAGTGTTGACGCCTTCCACCACTAGAATCCGCGAAAATCGGCGCGGAAAAGCGCGCGCGCGCGCCACCGCAGACCTTACCACAAAGGGGGGGCACTGTGCAGACCTAAAACATATCTGGTTATTATCTAGGCTGAGGCTATCGTACTTATGGGTTATTCTAACAAGGTTATTCTACTTCGAAGGGCCTTATGTCTATGTAGTTTTCCCAATCAAGATTCAGAAGATTGATTTTGAAAGAGCTTGCAATTAGATTATCTACTACTTGATTATCTACTTCTTCTTGTTCCAATTTCTCATTTTCTTACCCATCCAAACTACCACACTTCTCACCTCCCCCCTTCACACCCGCCACACATACATAATCCCCTACTGCTCTTACTCTAGTACAGTACCCCATTGCCTTCCCACCACATGCATAATCCCCTCCTACTCTTACGCTAGTACAGTACCCCACTCCCGTGCCGCCACATGCATAATCCCCTCCTACTCTTACGCTAGTACAGTACCCCACTCCCGTGCCGCCACATGCATAATCCCCCACTTCTCTTACGCTGGTACAAGAATCCGCCAGCACTCCCACCCACCCTCCCACCATCATCAAAACAAGGTCGACACCGCTGTTCGTGATTGCGCTACCCCGATCGAAATCAAAGCCTACACCAGTGATTTTGTCGCGGCTTCAGATCAGGGATTAATCCACTTTTATGAATTGGCGATCGCCTCTCGGTTCGCGAAGGGTGACATCCACGACGGCCAGGAACAGCAGATCGTAAACATGCTCTCTCAGGCATGCCAAAAGAGAACTGCAGTTGGAGAGAAAGCTGTTACGGTATAATTAGGGTTTTGATGTACATGTGTATAATGACGCCCTTAAGGCAGTCTGCACTGAACTTTGTGCGAGATTAATTGTATATACAGAGTGTTTCTACAACAACAGCAAGCATCTTCTACTATTTGAAGTATTTAGATGCTTTGCCGAAATAGAAATTGCGTTTGGAGAAACGATCGCATTACGAAGACTGGTCCTGTTGATCTGTAATGATGAATCTCGTTGATCCGTAATGATGATGTTGATTTTCTTGTTGTGTGAAAATAGAAGCAAGTTCTCTCAATGCCTATCCCATTTCCTCCCCACAGCTCGCTTCCCTCGACAATTTCGGCAAGCAGCTTGGAGAGCTGCGAGAACTCTTCACTCTCGCCAGGGAGTACATCAAGGATGTGAAAGAAGGCAAGAAGCCAGCCAATGTCGAGGTTGGCCGCGCCTTGTCTCGAGCACTAGAATCCGAACTCCCAGATGAGCAGGCTTTGAAGAAGCTGGTCACTGGAGCCAGCCAAGACGCTCTTATGGTGCGATACTTGAGCAGCCTGTGCAGAACGCAGATCTTGTTGGCCGAAAAGATTCAGCGAATCTTGAGCGCCACGCAGAACCAGGATCAGTAAGTGGACGACAACGATTAAACCTTTATGTCAAGAACATGAAGATTACAGGTCCACAGCATACATTGTATAACAACTTCATCGACATCGACTTCGGCATATGGTTTGTCATGTTGCCACAAAAATTGCAGAAGAACTCAGTCTCATCTCAAAATTACACATCAAGATCGACAAAGACTTGGCCTTCATCCCGCATGAAGGTTCAAGATGTCTCACTATGGATATCTCTATCTAGCGTATTAAGAATAACATCCCATTTTCACTAATATTTTACTCACTTTGGATGAATACTTCTGTATGACGACCGTAAATGTAACCAAAACTTGCATCTCCTGCAACAACCTAGAGCAGGAGTTCATATTTGCACCCTCGATACGAAGATCAACGCAGGATCACATGTCATACAACTAGCTACACATCAGATGAAAATTTACGCACTGTAAGTCATAGTACCATCGTTTTATCGATTAATACAAAACGAGTCGAAGGAGCCGGTGAAAATTACGGTGTGTGAAAGCAGGGCGTACCAGCCGCATTTGCAACCAGTGTCCACCAAGTGTTTTTTGCTGTGTGATCTCATTCTCTTGATTCTGTTTTTGTTTAGGGTTTAGGGTTCGCGCGACAGGCACGATCTGTTTGCCCTGGTCCCGATGTGGCTGTTGAGGGAAGCAAAGTTGGCGATGCAGGAACGATATTCATGAGTTCTGATGAGTTTCTCGGTTTTTAAACGGAAGACAGAGCGCAAAACACTACTCAAATAGCTAAGCGTAGAAGGATCTTACGACCCCGAATGACCCTGACTCTTCCTGAACCTCGCTAAAGAATTTTTCAAGAAAATGTTTTCCACAAACTCTTGTAGCTAGGAAAGATCCAAGGCACCACTTGTTGTACTTTTTCTTAGAATTTTTATACCTTCGCTCGTCCATCTGTTACCGCTTATCTTCAATAAAACTCCAAGTGGAAGCAACTACATCAACATCATGCCGGAGAGCAAGCGGTAAATCTTCAATAAGACTCCAAGTGGAAGCAACTACATCAACATCATGCCGGAGAGCAAGCGGCGGCGGCCGCTAACCGCATCTGCCGCACTAGGTACAAGAAGTAGGGGACCAACATTCAAGGTCGACACCAGTTACCTGAAACAAGTTGTGAGCGTAGAAGATGAGAGAGGCAGAAGCGACAAAGCTAGACCATGGAGGAGAAATATGGACTACACCGCCTTGGAGGCGAAGCGGAGACAAATAAGTTCAGAGAAGAAAAAGGCTACTTATGAATATGATACAGGAGATCTTCATAAGCTCAGTTTTTGTTGAGAAAAAGAAGGCTAAATACAACTTAATATGATTTTTGGAGGACAAAGTTAAAGACTGAAGACTTTGTTGAGTAGCGTTTCTACCAAGGGGGATGACTATGACACGTAGTAAGTACTCCTATAATAAGTATTGCTAAGAAGACACGTAGTATGTACTCCTATAAGTATTGCTAAGATGAATTCATTGTGAGTTTTTACCCTTGATCGGTTGTGTGCTAACGCCTCTGAATGATTGTGGTAAGTACACATCAACAAGCATCTAATTTACACGAGAACTGCTAGGCGGGTTTATGTCCTTAGCACAGAGTGGCAATCTTGGAGGAGCTTCTTCCACATCATCATCTGCGAGAAAGACCAGGCCAACATCATCATCTGCAGCATCAAGGACACAAAGGATGATGGGTGCAACGATATGTGGGGGCACTAGTAGTAGCAGCGCATCTACAAGAAACAATAACAATTACTTCTTCTCGACAACAGCAGGATCTTTTGGTTCCTCTATTGCTGGAAGCCAAAATCGAACCATCAATTTCAATGAGGGGCAACGAGAGTTTCCTGTGTTAGTTTCGGAGCAGATGATGTACTACCCGATGATGGTCATTGACGGCGACGGCAGGCACACAACTGACCGAACTCCACCGGTTAGTAGAAGGATGGCATCTAGTTGTACTTCACCTGATCATTATGTAGCTCATGATGGGGAAGGACAAGAAAGTGAATCCGCTATCGACGCAGAGGAAGAAGAACAGCGTGTCGAGTACAATCGATCTGCTTATAGTAGGAAAACCAGTTCTTGTGCTAGAACAAGAGCTGGATCGTCTCAACATCAGAGACCATTGTCGGTCAGACTACCCAGACGCGATGAAATTGCTGATTATTTAGGAGACGCAGATTTCGTGGAAACGTTGTTGCATTCATCGAAAGAAGTGCGGCAGCGGGAACCTCCTACCAAAGCCGAGGAGGAAGAGGATGACGACTCTTCCTTAGGCATATTTGAGGATGATGATGATGATGATGAAGGCGAGGATCATAATTTGTCCGTTTCTCCCAAGAAGATGAATAAATCCAACAACAGTTACAGCGCTGCTTCCTCTGGGAGGCCAATGTCGGCGAAAAACCTTCAACGCCCTTTTTCAGCTAAGTCTTCGAAAGGAGTATTCAGTTCAGTAGATTAAGGCTTGCCGTAATTCATCTGAAGAAGCATCTTCGTCTTGAGGCCTAATAAACATACTTGTATCGACGTGTATGTTTATATCTCCAAAGCTAAACGGGTATTCGGTAGCCTGGTTTTGATCACAACCTCCACAACAAGGATTCTCTTCTTATTTTCCCTTATAATGATCAAAATCAGGCTACCAAATAACGGAAGCATACATCGACCCGTTTACTTTTAGAGGTATAAACATCACGTCGAAGATGCGCCTCACAAGATGAAAATCGGTAAGGTCTAAGTAGATGAGTTTTCCAGAGGTGGTGGGGAGGATGAGATCTTTGAAGTAGAAGTGTCAAGTGGATGGAAAGTGTTGTCGAGGTCGGGAGGTGACGAAAGTAATAGGATTCACATTGCTGGATCTTCCGTTTCTCCGACTAAGAATACGATAAACTACAACAACATGTTTCCGATTCTGAACAACAACATCACGACTGCCTCAAATTCAAGCACCAACAAAATAGTACCTCAACAGCAGTGCAATCAACAGCCAGGACAAGAAGAGCATGCTGTTTCGCGCAGAAGAAGTAGTTTTTCTGGGAACTTTGAGAAGTCGGGAAGTTTGCGTCGAAACTCGTTTCAGCAGGAACTCGCAGAAGAACATCCTCAATATTGTGAAAAAATAGGAGCTAGCAGTAGGAGAGGTTCAGCATTGGTAAATCTTCAAAATCTAAATCAACAACATCAGTCAGGAGTAGGTATCGGCAGTAGTCGACAACTAGGACGTGGATCTGTTCAACTTGGAGGAGGAGGAGGTGCTCCATCATCCAGTTGTTTGTCTCAGCATTGCCATTCTCTATCTCAAAACGAATTAAACAGTTCGGCCACGTCGACAAGCAACAACGTCCATGCTCAACGTCCATGGTCAACCTCGTCCGCATCATTAGGGGGAGCAAAACGACAGTTGGGCAATAGAAGTGAAAAACGCGCTTATTTGGCGGAGTGCTATTGTTATGGCAATGGCATCTAGCACAATATTAACAAGTTCATCTTCATCTTGCAGAACATCATCTTGGCTCCTCCGTTTTTCCACAGGGAATGTTAAAACGGGGACCACCCGGAAGATGCCTCTGCTGCAGAAGAAGATGCATTTGTAGTTCTAATATCGGGCTGCTCACGGTGTGATTGAAAAAGAGGCCTCGAGATCAGCCAACCCTCTCTTAGTCGCCGAAAGAAAACGCAACTTCTTCGAGAAGACAGCGGCGAAGCGGAGAGCAAGCCTAACGATGACACACCCTGCAAGAGGCATGTTTACGTCCAAAGATGATCTACTGCCTGAAGCTGACGGTGATAAAGATCTTGTGCAGCCGCGTGGTCAATTTAGACGAGCCAATACAGTCGGGGAATATTACAACTTGTCAACTACCGCGTCATTAGGAGTTGATGTAGGAAGTATGACCCTGCCTCCCGCTTCTACAAAAAGCGGCATTGCTGGACGTCGTTTTTCTGCCTCAGAAAGTAGACGAGCAACGATGGAAGACGTCGGAGGTGGAGGTAGTAGTGCTAGTCTCGCTACATCGTCTCAACAACATGGAGGTTCATCTTCTAGCAGAGACAAGACAGCATTTGGAACGAATTTGATGCTGCCAGTGCGTCTAGTCGATGAGGAGTACATGAAGAAGAATCAAAGTGCTTCGTCGAAAGCGCTCAATGTAGTAGTTAAGGCTAAATCTATAGTATAATTACATCTTTGGACGCTGCGTCCTTGATGAAATTATGTATGGACTGTTAGGTATCCACCTTGTCGTGTCTGATTAAGTATCCACCTTGTGTATTAGGTATCCACCTTGTGTCTGAAATGTAAGGACTCCCCCACACACTTTTCAAGGATGCACTTGAAAGATGAATGACAGCTCTAACAATGGGAGGAGAGGAAGCAGTGGGGGGGAAGCAGTGGAGGAGAAGTCATCAAAGAGTCTGGGACGACAAGGACAAGGAAGACCTTCAGTACAAAAAATCTCCCCAACATCCACCGCAAGGTTATCTACTTCTGCTGTTCAGGGACACCAAGAACCTCCCAATGCTGCCCGAAAAACCGCAATTGCACCGGCAGCATCGTCTTCCACCGTGATCATGGAAGAGGATGATGAAGAAGAATCGGTTGTAGTGGAAGAAAGAGTTACAGCGCCTGCAACTAGTAGCAAACGGAGTCCAGAAGTAGAAGAACATCATGATGCGAAGAGTCCACCAGAAGTAGTAGAAGAACTTCCTGTTGATGCGAATAACATTAAGGCTCAAGAACTTTCCTTGGTCAGGTCATTGAGGTTAGTCACTGGGATCCCTCTTGAGAGAATCAACGGGGAAGGGAAAGCAAAGGGCTTAGGGTTAGGGGCCCTTTTCTTTCAGCATGATCAGTGACCACTCACAACTGCTGACCTTTAACAACAGAAACAACAGTCAACAACAACACGCTCATCTTGCAGCTCCCTCTTCTCCATCTTGTTCTTTAGAAGATGTTGCCGAAGAAGACGATGAATACGCGGACGATGATTTCTGCGAAATAGAAATTGAAGAAGGAGACCCTCTTTGTAGCAAGAAGGGTCCACCAGACGAAGCATCACTCCCTACCCATTCTTAAGGCTATGTATTAAATACATTTTATTTGGACGCGCTCTTTTTCGTCAAGGATGCAGTGATGAAATGTATGGACGAGGACGCATCCTTGAAATGTATGGAGGAGTATCAAGGGAAAAGGACTCCCCCATACTTTTCAAGGATGCACTTGGAAGATGAATTGCGGACAGCTCTAACATTCCAAGGAATCGACAACAACAGGTGGAGGGGTCGCATCCGAAGCAGAATGGCTTACTGCAGGACGATCGACCAGTGAGATTGAGAAGATGGAGGAACAGAAACTAGATCACGAGGAACAAGCACAGCAGGAACTTCTAGAGGTAGTACAGGGACAAGGAGCAGAGTCGCAGCACTCACCACAGCATGACGAGGTAGTTTTATCTCCTGCCAGAGAGGATCAACAAGACGATTGTTCGCTGTGTTTTTCTTCTACGGCAGCCTCTATCGTCCATCAAGTGCTGCAAGATGGCGTAGACAGCACACAGAAACTAGATCAGTCAGGTGCTAGTTTCAGGTTTTCGTTCACGCAGGAGAATTTTTTGCCGAAGGTGGAACAGAACGACGAAGACGACGATCATCAAGTAGAAGTAGAGACAGGGAGGAGACAGTTCGTGCAAGCAGCACCGTCGTCTACATTTGATGGCCAAGAACCAGCGCTTGATGAAGAGAAAGAGACCACACAGTCGGTCATGCAGGTAGACGCCGGAGCAGAAGGCAGATTACTGCTAGAAGAAGAAGGAGTAGAAGTTTCATCGCGAGGACATGTAGTTGCAGACCAGAGAGACGATGAGGAAAACGCCAATGAAGTGGAGTTGGAGAGGACAGGCATCATAGAAATCCCTTCTGATGATGATGATGATGATGAACGGCGTGAGCGCATTCTTCCACCACCGGAGGAAGGCGTGAAAGAGGAGCAAACAGAGGACACGACAGCTGACAATGCCACTCGAAGCCCGCCAATAGAAGGAGGTGCCACAGAGACAGGGACAGCACTTGACGAGCACGAACCTTTCCACCACAGTGAATCTTTTAGTCCAGAAAAAAAAACCGAACCGCTTATCCAGCACCTCGAATCTTCTAGTCCAGAAAAGAGTCCCTCTCTAGTACCAGTCCTACGGAGTCCGGACACTGATGTTTCCCTGTGTCATGTCGAAACGATAGAAAGCGCGATTAACTACAAGGGCTCTACGTCTACTGGGCGATCGCCACCGGGATCTCCCGAAGAGGGAAGGGGGCGAGAAGAGGGAAGGGGGCTTCGCGATAAACGCGACTTTTCACTATCAGGCTCACCTCGAGGACCAGAAGACGAAATAATTGCACCACGACCGGAAGACGAAATTGCACCACGACCGGAAGACGAGATTGTGCGATCAAAGAAGACTGTGAATTTTGACTTCTACAGTACAACAACTTCTACAGTCAACTTAGTATCGCTCTCCGAATTATCTTCGGCTTCGGACATCAACCAAGAGCAGGACAAACCTGCCACTTCCGCCAACGCCACTAACGAGTCAGCCAGTATTAAGGGTACTAGGTTAAAGGTGCTCTATTTCTATTTGTTACCGTTTGTCATGGCTCCTCTCCTAAGGGGACGGCCATAACAAACGGGAAAAACGAACACCAAAAACCTACCTCTAACAGTAGTTCTTCGCGACAATCAGTCGCCGCACCAGTCCCAGTGTCGAAACAGAAAGCCGGAGTTACTGAGCACAAGTTCGCGTATTTGGATGAGGTGCTGGGATCAAGAGGCGACGGTCTATGATCTGACTTGGCTTTCGATTTCACTGCTCTCAAGGGCGGAGTCAGATGAAGTGCTCACTGGAGTGACAGATGAAGTGCTCACTGGAGTGACAGATGAAGTGCTCACTGGAGTGACAGATGAAGTGCTCACTGGAGTGACATGAACCAAGTTCGATCTCCAGGAAGCTTCAGTTTTGAAGGTTGAAGAGAAAATTTTGTGAGTTTTTATGATCAAGAACCGACTTGGTCCCCGTTTCTTTTTGCAAGATCTACTCAGCTCCTCGTTTGTTGGAAGGTGAATCTCTTCTACTTTTGTTTGTACTTAGAGAATTGTACTACGTATTGTGCGGGTCGTACTTAGACTTCTTGGCCTTCTTTTTTCGCCTACGTACTTCATAAGCATAAGGGGTGTTGTAGTTGTACCCTAACATAGAAAAATTGAAGCTTTTTATATCGCTACTCACCCTTTCCCTCTTCATCTCTGATTTCGATCGACCGGCAGTGGCAAATGAAAGCTGAGGGCATGAGGCGCGAGAAAGCGTTGCGAAAAGGTATGCAGAAAAGCGCTATGAAACGGGCTCAGGGACGGCGATGAGTGCATGCTGAAGAGACGTTTCCTGTTAGTAAAAGCAGATGTCCACAACTGGTGCTACTGCTCCGGACCGCGCTCAGTTGTTGGATTTTTTTTTCTACTGCAGTAGCAGTAGAGGTAGATACAGCTAGGAGACATTTTGAAGGTACATTTTGAAGCTATTTAGTTTATTCTTGAGTCTGTTTGCCTTTGCGTACTCGTACTGGCCTTTAGAATATAACTTTTGTTGTTTGATTTTGACATTCTTGAGTACAGGAGTAAAAATCCCCAAGTTGTATTTAAATGAACACTTCTTCACACTGGCTGCATTATTTTAGAAAAGGGAGAGTAAGAGAACGAGATAAGAGTCAGGATAAATATATTCGAGCAGCAATAGAGATTGGGATATTTGATTTAGATTTTCAGCTGGTGAAACTTAGGTTTTCAGTGGGCAGGAACGGACAAGGAAATTTAAACAAACTCCTACGACTAGCATAATCATAATAACGAACCCTTGAGATAATGAAGTTGCTACACAACTTAGAATCAGGACATGAAATTTAGAGTTGTGTAGCTGCTGCAAACCCAGATGTATCATGTGTACGTGTACAGATAGAGACCCAGGTGTAACGAGGTCGTGAGTATTTTCAGCATAACTCAAGCCCTACTACGGTGAGTCTTCATGATCGTTTTCAGTCTTTTTGATGTCAACAGGTATTTCGCATTTCTTGACTCTTGACAGCTAGTTTTCCGTTCGATGACTTAATGAACCTCACGCTCAAGCATCACGAGTTTGTTTCTTGCCGATCTTTGCCTTGTCAAAGCTGACATTTGTATGGTGCAGGCGTCGGCGAGGACGAGACTGTCCGATCGTTCGAGACTCATTCGAATGGCGCGGGGTCTCATAGGTGGACTGAAACCTCATGTTCAGCGCATATTAAGGTCATTCGAGGAACCGCACCAATCTTGTAGATCCATTAGGTCGTTCAGACGGATCATTAGTTTAGATTTGGATTTGGAAAGACCACTCACAAGGCACAACGACACGTACCAAGAATGGCCCAAAACGGATCCCTCGTTCTCCCCTTGAAGTTTTCCGACACAGATCGACAGAATAAGATTATTCAGAGATGAGCACCTCCTGGTTGGAGGGGCACTTGCAGGTCCAGAAGGAAAATACAAGAGAGATCAACCACTGTGTAGATCCCAGGCCAATGCCTACCCTTACCACTTAAAGCTCTTCAGAAGTTAGCCCCGGTAAGATTGCTCTTTTTTAGACTACAGACTATAAATACATACGAAGAAGAACGGGAGGTAAACGGATTGCCTTTACTATGGCTATTATTCTGATCTCCCTGTCTCTTTGTCATTCTGTGCAGGCTCGTTGTCGGGTGATTTGCCTTCGACTGGCAATAATTATTTAATGGGCAAGAGCGACTGCCTTTTTTAGACTTTACATATTTCTCACGAAAATTATATAAATTCAACATTGTAGTTCTTTGTGATTTCTCGCTCCATCTCAACATTCTAGATTTAGAAAACATGGCACCTCTTACATCTGGATCTCTACTCCTTGGTCATCTGCCAGCGGTGACTGCGACAAGACCGGGACCTTACTCCAAGCCTAACTCAGCAACCACTTCGGACGCTCTGTTCGTCTGTCCGGGAGACTTGATCGCTAAAAATGGTCTCTCCTTGCTCAGAGGCCGCGGCGTCGTGAAGGATGCTTATGGCGATTTGCGGGCTAGCATTCCAGGACGGTTGGACCGAGTTTCGCAGCTCGTCTACGTCCAACCAGGTGGGTCGAAAAATACAGGTGGATGCTTGAGCGGCGCATCAACGTCATCCTCCTCCTCATCTTCGACTAATTCCTCTTTAGCAACCGGTGACGTTGTAATAGGCAGAATAGCTCAAGTGCTGCATGGCAAGTGGGCAGTTGATGTTGGCGTAGGTAGCGGACATGCGACACTGCCGTTAGCTGCGATTCACTTGCCGAATAACGAGCAAAGGAGACGCACGGCTGAGGATCACCTGCAAATCAGAGAATACTTTAAGGAGAACGATTTGATAGTAGCTGAGGTCCAAAGGGTCACTCTAGGCGGGGGAGGAGGTGCAGGAAGTGGTTCAGCAGCAACCTCCTCATCTAGTAGCAGTCTTGGTGGAGCTGCTTCTGGCGGTGTACAAAGTGGTCAGTCTTCGCTTGGAGGAGACACGATACCCTTCAGCGGTGGAGGAATTAGTAGTAGTACTAGGAAAGACAACGCGTGTTCGTGGTCTCTGCAATCCGGCGGTGGGTCGTCCGAGGTCTACCTTCAAACTCGAAGTGCAAAATACGGCTTGCTACGTAATGGAGTCTTGGTTTGCCTGAAAAACCGGAATCTTTTAGAACGCGGCACACAGAACATTCTGCGGTTGAATAGAGTCCCAGTGCCTGTTGAACCAATGTCTGTCGAAGGCCGCGAGGTAGATGACTCAGTTTCTGGAGAAGACGGCAAACGACCTAAATGCAAAGGACTAGCAGAGCCAGCTTTCGTTAGCCTTCAATTAATCCTGGGCGCAAACGGATGGATCTGGATCCAGGCGGCGCCTGAGAATACTGGTGGAGTTGAAACGCTAAATTTCTCAGGGAATGACTCGATTGCAGATGGAGCGGGCCTGCCGCCTAAAGTCCGAAAAGCTATCTTGGAGTATAGAGAAGCACTGTTAGCGATGGATGAAGCGTGGGTAAGGATATCGATGGCAACATTGGAGAGAGAGATGGCTAAACGACGTGCTGGTAAGGGGAATGTCCAGGATGTGGGAATTGAACGCTGTTGAAAGAAAAAGACTGACTGATGATGAAGAGGACGACCATGTTGAACTGGCGTGAGGAGCAATGATATAATGGACATTCGCATAGAGATGTGACATTCATCGCGGTCATCGTTTCTATTCCCGTTTTTCGTTTTCCTTGATATTGATCCCAAAGATTCGCAGTCGTTTAGACTGTGGCGTAGTTGTATCCAAAACCGTTTGGGCACCATCACCAACACCGCAAGTCATGTTCACCGAGAAAAGACGGTGTCCGCAGCTTGACTGAGTCCATCAGTTGAAGATTTGTCAATCAAGTACCGATCCGCGATCATAACCAAAAAATTTGGATTTAGATTCTTTAGATCTGTGTGAGCTGGCGTTTTGCCGAGGCTGAAGCGATCAAGGTCCATTACAGATAATTGCATGGAATGAAATATTTAGATCCAACATGAGGAAATAACTCGATATGGATCACTAATCGTGAACTTCGGATCCTTTCCCCAGAAAGTGCTCACCCGTTCGAGAAGTAGAAAATGAGACGAAGACCGAAGTTAGAGGTCACTCCGCTGCAGATCAAGAAAAAACCGATCCAGGATCTCAGGTTTTGATCGACGTTGACTTCTAAAGACAAAGATGATTCGATCTGATCCAGGGCACGAAAGGATCTCTCGTTCTGAAAAAGCTGTTCTTTAGATTGCCTTTTTTTCACCATCGATCAATTTGAATATGCCTCATTTCTAAATCAATAGCATTAGCCGCCAATTAATGCTATCCACAAGAACTTAGTAAACTCTAACTCTGACATCTAAGATACTAAATTCTAAAATCTTCAAACCACAACGAAAACTTCAGGGACAACATAGAACTGCGTCAGAGGACCGCCAGTTTCTTAAGTAGAGTCGTAGTTGACCACTTAGAACCAACTCCCAAAATGGCTCCTTCCACTAAGTCCAAGAACTCTCAGGAGTCCATCGGCCAGCGCCTGGGTCTCGTCATCAAGTCCGGTAAGTACACTTTGGGGTACAAGTCCACGTTGAAGACCCTGCGATCCGGCAAGTCCAAGTTGGTCATCATCGCGTCCAACTGCCCAGCTTTGACCAAGTCCGAAATCGAATATTACGCCATGTTGGGAAAGACCGGAGTCTTCCACTTTCCGGGTACTTCTGCGCTCATTTAGGAGCCTTCTTGATTTCAGTAGTTGTGGGTTTCCATTTAGATTTTTGAAAGGCCTCAAACGATCTTTTGCATGCGACAGCAACGATATGTTAAAAAAGGTCAGAATTCCGAAATGGTCAGAATTCCGAAATATTAGGACGACAGAAGCGCTGCCATTTAGATTGTTCTATGCTGCTTGGTAGCTGCGTTCGTTTAGATTTGGACATGAGTTCGTTCATCCCGTACTCATACTCGTCCCGTACTCCTGTCTTGAGTCTTGTATCTCTTTCTTACCCTTCAACACGACAGGTACCAACAACGAGTTGGGAACGACTTGCGGTAAGTACTTTCGATGTGGAGTCATGTCCATCGTGGACCCGGGTGACAGCGACATCATCCGCACCCTTCCGGGACAGGCCTAAGAAATTTTCGCTTGAACAGGGAAAGCATCCAGTTTTGGGTTCTCTTCAAGACTGGGAAGCGAACCTTTGGGAAGCGAACCTTCTGAACTGGGAAACGAAGGACAGAGAATCCATGGAGTTGTGGTGTGTCAAAGATAGGAGTATGTGGCGATCTACTTGTAGTCGGACGGAACTTTTTGGGGAAGAAGAAGGAAGCTTGCTGCCTGCAGAAAGTGCGATTGTCCTTCTGCATACCACTGGTAACCCATAGTTTCGGTGTATACGCGGACTTGCTTCCTCCCAATGGGCAAATGTTTGACTACTGATCGGAAGACTGCTACGAAAAAAAGCGCTCGTCGCGGGAGACTGTGCCGGAGGTTGGTTCTCTATACGTTGTTCAAAGCTGTCAAAGTCTGTACTTTCAAGAGCTTCGGTCGATGGAGTTTGTGAGTCAGCTATTAGCGAGCGACATTCACATTCTCTGCTACGTCACAGAAACTTTCTAAACATGAAACTTGTTGCGGAAGAGCAGGCTCCTAGAACTACAAGAACAGGAATTTGGAAGGAGTGAGTAAGTAGTTGTTCTGTGTCTTGTTCAAGCGTTGCGCATCGGTCTCTAAGGACTGAGAGAAACTACCACTGAGACATGACACGGAGACGAGTCAGATTGTTGAGCATGAGCGTGGACGAAAAAGCATCCCAAATTTTTACATTAGTAATCTACTTCACTCCTGACTCTTGTACTTATCTACTTCCATTCATAATGTGATTGATTGATCCCCCGTGAAAGATCTGATTCCCGATGAAGCGTTTTTGTCTCCAGAGCCTCATGAAACGACGATAACGAAGCAGACTTGAATTAGTCCTGACATCTTACAAAGTCGGAATCTCTAAAGATGCCTCCATTTTCAGACTCATCGCGGGACGGCTACGAGGAGTAGTTGCGTGCTTTCATGCTATCGTTCTTCGGGGTTTTAACGAAACTCTTTGATGCAGATGACGGCTTGTTCGAGGACCGGATAGATGGGTTGTCGGTACCTCTAACTTCAGCCGATTTTCTTCCTCACTTCATACAATGAGCGGGCCATCTACTCTATCCTCGGCAGAGGCCGATGATGTCATGATCGATGAGAAAACGGGTTTGCTCTCGTCTCTGACAGAGAAAGTCGACCCGGAGGATGGACGAACAACTGCCATAGATTCTTCGCCAGGAGCATCGACTCCGCCATCCTCCTCGCCAAGACCTACACGCTGGTCAGACGAAGGAGGAGAGGAAGACGAAAGAGCGGCTGCACTTCCACCACCAATACAAAAACAGCAAGGAGCAACTTCGTCATCCTCTGGTACGAGAGCTACTTCTAGTTCCACACCGTGCAAGTCCAAGTCCACCTCCCGATCCCCACGACGAGGACATGAAGGTGCAGACCTTTTATCGGACTCAGACACATCTAGTACATCTTCATTATCGTCTCCAGATATTGATGTATACTCGCCAGTTGTTCATGGGAGTGCAGCGAATTCGCCTTTAGATGAGCGTAGTCGTAGAAAGAAGCGCAAGCGACGACTCCTGGATTTGGAGAGGGTCCGATTATGGTTTTGGGCTGAGTTTCCTTCTCTGTACGTCCTTTCTCTCTATATGTTGTAGTTTCAAGGTATAATCTCAACATCTAATCTGCGCGCCAGCTACTCCGAACCGGCAGTTTCTGTTATTTCGGTTAGTGAGAGGCTTTCGCACGTTCGCAACAGCCTTCACCTGGCGACATTTGCTGCTTTTCCTCGGCGTTTTCATTTTTATGCTCGAGTACATGTTTCGGGACCACTAGGACCTACCAGACATTTACATACTTTTTTAAATAATTCTATGCTTGATTCTTGGTGTGGGTCTCTTTCAGAGGATGTCTAGAAGAAGCGATTCGGTCTTTCTTCAAGGAATAGAATGGTCTTGCTCCACTCCTTTCCCTTTCCCATCGATCACGCCTCTCACATCTCTCTCTACGTTCTTCCCTATGCCTAGCCCTATCTTCCCATGTCGGAGCCCACCCTACCTTCATTTTGCTAGTATTCGGATCAACTGGGTTGCACCTGGACTCTCTCTCTTCGCCGTTTCTGTGGGCTTACGTAGGTCTCTATCAACACGATGCGCCTACTAGCACTTTGTTGCCACCCAGTAATCAGCTTCTCGATGGAGGTTCTGCTTCTGGGGATCCACGTGGAGGTCAAAGTCGAAAAGGCGGAGCGAGTCCTGTTAAAGTTAAGACTACCTCTCGTCCATCTCTAGCTCCATGGGGATGATCCCTCTTTCAATCACACTCAGGTGCTGGGAATCCTTGGAAGATTCCTATTAGTACTAATTAGTCCAACTCTTCCCGAGTAAGTCTAAGTACCTAGTACATGATAAGTGAACAGGCCAACGCCTAAACCACTAAGCGCACTGCGTTCACTTATCAGTACAAGAACAGGGAGGATGCTCTAACTACGCTGGGGGAGGAAGTGTGCACACAGAGAAACAGGACAATGAAGCAAGTACTTCTGAAAGCAGAAGCGGGAGTGGAGCCGAACAAGGTGATATTTTGATTAGGCGCACCAAAACCACCAGTTAAACTGTGAATCACTGGTGAAGGGCCTCATGGTGTGAAAGTCAACGACCATTCTGAACCCCTGGAGTGGGTACATTCATTCATTCACTCACTCTGGGCCATGACTTCATCTTCATCATTCATACAACGAGCGGCCTCTAACTTACTTGATTCCACTCTTTCCCCGTCGCCTTCCCTCTACCTCCATTCCCCTCCTCTAATTCAGACCCGGTTTCTGTGGCCCCTTTGACGAATTTCTGGTACGAGAAGTTTATTTCCCTCTTTCTTTTCGCAGACGAGATGTACAACTCTACGGGCGATCATTCTTCTGGTGGAGCAGGTAATGGTGATTCGGAGACGAAAGCTGCTCCTGCCTCAGCGACAACAACGGTATGAAGATCACCGACTACAAGTACAAGAACATCTTCTTCCTTATAATTTGAAGATCACCGACTACAAGTACAAAAACATCTTCTTCCTTATAATTCATGGCTCGTAGAAGTTCTTCTGTTGAAGTTCTTCTGTTGTTATCCTTATACTGTCCTCGTTCTAATCAAAGGAGCCTCGCTTTCCAGGAGCGAAGAGGGAAAGCCGACGCTTTCCACCTTGGACGAGGAGAATAAGCCGATGGTTTTCTTTATGAAAAGGAAAAGTGTACTCATTCATCTGGTGCTCATCAATTCTGTTGCTCTTAGTACTCGTCAACAAATTATATTTATGAAATAAAAATTGGCAAAGGGAAATGAGTACACTTTTTCCTTTCACATCCCTGGACGAGGAGAAAATGAAAGGATCGTTTATGTCGGTCGTGAAGGAACAAACAGAAACCTCTAGAAGTGGTGCAAAAAGGGCGCCACGAACACGAAACCGCATCGATTATGGCATTGATCAATGTGAATGTTTTTCCATTTAGTAGTACAGAACTACTAGAAGTAGAAGTAGTTGAAAATTTTTTTGAATTTTCTCTGCAGAAGAAGAAGATCTTCTCATTTCCGCGATCTTGCGGTACAACTGAAAAGCGACTTTTCTACTAGTTTTTCCTAGAGTTATTTACTCCTGGAAAAGTCGATTTCCAAGAATAGACTAGAAAGAGAAGGGCCACTACTACCAATTATCTATAAGCGTTAATAACCAAAACTATATTAACGCCTTAGAAATAGAATTGGCGATAGCGTGTTCCGTTATTCTTCACCCAGAATTCCAAAATTCCAAAATGAAATAGTCATCACAGAATTCGCTAAGATGAAAAAAATACTGCAGCCAAAGGCGTGAGGCACGAGACGGATTTGTGCGCGGGTGGCTCATCATGTTGTGGCGGATCGTGTGGCTCAGGCTCAACCGGGAAGGACGATGAGGGCATCATCTTGCTTGCATTATGATCAACATGGGGATGAAATTATACAAATAGACACATGATTGAATACAAATACAAAATAATGAAAAGGCACCAAGCCGAAAAAAAGAAAAAGACCTCTTCACTAGAGGCATTGTATTTACCTCTTGTTAGGCATATTCAGATTCATTCATTCACTCTTCATTCGATGATACAAATAGATAACTGTGTCTAGAGTGATTACAGAAGTGATTAGTGATTGATGAATCATCAAAACAGTGTCCTCCTCTTGAGTGAGCTGCTTTCTGAAATTTCTAATCTCTCCGAAGGAAAAACCCAAGAGCAAGGCGAAAGCAGAGGGAAAGGAGGCACCAGAGGAAGTAAAGCCGGAGGAGAATCCTGCAATTGGCCTTATGGCATTCTAACACTGTTGGAATTGTATCGTCCCGGCGGAGGTACTAGTCTAGGAGATCTACTGGGGGTGGGGACGATGACAATCTAGTACCAATTGCGCCTCTTCTAGGTTGTAGAGACCGCCCAATCTAAGGTACTAGAGGCGCAATTGGTAGTTCTCGGGATGACAATATACCAATCGCGCCTCTTCTACAACCATAGAATCAGGGAGATTTCCTCTGCCTCTGGGACTGTGCTGGATGAACATGAACTACGAACTTAAACTTTTTTATAACTACAGTGTCGATGTGCTCCTGGATGTTGTACTTGTAGTAGTTGTGCTTGTAGTAGTTGTATATGTACATACAACTTGTAATAGTGTGCTGGTGGACCTGGATGAACTAGTTTATAATATTTAACTACAAGTACAACAGTGTCGATCATCGTGTACAACTTGTAGCACTAGTTGCGTTGGCACGCAGCAAAATACTTGAATTCATACAGTTTTCTAATCTCCAAAACGACGAACCGCAGCTACTTCCAGTGGAAGACGAGCCAAATTTACGTTCTGTCGCTGATCCTCCTGCTGATCCTCCTGCTGATCCTCCTGCTGATCCTCCTGCTGATTCTCCTGCTGATCCTCCTGCTGATCCTCCTGCTGATGTTCCTCCCGATACTTCTGACAATGGCCAACAGATTGGTGGCGGTGGAGAGCAAGACGGTGGTGGTGATGACATTGGTGAAGTTGAAAAAGATGGAAGCGGAACTGGTGAGGGTCTATTTGGCGAGCAAGACCAAACTGTGCGTACGGGCGAGCAAGACCAAACTGTGCCTGGTGCTGGCGAAGAGCAAACTGTTCGTACGCGCGAACAAGACCAAAGAGATGACGGATCTATTGGCGAAGGTGTCGAGACTGAGGAAGGGGCAACTCTCGGCACCACTGGAGTTGTTGGGGGCGCAACTGGTGATGTTGGGGGCGCAACTGGTGTTGTTGGGGACGCAACTGCCGATCTACGACAAGAACCTGCCAGGATTACTGAAGTAGAAGCACCTGCCAGGAATACTGAAGGCACAACTGACGAAGTAGAAAAGGACGGAGAAAAGAAAGATGACGAAGAAGTGCCACCAGCACAAGTACAAGTAGAAGAGCAAGAAGAGAAGGAAAAAGATGGAGCTCCAGATGAAAATGAAGAACAAAGAGAAGAAGGAGATCAAAGTCAACCGAAAGTCGCGGGAGAAGACGATAATGAACTGGGAGAAGTGCCGTCATCTTCACCAGTAGAATCTAAGGAAGATGAAGACGAAGAAGAAGAAGAAGAAGAAGAAGAGAAAGACACTTCGGAAGAGCCTGTTTCCCCGGAAGAGGAGCAGGATGCGACGCTAAAAACGACCAAGCCAGGAGCAGCTCCGCCAGAAGTAGCTCCTCCGACAGAAGTATCTTCTCCGCCAGTAGTAGCTTCGCCAGAAGCAGCTACTACACCAAAAGCTAACGGGGCAGAAGGAGACAAAGCTACGTCGGAGCAAGAAGAAGATGGACCAGTAGTAGACAAAGTCGAAGTAGCGGAAGATGCTGCACTGCAGCCGCAAGAATCATCTTCCCAAGATCAAAACCAGGATGGAACGAGGCCTGTCAGTGTGTCGGTACCAATCTTGACCAGGGCAGCAGCTCCTCGTTCTACTTTAGGTGCCGCGGATCAACCATCTTTGTCTGAGGCTGCTGTTGTCAACAATCATCTTGACAGCCAAGAAAATCTGGCACAGCTGCAGCAACTGCAAC